TTAAACCACGCTGTATGATCTATAAATCATGTGAGATCATGCTGAAATATCACTAGACAGTTCACATCTGATTTGGCTAAGTTACAATGTGGGAAATGGACTTAGAGTGTGTGGGAGTGATTTAAAGGGGTAAACCATCATGTAAGCAGTCTTAGAAGGTCTGGAAGGTTTGTGATGGTCTAGATCTTCAGGTAATGTTTGCCAAGGCATGGCTGAAGCTGCTGAGCATTGCTGAGCATGGCTGAGCATGTAAACAAGTGGGCTGAAGCATGTAAACAGTAAACAAAGGTGGAGGGAGGCTGAAGGATGTACTGGGTTATATAAAGGGGACTTTTGAACATCTCTGGAATAATACATAAGTTACACATTGCAATACTTGCAGAGTGGCTATAGTAACAGTCCACAGCCAATAATGTAACTGGATAAATGCAGTTTGTAGCAAGGCTGTGCCATGTCTCATTACAGTTAGGTTCCTTTGAGTCAGGCCCCATAAGGGTGAGCTAATCTGTAGTATAGTATAAGTCTATTCTGTGTAAGAACCACTAAGGGAATATACTAGCTAGCAGCACAAAAGTAATGTGTATGCCAATGGTGCTATCAGTTACCTCTATAACCAATATTGTAACCCTATGCTGGCTTCCCTTTTATAGGAACCTAAGCAGAAGTATCTCCAGACTGATTACCTACATATATACCACCAAATCCTACTCAGTTAACCCAAGATAATTAATTTGCTTCTTGCTCTGATTATGAAAACTTTTTGAGATTGGCCCAGCTCATATGGCAATGTTACTCCTGCTAAGTATAAGCCTTAAATTTGTTATATCAGCTACCTTGAAATCAGCCTTCTTAATTGGTCAATGCCATGAGGAAGGTTATAGTCAGCTCTATCACTATACATTTGCAATATATATTGATTATATAGTCCTCTATTATTTTTATACACTAGTAATCTTATCCAGGTTTGCTAGGCCTGTGGTGGCAGTAGGGCACCAGTCAAACCCACCCAGTTAATGCATTTGTGCACTAAGCTTGTCCAGGACAATAAGGAAAGCTTCCAGATTCAATAATTGGGAGGTTTACCCTTACAACAGGAACTACCATGAAAGTTTAGTGAGATTCTCCAAATTATATCAATGGTGACTGTGTCCACGGTAAAAGTTGAATATCTGGTCCCAGGCTTCATAAAGGTTGGTGGATATAGTTGTTAGTTGACCAAAGGACACCATCCATCCAGTTGCCATTCAACAAACCTTCTTGAGGGGACTCCGCATATGAAAACAGTTTCAAATCTCCCTCCGAGATGACGCCCTGTAGCATACTCATTTTTAGCAAACAGCACGACGGCGTTGTTATGAAGAAAAGTATTGAGGTCTGGTCCTTACATCTTCCAGCATGTTGTGGAAATTGACCATCCTATCCCACCATGCTTTGCAAAACAAAATGACGGGAATTCGGGCCATTTTCTTGGTTTGAATCAGTGTGAGGGCTTCAAACAGTTCATCCATCGTGCCCCATCCACCTATCAACCGTTATGTGAGTTGTGTGGTAGTAGAATCCTTTCTTGCGCCACATAGATGTACCTGGGAAGGCCACCAATGCTCGCGCGCGACCGAGGAAATGCATTTTGCGCATTGCTGTTTACAGCAGAAACATTAGACGGATGATGGTTTTGGACTCCTGGATGATCGGAATGTAGGCTTACAAAAGTAATGGAAGTTGAAGCAGAGCTAAAGGAGAAAAACGGGGAACCATCGGGAGTAAGTACTCTGTGCCGGGGCATGACGATTGAAAAGCGTTTCCACACCTCCGGAGTGATGTACGGATTCGGTCGCTGCTCGAAGGGCAGAACAATATTCAGCCCCACCGAGCGACCTCCCGGAACTTGAGTTGCGCCTCTGTTGGCTGCCTCCATGATGCCAGGACCACCACCAGTTATGACGACCCTGTATGGAGCAGATGTCAGCAAGATATTTTACACACATGGCAGATACGCACAATTTGTTTCCGTCGGAATTCTTAGTTACAATTTCGCCAAATTCTTGAGCGGCTTCATAATATTTGACGCTCTCCAGCATCTTTTTGGCTATCCTCAGGCTTTCCCTCGCCTCGGTATCGTTGGGTCCCTTTTGCTTCACAAGCTCTTCTGCAACTCTCAAATGTTCTTGAGCCTGGTCGCGATCCCTAATTCTGGCACTACCAAACACAACAATAGTACTATCGATTCCCGCTTCCGCAAGGATCTTTTCAGGTTTAGTGTACTCGAGCTGGAGACGAAGGGGTCGCAGGTCATCACGAAGCAAGAACGGTTCGTCGGCCCAAGCCAAGCGGTACGCTGGAGACGTAGTTTGTGCTGTGCGCGGGTCCGAGGCGGCAGACTTGAGAGCACCAGGAGCCTTTTGGGGAAAGGGATGATAGTGATGCATGAGGTTGGGTACAAGGGAAAAAACTGGCTGTGGGTTAACAGAAGACTCGGTTATGTCCTATAAGGTCGGGGTCCAGAAACGTACCAGTCTTGGCACTCAAATGGCGAGCACCCTTTTGGTTGGAGTCCTTGTTCGTATCGTCGCCGTGCTGCATTGTGGATGTCGTGGAGGGAGATCACTTCCTGCCAACGCGTTTTCAGATGCTGGCCAATCTGTTGGTTGCTGACGTAAGGATCACGCTAAAGACGGAAAGACCAGTTTACATGGCATAAAATAGATAATCATGTTTCTTGTTACATTAACAAATCAGTGATCTCTGATAGACATTACGCTATATGCATATATTCATTGCGATGGTGTTTCAATTCCTGCGCAAATAACCCTTTCGGAAACTTCGACACCACAATTTGCCTGCGATTTCGCCTTCACATATACCAGGGTTTCACTACTGGCAGTTTCGATTGTTTTAACCACAGTTGAAACTAGCCTGTCTAACCCTCTCACCCGCATCAGAAAGTTTTTCTCATCATTAATAGACGCAGTCATCAAGACCGAATCGTCGTCATAGTCCCATCGGAGCATTCCCAAAGTGGTCATGATTCGGTTCCACCCACATGGATGGTGATCTGCCTTTTCTCTGAAGGGCGGTTCCGTATGCACGTAATCAAAGTCCAGAGGTCCTGTCGTGTAGACTATTTCGTATTGATCTGTATTTGCTTGGTCTTTGAACGATCGCATAATTGCAACGTGCGGACGATACACGGTTCCGCAACATTTCACTCCTTGGTGTGTTCGAGCAAACCCAACAAAGTACTCGCTGTCTCGCCACTGCAGCCACGGCGTCCCGCCTCCCAGCTTCCCGAACGTCGTGTCCTTCTGGCCACCGATCGTTGAGCAGTGCCCATCATGTGCAATATCACAAGCCATAATATGCAGAGGCTGGACACTGAAACGATCATTCAGCTAAATTTGAAACATAGCACCGTCATGTTATCCCCTCACCTATAGACCACTCGAAACTCATTTTTATGAAAGAAAGGTGTCCAATTTTTTTCCCAGTTTTGAGGCGCAAAATCAGGGCGAAGAGCAGACTGATGTCGTGATGTGGTATTGAAAGTCCATTGCTTGCGCTTTCCGTCCATATCTCCCATGTGGAACAAAAGGATAATGTTCCCGTGAGGATCGGCGATGGCTCGCGGATCCTCTTGGCCTGTATAAAAAGCCTGATCTGGCGTATAGCTGGAGATGTATGAGGTGACTTAGCGTATCCGCAAAAAGTCAGGCTGCCACGAACTTACATTTCCATGACGTCTGGAAATTTTACCAAGTCATCGCCAACACGTCGCTTGAGTGGTACGGGTCTTAGATCTGAATCGTAAGATTGTGCAAACAAAAAACTCCGCTTCCCCCCAGCACACGGAGGTCTGCATGATGGATCTTTGTATTGCATTCGTGTGAAATATACGTAGTGCCGGACATCTTGGAGCCATACCGCCGTACCGCTGAATGCGTCCCAGTGGGCAGGGGTGTTCGGCTCTTGCGCTACTCTTTGCCTGTAATTCGCAGAGAACCAGGCAACATTTACCGTCATATCTTTGATACGGTCAACATACAGCACTTTTTCGAAGGCTAATGGGTCCCAGCACCCATCAGGCATCATGGCAACTTTTATGTCCTTCGGTATGACTTTTTCCGGAAGGACTTTATCCCAGCTACCCGTAGACGATGGTGCAAGTATTGGAGAGGAGTCTGCTGGTTCTGAGACTAGTGTGGAATATGGAGCCAGGGTAGAAGTTGCTTCAGAAGGCTGTTCCGCTGACGCAGCACGCTTTGTTCGGCTTAACACCTTAGACACACGACCTTATTAGCCATATAGATTGTGCGAAAAATATATCATGGAAATGACGAACCTCTGATATTCTCCATTTGGTGACCAGAGAATGGAAAGCTACCAATTGCAGTAGTAGAATCACAATTACAATATCCCTCCGCCGCCTCTTCATGAAGGTGCTCGCTATCCGTATTGCCGCATGCCGCATCGCGTTTCTCGTTGAACTGAGCAGCATTGCAACTGCACGTTCGTAAATACGCGAGCAAGCTATGAAGGTCAAACTTATCTTGCTGCTATCCAGGAAGCTTGGCTCCGTCGGGGCCAGATTTACGTAAGCCAGATCAATGCATCAGCTCTATGTAGCTGAGCCTTTGGATTTCCGGAGCCATTATTATTTGGCAGCTACGCTTGACCTTTTCAAACTCTCGCACTCGTATTATTCTTCCTTAAATAACAGGATACCACCCAGGGTAGAATCGATGTTTCAAAGCCTCGTCATCGTCATTGCAATATGGGTCCTTTTGACCCTTATATTAGTGCACAAACTCTTGAGCATCTTCAGGCACCGGTTATAGGTGTACTTATGTTTCTTTTATTTGCCTCTTCCTGCGAGAGCTCAAGGAAACAAGCCAGCCTGAAAGGAGGTTTTTGGGCGAGGAAAATACTTCTTGAACGACGCATTCTTATTGGCTGCGCGCATGTGAGATTGCAAATGTTTACCGGCTGCTTAGTTGTTTGCCTTCAACAATACGAGAATATGGATGATGGCCTTTGAATCCGGTCCGCTCGCCACTATTGGCAGCAACAAACACGTGCTTACGTACGCAGACCATGTCCAACTCCGCTCGGGAATACCAACCTATGTTTTCCCCTCTGTTGAGACCTTTCAAGCATCAGACTACCTACCTGGAAGTCTTTGGGTACTCTCGTACCAATGAGCGAAAATACCTCGACCTCCGCGCATGGTCTGGTGGAAAACGGTTTAGGTAGGGGCTGCCATTAATGGAGCGAATTCATCGGGAACACGTAATTGTTATTCTAACGCTCGGAACTAAGGAGTGGAAGAACCGGGTCCTGATTCTGCAGTTGATGTGGGCCCATCAGACTATATTCTTGTCACTGGTGGAGCGGGCTACATTGGAAGCCACGCTGTCCTCGAGTTGCTGCAAACGGGATACAAGGTGGTGGTTGTAGACAACTTGTGCAACTCATCCAAAGGTAAATAAATGCTAATCCACTGGTCAATATTGAGTATAAGCTAATTTATTCGTTGACCTCATAGAATCCCTGCGCCGAGTGGAGAAACTGACTGGAAAAGTGGTTCAGTTTCACGAAGTGGACCTCCTGGACCAGCCCTCATTGGAGGGAGTATTTGCGTCATACCCTATCTCCGCTGTCCTTCACTTTGCAGCATTGAAGGCAGTTGGCGAATCTGTAACCCACCCGTTGAGATATCATCGCGTTAATTCAGTGGGAACAATCAATCTCCTTGACTGCATGTATCGACATGGAATCTGGAATCTAGTCTTCTCATCTTCTGCCACTGTGTATGGTGAACCCGATCGACTTCCGCTCACCGAGTCCGCTGCACTCAGAGCCACAAATCCTTACGGAAAGACCAAACTTTATATAGAGGAAATCCTTCGCGATGCTGCCATGTCTGATTCCAGATGGCGAATAGCACTTTTACGTTATTTTAATCCCGCTGGAGCGGTAAGGCGTCCCGTTGTGACTGGTATCACTACCAAATTGATCTAATAAGACATACACACAGCATCCGAGTGGCCGAATAGGCGAGGATCCCCACGGAGCTCCTAATAATCTTATGCCTTACATTGTTCAAGTAGCAATTGGCCGTCGACCTCATGTTACAGTTTTTGGGTCAGATTATTCAACGAAGGATGGCACCGGTATGTTTGGTTCGATAGGAGTATCGCTTTGTTTACTGATTGCCTTTTTTAGGGATTCGCGATTACATCCACGTGGTGGATCTTGCAAAAGGGCACATAGCTGCATTGGAAAAACTTGTTCGCACGCCGACACATGGCTGCGTTCCGTACAACCTTGGCACCGGTGTAGGGTACTCTGTATTGGAGATGATATCTGCAGCAGAGAAAGCTAGTCAGAAAACCATTCCATATGTGATCGCCCCAAGACGAAAAGGAGATGTCGCTGAAGTGTATGCAGACCCGTCCTTCGCTAACCGTGAACTAGGTTGGAGGGCAGAACGGACCCTAGATGAGATGTGTCGGGATCAGTGGGCATGGCAAAGTACGAATCCGCACGGGTACGGATCAGAGTGAGAACTCCTTGTTCTGGCATCGAAACCACCACAACTGCTCGACTACTTGCGCTATGAACGTCTGCTACTGTTTTGTATTTACCTATGAGGACGCCATATATATATATATACATATGAATATCCTTGAAGCGGTTAATTCTCCCCAGGACGATGGAAGTATGAGCACAGTCGTGTGGATCTCTAAGTGCGAGCGCAGACCATCATGATCACAAGTTCAAAGGTTCTCCCGACCAGTGTAAGTAGTGGATCAAGGGATCTAAAAGCTCTATAGCAAAATCCACGGTGGATATCCTCCAGAGTACCTCAATATTACATTCCACAATCTCCTTTGTATTTCTCTGTAACACACGTTGGTCAAATAACGGATAACCCTGCAGCGCTGACCTGACAATCAGATTCTTTTCTATCCATTCTCCGCTGAGCTTTTGCAACGGTACCGACAAGCGTATCGAACCTCAGCTGGTCGATAACATGCTGGGTCAAAAACGCCGTAAAGATAGAGTGGGGAGAATAAATTCCTCAGGGACGGAACATCAGCCGCATCACTGTGTGAAGGTATGAGCCTGTATCAAGCTTTGGCATGTTTTTCCTAAAGGATTTAATGTCCACGTCATCCCTGGTATGTTCCCAGTCCAAGTTAAGCACTGCTGCTTCCTAGACACATGTGTTATGTCTTCGGTGAGTTGCGGACTAACAAAAGGTCCCACTCTTTGATGTCCACACATATGAGAGTTTGCTAGTTTATCCTGAGTACCGTGCCATGAAGGTTGCCTTAGACTCTCACGGCTGAATAGAGCGGTATTGCAAGCCATTCTTCGCTATTGACTAGTTAATCGAAGTTTCCGACTCATAGCTCCCAGTAGCTCATAACAATCTTGGGTTGGATGCTGCTTTGAGACACCTGACGTCAAGCTAAACCGATATTGATGCCTTTCGAGAAAGTCAGAAATGGTCCACCGGTTCTAGGGGCTCGATGACAAAGTAGTAATTTCCGGTTGCGGTGTTTCCTGTCCCCTTTAGGTACTGGATCGAAACGAACTTTATTTGCCAGCCCAGCAGGGTGAGTGGCATCTAAAAGTCGGAGGGTGGCCCATTCCACCTATACCGGTTAGCGTAAGTTGAATACAAAAGTGTATTCAACTGGAGTACCAATTTTGTTGAGGGGGTTAAGTTTAATTATGCAGTTGCTTCCAAAACCGTACCGTTTCCGTTACTTATCACGAAAATGCCGATCTTCACAGAGGTGACTTCAGCCTCGCAGCTTTGGAATCACGATCAATGACAAACTACCTGTAGAACAATATTGCTTACCTTACCGCAAGTAAGCAGGGACGGAAATGCGCAAGTATACACGTTCGGATCTTCTTTAAAAAATCAATTCCGTTAGTTGACTGGTGCTCCAAACATGACAGTCTTTCCAAATAGGATATTATTGGGGGAGAAGAAAAGTTAATAGCAAGCGATTCGCTACGCATTTTCCATAAGCGCAATACAACGATTCGGGCGGTCTTTGCAGAGGCGGAATGGCCGTTGCGCACAAAGACAGCATGTAGAGTGGTGCATCGTCCATAAGCCCACTTGAATTCAGATGAGCCGCGATTTTAGTGAGTTGCACCACACATTCGCGAATTCTTACGAGGCCCATCTTCGCCACTTCTGGCGTGATGAGCAGGGGCTACGAGAAAAATGGACCTAAAGAAGTCAACGGTACTCCCGAAAAGAGGAAAGTACAATAACGTTGATTCAAGATAAGCATATGCTGACTATATATATTTAGTTCCTATTCAGTTGAGAATGCAGTCAGCCTTTACTGCTACTCGCATTTGGCCAGTGGTCAGTAATTCGCTCACCTAAGACTCTATTTACGCGCCTTATCGTAATTTTCAACGAACCATTTGGCGGTAAAGGACAGCGCTGTATTCCGGGAAACAGCAATCGTAAATACAGGAAGCGCAGCCAGTAATACCACAAGCCACAACCCTACCTTCATGGAAAGGTGTAAACTTAAAGTCTGGCAAGAAACGTCGCAATTTTGAATTCGACGCAGTCTTTTTATACTGCCCGTCCGCCTTGGTCTTGTCCCACACACAAGATCCTTGAAAATCCATGGCCTTCACAATTTCCTCAGCGACGTGCTTGATGTTCACTTCGTCTTCTTCCCCGACTACGCACATGGGGCATCATAAATCACAAGGAGTTAAAATCGCGTATCGAGTAAACAAACCGGAGAGAATAATGGGATCAATATCATCGTACTCGCGAAGTGTCCAGATAAAAAGCTTCGCAAGGTCATATGAGAAGATGAACTGCCGGAGTGGGGTACCAGACCCAGAAACGACGAATTCTTTCCCATATTCTGATCCCATCAGTAGGCAAGTAAAGCTTAGCAATGGTAAGTCGTTGCACAAGGTAACTCAAGAGGCCTACTTTTTGCAAGATAGCACTTGTGTAACAATCCGGGAATGACATGCGAGTCCTCAAGATTGAAGTTATCGTGCGGGCCGAATATGTTGGTCGGTATAACAGAGGTAAAATGACACCCGTACTGCTGAGAGTACGCTCTTTTTCACAGATTATACCAGTAACTGCGTTAGTCAGCTGATCAACGAGGAGATGGCGAACGCCAGCACCGCACCGATTCATGACATCAATCATACGCTTAGCATAAGCATATCCAAAGTTAGAGTCATGTGGTGGGCCATTATGAACCATGGTCTCATCAATGGGATATGTCGATTTGTCGGGAAAGATGCAGGTCGAAAGGCATGATACAACCTTCTTGACCTGGAGATTCTGTGAGTGTCTGCTGCGAGAACGACGACATTTTTATGCCATATGTACCTTGTATGCGTGGGCTGTATGCAGTACATTCTCGTTGATGAGCATGTTATCGCGCAAGAAGTCCGCTTGGTACTTCATGTTGCGGAAGAGGCCTCCCACAAGGGCAGCAAGATGAATTACATGGGTTGGTTGGTAGTGCTCAAATAAGGCCCGGGTCTGAGCCAGATCCCTGCGACAATGAATGTCAAGGGGCTGCCTCGCAGACACATTAAAAGTTTGCGTATATGGCCATACCTCAAATCCGCCTCGCTGCTGGTAACAAAGACCCATTCCTCTCGTTCCTGACGCCCAAATCGTGGATCGTTGCAGGTTTCGATTACATGCTTTATGGCGGACCCAACAAGTCCAGTACCGCCCGTAACGAGGATAACGTCTTTGTTCATGAGCATTTTTTCGTGCAAGCTGCTTGACTAGAGTGCGCGAAACGCGCGACCGCGTTCGTGTTTGAATCACGTGAGATGCAGGTGGATGAGGCTTGTGATTCGCTTTTCTGCCATAGATCAGCCTTGCCCAGTTTCAACTAGGCTTTGATTGCCCACCAAAATCGCTACGGATTGGGAGTAAATGCGGGTTGAATCTTGGACAAAGAAGCAACTCTGAGCATTCTTTCTCCTGAGATGCCCACGTTATTCCTGTATCAGTGGCCCGCAATGCCTAATTGCTTGCTCGACCACACGCTGAACTGCCAGCGTGAGGTTCTGATCATTGCGGAAAAATAATCTGGAATATGTCGGGTGGCTTCTTGCGTCCTACAGAGGCTACTCATAATTGCAGCCAGTACATGTTAATAGGTGTTCCTTGTCATCTCCAATGCTGCTGGGAGTGAAGCATTCCATCACAACGACGGCTGCTTGGTCACGTGCCGGTTCCTTAGGGTTAGGGTTAAGGCGTGTGAAAAATGTTCAAGATTCAAATGTAGCCGTCATATGTTATAAAAAAACAATCCCATCCTATATATGTCTTTCCGGAACGATGAAATTTCAGGCAAACGTCAGCTCGCGGAAAGGCCTCATCTTTGGTCTCACATTTCTTGGACTCTTGGCCTTTGCCAGTATTCCCCATTCCTTTCATCACCTTCGATCAGTCAGAGAGGACACATTTTGTGGACCCGCCGTATGGGCAATTAACGACGAAAGCGCCGTCTGCAATGCGGCAAGCCAGGCAGCTATTCGGCAACTTGCGGTAACTGTATCCAAGCTGGCTGCTCCTGCAAAGATTGAGCATGCATGTGAGATCAAGAGGTTCGGCAGTGGTTGGGGAGGTGTGTATCTGCTTGTTAAATATATGGGGGTGAATGGGTCCTAAGGTCATGCTTGGCACTCCAGAACACCAGCTTTGTAATAAACCTCCGAGTGCCCAGTCTGGATGCGTATTTTACTCGTTCGGCATTGATCAAGACTACAGCTTCGACCTACACCTGTCAAAGGATTGGAACTGTCGTGGCTGTCAGTGAGCTCATTCAACGTTATATTGGGAGCCACATACTAACGAATATCTCTACAGTTATGTTGGACCCGACGGTCGCCCACCCAGCAAGAATTGGTAACAATCTCTACTTTTTCTCGATTGGTGCCACGTTACTGCAGGAGAAGGATTTAGGAGGGGCAGGATCTGCCATGAGGGGAACCGCTGCTAATAAATGGCAAATCACATCGCTGCCTGAATTGAAGCGGTGGCTTGGGCACAAGCATATTAATGTGCTTAAAATGGACTGTGAAGGGTGTACGTTGATAATTGTTCGTTTGCGCGTTCCCTGATTCTATCCCTAAGGTTCACTCTCTCCCAGGCGAGTATGCGCTAGCTAGGGACATAGCAAAGCAAGATCCTACCTTTTTCCACAATGTCGATCAGCTGGCCATCGAAATTCACATTTCAAAAGCCTGGATCAAAACGGATCGTCATCTGCACTACTTGGGACTTCTCTACCATATGCTGAAAGTCGCTGGACTCCACCTTATTTCTTCGGACATTACGCCTTGTATGGCTGTAGATGAGGCACCGGGATGTCCAGAGTTTCTTGTAGAAGCAGGTTATCCGTGTGGGCCAAAAAAAATGTGCCACAACTACTTGTTTAGCAGATAGAGATAGATAGATGGAATAGTGATAGGATACACATTTTTCCCCATTAATATCACGTGGTGATTAAATTCATCTTAAGCAACCGATTACAGCTGGACTGAAGCATACAGTGGCCGACTCGTTTGAGATGTGACTTTGGGACCGACACTCACTAGTATGCTTTGCAGAGCGCACAGCATCCGGTAGACGATGAATGGAGCTACGGAATCAGCATTGGGGGCCTCGCCTCAATTGAGAATGTGCAAAACGCGAAAACTACAATCGGCGAGAGCGGTCGTTTCTGCCAAAGAACATGGCCTGCGTTTCCTTGATTTACGATCTTGTCTTGCATACAAACATCACTGCCTTGTGGCGAAGAATCTGAACGACGGTTTCAAACTTGCAATAGTCGATGCATCCAAATGGGCTGTGAGGCATCATCGTTTGGAATCCTCACCGCTCATAAAGTGTGTGCTGCGCCTCCCGTTAAATCAGGCATAGCCACGAAAGTCGAGGGCTGAGTCAAGAAAACAGCCGTCCGAAATCACGTCCGAACGCAAGGGACACAACTTGTACTCCATCAACAAACGACTACAACCGCATTTTCATCCCCCTTCCCTTCTTCCTTGGACTCAGCCCACGAGAAGAAACAGTTTTGCCATTTTACTCAGCAAGCAGGAAAGGAGGTGAAATCCCATAGCAACAAACCAACACACACAGACAATCTGCTTTGGGGTTGCTGTGCAAAAAGGCAAAAAAAAAATGTTCACAGGAAGGGGGGCGGATTATTGGGGCTTGGCCTTTCCCCCCACCACCCCTTTGTCCTTCTGGGTTTCTATAAAAGCAACGCTGCCTTTGGTTCCTTCCCATTTCAGTACACAGCAGCAGTAGCAGTAGCAACAGCAACACACACACACAACAACAAATCATCCCTTCTCTCCTCCTCCTCTTCACCCCTCCCAAACCTATAACACAATCATGCGTGCTATTCTCGCCGCCGCCCTTCTCGCCACCGCCGTATCGGCTGCGCCATCCCGCTACTCGTCCAACAACTACGGCTACCAAGAGCACTACGAGCCATGCAAACATGCTGTATGTATTGGACTGTCAGATGCAATCAGTGCTTGCTATCATTGCTGACATTATTGTGGTTTCATTAGCAAAAGCAGACTTGGTGGGACAATAATGGTGTAGAGTACGGATGGGACAACTACGCCAACAAGGCTTGCTTGGTCGTCAAGGAGCACAATTACTACAACGACTATAAGCAGGACTACCACAACGATTACAAGCACAATGAGTACAAGAACGATTACAAGAACGATTACAAGAACGACTACAAGAACGACTACAAGAACGACTACAAGTCGCACAACTCGTACTTTGCACCCGCCGTTCGTCCCTACTACGCTGCACCATACGCGGCCAACAGCTACGAGTCTTACTGCGATGCCAAATACCAGGACAAGAGCTACAACGAGTGCAATGAGTCTTACGAATACGCCAAGAAGAACTACTGCAAACAGTACGGTTCCAGCGGAACCAAGCACGGTGATTGTATCACGGAGCTTTCCAAGAAGAAGGACGAGTGCGTCAAGTCGATTGACCACCACAAGTCTTACTGCTGGGACAAAAAGTACCTTCCAGAGGGAGGTTACTACGAGACTCCCAAGAACGACTATTACGAAGAACCCAAGAAGGATTACTACGAGGAACCCAAGAAGGACTACTACGAAGAGCCCAAGAAGGATTACTACGAAGAGCCCAAGAAGGACTACTACGAAGCTCCCAAGAACGACTACAAACAGGACTACTACGAGGCCCCAAAGAGTTCTTACCTGCGCCACCCTGCTGCATACGAGCAACCTAAGCAGGACTACTACAAGCCTGAAAACCAATACTACGAAGCCCCCAAGCAGTCTTACTACGAAGAGCCCAAGAAGGACTACTACGAAGAACCCAAGAAGGACTACTACGAAGAGCCCAAGAAGGACTACTACGAGGCGCCCAAGAAGGACTACTACGAGGCGCCCAAGAAGGACTACTACGAGGCGCCCAAGCAACACTACGAGGGCGGCAAGACCTACGACTGCTCTAGCGCCAAACATTACTTCGACTCTACGGGCTCCCCTACTTTGAAGCAATGCGCATCCCTTGCTTGCAGCCCTGGCCAGACTTCCGACTACATCCAGCGTGCATTATACCAATGCTATGCACTTGAACAGGCTGCCAAGCGCAACAACGGTGGCTACCTTCCCAAGGGATGGTAAATAGGTTATTCTGCTGAGCGAGATGCAAGGGTGGATGTAAATACTGTTGGATAACCGGTTAGTGGATCTTATGTAAAGTGGGTCGTGCTTTGGGCAAGCTAGAGTGTCGGCTAGTGAAGTTAGACATGAAGTGGACGGACATTGGAGGAAATGGCTCTTTCTGTGTTATTGTTCTCTACCACTGTTGTAAAGTGGCCCAATGTTGGAAAGTTTCCAAATACACATTCTTTTTTCTATTTGAACATATTGCGCAACCAACACTAGAGTATGCTTCATCCTGTGACAACGAGCTGCGATTATAAGGTTTGTGCCGGAAGTCTCCTGGCATGCTTTAATTTCCTTCATACCAATTCTACATGGATTGGAAACAACATCCTACAAGTCGGGCCACCCATATGACTCGTTATTCTCAACACATATTGCGCCGAGACCCGAATCCCCAACATACTTTTCTGGTCCCAAATCCTCAATCTTATATCCGCCCTTGTAGACACCAGTACCGTTCAAGTCCCATTGCGGAAAGTATCGTCCTTCACTCATGCCCAAAGGTGTTCTCCGGGAAACTCGTATCCTTGGTAGCATCAGCCATCCTACGAAAATCCCATGTAGCTTGGCAATGCCGCGAACAAATGATTTGTAGATTGGATTTGGTTCTGGGAATCCCATGGCGACTCGAAGTCGCTTATCGCATAGGGAATGAAGTGCGGGGCGAATAACCGGCTGAAGAAAGCGCGGGTACCGGTTTAAAAAGAGTTTGAATGTAGCATTGGCGAGGATGACGTTGCGTGGTAGAGGATGCATATATTTAGTCTCATATTCTTCCACCAATCTTTCCATTTCATTGTAGGAATGCGGCATGTGTTGGAGACCCATTTTGATCCCGATTTGGGTCCAATACCTATATGTCGCCTGGACGAAGGAGATACTTGAGTATGCAGCCTTTTTGGGCTTCGGTTTAAAAAACTATTGGTTACCTCCTTCTCAACTTCGTCCAACCCTCTCCATCCGTATTTGCTAACCCATGTTGCCGGCTGTGTAATGAACAGCGCAAGAGTATAGACAAAATCCGTGTTATCAATTGTGTATTTGCCATGTAAATAGTTCATTCTTTTCAATGCCAGCACCGCTCGATCTGTGTCCAATATATTCTCTGTAAATTCCCTGATAAGAAGCTCAGTGTCATCGTACCGCCGCGGACACCTATGCACAAGTTCTCCCGTCGCGATTAGCAATTTATTTGCTTCAACGCCATAGGTTCGAAACAAGGCAAACTCTAAAGCTATTTGGGAAAGGAAGGGCAAGTCTCTGTTTGCAAAGAAGGAGAGACCTTGGTGGGCCCATTTTATGTCCCGCTTCTCGGGGGGAACCACTTTGAGGGTTCGAAGGTGTTTTCTGACTATGTAGAGGCGGATTAAGCGGACAGACGTAATGTATAGGGTGAGTGTGAGAGCAAGACGGCCAAGGAACCCCGAAGAAACAGCCATCATGTTGACGAATGCCGATGGACCCTGTCGACTTTGGGCCCACAAAGCCGCAGATAAGCAAACGGCCGTGTGGCTTGTGCTGAGCGCGCGTGCGCAGTCGGCAGCGTCAATCTGCGTTAGCTGACAGTTTTCCAACTGTAATGTCGATGAAAGAGGAAAAAACAAAAAAAATATATATCAATCACATAGATGTTTGAGCAGATATCCAGCTCTATAAGTAAAATGTCTATACATCGACAGAAGATGGCAGACAAAGCAACATAAATCAGTCATATTAGAAGCTGGCGCAGATGTACGCAATAACAAATGATGATCCCATATAAAACGCCCTTCAACACCACCACCATGCTAGGATCTATTCCTTCACATAATCTGGCACCGACACCGCCGACCAACTACTCTCGGTCCTCGAGAGCACGGAGGCAACATCTTCATCCACAGACGGTACATCCGTGAGGGAAACCATGGACTGCCCATCATAGTCCGCTTCGGAAAGGGTTGGTGGGAGACAAGGTGTTGGCTGGATCGTTGGTGATATGTCCGTACCAACAAAGGAGCTGGTATCTGGCTGTGCGGATGACACATGGAGATTTTGATCGGGCCTGGTTTTACCAGATTCCATAAAGATGCGAATCTGTTCTTCTTTCCAGCCTAAATCTGCCAGTTCTTGTTGGAGGGCGGAGCGTTTGGAAATCAATTGTTGCTTGAGGGTTTGGATGGAGGATTGGAGTGTGGTTGTCGAGTCTGTGCTGTCAGAATCTGTATCGCTGTCGGCTTCGTTGGTAGTGTCCGCGGGGGGGTTTAGATTCGATAAATTAAGTCCAGGTTCATGAAAATTGGTGAAAAGTGGGTGGAGAGAAGGGATGTCATGCTGCACAACAGGCTCGTCAGAGCGCTGCAGTTCTGGCTCCACTTCTTCTTCAAGGTTTCGTACTTTTCTCTTTCGTAGTTCTACTTCCTCCCTAGAGTTCGAGCCTCCTCTTTCCTCCTCTTCCCGCGGCTTGTCTTCACTCGTCTTTCGCCCGAACCCATTGCGCTCATTGCTCCTCGACTCATTTCTAGAATCACCACTCCTCGACTCGTGCCCTGACTCAAACCATTGACTATTCAAACGAATAATCTCTAACCCGACAATAACAAGAACAGTTACGATACTTCCGGCGCCGAGAGCTGCGAGAAGGCCACGCATCATTATATGGTGTGTAAGAGAGGAGCAGGTAGATATTAGCAGAAACGTCAAGATATGGCGGCGGTGTCTGGTGACTCACGTGAAACTATTACGTAAACAAACCCGCAACAATCTCATCCTGTTGACTATGGAGACGGTAAGTCCTCCAAATCCAATACACCGTGCCCGATAGGAATCACTTGGTGTTAACAACTCCAAAATTCCAGGCAAGCAGATTCGCCCCCAGTGTACTGGCTTGCAGGCGATCCAAGTCATTCGAATTCATTCTTTAAAATTCAGGAATATAATGTAAATTTTCTGACGTTGCGAGCATTGGCAGCCCAACTCCAGTGTGTCAAGCAACTGTCGCTGCAGTCTCAAATATTAGTTCTCCCCATTTTCATCAATCTCCATGTCCATGTTTTACTTTCCGTAGCTTTGCATTGACGGATCGGTTTAATTTTACCCTTCGGCGTTAACATGAATCGTATGTTTGCATTGCTATTGTTTTCCAGGAACTGGCTCCAGTAGGTTATCGGAATGAATGGCAAACTGAAAATCTGAGATCTAAATAACAAATAAATATCCTCGAATTTCCTAATTACAAACCATTCCCTAAATCTGGAACGAATGCGAGATCGGAGCGTAGATCTGCGCGGAATGGGAGACAATAGACGCGATTCAGTGCCAGGTGATGATAGCAAACCTTAACGAGAAGCATCAATATTTATATTTAGACCGCGGGTCAGTTGAGCCGGCGCATGGGTCCCGGAAAGTGTTACTCTGGCGTTTGGATTTCAGGATCATTAGCACTAAAAGGGGCTTTGAGTTGCGTTAGACGTACTCTTGTGTTTTTCCGTCACTTACCTTGCCCGCGTTCTTTCTCTGAGCTCCGTTTCGTGCCATGTCAGACTTGAACCAGACCGATGTATTCAATTTGGTATGAATATCATTAGATACTTGCTGCTGTGGGGGCGGGGCGCATTCGCTAAACTCCTCTTTCAAATGTACCTAGTGGTTCTCACCAGAGTGGTGCGACTGGCGATGTAAGTTCATGCAGTTTCTTTCATGCGCGGCTGCCAAAGTTTAACTGTTGCTACAGGGCGGATATCAGGATGCAACGATGAATCGCTGTGGAAAATTGTCTACATTGGTACGCTATCCTACCAACGTCAGAAGCAGCAAGACTCGAGACTCGCTACTTACGTTGTTTGGATTATCTATTTTAGGCCACACAATTTGGGGACTGTTCGTCATGCGTAAGCCTTTCGCTCAAACGTACCAAAGTGCACGGAGGCCATATCCCATACTCATCACTTCAATTAGTGTTAGGCATTGCCATTATTACCAGAAAAATTTACTTTAAACTCTGGAGGAAGGGTGGAAGCTTATTGAAGTTGTTAATGGGGGCTTCAAACCGCGTGCTGCTGAGGTATTCATATTGGCAGCTACCCTGCATATGTTCGGTGAGTTGGAGTGACATCGTGTCTCTCTATGCCGGAGCTCATGCATTTGATGCTGCTTGTAGGAAGGGTGTTGTACACATCGATTGTTCTTGGAAATGGCTTTAAACGGCATTCTGTCATAGAATTTTTCGTAAGTTCACTTTTGACTCAATGTGTCGTGCGCCCTTCTTCTGATCCTTTTGGACGTTAGCATGAATGGCCATGGACGGTACTTTACGATGGAGGGGTACTGTTCAACATCGGAATGTAGGGACTAGCAATCATTTCCGTTTATAGACTTATAAGTAACACATCGCAAGCAGCATCTACGCAACACCACGGTTTAAAGTGACCCCCGGGGCCAGAGCATCAGGCATCGAGAAAGTTCGTCTCCCAGGGCCCCGAGCGCTCAACCTCATTACGGCAATCTACATCGTCATCCCATCGATAACTCTTTCCCTCTTTGCCATTCTCGACGGACACGCCAGGGACAATGGAAACTGGGAGCTAGCAGCAACCTATAATTCAATCCACTACGCCTTGTGGGGCACATACTGCTGGTCGTTGGCCGCTCTGTCGTCATATTTTGGAGTCAAGTTGACTATGTTGTTGGGGGCAAGTGCCAGTGGGGCTGTGGAGAAAACGGAGAGCCGCGGGGACTTCAGGAGGGCCATATTAACGGTATTTTATTACTTCTCTGCGTGTTTTGATGCGTCGATTAACTCATAATCTTCGCACCAGCTCATCATAACCCTTTCTTGCACAATTGTCATCGAAGTGAGTTTTGCGCTCGTCCTCGTCTTTTACTCCATATTCCGCGAAAGTATGCACGTCCATCGATGGGTTTCTATTTGGATCGGACTTGTTTGGATATTAATTACGCCAGCCATGTTGACTCCAATATTTGTTATGGTGGCATATGGGTGAGTCCATTAGTTTTTTTTCCTGATTCGTCTCGAAATCAAGATCTGATAAAGTCAATCAATAGACTCATCAAAGACAAGCAAGAAAAAATGTCCCGCAATGCATCCACATCAGCCACATCTGGAAAATCCTCGAATGGGGGCAAATCTTCGGGAGCCCAAGCTTCTGAGGTGACGCCATCGACGGTTGTGGGGAGCCCACCTACGGACAGAATCATGAGTAGGGTTTAGGAGTTAAGGAGAGGGATACCATTTAGGATATATAAGACTTTCTTCAGAAAATATACCCTTTTCGCAGCGTACATGTTCTTAGCTCATGAAAGTCTACTATGTAAGTGCTCCAACACCCTTGCAGATGCTTCCCAGCGCAGCGCAACGTCTACTCCTCTTTTTGGTGACGAGGTCTACTTAATCCTATTGAGAAATTGAGCAATACATCATACTTTGACGAACAATGGGGAACAATTTAATGACTATAATATTGTCAGAATAAATATAATATAATCTATGATAATTACAAGTGAGTTTTTCACTGAAGACAATCTTCAACAACACCGAGTATATGCACATCACAAACGAATCTCCCATCCAAGGTCAAATGCGGTTTCCAAAAAGCCGATATCTGCATTTGGCTCATCCAGATTCCGTTCTCTTACAATGGCAGAACCCAAATTGGTAATGCCCTTGTCGGCATCCATAGTGGACATTGTGAACTGCTGAAAGACTTCCTCTTCGAAACTCATCGCATCAAAGTCGAGATCAATGGTTGCAATAGTCACTCTGGACATATGGCTAACGTAAGTCTCGATCGAATCTATAGAGTAGCGGGAGGGAGAGCTGGGAGATTCGGGTTCCTCAAGCGTAGCCGAGATCGGTAAATTATAAGATACTTCTGGTTCTAAAGGCTCCAATGCGGTTGTAAGATTGGGTTCGGATTGGAAATCCGTGCGTGGAATGAACTCATATTTTGGCGTCGTCGGCAATGTCGGAGATCTGTCTTCAGAACGGGTCTTCCATTCGCCGCTTTCGACGGCAGTGGCAATGAAGAGGACATTTAATGCAGGTGTTGATGAGGGTTTAGCGCGTCGCAGAAGTGCAGTTTTCAGGAGACCTAATGATCGGCGTTTACGAGGCGCGATTGTAGACGGTTTGAATGAAACCGGGGGTGCAGGAGGGACGGGTTGCATATGATGTACTGCTCTGTTTGTATCTGCCGATTCGTTGGTTTTTGCTGATGGCTTGGGCGGGGTGTGTGTTTCAAGTCTGGTAAGGTCGGATATTGATGATCGGCGGGGAGGAGGGATGGGATGTTGGTTAGGGTCTGAGATTAGCGGTTTACTGCAGTCCTGGAGCATTGGTCGCTCTTGGTGAATTGGTTCTGATTCGCGTCCGTCTCCCTTATTCGGCTGCTCTTTTGGCAGGTTGCTCTGGTCTTCCTTGACTTCCTTCTGGAGAGTTGCAAGTCTCGATTTCTCCTGCAGTTCCATCTTCTCGATTAGTGTCATGCTAGGCTTGGGTCTCACCGCACTCATCGGTGCTGGCTTTGGTGGGGCATCTAAGCTGTCGTCAGATTCCAACGATGTAGAGACGATACGTAAAGAGCTCTTTTGTGCAGTCGGTGCTCTTCTCGCTCTGAGGGTTGGTGCGCTAGTAACTGCGACAGGTCGCGATGTTGATTGATGCGCTGGTGATGCGCCGGTGATCCGTGGGGGAGGCTGCGAAATAACAGGCTTTGGTCCAGATTGCGCAAAAGGTAGGTTCCCAAGTGGAATCTCGTCATCCTCATCTTCGTCAGGTTTTTTCTTAACAGTTCGCCCCGGATGAAGGATGCGTGGTGTCGACTGCTTTGCGTTTGGCAGTTGCTCGGTCTCTTCATCCGACGATGAATCGGAAGAGTATCCGCTATCTCGTGGATTGGCAGTTTTATCATCGGTTACAAGCTTCTTTGTGCGAATCAAAGCGCGTTTTGATATATCCGCCATCCGTGCAGACGAAGACCGCATCTTCCCTCGTCTGCCGATCCCGCCCAATCCCGCCAGCGCCCTGACCGGGCGCTCCGAGGCAATGTCATCAAATACATTGCCTGCCGAGAGCACTTTGACAGGTCTGCCCATTAAACCACTCCACGTGCGATAAACCCTCTTTAGCAAATTTTGGATCAAAACTACTCGGTGCATGTCGCAAGAAGCCCTGTGTCGCTCAGTTTGGAGCTTTCGATGTGATAGGTTGGCGAGAACGATAGGATCAATGGCAGGGCGAGCTCTTCGTCGCCGAGTGGGGGTGATGGAGTCATCGCTCCGTAGTCGTTCAGGTGGCGACGTTGACGACTTTGGCTTTGTTCTTTTACCTCTCGTGCTCGGAGAGACTTTACGGTCTGCGAGGGCAAATAGACTAAGCATCGCTAACAGATAGTTTAGCTCTGTAAACAAATCAACTCGTTAGAGAAGAGGAAGCAAAAAGGACGACGAAGATAAAAGCAAAATCCTGCAAATACCTGGTGCCTGGCCAGGAAGGCTAGCTGAGTCTGCCACAAAGAGCACAGAGGAATTAAATCGAAAGCTGCGAGGGGATTTTCATGCAGAATGACAAAAGTGGTTTGATCATTGAAATGCATTAGAATGTGCGATAGGGGTGAACGCCTCGTTTTCATCTCACATTTGTTGAACACTTTCGGAATCGACACGCACCAGTGACTTCAACAGGCAACATGAATTTCCCTTTTAAAAACTCTACACTTTCAAAAAGAACTGTGCGCAACGTGGGCTTGACAGCACGAAAGCCACTATCGGCGTATGAATATGCGGAATAATTAAAATGGCGCCAACTTAAATTGTTCAACGAAAACGATGAATTTTGTCTAAAACAGTGGTCATACACACGAGGGGACCCTATTTATCCTCGGGTTTGGACTGGACACGTTTGGCCAACTCGGCAAACGTTTTCCCTTGAATTTCCGCAACCTCTAGCTCAAGTTTCGACGGCTGTCGACTTCCATCACCTCCCGCAAGCGTTCCAGAACCCCAGGCACTTCCACCTCGTACCTCCGTCAAGCCAGTGAACTGCGAAAAAGTGTTGAAATACCCGAGTGGAACGTAAACCATACCGTGGTGAGCAAGTGTGGATATGAAATTAGCGGCCGTCATTTCTTGTCCGCCGCCCATACTGGCAGTCGAAAAAAAGACTCCGGCAAGCTTTTGATGAAGACTGCCCTTCACCCAAAGTTGGCCAGTCCGATCCCAGAAAGCGCGCACTTGGGCTGTCATTATATGGGTCATTAGAATGCTTTCCATGATCTGTTACAAAACCCGAGTAACGTACCAGATTGGTTGCCGTATCGAGTGGGCATACCGAACAGGAAAGCTTCATATTGTTCTAAGGTCTCCATGGTCGCCAGCGGGACGTTTGGATCCTGACCAGGTGCGTGCATTTTCTCCAATACATCCTTTGGCTGTGGGCGAACGTCAGTATCTCGTTCTTGAGATCCGAACAACTTAGTCTAGTAAAGCGTCGTGTATACTCACCAAAGTTTCTGGGATTTGATACAAGTCGCCTTTCAAACCCACTGATTCAACACCCTTTTTGATGGCGCGAGCCAACTGGCCAACATGTCCGTACATCGAGTAGTAGATAATGGCAACCTTTTAATGGCTGTGAGATCCAGGACATTATTTATATCGGTTATCGAGAAACTTTACCTTTGAAACCATGGTGAGGAGCTGTCTGATCAATCTGAGAAACAAGATAGCGAGGCTGCTCATGCACAAGCCAGAGCTCTATTATATTCTCTTCCACTTTCCTGCCATGGTTTTGACTCTCACGTAACATGATATCATGCACGTTCACATTAAATGTGAGTGAGATCATTCGAACCGACAGGAAGGGATGACTTCAAATCCCCTAAAGAACTGACCAAATGCGCGGAGCAGTGCACAGTCGGCCAACATGGTCGAGTAAATGTACATTGGGAATGACATGGACGAGTTTAATGCCGTCATAATGTCCACATATCTACAGATGCGGGCTCTAAACTTCAGACGATCTTGGAGTTCGGATACGAGCACCTATGTCGCATTCACCCAGGTGCCATTGCACAATTTTGCGTTTTGACTCTTGGTTGTCTGCACCAGACTCGACAGCTGCTTGCGCCGACTGCCATATTGGTCGTCGATATTGTTGCCGCCCATATTTGCTAAGAGAGTAGAATATTCATAATCGCATGAAATATTGTCCAGATCGAGACTGTAGTTGTCCCCTCATCATATGCCTACGGATATGCACTTTGATACCTAATGATGAATTGGTAACACCTAGCTTAATCCAATAGACGATCCACAACATTATGGCAACCAATCGCATGAAGCATTCTAACTCTCAGGCAGAGTGTCTCTTGCGCTCTACCTAATCATAGCGACGTCTATCGTCAAATCGGCTCAGCAATCGATATTTTTGCTGCACCAACACGGCTTCCACGATGCGTATGACGACCCTACACGATGAATCCAAGACTAAGGCACTATGGAACGAACCAATGCACTTGTACCGTAAAATCATTTATGTACTGTATCATAGTACTACATAGGCGATGAGTTAGCGCATGTACAACCCAGTCTGGAAATCGTTGTCAGTGTCGTTCCCAGTTAAAATCTGAAATTAGAGTGGATCCTGTGCTGTGCTTCTTGGACGGGTTATTTAAACACATGAAGCGTATTATCATCATTCAGGTACTTGGTTCAAACAACATGCACGATGCGACCGGGCTGTTGGAGGCGGCGGATGAGGGAGTATCCTCTCGCATTGATATAGCATTCAAAACCAAAAAGTCGGGTATGATGACCCGTCGACAATCCTGTTTACAGCACGGATTCCCAGGGCATGCAAACAAGGATGTCGATAGATGATTTGGATATATTCACATCGCCCTCATCAAACAGCAACATGCCTGAAATACATTGGCGCGACGTGAGGAAACAGGGAATAACGTGGGCACGTTGCCCATTGAACAGCGAGTCACAAACCGACTGTGTTCGTTGCGTCTGTCGACCATCCTCTCGCACGAACCGCAGATTCATTACTCAATTCTCCCACGTGGTCCCATCTGTCTTCACTCAGAGTACCAAATTTTGAGATACCAAATGTTTGTTTCACACTCTATTTGTTAGAGTCCCACCAGGGTTATGGAAAACAATATTAAAAAGTATTTGATATCGATAAAGGCAATTCAGAGGGAATCTCTGGGATCTCATTTCATCCAACGTTCACCCAGTATGGTTCTCTTCTGACTAGTGGGGCTTCTGTGGCAGTTAGCAACGAGTCTCTCTATCATCCTCTTCCTACGATGTGTGAGCAGTGCCGTTGTTGAAACCCTGACTGCTGATCATGGGGCCCATGGCCGTAGATTATCGTACGACAAAAGTTGTGCCGAAAATTCTCATCATGACTCGGATCTTGACAGATCATACCCATCTTCGAATTGCATTGCTGTTGGCAACACATCCGCATTCTGTATGTCCGTGATTGAGGTTGTCCGTGCTCGCCCACTACCTCGTCTGCATCACCATAATGACTTTCCGCTCTCACGCACAGCTCTTGTTTTTGCCTCAAGATGTTGCGAGGTCAAGGAATATACGGATCCATAAATACCCGAACTGTGTGTTTCAAAAGCACAATTTTCACTGTCGACGAATGAACTTTCGACGAATGACACAAAGGTGGACTATGCTTACGTAAATGATCGGATTATGTAAGGAGCTACAGCTCTACTGGGGACCGAAACAACGGCGTATGTGTGCCTTGAATAATTCAGTGTAAAGCTTTACGATGAGGGACCTCAAGAATTATACTAGATCAGCCAGAAACACAGCAAACTTCATTTAATCTAATTGTTTATCACTAGATTCTCTGGATGAATGAAGTAAATGCCGTTACCGTACGGGCGCGAAGGCCCTCTTCTCTGTTCATCGAGCCACACATCTTCGTGTCTACGGTCGCTGTTTAGTGGATTCTGGGCATCAATATTGCATCCAAAATGTCAAGGAGCAGGCAACGCCTCGGTATTGTCGTCGCTAAATTATCGAAGTTCATGGCGCGCCAAAGATCCATTATTGCCGTCGCTCTCCCTCAAATCTCTAAGCAGGGCAACCTAATCGACACATATTCTTGGCATATTGCGAAATTGTCAGTACTCAGGTAGTGTTGTCGTCCACAGTTGCTTTAGAGCAATTCTGCGAACGCCCAAGAAGCCCGAAAACCTTGCATACATTACAAAATAACCTTAAACATGATGATTTAGCTTGACACGGCCGTATTGCATGACACAGACGACCACCACAGGATGTTATAACGTAACTGTCTCTGTGAGGAAGAGGACTTTTGTATTTTGCACGAAGGAAAGATCTGGTCTTCGTCCTATGATGCTAACTAACAGTATGCACTTCAGTACTTGACACGTCTCCTAGTTAATACAATGTCTTGACACCAGCTTGGCCAATTCTGGTACAAGTAGTGAAAGGTATACAGCGATGATACAAAAAAGAAATCTACATATAGAACAAAATCTCACATCTATAACATCTACAAGCAAATCCGCGTCGGTGATAAAGGAGATATTCAACCCACACCCCGCAAATCCCTTGCTATCTACATTTCCCCTCTCCATTTTGGGGTCAAATGTTCCCTGACCACCTCTACTTTTTGTTTTGATACACCGTCCCCCGTGTAGCGATAGATGTAATTCACGAGGAGTACAGCGGCTAAGGTTAGACAGTCAGTAAAAAGGCGGGCTACCGGTGCGAAATCTCCGACGTAGAAGCAGATAAGTACCTGCAATTGCTACAAGCACCATGTTCCAGAAAAACCCAACGACGTCCACGGTCGTTCCAATAGGAGGTGCGAGAGGCTGGCTATTGCGGATTGATGGAAGAGCGAATCTATGGCACGAAAGGTGAGCGTTTATATCCCAAGCCATGAATACGCAATCGCTCGAATACTTACAACATGGAAATCGACACAGCAATTGTGGGCGGTTCCACTTTTCTTCCACGCACCCACACGCTCACCGCAAGAGTTATCATCAAGAGTGACAACACCCACATGAATATCGTCAAAAGTACGACAAACACCTTTGTCGTGTGTGCACGCTTGATAACACTAGTGACTAGGATTAACGTTGCGTCAGATTTGGAGCTGGTATCGCAAACTTGGGGAAAGACGACATTATAAGCTGCGAGAGGGGCGTTGGCCTGAAGGTGCATAGCGGTTAGAAGACAGAAACATCAGCAAGATTGGGAAGACACGTACAAAGACAACAAGGGACACTGGCGAATCCACTCTGGAGGTGACATTTCGAAAGGTACCCGTCATCAGAAAGAGGTTCTGCCACTTGTCAAACGGGTATCTGTTGATGTCGCCAGTGATCGAGAAAGACGAATCTTGGGGTTGCATGGTGTCACCCGCTTTGAACCGGAAGGTTATGCTACCTGCAATATCAGTATCAGAATTAGTCCTCGTCCAAGTTTGATGCACAAAAAGGAGTTACGAACCGACGGTGATGTTGAGATCAGATCGGAGCTTGCGGTTTACCAATGACTCAAGGTCATCTCCACCACCCACAGGTTGGTCAGCCAAATCACCTTGCCAAGAGAGTGATGTGAGCCACATCTTCCTTATGAATTCCGCAAACATTCCAGGTACCTCTGGGTGTAAATTCAAAATGCAGTCTAAATGAGGAGCTTCCTGGATCGACACTCGTCACCGACATTTCAATCTCAACCAACGTTGGTACATTCTGGAACCTCGTGCCATTGACGATGCCGCTTTGAGCGGAAAGAGGTATGTTGTAAGGGAAGGTGAAGTTGGGATCGGTAACGTTGCAAGGACCGAATGCTGTTACGTCAAGCTTGCGGTCGCCCTAGTTTGAAGAACTGAGCTTGAGCGCAGTAACACTTACAGCACACTATAAGGACTCACAGATTCTTTATTCTGCAAGCCGGCCCATAAGACGACACCAAACAAAAGTCCAAAGCCTAGGACAGCTCCAATAAAGACTTTTAGCCTTTTTGGCGTTAATCCACACAGCATCTCTGTCGTATGGACCAACGACAAATAGCTACTGGAGTGGAAAATATTTTATAGGTCTCGGCTTTCTACTTGCAAGTCCTTGAGCTGTACCGCTCTGGTTGCGTAAACCTGTAGATGTTACACGCTGTAACCAAAGTGTTCCAGAAAGGAATTCCTGTTGATCAAGAGGAACGTGCAGCTTATGTTGTTTTTGGCATTTTATTAGTTTGCCGTCCCTCCCCAAACAGCGTTTCGAAGGGGGGGCCGGCCATCCAATAATTGAGAATGGCTTTAGGCCCATGCTCAGAAACATCGACTGCGCACAAGATTGGGGACCCCCTCTTCTTCCGTGCAGGGGGTGGATGATCGAGAATGGCAGGGCCTTTGAACCAACGTTTGTCGTTTAGCGCTGCCCTCGCCCAACGCACCCAACCAGCCACAGTCTCTCCCCTCCGGTTTGCTCCGGATTCCTGTTTCCTTTGGCGGCGGCCTACACGGTGCTTTTATTTTGTGTGCGAGTTCCCCTGTCCATGTTCTGCTACAATCTCTCCTATTTCTATTCGCCACTTTTGGTCCGCAAAATGCCAAAATCGGTTAAAGAGGGGCCGCCGCTGTGCCAAAATTGCTCTTTCCAAAAATGGCTTTTTTCTGCCGCCAGTTGAGCCGCTCTCCCGCTTATAAAAGGAGGGCCTCTTTTGGCTTTCCCCCCCTCTTTACTTTTCATCCCGCCAACACTCGGCTGGTTGGAGCAGAATGAATATTGGGTATGAGGTCATATCAAATCTTAGTCTGGGGCCCACTGCTGTTTATCGCCTGAATGACCCACACAAAGATTTGGTGTGTTCCTCACTCCCGCTTGATCATTCTTGTATTGAATAGAGCTCATGTCCACATTTGCAAGCCATATGATGTTGTTTGTCATTTCGTAAAATGTTACTAGTTTTGCAGAAACCCTGAGAGTTGCCATTGTTTGTGTACGCACCAGCCTCCAACTGTGGGGCGAAGAAGAGAAAAGGCGCGACGTACCATCGCGAACTTCATTTGCACCGCTCAGAGTCGATGCCAATTCGATTCCTACCAATCTTCTACTGGCCTGATGAATTGGTGATCAAGAAAAGAGACGGAAGGCCTGCTTGATCAAGTGTGAAAGGACCGAATATCCACGCTCCCCTTGCCAACTGGCATGCGGTAAGTTTCCCGCAAAGAGACGGCCCGTCGTGTTGCGACGACCTGCTAACCCGAAGAAACATAGCAACCCTTTCTCATTACGCAGCGCTTGGTAAACGTTAATTACTCCCGTCGTCATCGGGATGTATCATAATTGGTCAAATGCCGTACCTCAAACGCTCCACATTGGCCATCAAATGGTTGAGCATCCTTGCTGCACGCTCGGGTGCCAAGTAATGACAAGGTCTTCATGGCGCCGCCCCCAGTCGAGAAGCTTAATGTTGCCTTGGTTGAAAAATTTAGGATATGCCATGTACTAAGCCATCTCGCGTTGAAACGGCTTTCCTCTCCATAGACAAAATTGTACAAAATACAAAATTCCTTTTCTTGACCGCAGACAAAGATACACGATCACCAGCGAATCCAACGTGTTTCACATGCGGTTGCTTATATCCAGCTTGCTAAAAACCATGTGTTCCTATCACCGTGGCGCCCTTCGAAACTTGCTTTGGGGGTTCAACGCTTGCTTTACGGGTTCAATAGGACCCCTACTTGCCATTTGCTCGGTGTATTGGATGAACGGCCTTGCAAAAAAAAATGTTCATCTTGAGCTCTTTTCAGTGTGGAGTTCAACATGCCTCAAATTACGCAAGGGTCCGAGATGGTTTCGGGGTCTTAAAGTTGCTTTTCAGGGTGTAAGGTTGCGCGGCGTTCGGAAGAGTGTTGGAAAGGCATAAAAAGCAAGATCTTGTGCAGATCCTTTCTCTTTCTCCATCACACACAAAAGCAGCAATCGGACAATTGTAGAATATCTTTTGTGATTGTAGACTCCTTCCCTTCCTTAGATACTTAGACCTGTGTCTTTTACCTCCTCAAGAGCTTTCACGATGAAGTTTATCGTTACAGCTCTCGTCCTTTCGTTGGTTGGTACCTCCGTAGCCGATACTCGACTGAACCGAAGGCGATTCGGACAACAGAACCCACCTGTGGAAGGAAAGATTGGACAGGTGAGTTTGTCCGTGCAATGGCTGTGCCACATACGCGTTCAGCAACTGACTTGCCATCACGTTAGCTTCAAGCCCTAAAGAATGGTCTGGCTGGTACTCTCTCTGGACAAGTTCCCTCCACGCTTCTCGGTGCCGCGGACCCATGTGCTAAACTCCAACTGGCCGACACCATCGTCCAAGCCGCTCCTGGTGACGCAGCTACTCTGGCAGCCGCAAGGGAACTCGTCAACGCCGAACAAAACTTTAACCCCGCCAACAACGGCAAACCCAAGTTCTGTGGAAACCCCAATCTCCCTGCTACAAAAGAACTGCGAGGAATCCTCCCCAAGATTTCGGAAGTGGACAACCTCCAGGGTGCAGCGGCGTTCAATCAGATATCGTCCAAAAGTCTGGCGGATGCCCTTGCCGGCAATGTAAAGAATGTCGATGGCAAGAGTGTAGCAGATCAGATTGTCGAGGCTGGCTTTACGGACTTTGCGGGCGCCCCTGTTGCTGGAAACAACAATAACGGTAACCAGAACAACCAGAATAATACAAACAACGGGAACAACCAGAACAAGACAAACAACGGTAACCAGAACAACCAGAACAAGACAAACAACGGCAACCAGAACAACCAGAACAAGAACAACGGCAACCAGAACAACCAGAACAAGAACAACCAAAACAACGGGAATAACCAGAACAACCAGAACAAGAACAACCAACACAACAACAACAACCAGAACAATCGGAACAATGGGAACAACAACGTCGTTACAGTTACGCAGACCGTTACCCGCACCGTAGTCGTCTGCCCCACAAACGTTGCTGGTAACAACAACAACAACAACCAGCACAACAACAACAACCAGAATAACCGGAACAACCAGAACAACCAGAACAAAAACAACCAAAACAACGGGAACAACCAGAACAAGAACAACCAGACCAACAACGAGAACAACCAGAACAAATACAATCAAAACAACGGGAACAACAACAACCAGAACAAGAACAACCAAAACAACGGGAACAACAACAACCAGAACAAGAACAACCAAAACAACGGGAACAACAACAACCAGAACAAGAACAACCAAAACAACGGCAACAACAACAACCAGAACAACCAGAACAAAAACAACCAAAACAACAATGGAAATAACGGGAATGTGATTTTCCAACCCAAGTCGGTGGAGGGCCTCAACTTTGACCCCCTTGTACTCTCTAACGATCCCAACCGCCGCTTCCAAGTTGCGGGTGATACCTTTGTTGGGGCTGGAGCTGCTTGCGGGCGTGTCGGAGACCGTCTTTTCAACAGCTGTGCAAACAAATTGAATGCTGAAGGCCGTGGCAACGAGTTGGGAACAGTTTGTGCGCCTGCGCGGGACGCCGCCAAGACCGATTGTGCTGCTGCTGCCGCCAATGTGTAGAAAGACTTACTTGTGACATATTGTAGATTTCTCTTTTTTGAATGTTTTGTACATGCATAGTGCGTATAGATGTCGGCTTTGATGTGAAAGTCTCCCAGGCGAGCATCTTGAAGGACAGCGGGACTAGTCCAAACAAGTAAATAAAATCATATAATTTTGCACTCATTCTGTTCCGTTGCTCTTCAGGAGTTTATTGCAGAGGAAGGAAGCAACTTTCGCTGTGCAAATGGTAAACCTGACCAGACCTGAACTGTGACATGGGCTATGAGTTGCGCAGTATGCATTCAAACCACACTGCAATTGGTGTTTGGTGACTCCGACGCGGGACCGCGTTCTTGACAGAGCAGCAGTGAGCTTTTCTCTGAACAGAGCGCGTTAAAGGTTGAGACTTGAAGCCTCGTTTGGATGGTTATACGGCAGTTGGTGAGTGTCTATGACATTGCTTTTGGGGAACCCTGGATGGTGGACACGTAATGGGAGAAGCGTCGCCCCACTGGCGAGTAAGCAGCAGTAGGGCGCGCAGCAGATGTCCAGCGATATCTATCCGGCACCGGACTGGGAGACGCAACACAGTGGATCTATTGCTAGATTTAGAGTCAATCCCGCGTTGCGTGTGCACCATACTCATGACGAAATGCTCCCTCTCCCCAGAAAATCAAATATCGACGCCCGTACTGAGACATTAGCCCATCTTTGCCAACAAGATGCCATCCCCGTTCTCGGGCGGCCTGACAGCTATCAAACCCGACACGTCTCAACCACACGTGGCTGCATCTGCTGAAGCCGATGAGTGTATCATACCGGCGAAGAGTCCCCACCGGCCACGGAGAAAGGTTAAGAGAGGTGAGTGGCTAACCTGTAAGCGATGACATGAGGAAAGAGAAAACTCAGTTCTTTGGATCCTGTAGATGTTATACCCTGTGTAGAAGTTGTGGGTGAGGGGAAGAGGTGGGAAGTTGAAAAGCGGGAGGTGGGTGGTTCCTCCATGTTTCGGTTGGTTAGCGATGCTGTAACAAAAATGTAAAAGATTCGAAATTACCAGATCGTGGAATCCACGACAGTTTTCTCTAAAACTATGCCGCGCTTTCCATTTCCCCCGCTCATATCTGGAGCCCATCAAGAGCGGCATCGGGAAATCCTGGTATGGGTCTTCTGATCTTGAATCAATCAAATCGCTAATACCTGGTTACTCGTTGTATTCCTAGACTCAAATCCGCACACTCTTTACCGACCCCACCCAAACCCTTTCTGAACACGACTTTATTGCAGTTACTCGGATGTGCGGGATACCGCGCTACATCAATCGAGCTTTGTTCATGAGATGTGGTGGAGAAGTTGATGGTGTCGGGGTTTGCTTTGAGGGGTTTGAGAGGTAAAGGCACTATGGAGAGAAAGTCTACAACAATCAGCGATCTGACATGCACTTTAGGTTTTGGAGACGTTTATTAAATTGCCCGACCACGCATGAAACCGTCTTTGCAATTCTGAGAAAGGAAGGAAATTCCTTGAGTGAAGACGATTTCAGGGTTGTTGTTCAAGGTATTTCGTTCAGGTTTGAATTTCTGGTCGCCATTGCAATGTCAAACTCTGTGCTATTTATCTTAGATGTCTGTGCTCACCATCCTGGACTGGTTTTCTTGAGAGATATGCCTGTGTTTCAGACTCGATATGGTACATTGTGTGATCTCACCCGCCTCATAAACTGGACATTAATCAATTGACTTTCATAACAGTTGACACGGTTGTGACTCGGATATTCTACGATAAAACAAGGAATATTGTCCCTAGAATGACGTTTAAGGAATTTAAAAAGGATGGGGTAATGGAACTCGTGCAGGGGTTGGAGAAGGAGGATGATATTAATATGGTAGGAATTTGTTTGGATTTCTTGCCGCGACACGTTCGCTTACTTACCTCTGGTCCGCAGACTCGCAACGCTTTCTCCTACAAACATTTTTACGTCATATACTGCAAATTCTGGGAGCTCGACACCGATCACGACCTTCACATCTCCTTCTCCTCGCTCTCTACCTACGAAAACTCTTGTCTTTCCGCGCCCATTCTCCGCCGAGTCTTTTCGGGGGCGGGACGAGGACAACACCTCCAAAACGATCTCATGACCTACCGCGATTTCATTTGGTTCATTCTTGCCGTTGAAGACAAAGCATCGCGAGCGGGAATGGAGTACTGGTTTCGGTGCTTGGACATTGATGGAGATGGTGTAATCTCGTTGTGGGAATTGCAAGAGTTTTTTGGGGAGCAAGCTCGGAGAATGGAAGAGTGGAGGATGAGCGATTTGTGGAAGTGGGGAGACTTTTTGTGTGCAGTGTATGTTTCGCACCTCTTGTTCTTAGGTTGTCGATATCAGGCTCACTGTGTGTTTGCCTCAGATTGGACATGATAAACCCTAAAGATCCCACTCGCATATCCCTCCATGATTTGAGACGCTCAAATAACGCCGCCCTCATCTTTGACATGCTATTTGACATCCGAAAATACGACCTGCATCTCCGACGGATTGACCCAGGGTTCCGGGAATGGGATGATGTGTTTGGCGTCGATGATAGTGGGGACAGGGTCAAACTAGAGTAAGTTTCGAGCATGTACCAGCGTCTTTGATGATGTAACTCACACAGAGCACTAAAAAGGGGATGGGACAAGTATGCCGAAAGAGCTTACGATGAGCTAGCCTTTGACGAATCGCACAACGAATCTTCCAACTTTAGCTCAGGCAGGTTTTACATGGACGACACAGAATTATGGGAAGATGACGATGACGTTGATCTGGCAAGGGACACGCGCTTGGAGGATGAGGACCGACAAGAAGAAAGTCCTGAGGAGCGCGGGACCAGTCCTGAACCAATGATATTGGATGAGAATGACGAGGAGGAGACTGCTGTTCCTGAGGAAGTGTAAATATAATGTGGACTGAGGTAGTTTAATAGAATATATTTAATTGCTGTGCTACTGCGCTAAGTTAAGGAGAGGTGGGGCGCAAGGAAATCACAATTTGTGGAAAGAACAGTAGATTTAACCCTAAACCTAATCCTAACACCTCTCGATTATCAAAAAGTATAGAAAACAGGAATGATCAAATGCCCCTTCCGAGATACCGTAAGCCAATGCTCAGTCACGGGATATCTGCATATTGCATTTCAGTTGTAGTTGTACGGCATGTTACTAAAAATAGCTAGCTGTCAATTTTTTGATTTTGACATGTTAATATCAACATGTTTGAAATGTTTTTGCAATGACAGGTTCGGAGGATCTGGCGGTGCATGGACAACGACTACAAAAGAGCGCCAAAAATGGAGCAGACCACACCATCTTCCCAGCAATCTCTAAGCATCTACCAGGATGGATATTCCAGCTTTCACAGCAGACGCCTCCCGCTCCAGTACATCCTCTACTATGGCTAGCAAAAGGCAATCAGCTTCCTCCATCCGATCATCTACTTACCATTCTACCTCATCAATGCTCAACAACCAGCAGCCACCGCTCACAGGCTGCAAAGCTGCCACACCATTCGGCCGATGCAACAGTCCTATCGCCGAATCCGATAAATTCTGCATATACCACCGTCACTCTCCCTTAGCTGAATCCGATCGGAATGCCGAGGCCTGGATGAGTAAGACTTTAGATAGTCTATTTAAGCTGCCGAAAAGGGAAAAAAAGGAAACAGCCAAACTCGCTAGGAAGGAGGTTAAGCTTGCTCTTTGTTGTGTCTGTTTTCGTCGAATTCATGATTGTCAGTGTGATGGACAAGGTTTCTGGAGGGAGCGCTGATGTATTTTACGTAGATGCTGTTAATTTGTTTATGATGAACATGCTTCAGTTTAAAGATACGCTATTTGTGGCTGTGACATAATATTCTGGCCTGTGATTTGTCATTAGGATTATTAGCTTTGGCTTCGAACAAGGTCGCGATATAGCTTCAGGACCCAAGCGCTTAGCTGCGCGACCTTGTGGATCAATGCCTACCTACCAGGAGCAAAAACATACAGCATACATTTGGCACACCCAAATGCTGAATTACCTGACCCAAAATGTGTCTCTCTGCCATGTAGCTCACTAGTGAAACGAAAGCAACTGTCTGTGCAAGGGGCGTCATTTCCCAAATATCGTCCAAGAACTGAAAACCGGGTAGCCAATTCTTTGTCATCGCGATGGCCAACAAAATATCAGATTCAACTGAATGCGAAAGCTGAAAACCGAATAAGAGAAGTTGCGCATGATCGATGCCCGCGACCGTCATTCCAAATAGTGTAATTTGGTTCCGAATCGGGTCAATCATTGAGTAGCCAGTTTTTGGTTAACAGGGAGAGTGGGGATACAGGATGGGGCGACGATGGAATATCGTCTTGACATCAGTCACTAGCCCACCGCAACCTATATACGAACGATTTGTGTTTATTTGTTTCGTGATCCTAAAGATAGGCACATACCCTCAACAAGTCCCACTCGAGCTATGAATGATCCCATTCACGACCAGTGTCATGCATGGGGTTGGAAACTTCAGAACAAAACAATGCTGACAAAACAAATCCCGTCACCCTGTATAAAATTCGCAGCATGCCTCTGCATCCCTCAACGTTCACGCTTGACGTCGACTGCACATACCCCAACCATCACTATGTCGCCCATTCCACAGAGCGAATCCCCGGCCTATTCCACCTCAGAGCCACCGGCCTTTGACATTTATGATCAGAGTGACGATGTTAGCCTGCTATCATCTTCGTCAGAAAAGGGCCTCACGACATATATGCCATCGGTGATGGAGGATGTCAAATTGCAGCCGCAAGAAGTCGATGAGCAATCGCAGAAATTCACATTTGTGACAAAGTACAAAGATCTCGGTGTCGGTGCGATCTTTATGATGCAGTTGGGTAAGTGCGTGCCTCATCATGCTTATTAGTTTATCCATGATATTCATGTTCGACACTCTACAGTTGCTGCAACTGCCATCAACGCGGTCGGCATTGTAAACTTCACTGGGAGCAGCATATCAATGTTTTCTATGACAGACTCGAATACCCCCCAATATCCAGCAGGCAAAATCCACCCTACGGCATACATCTTGCCAATCACGTTCGTCGTTTCCGTTGCTCTTTGCCTCGTTCTATTCACCGCCCTCCGTAAGAATGCACAGGCCACTACCTATGCCGCCTTATTTACGCCTGTTGCCCTGTTGATTCTAACTGGAGCGGCTCTCCTCCCTTTCCACGGACCCTTGGGGGTGGTCTTCCTCATCCCTGGTCTTGTCCTCGGATATCTGATCCACATCTGGCGAAACAGAATTGGATTCGCGGTTGCGATGCTGGAGACAATCACTACCGTCATCAAAATATACCCCTCTATGTACGCCGCATCTGTCTTGGCATTGCTGGCGCAGCTTGCCTACTTTGCATTCACTATTGCTGGATTTATTGGGTTTTTCTTTTATCGACTACGGAAGCTTGAATGGGAAGTTGATGCGGACGGCAACATCGTTGGGATTGACATTGATCTCGCTCCCGGCACTGATGTCGCCTTGACATTTTTGTTTGTCTCGGGATATTGGACTATGCAATTTATTCCCAACGCTTTACAAGTGATTCTTTCTGGAGTTTTTGCTAGTCACTATTTCGGAGGCGCCGTCCAACCTGCTCCTCTGAAAAGTGCCGCGCATCGTGCCCTTACCACCAGCTTCGGCCCGATTGCCTTCGGATCGTTTGTCATTCTCATCGCTCAAGCTATCTACTCTTGCGTTCTATCCGTGACCCGCAGCAACCCCCTCATGCACGCCTGCTGCCAATGTGGATTGGGTTTCGTCCTTAGCTTTCTTGAATATGTCAACAAGTACGCTTTTGCTCAGGTCGCAATCTACGGTAAGGACTACGTCTCCGCCGCTAAGGACACGTGGAACCTCTTCAAGTCGTCTGGAGTGACCCTCATCATCAACGATAACCTGGTTAATTTTGTCATGGGGTCCTTGGCATGCACGGTTGCACTGATTTCCGGTTACCTTGGCGCCTTCCTCGCATTTATCTCCATTCCAGACTATCGCAGCTACTCATCCTGTGCCGACCCTGACGCCTGCGAAAACCAAGCCGCTGCCATTTCTGCAGAGATCACCACAATCGGGTTGGGATGTGCTCTTATTGGCGCTGTCATCATGCAAATCTTGATCAAGGTCATTGATGCAGGAGTTGCTACCACATTCGTTGTTGTGGCTGAGGATAGGCAGGTATTGAAGAGGGGATTCCCCTCTTTCTATGAAAAGTTGAAGAGCGTATACCCCCAAGTGACTGAGAACTGGACCGAGGATGGGCTTTAAAGCACCTCGCTTATACAACTATAGCATTGGGACATGTGCCTAGTTCATACTCTCTTCATAGCCATATATGTGTCTAGTTCACCTTTATTTGTGCAAGACTCGTTTCCGTGACATGCCTCGAATATCTGATCTACCAGTGCAAATTGACTACTTTGATTTTCATTCTCTAATGAAGGAGATGCTTAACATATGTACTTGCAATGCAAGGGCGTTTTGTTGCATGGCGGTAGCTGATTGCATTATGATACTTCAGCACTTCCCTTCACTGCAATCCCTCCTTGTTTATTCTTGGCCCATAGCTCAAACTGGTTTGCAGCTGTCTTCTTGCCACAGAACGTAACAGGGTCATTTACAATAAGAGGGCTCAGTGTGCGATATGAAAACGACTTGATCTTAGCACCGGAATTGGCTAAATGCCGCTCCAGAAGATCCAACAGAAGGGTTGCTGTCAACGGGCCGTGCGTAAGGCAATCTGTGTTCCACTTATTAGAAACAAATAAGAGACAGTCTTCTGGATCAGCCATACCAGGATAACCCTCTTGATCCTTAGCATAATGATTGTCATAGTGTATGCGATGGCTGTTGAATGTTACTGCCGAATAACGGAACAGTGTAACTATGGTGGGAGTAATCGTACGTGCAAACTCAGCTACAGTCTTAACTTAAAATGCTTTGTGAGTAGGACGCTAGTGATACCCATTTAGAAATACAGCACACTCACTGGGTACTACACGACCTCCTACTGTAGGGTTCCGTTCTTTGCCCATATACGCCAAACAACGGCGTTCTCTCAGGCTCCTGCCGTGCTCATTTTCGACTACCTTCTCCAACCAGACAAGAACAGCTTCGCCTCTGGGCCCTTGCTTGATCTGCACGTCATCCAACCTTGTGGTCTGTTTGACTGTTTGACCAACTCGAAGAGGATTGTCGGGCACAAACTCGAAACTACCGCCGGCCCACATTCGCTGTATGTAGGGTTCAGGAGGGGAAAATTCGGTGTCATAGCCATCTGGCGCAAGGTCCGATTCGGGTATCCGTGGAGGAAACAAAGCAAAGTGATAGCCTGAAGGAAGAGGATGTCCAGCAGGGAATGTTGCGAACGGGTCTCGAGGTGTACTCGGGTCAAGCGTCAAAGCGACAAGATGACTGTGGCCTGAAGTTATCTCATCCGTTTCATTTATAGCCTTCTTCTTCAGACTTTCTTGCCAAGTAGCCAGTTTTTGGTGAGACAACGTTGAGAGACTTCGTGAGACGCTTCGGGGAACTCGTTGACAGCCAAGTGCTGTCGTCCGTAACGGTAACATTATACCCAACAGGAAAATTCAGGTGTGCACCCCCAGACCGTTGATACCTATTGACATCAGGTAAACCTGTGCATCTGAGAGTACTTTGCCTGGGGGCTCTTTGAATGCCAGTGCAAGCAAGGTCGCATCTCAAATTACCCCTGTCGTGATGTCAGCACAAATGACTCATTCTCCGGGCCTCCAGTCTCACACCGTCCCTTTGTGGATCGAGCACACACTTTGCAAAGATGTCAACCGTTGCCCTAAAAGAACTTTCCCGTTCCAAGTGTTTTGCAGGCCATGTGATAAAGTGAGTATAATGCTAGCAAGTAGCGCACAGCATCAATCGACGACCACGTCTAAGTTGGCGACTATTTTGTAGATATTCGCACCCATCTCGTTTGTTGGGATGTGACATGAAATTCAGCATGTTTCTTCCTGAGAGTAAACCTTTGGAAAAGAGGGAACAAAAACTGCCTGTACTATATTTTCTGTCTGGGTTGACTTGTACCGAGGACAATTTCATGCAAAAGGCTGGCGCACAACGGAAAGCTGCCCAGGAAGGAATCATTCTTGTTGCTCCGGATACAAGCCCCAGGTGAGAGACGTTACAGGAACTGTGGAATTGCTTAACACTGATATGTGCAATACTCTATGGGACAGGGGTTTGGGAATAGAAGGTGAAGATGACTCGTGGGATCTTGGTACAGGTGCTGGATTCTATGTCGACGCGACCACAGAAAAGTGGAAGCAGTATAAGATGTGAGTATTTAAGCCATTAGTTTTATTGTATTTTCTGCTCATTGTTGATGTGAATTGGTAGGTACTCTTATATTACCGAGGAGCTGCCGGGTATCATCAATCAATCCTTTCCGGTGGATACCACTCGCGTGTCGATAGCCGGTCACAGTATGGTACCGTCTTGCCTTCCACTGATTATCCTCATATAAGGACTAAGATGTTCTTGCCTTGCTCAGGGTGGACATGGCGCTCTTGTAATCGGGCTCAAGAATCCAGACAAGTATCGTAGTATTTCCGCGTTTTCTCCCATTGGTAAGACCCGGCAAGGACATCCGCTAACATAAATAGTCTGACCTTTTGGTGCATAGCCAATCCTACGGACTGTCCCTGGGGTGTAAAAGCGTTTTCCGCATACCTAGGCCCAGACAAGGACGCGTGGAAGGCATACGATGCATCTGAGCTCATCGCCAACTATAGTGGACCATCAAAGAAAATTCTCGTCGATCAAGGAAAGGCTGACCAGTTCCTCGAAGAACAATTGAAAGTAGAACGGTTGACAAAGGCCAAGAACGACTCTGGAAAAAATGTTCTGGACCTCTCTCTCCGGCTGCATGTATGTTGCCGAAACCTCAGAGCTACAACGTCTATTGGACTGACTCCCATTTTTAGGATGGATACGACCACAGTTATTACTTTATTAGTACCTTCAGTAAGCGATGTTGTTGTTTCATCTGCGCGAAAGATGGTATTTATTGGGTTCTCCTTTCAGTCGAAGAGCACTTGGAATTCCACGCAAAACAGCTCAAGGCTTAAGCGAATACCTTCCTAGCGGAGCATGAATGAATATGGGCTGTATTAGAAGAAAGAGGATGCACGCCGAGACAAGTTCGCTCGTGTTCAATAGATGAGAGGCGGCGTCCTAGCAGTGCATGACATAGTTTTATGGAAGTGCGGATGGGAAGCGAGGGCAGATAGTATTAGATCCTTGGTTTGGCCAAATAGAGTTTTGAGCTCGGGCCGGGTTGACAACCAATATGAAAGAGTGCGGAGGGACATTATTGTGATCTTGATCGTCAGCAGCTCTGAGCAAATCAGTGCGCCACATGTGGCACAGCAAGACAACCTCAACTCTTTCCCAGATGTTGGGTCCAACTAACAAGACAACCCAAAATGTCACAGTCCTATCCGTGCTACAAACCCGATGTGCTACAGGACATCCTTAAAGCCAAGGAGAGGGGCACAGAAGCATATAAAAAGGGACAGTATGGAGCGGCCTCTGCGGAGTACTCGAAAGCAATTGCGAACTTCTCCACTGCACCGATACCAGTCGATCCCGAATCTACAACCGATCCTAAGGCGGAACCGACCGTTCTCTTAGGCACCTTGAAATCGAACCGCTCTGCCAGTTATTTCAATGAGAAAAAGTACGAGGACGCTTTGAAGGACGCAGACGACGCCGTACGATTGCGACCTGATTGGGCTAAGGTGAGAAGACACGTCGGACGGGAACTGTCAAAAGCGCACCGTGTCCAACAATCTGCATAATAGGGGTACTTTCGGCGAGCAGAGGTATATAGAGTGCTCGCTCGACATTCAGACGCACTGGAAGCGTACGAAGCTGCCCATCAAAGGGTACGTAGTGAAAAATGAACAGCGATGTCCTATCGCACGAGATTGACCCTTTGTGAGATAGGATGTTAGAGATAGGCTAATTCTGGAAAGGTTAACAAAAACTAAGATCATCCTCAAAGATGCATCAATGGGTGAGGACTTCATCTCGCTGACAAAAAGTTAAACAAACAGGTTAACTTCATAGTACTCCAGGAGTGGCGCTGCACCAGTTGGCACCCGGAAGAGATCTGTGTCAGAAGTCCTTCATGACCCCTATACAAAATATGATTTTCGAGTATGCCGTACAGATGAGGAACTTTATTTATCTCGTTGAGAATTTGGCAAGCAAAGAATGCCTTGTAGTGGATGCGGTAGGCCGGTGCGCGTGTGACGTTCTGACTGTTTATTGTTATCACAGCGCTAATTGCACTGCAATCCCTTCGAGCAGTGCTGGGATATCGATGGTATAATAAAGTTCGCGCAGAAGCGAGGTTTGAAGATTGTAGGAGCAATAGCCACACACTATCACGTAGATCATGGTATGTAAAACCGCGCCGCACAATGTCGTGATGGCATGATATTCATTACTGGCTTCACAGTTGGCGGCCTCCCACCACCACCATTCGACCGCTACCGTGTGAGAGTAGACGGATTAGCAAAGCTCCTCAAAAAGCTACCAAAGATCAAGGCATATGTCAATCCGGCTGATATTCCTGGCATATTGAAAGCAAACCCGGAAATTCCCCAGGATCGGTTTTCCCATACCGAGGATGGAGGGACCTTGTGTCTACCAATGTCTCTGAATATTGGCTTGGGAGGAACAGTGGGCGGTCAATCAGATCATGTCTCTGACGGGCGAAGTACTATAATGCAGTTTATTCACACGCCCGGCCATACACCGGTAGGATTCTTCATTCAAATCCCGAACAGTAGCCACCCATATTGATACTCTGTGCAGGGGTCACAATGCGTTTTGATTAACGGATGTAAATTGTTATCCGGCGACACTTTATTTATGGGAGCTTGTGGACGCGTTGATTTCCCAGATTCCGATAGAGATAAAATGTACCATTCTCTGCAGCACAAGCTCGCCACGTTACCCGATGACGTATGTTGCGCTGTGGATCATCATGTGTGGATTTGTGTTTTACATTAAAATCTTGACGTTTAGGTGATCGTGTATCCCGGGCATAATTATGGCGGAGAGATGACTACGATAGAAAACGAGCGAGAGCATGGGCTGTTGAGACCTAAGTCAAAAGACGACTTTTTGAGGGAGGTTTCAAACACATGAATTTGTGATTTAGTCGGATAGCGGATGTATTTATTTAATCAGTCAAGAAGTCCCAATTTTGGAATAATGGAATAAAGAGATATCTTCAGTGGCCCGGCACAAGCCATCGCTATAAAGGCCTTTGTACCCGTGTCCGAATGGGTGGAACCATACACTGCATGCTAATGACTGTCGGGCGGTGTCTAAAGACAGCAAAGCGATATGCGTGCAAACATGAATGATATGTTACTTTGTATACATTCAAGACGAATAATATGTTATGTTGGTGGATCTAAAAACTCTAACCCCTCCGCGCTGGGTGTGAGGCCCTCTCGCTCAATATATGTATCGTCCCTGTAGGGTAGAACTTGTCAGGCTGTGTAAACAAACGGGATGCATAATTCTGTCCACACACCAAAACTTTGTAAGATGACGAGTTCCATGATCGTTGATCATGGTAACAATTGTGTGTCCCTGTTACGAACAGCATGATGAGAACTACCTTTGATTCTCCGTCGGTATACAAACAATCATCATACCGGTCCCAATTCTCGGGCAATGCGAACAGCCGCAACACAATTCACTGCCGACGAACTCCCCACAAATAATCCATCTTTTTTAACAAGATATCTTGACATCTCCACAGCCTCCTTATCTGTGACCCTCACGGCCTCATCCAGCCAGCCCTTTGCGACTTTGGCGAAATTTTTCGTCAGTCTGTTGATTCCTACGCCTTCGACTACTGTATCCACTTGATGGCGTTTTCTTGTTCCCTCGGCTTCCATGGGTGAGTACATGATTCCGTGTTTGACTTTGTGGTAGAGACCGGATCCGTGGGGATCGGCCAGGACGGCAATCATGTTGGGTATCAGTGGTTTCAGGTAATGCGTTACTCCTGCTAATGTACCTCCGGTCCCTGGTTGGCCAATGATGAGTATGCTATTTCTCATGAGTTCCATATGTGGTCAAAAGAATATATTACCAGCCCCGAGGACGACAGCATCCAATCTCCCTCCGGTTTGCTCGTAGATCTCAGGTCCTGTCGTTTGATAGTGAACCTTTCCGATTGAAAATGATCCCTTCTATTAGGAGCCTCATTTCAAACATAATAGCCTCATATCTATGCCAACCTGATAATTCGCCAGATTTTCGAATTGATCACAAAAGAATCCCCGAGGACCATTGCCTTCCTGATCTGCCTTCAGATTCATTTCATCCGCTCTCTTCCGCGCAAGATTGACAAAATGGTTCTTGTCTACTATGGAGACTGGACGAACTTTTTCAACTGTAGCGCCCAATTTTTGGAGAAGAGCATATTTTTCTTTGGCTTGATCGTCTTTCACCAGCCAAATAGGAGTTGATTATGGCTTCCTTCACAACAGAAAGAAGCCGGCTTTGCTCACCTGGCATAACAATGTGGCATTTATACCCTTTGGCCTTGGCAATTACCGCCAATGATATTCCCGTACTCCCCACAGTCCCCTCAAATATCGTATCTCCTCTACCGGGTTGGATTAGTCCGGCTTTCTCCGCTTCATTGATAACCGACAGTGCCACGCGATCCTTTGTGCTTCCACCCACATTCAAGAACTCCGCTTTCGCAAGTATATCGCATCCTGTCTCATCTGATAGCGATCGGATGCGAAACAGAGGTGTGTTGCCTATCAAACTTTCGACACCAGTTCGGATGGGAGGGGTGTTTGGGGACGACGAATTCCCAGCAGATTTTTTGGAGGTGAGCAGGAGGTAAACGGCTGATGCGGCCGACACTGTTGCGCCTATCAGAAGGCCTATAAGCAGAGTCTTTGCGTCTGTTCTATTAGACATTGTCGGGATCCCGGAATGCGATCTCCAGGTATGTCAGGGCAGGAAGTCAGATTGGTATCGTCCACGTGAATTATGCATCAATTGACGTTACACAGGACCATATTCAGATGGGGTTACATGAAATGCGAGAGAATAACTTATAACTTCTGGTCTGGACGGTGAGGATGCATATTTCATAATAGACGATGAGCATTCCCAAGTAAGTGACATCGGATTTTAAATAACAAACTAATGTCTGTGTGTCATTGAATGAAATGCAGCAGCTTCAAGGTTTTTGGATATTCATTACGTAGATTCTTCGAGGAGCTAGTTTTAAATAAGCCAAGCTGCTGCTGTTCGCGGGTATATAGACTGCCATTGAAAACATGGCCTACGCTTGATGGCGAAGGTCATCCCCACTGTCCATTCCTTAGTCCATTAATTTGTCACGTTTAAAGGCTGTGAGGACTCGGGACGAAGGTAAAAACCAATTTAAGGTAAAGAAACCGTTGCTTTGAGCAATGTGGTCATTTATTGATGCAGCTAATATCATTTTAAGCGCTTTCTTTTAAAACTATTGATGTTCGTGGAATACGTGCGGTTTCCGTCAAATGCAGTCCGTTGCTAGTGGAACGACTAGTGTTGTGAAAAAGGTTCAGGAGGTTAATAAATCACAAGAGAAAGGGACCTTCGTCTTCATCCGCTCGGCTCTATCCGTTGGTTTAATCCCTGGTAGTCTCAATAATGTGTAAACCAGGTCAAGCCTTCTTTGGCATCGAACTTATTACTCATCGCAGCACAGCTCGCGATTCACGTCATTCATATACGTTTTACGTACTCCCCAGTGCAGGCATCGATAAGGGACGTATATCACTGTAGCTCTTCCATTTTTCGCTTGTTGATCCGAAAGAGCGCAAGGATAAGCAACTTCAGATCTATCGAAAACTTTCACTAGTGATACCCAAACATGACCGTCCGCATATTCATCACAGGTGCTACCGGCTACATTGGAGGAACAGTCCTCACCTCCCTCCTAGAGGAACACAAGGGCAAATACGAAATCAAAGCACTTGTCCGTGACATGGATCGGGCTCGCAAGCTCTCAGAAGTGGGTGTCGAACCCATTCTCGGTTCATTGGACAATTGGCAAACCCTGTCCAAAGCGGCCAGTGAAGCGGATGTGGTTATTAATGCAGCTGACGTGGATCATCTTGGAGCAGTCAGAGCGCTTGCGGAAGGCCTGTCAAAACGTGGTCCGCTGGCAAATGGACAGCCTCCTATACTCCTACACACGTCTGGAACAGGTGTCCTCCTAGACCACGCTCAAGGTCGCTACGCTTCTCCCAAAGTTTATCGTGATACGGTCATGAAGGACATTCATTCCCTCCCGCCGGAGCAGATGCATCGTACTGTTGATATGGCTGTATTTGATGCCGGACGCTCGGGAAAAGTAACAACGACCATCATTTGTCCACCCCTGATCTATGGGCTTGGGACAGGTCCCTTTAACCGCCATTCACAGCAACTTCCAATGATGATTCTAGCAGCTACTAAGAAGGGAAAGGCTGTCTTCATTGGAAAAGGAGCGAATATTTGGTCTAACGTTCATGGTATGTGGCAAAAGCATCTTTTGACTTTCAAACTAGATAGGCTAACATCCGTCAATTTCCAGTCAAAGATTTAGCGGATGGATATCTACTCCTCTTGGACAAGCTCCTCGACGGAACGGCCCCCGTCAATGACGAAGGTTACTACTTTTGTGAAAATGGTGAACACACTTGGCGCTGGTTAGCGTATGAAATCGCCAGATCCCTCTACACCAGCGCCGAAGTAGGTGACGGACGCCCGCATCCAGTCTCAGATGACGAGGTCGTGGATGTCTTTGGAACCGCGATGGCTTGGCAAGTATTGGGTGGTAATTCCCGCTCTCGGGCTGAAAAGCTGAGAAATTTGGGGTGGTCTCCGAAATGCCATTCGTTGGCGGAGACTGTTGATCCAGAGGTTCGCTCCGTGCTCACGGAGCAAGTAAAAAGAGCTATTGAAAAGTAATTATAAAAATATTGAAACCTCCCGGTTGTCCTAGTTTGATGACAGGTAATTTTGATTAAGGAATGGCATTCGCATACGGAGTGTGACTCGCGCAGATATAGCATCCATGTTAACCATGCATCCAGAGGTTGAACAAAAGACGAAATCAATTTTAGAGAATCACTTATGCCATAACTAATCTGATATAAAGTGCATATCCACCATGGTTCACATGGCGAGATGGCCGAGTTGGTCTAAGGCGTCAGGTTAAGGCCCTGATCTCTCCGGAGGCGTGGGTTCAAATCCCACTCTCGTCACTTCCGAAACACAGCGGTTTATTTTTTCCGGCCCGACACCGACATTAACAACGCAAAACCGACTGTGCACGGCTACCACCAATTCCCCTAGCATAGCAGATGGTATTTTGTCACTTACGCCTCAATACTCAATAGACACTTATGTTACAATCCATTGCCAACGTCTTTTACTATTATAGTTCCTCTTTCAGCTTAAGAATAAGAATGCGCGCTCGCGCGATCGCAATGGAATGGGGAGGAAGGGCTACACACGTCCAGATAGTTCACAAAGGACAATGGCTGTCAAAGCTCGGGAGATACTTCCTCCAGATTCCCTTACTTCACCTCCTGCCAAAGCGGTAATTCACGCACGTTAGAAACGGTCCCCATGCGCGACGGTACCATGAGCGATACCCACCTCCACATTCAACTCCCCAATAAAGAGCGTTCGATCGTTGCTGGCCGAGGCAATTATACTGCCTGTCCAATCCACCTCGTTACAAACACCCTTGTGACCGGGTAACTTGTAGACTATCTTTTGTGTCGCCACGTCCCATACGACTACAGAACGATCACCACTACCGGTGGCAACATAATCTCCGTCCGGGGACCAGCAGGGACGAAGGAGGTTCTTTTCAAAGCCGTGTGGTGCTCCTGTTAAGCCCCGTGCAGTGAGTAACGGGACGCAGTAGAAATGGGTGAAAAATGTCTGTCGTCCTCACCTTCAAATATCTTCTGTAGACGAGTTCCGGTAGGCGCAAAGGGTTTCACATCCCATATGCGAACTAGTATTAGAAGGTAAGTTTCTGGTGTATACAAAAAGTGCGGTGAGTTGGCCCAAACCTGTGTTGTCCATGGCGTTACTGAGCAAATAGTCACCATCCGGACTGATTCGCAAACCAGTGACGGTATCAAAGTGACCTGTTAGTGAATACATGACCTCATCCTTTCGCAAGTCCCATGCCTAGGTAGTATATGTTGCGCAACGAAGTCAGAAACCTTTTACAACAACCTCAAAACGACCAGGATATACTAACCCGAATTTGATTGTCAATCCCACCAGCAAATATCAATCCTGCATCCTGACTGAAAGCCGTTGCCGTTATGGCATATTTGTTCTCGAAGGATTTCACCGCATGCTTCTGACGTGGATCCCACACTTTTGCGGTGCCATCATCGCTTCCACTAACAACCAGTTCCGTGCCCCGGCGTGTCGACGCACATGAATTCACAAAGCCTGTATGTCCGCGTAGTCTCTTGACCCGTTCCCCGATTTCGGTATCCCATATGCACAATGTCTTATCGGTTGAAGCAGAGTAGATATTTCTGCACAGTGAAACAGTTAGTCTCTGTTGTCGATTACGGGCTCCTCCTTTTCCTGCTCCCCACCTTCCATCATGCGACCATTGCACTGATCGGAGACATAGCGGGTTAGTCAAGAATTCCAATGATCGGCAATCCAAAAGATGCTAATACCTTCTAAAACCGCTCCTGTATGTCCCTTTAGTGCCATGTAATTATTGCACTCCCCAAAAGCATTCCACAAGTCTAAGCATCAAGAGTTCAATGAACCAGGTCTCCTCGCTCGACAGCCCGTAACTGAGATACGTACAGATCATTTGGTCAAAGGATCCAGAAGCCAGCTGCCGCCCTGAAGGACTGAATTTACAAGACAACACTTCGCCTTCGTGTCCGGTCAAGAGCATGATTGGCGCTTGCAGATCTGATGTGCGTTTCACCTAGAATGGTGCATTAGTTAGCTGGATTGTCACTTCTTCTGTACATTCTCTGCACAGGTCTGGAGTAGAGTCTACTCCTCCGAACCGCCGTAACATACCGTGCGCATCAACGCCCCCTTTGGTGGTTCGGTAGGTACTACAGCGAGGCTGTTGCCAGCTTCGCTTTTCTGCCTCTTCACCAACGATCCGGCCTGATTTACGCCATCTGCCTTTCTTTTGTCCGACATGATGCGAACGAAGCTGTTGAGTGATATCCACCAGCAGAAGGATTGAGTTCTTGCAGTCTATCGGGGTCTGAGGACTCTGGAATTGGGACCTGTAAGTTTGTAGGGTGAACCACTTCCTTTCAGTCCACATTGGATCCAATTTTAACCAAAAATCAAGAGGATGTATTCTGACCTAATCATGATCACAGCTTATTTCCGACATGCATAATCTGCTACCAGAGGACAGTGCTAGGGAATCCTTTACATTTACCTGCATAGCCGAATCCCTATCGCTATTGGCGTGCACTCCTGCCGGTCTTTCCTCCCGTAGAGGACTTGGATATATCTTCCACTCCCTTTGCAGTACGACCTTTGGGTAAGAGCACCGAATGGATATTGGGGAGGACACCCCCCTGGCTAATTGTAACCTACGATATCACCATTTTTAGAGTAATAACCAAATGATTGCAATCTGGATGCTCCTTACATTGGAAAGAAGTCTGTTTAACTCATCATCGTTACGAATGGCGAGTTGCAAATGACGAGGGATAACGCGAGTCTGCGAGGTTTGTTTTGTAGGCTGTTGGTTCTACAATGCTCACGCACTGTAATGTACCTTTTTGTTATCACGGGCTGCGTTTCCAGCGAGCTCAAGAACCTTGAGGTTGGGTATTGTCAAAGAGACACAAGCAAGTCAGATGAGTGTAATCAACGTTGGTGGAGAAGGTTGCGGTTACCTCAGCTGTAAGGTCTGGTGAAAGGATGAGAAGTTCATAAAACACTTAGCATAAATGTGAATGAAACTTTTACTTACACTCCAGGACTGCTGCGAGATACACAGGGGCACCACTGCCAATACGTGGAGCATAACGACCTTTCTTCAGCAATCGGTTGATGCGACCTATATGAGAGCAAGGAGTCAGTTCTGTTAAATGGTAAGTATTCTTCTTTCTAGAAATCTCACCAACAGGAAATTGAAGTCCAGCTTTCGCAGACCGGCTCGTCATTTTGCCACGCGGAGTGCGGGGCCCCTATAGACTTTGATTAGTATCAGGAGAATCTAATAGCCCATTGACTCTTCTCCAGCATAATATACAGTCTGTGGCCTAGATGTTGGACGAAGTTGTGCGGGTGTTGCCGCCGACGCCAAGTCAATGGTTTCGCTTTCCCTGATCTCGTTCGCAGAAAGTTCCCTTTCTCCCTTCTTATGTGGCATAAGCACACTTTCAATTCCTGTGACGCTCTTCCTACGAGGAGCTTTCAGAGGCGACCCTTGTGCCGTCCTTAGGTCACGTAGCGCTTGAGCGTCTTCCCATGTTGTCACTGGTTCCTCCAATATTTCTACAGCGGTATGTTCCACAACAGCTGTCCCCTCAAACAACTTTTCTCCACTAGGAGAGGTTTCATTGACCGCAGTGATAGCAAACTCTGCCTCTGCTGCAACAGCTATCTGGTCCTACCAGGAGGTAAGAACATCCTTGCTACACCTATGCGTGGTCATACTAACCCTAGGACGACCGCTTTTAGCAAGGAGACTGGCAGCTTCCTTGACAGTCTCGACCATTGTACGCCCTTTCTGCATGGACGGAGTTGACGACATGATTGTATGGTACTGCTCGTTGCAATATAATGTCTGTGTCAAGAGTTTGGAACGACAGGCCGCGTCTGCTTACGAGACAAGTTCCACTCCTCAATTGGGTCATGTGATTCGATCGGTGGGGAGGCTGGCAGGGTTCTGGGCAGGGTTGGCTGAAAGCGCTTGGCGATCACGGTTTTAGCAGAATTGGAGGTCTCGAATGGATGCAAGACAGGGCAACAAACGTTCTAGTTCACCATCTCTGGGGCGCTCAGGCGCTTACAAGCGGATACGCAGTGATAACTACTCAAGCCGAAACGGATCCTCACCTCGCCTCTCTTCCGATACAGCTAGCTGTACGTCGACACACCCAGCAAATTCCTTCTCCGACCGACCTCTGGCAACCTTCCCACTTTATCCCCTAGACCGTTTTCAAACGCGATGTGCACAGTATCAACAACCAACCGAAATCGGATACTTTTCATATAATGAGAAAAGAGAGATGACCCTTCAAAGCGATGCTGAATTGGTAAGACGGATAATTTATCCATGTACGTCTCTGAACCGTTTCCTCTCCAATGGCGAGGTGGCGAGAATGGCCTGGATATAACATTCTTATGGATCTTAGAAGTGGTACTATGAACCTGATCTGAAAGATTGCGATTTATCGGATGGCTTCCCCGATCGCTACATTACACGAGATCCGGTTCCGGAGAGATTAGATGCCTTACTAAAGTGTCTGCAGAATGTCAACGCACTAGCAGAAGAGTCGGGAAAAACGGGGGTTACCCCCAACTTTTGCACATGTATGGCGGTGGTCTGCTCCATCCTTAATTCCGGGAAAATGTCGATCGTATCATCTCACAATGGATTGTCTTGTAGGGCGGGGAATCATGACCAAGATTCTTTGCACACCCTACTCACGAGATGAATGGGAGCTAGGTGTAACCCGCTACAAGGATACAATCTATATGGAGGAACATGAGTCAGACGAAAAACGGCAACATGCCTTCGGTGCTTCCGACCGGGATAAACTCATGAGTTACTGGGGATATAAATTTGAATCTCTCAGTACTATCGATAAGCCTCCTTCAACCCTCACTGGACCTGATGACGAGGCACTGCAAAGACGAAAGGAAGAATGTGTGAACACAAATGTGCAGTATTGCAGCGTGGTGCGGACACGGTTAGGGAACAACATTTTGGTCATGGGGGCGGAAGTGGATTGTCTGGTTGCTGGTGAGTGAGCCGACCTCCATGGCGATCAAGTGGGCATTCCAATGACTTCCCCAATGCAGATGCAAAGCCTACCAGTAATCCTCAAAGCGCGTATGCAGAACTAAAAACAAATCGTATCATCTCCAATGAACGGCAGCAGAAATCGTTTGAGCGGTAGGTCTTGACCGGGCCAATTTACACGTCGTTAAATACAGATCGGTGCTTTCGTAGTAACGCTCTTCCACCACAGACACAAGCTTCTCAAAATTTGGGCGCAATCCTTCCTTCCTGGTATACCTCGAATCATTATTGGCTACCGAACGGACTCAGGTCACATCCAACATATCCAGCACCTCAAAACCATGGACATACCCCGCATGGTTCGCGGCACGCAGCCCAATATATGGGACGCAACCGTGTGTATCAATTTTGCAAATGGGCTTTTAGAGTTCTTAAAGGGTGTTGTGGTGGAGGATGACCCAGATGTGGTTTACACTGTTCGATTTGGGAAGCCTTTTGGGGAAGTCAGGGTGTTGAGGAGAGAAAAGGGGAAGGTGGGACTGGAGGGAGTATTTGTACCGGACTGGTATCGAACGTAGCGTAGCTTGGGTGCCGTTTTGGTGCAGTTCTGGTAGGTTGTGCAGAGTTGACCTCAGTGCGAAGATAGTGCTTGGGACATATCTACCCAACAGTCTAGAATGCTGCAGATTTCTACGATCTATTAATCTCAAAGGGCGTACATAACCCTACTCTCTGGATGGCAATGTTCAGTGTGAGCGTTCTCTGGATGTTCTGGGATGAGCCTGCACCATCGCCTCACTTTCCATCGGTTCGGTCCTTTGGATAATTCAACTGGATGTGCCATTCGCCCTGGTACAGTTCCAAATGCATTCGTTAATGAGATTTAATTGCAACCTATATACATTGCACAAATGCATGCTGTGTATACCGCTACTCAAGCGCTTGATGCACCACCCGTGATTATATGATGCGTCGGCAGCTCAAGACCACAAGGTACACTACTCCAAAAATGCATCCGCAAAACCAGGAAATCCAACAAAAACCTCCTCCTTCCAAAATCCCATATCAGCCATAAGGTGAGCCAACCCGCCGATTCCATCGAACAAGCCATACTTTTGCGCCGGTGACGCGCTTCTATCAGACGTCAGTTGCGGTGCATAGGTGGTGTCCCAGTTTATGGCGACATTGGCGAAACACTGGGCCCTTTGCCAATATGCAATGTCGTTGGTTAGGCGGTACAGGGTAAGAAAGAGGTAAGCGTTGCCTGATATGCCGTGACAGAGGCCTATGATGATCGATGGTAAGACACTATGCAAAGGTGGTTGCGGTCATCGGTGAGCTTTTGTACATACCAACGCCCTTCCGGATGAGCCCTCGCTTCCAAACAAGATCGGCGGCTTCTTTGGCGGCCGTTAGGTATTCTTCCTTTTTGAATACCTCATACCCCCGGCACAAGCACAATGCTACACCTGTATGACAGTATCGGCATTGCGTCAGCTGCAGTAAAAATATAACGCCAAGAAACAGCCATGAGGCCTACCCGGAGCGCCATGACAAAACTGCACAGATTCTTTTTCCTCAAACAACTGGGAAGCATTTGTCCTGGTGTCGTCGATCCTCAGCATGTAGTTTCCATTTGCCAACTTGCGACGCTGCAGATATTTCAGCGCTCGCTCCACAGGTGTAACTTTGGCACGTTCCTCCTCTCCCGCAGGTTCTAAACGGGGCATATCATCAGATTTGGCTTCATTGACGGCCTCGAGCAATGATGATGGAACGCTCAGTACGGACGTCAATGCACCCGCCATCCCATGAGCAGCACCGACATAGCGTTCCATATACCACAGCCATATAAATGGGGATCTCGTCTGACCAAAGTCCATCTTATAACCCCTTCGATCTGACGGCCCATAAAACTGACGCTGAGCGCCTTCGGCTCCGTCATTAAGAACGGTGCTCAATATTGCTTCCACAAGATCGTTTGGGATTGTCTCATGAGCGTTGGTCAGGTATCGTCGCACATAGAGTAGCCCGTAGAGGTAGCCTGGTCGGCCATAGGAGAAGTCTTGAGGGCAGTTGGCAGACAGGGCCATGTGCTTCATGGAAACCAACTGCTCAAGGCAAAATGCTGATCGCTCGCTATTGCCGGTATGATGGTAAACTACATAATAGACATAAATGCTTGAACGGAACTAAGAATCCACATGATGTCGCGTACTCAGTGCCCCAGTTGCCCAGACTCCCGCCTGGCTCCTCAAATATCCGACATCGTGGCACACACTTTTAGCGTCCTTTAACTGACGAAGGAAGCTGTTACAATTCGCGATAGCTGTGTCCATGTACTGTTCAGCTAATTTCAATGCTGACAGCCCGTGGATCTGACATGCTGGATCACACTCGTGGATCTTTAAAAACAGTCGGGCCAATCCAGAATAGCCTGAGGAGCAACCAATGTTCTTAGTCTTATCGCTATCTGCACATTATTGAGCCAACCAGTCACTTACCGCTATACACGTCCCAAGGTGCTTGATGGTCGGTTGGTTTACAGTTGGCAACAATCTTTTCACACAAATTCACAGTCTCTCTCTTCAGCGCCGTCAGAACGTCAGGTGTAGCATCAGGATGGAGAGCTGGTGGCATATTCATGGCCTCGGAATCGCTAGAACCAGCTTGCGTTGTGACAGAGGCAACATACGGATTCGGAAAATATTGCTTTTGGGGAAGGGGCAAGGCGTCTGGGTCGCCCAAGGGTTCGTCGGTTTCCATGCTGTCTAGCAGTTTTTCGGTGGGTGCATCCGCAGCGCTCATCTCGACTTGTCCTTCACTTGAACCCTCCGCTAAAGTGGACTCCATTACTTCCATGAGCGCTCACTGATCTGTAGATCGTCGTCGCGCTAGAATGAATAGATTGGAGCCAAAAACAAAAAGTGGTTCATCACCGTTCAACGACTGGATGGAATGCTGCTTAGCCTGGGTACACGTGGCTAAGCACACCTTCTATCCGCCACCAACCAACCCATATCCTTGTTCATCTCCTTTTGTTTGCTAAAATGACCCATGGAGTGTTAGTCCAGACGGAGATAAACCTTTGGGGGATGAACGGTTCAACTGTTTTTTGCACAGCTTCTTTTCCTACGACAGGAGTCCAAGGGGACGGACATTTGCAGGGGCACATTGACGCTGTGGATGGATATTTTCCATATATGGTTACATTGTTACAGAAATGGTAATATGATGGCATCACTCGGCAACATCAAAAATCTTGCCCTTTCTTTGAACACTTTTTGTATTGCGCTGTTTGGCTTTGGGTGAACTTGGTTGAACACATTACCACCTCATATATTGCTTTTCCTTCCCGCCCCCCTTCAGCTTCCTTTTAGTTTTTCTGCATTTTTTGTCTTATTGGCCTCATTGGCACCTAGCTTTTTGTTTATTCGTCCTCGGCGTATCTCACCATTTGTCTCGAAGAGCATCCCGCTTCTCCCACGTCAATAGACACGTCCAACCATGAAGGGCACAGCTTGCCTTTCACCAAAGGAGCTCCCAATCTAAAAGCAAGACGCAACACGATGCTATCCATTCTGAATCCTCATGATCACTACAATTCGCTCCTCTCCTTCCTGCCGTTCTCGCGGTCAGAAACACAGGCCGATACGTCCGGTCAATGCATTGCTTCTTCCAAAGAAGTCTTTTCGTTCCGGGCCTATCTGGAAAGTCTAGCGTCGGTAGCTGTAGTCACAGTGCGCGCATATGCACACTATGCCGCGAAATTTGTACCACACGAATGGGCTGAGACCGTGGAGGGTGTACTGCCCGCAGAAGTTGCGAGACTTTTGAAAGGACTACTCTCCGAGGACCCTAATGGAAGCATCAAGGTCGAGAGTATATCCTTTGATGAGGAGAATGCCGTCAAGCAAAGTCTAGACGCCACCAGTGCATCCAATGTAGTGGAAATACCCGATTCTGTGACAGAAGCTGCGCGAAGGCTGGACCACAATGATCTTGATGCTGAACCTCCACCTTGTCCGGCTAGTAGCCATACTGTAGAACAACAGAAATCATCTGCGATTCCTCATGTCCAACCTTCCCCATGCAAAAAGCCAACGATCCCTCGGTTTTATACCCGCTCGAGACCGTGTATGAAAGCCAAGTTGCAGTCGTTAATGGACACATTGCAGCCAACGTTTATGACTCCAGATGGAAAGCTGGAGAAAGCGCTTTCCGAACGGGAATTCCTTCCGGTAACCGAAGGGTGCGGGCTTCCAAGATACCTCAATGCTAGAATGTTTCAGAGGATGCAATGTCATCCCCCGTCTGTGACCTCGGTGGATGCGTTGGAACATGAGAAGGGACTTGCAGCTATTGCTTGGTCGGACTTTACGAGGTTTGTGGGAAATTGTGACGGGGTCATATGGTGGTTCCTTTAATAAGTGCGATCTGAATTGTAGGAACTGGAGAAAACTTTACACAAAGTACGACGGTAATATCGATTCCCTCACTTTTGACCTCTTGTTACCGACTGGTCAGGGCCGCGCGTACCTTGTGCCTGCTGATTTTGAGGTCGTCGTTCGAGGTAAGGTCAACAGCCTGGACATATAGGCAGCCAGTCTGGCTTGCTCAATTTAATGCATGGCCACTACATTCTAGAAATCATCGCCGCGCACCCATCGTTCGATTTCCTCCGCTCCTCACCGATATTTCAGGATCGCTACGGTGAGTCGGTTACCGTGAAAATCATATGTTCCTCTCAACCGCTAATGCATGTTAATCATCCAGTTGAGACTGTTATTGCCCGCATCTTTTATATCAAACCCACACCAGCGAAGCATCGTATGACACTTCGCGAATACCGCAAAATCAAATTTTTGGATATGCTAAGAGGAGTTGAAAATGCGGATACGTGCCTTGGTCTCTCCATGCCTCCGCCGTTCTCCTATAAAGATTTTTACGTTGTTTACTGCCGGTTCTGGGAGCTGGATACTGACCGAGATATGGTATGTTGATGCTTTCAGGGGATTTGGGGAATGATTATAGTGTCGTTAACTTTTTGGATTTCATGTAGCTGCTAACCTCCGCTGACTTGGAACGCTACAGTCAAGGAGCGTTGACTCGCCTTGCCTGTCGAAGAGCGGTGGATTTGTATGGCACGCGGGTGGTTGTCCATGATCCGGAAGAAGGCATACCTGATGCGAATGTGCGAAAGGGCAACAATGAGGAAAGCTATCTCGTGGAAGAGAAAGCCTTCACGTTCACGGATTTTGTCAGTGAGTATAGGGCATCTTCTAGCGTGTTTGCGTCCGAATAGCTTCTCACGTTGACGGTTTTCTAGCATTTCTTCTGGCCGTTGAGGATAAAACGACACACGCTGCCATTGAATACTGGTTTCATGTTTTGGACTTGGACCAAGACGGATGCTTATCCCTTCTGGAACTGGAAACTATGTGGGCATGGCAAAAGAATCGATTGCTCGACTTTGAGGCCTACAACCTAGTCGACTTCTTCAGCGTCTTGTATGTGTCACCTACTTTACGAGTTTTTACCTCGTCAATACCGTATGCTAACCCGTCCTATAGAATGGACAGCCTCCATGGGAAAGCCAGTTCTGCTCCAATAATCACCCTTTCGGATTTAAAACGAGCACCCCACGCCGCCGACATGGTTTTTAACTTGCTGTTTGATGCGCGGAAGAGGGAGGAATGGGTCCGACGAACATGTGATGCTGGCTATCGAATGGCTGACGAGGTGTGGCTTGATATTGGGAAGGGCGAAACGATATGGTGGGAGTATGGTACAAGTGAGCGAGATGGGGCTACAAAAATCCGCCTCGAGTGAGTTTTGAGTTCTCTTTGCTCGGTCACATTTGTGGGGCCAGTTTCTCATCGTTATTATGTTTTTCAGGGGCTGGCCAAAATTTGTCGAAGTGGCCTATCGCGAACTATTAGGTGCCGAAACTACCGATGAAGAGGAAGATGATACATCGTCCGTCTCGTCTTTTGCGAGCGATCGGTGGGTTGGCGGGGACGAGTGAAATAAAAAACTAGTTTTGCCACAATTTTAAGGACGTGTTTGGGTAGAGTGGGGGAATTTCAACAAGGCGTTTGTTTTAGTCAACTTTAGCGTTTTCAGTGTAGTGTATTATAGTACAGTAGTCAGAAACAGTCTTTCTTTTAAAATTCTATACTCTCGTTTTGATCTTTGCTGTTTGGTTTATTGTTTGCGTGCAAATGTGTGGGATGGGATGCTGGCAGATATGTAAATGATACCAAAACTTCACTGTACAATCCCCAGACTTTCCAAAGGCTTGCATTGCCGCACGAGAAATTACCAATATCCATATATCCTAATAACGATGAAATTCAACAACCGCTCACAACTCGTCCCTCTTCTTCCTCTTTATTACTACTGGTTCCGAAATACATAGCTCGGTGCCTTCTTGCGGCGGACACATTCCGGGATTCCATTCTTCGATACGTGTCCAGGGTGTTATATTGCTTGCCAGGGCCTGTTGACAAAAGAATTGGCAATTTTAACAATCCGTTTTTGAACAAAAAACGTACAAAAGCATTACAAAAGCATACGTACAATATCTTGACACGTCTCGCCAGCATGAGCAGTATATATCTTGCAAGGTAAAACATTCGAGGTCGTCGACGCCGCTTGTTGGGCCTCACCATACACAAACTGTTTAGCGCCAACAGGCCACTCTGGCACCGGCGTCCCCATCCCATCATAACACTGAACCACCAAACTCCCAAACTCACTCGTCCTGACGCCACCGTCCGTCCACTGAGCCTCTCCAGCCCAGGCTCCTTGCCAAATCCCAAACCACACTTGAGAGGGCGTATCGGGGAACCAATTTTCACCTGAATTCAGTAGCCGGGATTTGGCATCTTCGGCACCTCGAGAAATGTACCGAACAACACGACCATCCACAAGCCAGGTAACACTCTCTGGTTTCCAATCCAGTTCGTACAAGTGGGTCTCAGAGATGGGAGATGAGAGAGGGATAGAGGTTCCATGTGTGAATTCCTGACGACCTTTATAAAAAATGTTTGTGAAGAGTGTCAAGGGTTTTTTACCGATGAGTTCTATATCGAGTTCGTCGGATGTGTCTGAGAGGGTTGTTAGGGAGGTGCATATGCCTTGGGCGGGGGAAGCTGTGATGTTTATGCTGATGCGGCCGTAGAGGATGTATCGGGTGTGTGCGGCGCGGGTGAGGGGCGTGGAGGGTGGGGCGTGCAAGTCGAGGGCGGCACCGGTAGGTGTGAAACGGATTCCTTTGGCGTTGCTTTGGGCTATAAAGTGGTGGATGGAGGGGTTGAGAGGGGTGGGGAAATGGGTGCTGGGTGGGGCGGTTAGGAGCCATGTTGCTGGGTCGTTGGCTGGGTATGTCCCTGAGACGCAGTTGCCGGTGATGTTGGGGATGATTGTGAGGGTGGATGCGAGCGGGAGGAGGAGGAGGGTTAGGAGAGGAGTGTAGGGTCGCATCGTTCTTTGTTATTGGTTCGTTGCAAACACGAAGGATGAAGGATGCAGCCGATTACGAAAGCATCGGAAACGCGAAGCGAGACATTGCGAGCCCTGCCTAAAAACGATCGACAAGGACATCCTATTGCTAGTCAATTCTACATACACAAACTTGTTATTTTTACACATCACAAATTATAGTTTTATCCCCAAGTAAAATGCAATTTCTATGGCAGCCAACAAACACTTTTAATTACAGCTGGACGGTAGATACAGGCTGCAAGACAACTAATGGAACGCATCCATGTTGTTTCGTAGCCAAGTTTTCACCTAGAGACAAAAAAGCAACTTTAGTATCAAGGTTATAAACAAGTTTTTTAGTACCGTAGCTTACCAACAGCCCATCCAGCATCTTGCCCAGCACCCTGAATCTGCACCGCCTGACCGACTCTAACCAACAATTCATCCGGATTTGCGGGTGTGTAATCCACTTTTGCAATGTACAGTCCTGGTGCGACGCCGTCTCCGGGTGCGGGTGAAGCTGGGGGACCCGGGTACATGCCAGCGGGTACAGCTGGGACCACAATGGTTGAAACGGGTGTACCCTGTGGGAGACTCATGTGATTCGACATGGATATGATGGAATCGCGAAAGTCGTGTGCGGTTGTGGCGGGTACGGTTGTCAACAAGCTCGTCGTTGGACCGAATGGTGACAGTGGTTGTTGTTGTGGTTGTAGTTGTGAAAGGCGGTGCTGTAGGTACGCTTGTTGTTGTCGTTGTTGTTGTTGTTGAATCGCAAGTGGGAGGGGACTCGTCGACCTCCCAACAGGAACAGAAATAACATCATGAAAGTTTGGCTCATCTTTTGAAAGCACTGGAACATGAGTCATGTCTTTTGATTTTTTATGACGATACCGTCCGAACACATAGACACCCGCAAAGGACGCTGCCAAGAGTGCTACACCCCCCACGACCGATACAGCAATCCCCCAAGTGGGGAACGACGATGACGACGACTCGGATGCGGAGGTGGGAAGAGGTGTACCGGGTACAGATGGGGCAGCCTTGACTTTGACAATCGTACCCGAAGCACATTGGATGTTCAATACCTTGACGTGAGCCAATACGATCCACGTCTCGACATTGGGAAGTGTCCAGTCTGAGAATTCATAGTTTGTTTCTGGGTACCCCTGCCTGGAGCGCGCTGCGGTGAAGACCATATCGGCGGGTCGGACTCCGGTCATATTTCTAAAAGCCCACGGTTCACATGCTGGATCCACATCTTGCCGACATGCATGGAATTGGACATGAGGGATGCAACTACGAAAAGACAAAAGAGGTGTCACAATCGCCATGGGTTCTACACGGTGCAAGAAAAAAATACATACCAGTTTGTCTCATCGGACCCTTTGTCGGGGCAGGCGGTCGTGCCATTCAACGGAAGGCGGTTCCAGCACAATGTTTGAAAATCCGTTGAATTGGGCATAGGGGTCATGAGAGCCAAGTTGTTGGGGTACGTATTAAAGATTGGGTCCAGATGGACTTGGATGGCGGGTGGTGGTGAAAGGGGCTGCTCGGCGGTGATAGTGGGAGGGAGGTTCAAAAGGTTGACAGTGATCCCCTTGACGTCGATCGCTTCGCCTGGAAGCGTCCAGTTTTTTGGCTATAAAACATGATGGGTATCAACACAGGGCGTATCACTATTTTGTAAAAAGTGCCAGAAAACCATACGGCAGTATAACATCTTGTTGTACTATCACCCAAGGCCCATGGGGGAAGTAACTGTTGAGCTACAGTTGGGGTGGTAGGAAGGAGGAGAGTGCCGCACACGGCGAGTGCCAGCGTCGTGTACGGGTGCATAGTGATGGAATGTTGATAAAAAACAGTTTCGAACGAAGACTGTCAGCTAGTTCTAATAAAGCTCACCCCCAAAGAGGCCATGTGAAATGAACAAGAAATCTGGATAAAAAAAACAACGTCCATTTCGGTTGCGTTTTGCGCCCTCCGTTTATAAAGACAAAAGTGTGCTTGCTCAGCCGTGAAGTTGGTGTCGAAAATCAACACAAAATCTCCCCTCAGTCGGTCATTTGGACCTACACAGCCTTCCATCTGCTTGTGGCCCATTTTCACTCAATCTGCACCTTTTCTGAAACAACGAAACCCATTTGAAAGTCATCAGCTGGGCTTGCCTTTCTATTTACTAAAAGTGTCATACGCACATCTCACACTAGCGCAATGGAGTGATCGGAAAAGCACGTGACTGCATAGCCACATGAATATCGCATAATATGCATTCTGCCCCTTTGCCACAGCTGGTTCAACACGAGTGTTTGGGGGGTAGAGTGTTTGGGGGGTTAGGCCTACCAGTCACGTAGGGGTTTGGGGATATCGGGAGACATGCGTAAGAACAAGTTTCATACAGTTCTTGAGCATGTTGTAATCAGACCAAAGATGCTGTATTCAGCCTGTATTCAGGAGTTAGGGTTAGGGTTTCTATCATCAAAATGTGCCTGTGTGAATACGAATCAATGATAAACCTCTTGAACAACGCACCCGATCTTGCTGTCCGTCGCATGGCCGCTTTGACTGCGGGCTGGGATGGTGCCGATGTCCACTGATATTGCAAGGTTGCTGTAGAGTGTGGACTTGAGGGGTTTCTTGTTGTGAGATATGCGCTCAAGCCACGTGACAAGGCATGAGGATAAGGTTTGATGGTAGCTGGCGGGGGAGGAATGGTAGTGCCCTGATAGGCAATGTGTGTAGGGCATTTCCTCGTTTACAAGATCCATATGATCTATCCTACCATGAAATGACATATTTCATTCCCTGTATAAAAGAACAGACGGTCTGAACTTTTTCACCAAAAAGGTCGAAAAGACCCCGCATCCCCAACTGTCAATCAAAAAAAAGTGCTACATAAAAAGAAAAGCACACACAAACAAACATACATATACACACACACACACAAGAGTTTCGTCCCAAATAGAAACACACCCTTATCTGTTCATGTCGTTTAAAAGTCACGGTCCCAGAAGAGTACAAGGTTTAAAAAATCCAGTAATGTCCGAACGGCGAAACGCGCAGTATATTTGGAACACTTGCCAAAACACACAACCATCATCTCTCTCTCTTAAACAATTCATTATGGCGAGATTCACCCGCCACGCCCGCACAGCCTTTTTCCTGTGCGCATCATTCCTATTCCTATCGTCCATACGATCTTTTTTCAATGGACGTACACCCGTCACTCCTGCACCCCAAGATCCAAAACCGGATATCAAGCAGAATGTTGCGACAACAGTGGATTGTAAAGAGACGAGACGGGTAGAGTATCGTGTTTTGGAGGGGAAGGGGTACCCGTTTCCATTGTTTCTTGCTACGGGACGACAGGATGGGGATCAAGACAAGATGAATGTTGTTAGAGAGGTACTTGTTTCTCAACATCTAGTGGTTTCCCCAACAATGTTTATGAACATGTCTCAAATACAAACAATAGATGATGATACACGCATGGGACAATTACTTCCACCTATCCCCAAACTACGACGAACTCCGCCCATCCTCTAAACACGGACACAACTGGTACCACCCCTACAACCTCCTCAGCACACCCGTAGACGCCCTAGATACACTCTATATAATGGGTCTAGACTCCCGATACGAACAAGCAAAGAAAATGGTTATAGAGGGACTGAGAGTGGATATACCTGCTGTTGTGAATGTGTTTGAGACGACGATTAGGGTTTTGGGTGGGTTGTTGGCGGCTTGGGAATTGGATGGGGATCAGAGGTTGTTGGATCGGGCGGTTCAGTTGGGGGATAGGTTGGTAATGGCTTTTGAGACGCCTACGGGGTTACCTGCAGGTCATTTTAATTTGTCGAGGTGAGTTCACCATTGTTTTGTTATGGAATTTTCTTGGAGTGGGCTTTTTAATGTAGAAGTAGTGGTCAACCAGGGGGCCATATGGGCGCTTATGTCAATCTTGCCGAGATTGGGACACTTCAATTGGAATTCCAGTATTTGAGTGATGTCACTGGGAATCCCATTTACGCCCAAAAGGTGTGTAATCGCCTTTATTTTATTTTTTTTTTTTTTGGTATGCAAACATGACGTTTTCCCATTAGGCCCTCCATGTTTATGATGTTCTCCATGATGCCGGGCGTCCCATGAAAGGACTGTACCCAATCGACTGGAGCACGTCATCCATACGTGATCGAAAAGGTATAGTCACATAATGTGCCTTATGATTGTAACAATGTATCTTGACAACGATATAAAGAACCAGCAGGCGAAGCCTATGGAATCGGAGCAGCCTCAGACTCGTTTTACGAGTATCTTTTAAAATTATGGATATCGACTGGGGATGAAAAGTATCGAGAGTGGTATGATGAAGCGGCCGAGGTACTGAAAATACCAATAATGTTCAATGTCGACGTAGGTGTACTAAGTTGAATTTCACATGTTAGGCAATTTCGAGCCATTTGGCTACAACGTCTCAAGAAGGTCGATACACATACATACCCAATGCCCGACTTTACGACTCTGGATTCCAAAAAGAGTCTACATTCCATCACCTTGTACGTTACGCATCATCTCAAAACCTCCCATCCATCACTCAACCACATTCTTGTAGACGTGTTTTGCAGGCGGCATGTTTTCAACGGGGGCATTAACCCGTCGTCGGGGTCCATGGATTGATTTACTACGATTGGGAGAACGGGTCACGCGGACGTGTTATGAGAGTTATAATCGGACGGCTACGGGGTTGGGACCTGAGAGTATGCATGGAGCTGATTTGGGGGGATCAGATTCGAGGTATTTGTTACGGTACGTTGGAATATCCCATTTTTGTTTTATGTATTTTGCAAGGTAGAAATATTAATGTGTTTTTTTTTAATTATTATGTAGACCAGAAACAGTTGAATCCATATTTTATCTCTGGCGATACACCCATGACCCCATCTACCGCCAAATGGGCTGGCAAATCATCCAATCCTTGAACACGTATACCCGAACACCGACGGGTTTTATCGGGTTATCCACAGTAAGCAGTAATTCCCCCCAACCCGACGACCTACAACAAAGTTTCTTTTTAGCCGAGACCCTCAAGTATTTGTTTTTATTGTTTTGTGAGGATGATGTTGTGCCTTTGGAGGGGTTTGTGTTTAATACTGAGGCCCATGCGCTGAGTGTTCGGGGGTGGGGACGGCGAAAGGGGTTTGTGAGGGGGAGTGGGGAGGTAGCTACAAGGGAGGTTGATAAAGAAAAGGGAATAGATGAAAAGGTGAAAGGGGGATTTGAGATGCGGGATGCGGAAGCGGGTAAAGATGATACAAAAGTTGAGGATGAGATAAAGGAAAAGGTTGGTGATCGGGTTGTGAGGGATCGGGGGGTTTAGAGATAGATATGTACGCTTTTTATGTAGCTGTTTTTTTTTTTTTTACAAAAATGGGAAATATATTCGTTTGATACGAGTTGTATAAAATAGAGTACGAGATTTGGTTTTTTAAACATCTAGCTCATATTCATAGTTCTGTATTTTTTATCCCAAACCCCCGACAATACAACAAAAAAATCTAGAAAAAAACTTGCCAGCAATACAACAAACAAAAAAACTATATACACACTTTAAAAGCAATGCCCATGTACCCGATATTAAAAAGAGAAAACTTGTTAGAGAGAGATGAGGGGACTTGTGTGTAATCTAGAGGGGGATTTTCTAGGATTTACTAAAGACGGGTATCATTTGCACGACACCCAATTCCGCTAAACACACAAAAAAAAAAGCATTAAAACCCCCCTTTCACAACATAAACTCGAATGATTCAATTTACCTTTAGCAATCGCCAATTCCGCTTCCAACCCCGCAATCCGCTCAGTAGCCATCCGCTGTTCCTCCAACCGTAATTTCCGTTCTCTTTCAAGAGCCAACTCCATATCCCGTCGTTCCGTCTCGGTGCTACTCCCACTCTTATCAGAATGATGCGAAGTTCTTCGTGAATCGTCATTTAATCTTGACGCGGATTGGACAAACATGTCGTTGGAGAGTTCGAGCATGCGGATAGAGTCTCGTAGGGATTTGACTGTGTTTCGGAGGGATTTGGATTCGGTTATGAGTTGGGTTATTTGGGTGCGTTGGGAGGTGATTGTTTCGGTCATTTCTTGGTACGTTTTGGAGGATTCAAAAGTGGGTGTTGAGAGCTGGGAGGTTAGGTTTGTGTGGGTGGATTGGAGGGTGCGGTATTCGAGACGGAGAGAGGCGAGGGTGGATTTTAGGGCCTTGTTTTCGGATATGAGGTCGTCCACCTATGTCTTATTTTTAGTAGGGTGCGGATTACAGATAAAAAGAGGTTTTTAGTACCATTTCCTGGGAAGTACTCGTTCTCCGCATCTTTTCCACTACATCCAATTTATCTTCTTGAGACCGGACAACACTTTCCAATTCCTCTTTTTGACGCCGTACATTCTCCAATTCGGTAAAGACCGCACCAAATTCCTGGACACTCGTTCCTCCCGATTGCTCAAACTCTGAAATCTGAGAGACAACAAACGGGTCTCGACTGGTTTTGAGTTGACCGATGAGGAGGGTGAGTTGGCGGATTTTTTCGTCGCGTTCGTCGATTTCGCGGATATGTCTTTTTAGGAATTCCTTGTCGCTGATATGGCGGGTCATGCGTTTGTTCGGGCCGGCCGAGGTGGGGAGGAGACCGTCTTCCATCATGACAGAGGAGCGATGGGACTAAAAACCGTGGAATATAAGCAAATTAAGATTGTTGTGTGTGATATTTAGAAACGTGACGTACAGGATCACTCACCCCTGCTTCAACGGGTGCACTCCAATCTAGCAATTGTTTGGACGTTATGGTTTTTGATGTGAGAATGAGGTTTGTGAGGTGATCGATACGTTCCTTGAGTGCCGTGCGGACCTAAAAGAAAATATTACACCATAAGCATCACAAAGAATAATGCAACACTCGTGCTGGAAACTTACAATTTGCCCTTCATGCAACTGCTCCTCATACTTTCGTTTCTCCGTATCAATCTGAGAAACAGATTGCTGCTGCTGCCGCTCCTTTTCCAACAACAAATTCGTTTCCGTCAACTTTTGTTTCAAATCCTCAATTTCTTCTCGGTATTTCTGTATCAAGGCCTTTTCGTCCATAATACGGTTCGCAGAGGCTTTGATTGTGACTTTTTTGACCCGAGCAGCGAATTTGAGGGTGTTTACGGTTTCTTCGCTGTTGGCAGAGGCGGGGGATATAGTGCAAATGACTGAGATGCGGGCGTTACCGGCCAGGGAGGATTGGAGGATGCGGGTCAATTTCGAGTCTCGGTATGGTATGTGGAGTCTAACAAGACATGTGTCAGCAACATTGTCGTTCCAATGCAATAATAAGCACCACTCACCCAGTATTCTTTTCATCCGTCAATTTCGAAATAACTGTCCCAAGCGTCAACAATGACTTGTTAATGTACGCCCCCTCCTTTCTTCGATCTGTATCCGACGTGGCCTTTTCGGATCCCGCCAAATCAATCAAATTCTACAAAAAACCATAAATAGGTGAGACGGAGAATGTTGACAGAACGCTTTCTGGAAACGTACCAATTGTGAAATCGTCACAGCGCCCTTTGCACGGCCCGACCCCGTCCGGCGGGGTGTTCCAGGTGAGGCTTGGCTCCGCTCTCGACTTTCAATCACCTATCACATTCATTAGCAAAACCAAAACATCACATAATAAAATAATCGCATGATGATATACCATTTGGAATATGGTATGAGATCGACTACTATGCTCATTATAATCGGTTGCACCAAAATGTCGATTTTCTTCCCCCTTTTTGATGATTCTCATGACCTGTTTGGGAGAGGTGACGATTTCTTCTTTGAGTGGGGAGACAAAGACGCCGCGCTAGAGAGAGGGTTGAATCACATTTAGCTTAAGCCCTGCTAGCTCGCTCTACGCCTATTTCCAAAGTGCTTACCTTGCGATCTTCGTGGATGCGTAGATCGCCTTGGTCGGGGGCCAAGAGGTCTCGAATTGTTTCGTTGCTTTTTTGATAAACGGTTAACACAAAAGGTGGAAAAAGACCATTATCCTACAAAAGACTCACTAAATCTCCATATAAGAAACCCGTAACAAGTACTCTCGGTCTCCACTTTGCTAAAAACCAAAGACATTACTCGATACGCCCCACTCTGAACAACTCCAAACGTGGGAAAACACATACCTCCCGAATATACCCAAAAATATCGTCCACGGCTTGGGGTATCACACCGGGCTGCTCATCCACACCCATCATACTATACGTTTTTCCAGACGCTGTTTGTCCGTAGGCAAAGACGGTGCCATTGATGCCTTCCATGGAGGCACGGACAACAGCCCGTGCAGAGCCTTCATAGAGTTCTTTATTGTCGCTTCCAGTCTGAACGGCATCTACAAAGATTAATAGTTATAAAATGACCCTTCCACATGCAAATGACCAACAAAAAAAAAAAAAAACAACAAACCAAAAAAATAATCGACAACCGCCTTCCGATTCCGCTCTGCGAATTCCTCAGAAAGCCCAACCCGTCCCAAACTCGGTTCCACCTGCCACACCGTTCCCCCATTCACAGCCTCCTCACTCGCCGTCAAAGGCCTCACACGGACTGTAACATGACATGCATCCTTTCCCGTCTTTTTCTCGGATCGAGTGGGTGTGGGTATGGATGGGGGTTTGGGTGGTGGGGTTGGGAGTGTGGATGCGACGGGGGAGGTGGGTGACGGGGAGGGAGTCGGGAGACCGGACATTGAGCGGGTTGGGAGGGAGGATGTTGGGGGTTTGATGGAGGATGGAGAGGGAAGGGAAGGTTGAGAAGAGGATCGTTTAATGGGTTCTGGGTCGAATTCGGTCGTTGCTGTTGCTGTTGTTGATGGTGTTGTTGTTGTTGTGGGAGGAGTTGCGGTTCCTGCGCCGACAAAGCGACCCAAGCCGCGCAAGCCGGCAAACATGGCTAGTGGTGCGCCACGAATGCACTATTCGAAAATAAAAAACGGGACGAACAAAAAACTAGAGTGGAACGTAATTGCAGTTCAAAAAGCTCTAAAGTCCAAAACAGAATCTCTCTCTCTCTCCCTCCCTTTACTCGCGCATATGTTCCCAAAATGCTACTAGCACAAGTCTCCAAAACCGACTACGTGGGGGGGGACCCAAGAACAAAAAGTAGGTGACTAAACGCGTCTCTCTCTCTCCGACTCTATGCAAAACAATAGCCCCCCTCCTCTCCAACTTGTTGTTGTTGTTGTTTCAAAGGCTGCTGGGTGAGGGGGAATTGAAACAACCGACACTATAAAACTCAGCTGCTTTCCTTGCAGTTCTCTCTCTCTCTCTCTCTCTCTCTCATAGAGCATAACATGCGAGTAAAAGGGAATAAAACACATACACAAGGAAACGCCTTCAAAATGCAACGCTCTACAAAAAATGATTTTGTACAGTCAATAAAGCACACACACACACACACACACACATAAAAAAAATCATCTGTAGCCCCAGCATTGTATTTGTCAAAACAAGAATCTCTTGCAAATGCCGTTCCGATAATCACGGAAAAGTTTTTGACTAGAAAAGATTCTCACAGTTGGGGAACTTGCAGTCTGGGATCTCTGATCACACACACACACACACACAACACCCTTGTTCATTGAGAGTGTGTGCACATGATGATATGTCCATGGATCGTTCATGTTTTGCAAATTCCAACCAACCCCTACTAAAAGTATCTTTTTACAATTGCAACCCTTGTTGGCATTGGCTTTCCTGTCGTTGAAGAAACGTGTGCAGGATCAACAGTTTTTCCCCAATCTCCCCGCTCCAAATAACAAGAAAAAAAAAGCAAGCAACTGTCGTGTTTAAAAAAAAATTAAAAAAAAATATAAACCTTTTGCAAAAAAACGACAAAACATAAAACTCGATACTCTTTCTAGTCTACCCATGCCATCCGCCTTGAAACAGTACATCCTGCAGAGGCGAAATCTCTCCCAAACCCCTTTGTCCATCGTCGACTTCAGCCACGATATTGCCAACACCATACTCTTCCTCATCCTCATCACCCTCTGCATCCTCTTCAATGTCGGGACCAGGCGGTAACGATCGTGTCGCTTCTTGTAATTGTTGTTGTTGTTGTTGTTGTTGTTGTTTGTCAGACAAGCTCGCAGCGACATCCTCGGGATGCGTAAACGTCTTTTTATGGTACCGCAATCCAGCAGCGGTAGAGTACTGCTTTGAGCATTTCGGACAAGGATAGAAATCGGGCTTGACTCGCGCAACGCGCACAGGTGGTTGGCGAGGAATGTGCGACATTTTGTGAAAGTGACGGAGATGGTACCGCAGCCCTGCTCCCGTTCCATACGTTTTGGGACAATCCGGGACAAAGCAGCGGTACACGCGCGGCTGCGTCGGTACATTCCCATTTTGATGAGATTGTCGCGAGGGAGGCACGGGGGACGTGGGGATGGAGGGTGCAGGCGACGACCAAGTGCTCGAAGGAGTGACGGTGCCGGACGGAAGTCCATAGTCAATGTGGGGCGACGACGACGAGGACGGATGGTCCGCAGCAGCAGAGTGCCCATCGTCATACGCCATAGGATCCTCATATTTGAGCGAATACGTTTCGGAAGCGGCGGTGCTGCAGTCTGATGGGGAGGTGGGGGGAGCCAGAGGGGGCGGGATGCGCGAGTGATGCAGCTCGCCGCCGCTGGTAGGAGCGGAAAAGGGGGGAGTGGGGAGCGAGGACTGGACAGTGGGGGCTTTGGGGGACCATTGCTGCTGCGGAGTAATGTGAGTTTGATGAGAGGGGGGATGATAGTCTATATCGGCAGGCACAGAAGAATGCTGAGAGTGATAGCTGCTTGCCGAGAGAATGTCTTCAAAGGTGGAAAAGACGGGAGTGGGGAGGGACGGCAGACCAGTGCCGGTTGGGGAAGGGTGGAACATGGAGACATTTGATTGATGCTGTTGATGATTGTTATTGTTGTAATGCTGCTGTTGTTGATGATGATGCAGTTGTGGATGCTGAAAATGTGGGTCTGTGACGAGGTTGGGAAGCGAGACGTGGGCCGACATTTGCATTGGCATGTGGCCGGCCATTTGAATGTGGGGAAGGGCATACCCGTTCCAAGGCATGTGCGATGGCACGACAAAGCCGTGTTGTTGTTGCTGTGGTAGCTGTGGTTGTTGTTGCTGATGTGGTTGCTGTGTCAAATGATGCTGATGATGAACGGGAGAAGACGGAACGGGATACTGAGGCGATAGGTGGTCAGATGGCGAGTAAGGGTAGGCAGAACGGGGCATGGAGAGCATGGGATCCGACTGACTGCGCTGAACGGGATGACCGTGTTGGCGATGGCGAGTGTACTGGTCCATTGTCATGTGTATGCCGCAGCAGACCACCACGGATGCTCCACCGTCAAAAGTAGTAGGGAGTGCTGGTGGTGGTAATTTCCTTGTCGTCGTCGTCGTCGTTGTCGTCGTTGTTGTTCCAGCAATAGTTGTAATGGGAGTGGGCGTTGATTGCTGACTGCCATTTGCAAACCCCAACAACAACAATGAGCATCTACTATGAACAATAATGTCCCCAAAATACAATAAAAATAAAAGTAAAAGAAATACTCACAGTGAGCCCATGGGATAATAACAAAATGTAAGAGAGAGTGTGTGTGTGGGAAAAAAAATAAAAATAAAAGAGAAAGCGCGCGCGCAAACAACCAAGAAAAAAAAAAGGAGGAGAGCCAGGAAGCAAGCAAGGAAGGAAGGAAGGAGAGAGACAAGAAGAAGAAGAAGAACAAGAGAGAAGAGAGAAGAAGAAAGAAAAAGAGAGAGAGAGCGTGGGAAAGTACTCCCTTTTCACTACAAAAGAAAGACACTACATCTACACTCATCATGTCTATATATAGTATAATTATATTATGTGGCGTTATTCCCTACTATATATAGAAATGTGTAATGCATTCCAATGAATATAGAGAGCCGATAGAATATGAATTGATTGGTGGCATTTCCATCGATGAATGACCATGGAGTTGAAATGGACATGGGAATAAGAGAGAGAGAGTAATTGGAGAGAGAGGGATGGACCATTTAGAGTGAGAAAAGAGAGAGTGAGAAAAGAGAGAGAGAGATCTCTAATAAAAGTGAATAGTTATTAGTTGTTATTAGTCTCTCTCTCTCTCTCTCTTGCTATTAGTCACTTTCATAGCACACAAACTGCATTTCTCTCTTATTCTTGCGAGTCTCGAATGGAGGGGGTCTTTTTTACACAGAGAAAAGGGGACTCTTTTAGCAGTCGATTGCTACCCTTGTATTCTCTCTCTCTCTCTCTTTCCCTTAAAAGAACCTTATGACCGTGCCACATGAACAGTGCCACTCTCATTATGACTATTTGGTTTATATGGGATCTTACACACATTCACCCGCTGTCTATGCCACTTGCACACATTCAACCGCTTTCCTTCCTTCCATAGGGATGCATTGAACAAAAGGCAAGGAGGAGAGAGGGAGAGAAAACTGCTCTTTCACACACGGTCCATAACAAACAGGCAGAGTTTTTAAAGCAAATGGACATGCACTCTTCCTCCTCCTCCTCATCGTCTTCCTCCTCATCGGCAACGGCCTTGACACCCACGCGTCGGCAAATGGGTGTTCTCCGCATTGACACAGACAGTCAACAACGCTCAGGTCGCTCAACATTCTCTCCTATTGAACAAGTATCAAGCGCACTCACCATGGACGACACGGAACGCAGAGATCCACTCGCCTTTTTAGACACGCTCCAATCCTACCTCATTTCTCCCATCCCACGCTCCCAAAAACACTGCACAGAATCCGCTCTTCTCGTCAAAACATGGATAGACTCTCTTTCCTCTATTGACCACCACCACCAGCAACAGCAACAAACCTCTCCAGCATGGTCTAGTAGAATGAGCGGATCGAGCACAGGCAGTCCAACTCAACAGTCAAACCTCCTAGATCTCCTCGACGCGAAAATTGCCGAACTCAATGCCGACATTGAAACCTTTCATATTCCCCGCTCGGCCTCTGTCTCATCCTCCTTATCCTCGCATTCCTCGTGTTCGTCTTTATCATCTTCGCGTCTCGAATCGATTCCTGAGCACCCTCAACGAGACATTCAGAAACTGAAAGAGTTGGATCGCTTGAATAGGCGGGATGGCAGAAAACCCCTCCTTGCTTGAAATAGTGCCCATTTTTTTTGACGAGCAAACATTGATATACACGCACACACACACGCACACACACACGCACGAGTCCCTCACAATCACCGCCATTCATCTCGCCATTCTTGAACCAAAATAGACCTCTTGTTGATGATGATCATATCCACTCGTTTCTCTTGTACATTGTTTTTCTTGTTCTATTTAAAGAAAAAACCTCTTATCTCTTGTCTAGTTTTATAGTCTAGTGTGTTGTTTTTGCTAGCATTGGATGTAGTCAACTTTTTTCCCATACACACACACACAAGTTACTATTATATCCTTAATAGAGATGCCACTTTTGCAGACTTGCGTCAAATTCTTTTCCTTTGAAAATGGAGGATTAATGTCCATGTAGGGAAGCAGTCAAGACACTGACACTGGCTATTACCGGCAAAATGCCAACCAAAATTCATCCAATATAAAACCCTATATACACGAACGCAAATCTACAACTCATGTTCTGTATCCCATATGAAAGCAAGATACATAAGCAACCGGGGGGCATCAACCTACAACAACCTCTCACCTCATCCTATACACACAATCCTACACATACAATTAGCAAGCGCATTACACAACGTCGTCTACCATCTCATATCACCCTCCCTACAACATCATCATTTGATACCTCTTTCCAAATTCAACCACCTTGTCACTCACAAACACACTCTTCCCCCCAAACGCCTTGACACGTAACCCCTCCAACCCTTTAACCCTCGACAGAGCGGTATAAGCCTGCCCAGACGCAAAAGCCGCCTCCAAATCCACTTCAACCCGATCCAACGTCATTCCCTGACTTTTATGCACCGTCAATGCCCACGCCAATTTCAGCGGTATTTGTCTCCGAACCAAGATCCCACGACCCGGTCCAAGCGACATTTCAAACCGATGGAACCCAACACAAAAGATTTTTCGATCTGCAGCGAATTGGACAAGGGGGAGGGATACGTGGGTACCGAGGACGGGATCTAACGCTGTCTTGTAGCCCACAACATGTCCTCTTGCGCCATTGACGAGACCTTGATCGACAGACATGTTTCGGAGGAGGACGACTTGGGCACCCGGTTTAAGATGCAAGGTCCTAGGAGCCGCAAAGGCATTAAAATGCAAATCAATGACTTCTTGAAATTCCGGTACAAGTCTCATGGTATCTCGTCCCGCTTCAAAACTATCATTGGCCGTAAAGGTCGTCATGGCTTCTGGTAACCGATGCAACGCCAAATGATTATACTGTTGCGCGACCCGATTGTACCCTGTAATCAACGTCGGTTCCAGTACATCCTCATCTTCCCATGTCCGCCCAACACACCCTTGTAAAGCCTTTTGAACAAACTCATCATAAACCCCCCGCCGAACTCTGCTCAAGACTTCCACAAACACTTGATCCGTCTGCCTAAATATTTGCGACAACTCCACCATTCGCATCCCGCGTTTCACCAAAGCATGCCACGCCCGTGACTCAAACACGTATCTAGCCTCGCTACCCACACATACTGGCGGCAATTGCCAAAAATCCCCACAAAGCACCACCTGCATCCCACCAAATGGCTTGTCATACACTTTTCGAATCACCCGTGACACATGGTCGAGCATGTCAAATAAGAGTGGATCCACCATACTCGCTTCATCAATCACGAGGATATCGGTTTCTTCGTAGGGTTTGCGTCGGAGAGTGGAGCGCTGCACATGGTGGGTTAGACTCGTTATACTTGATGTCGTTGAACCAATGTGTGACATGAATGAGTGGAGTGTTTGTCCGTTCAACTAGAATACAATATTTTCAATATTTCCATTTCTTGTACATTGTGACCTTTGGACACACTTACATTCGCAGCAGCAATCCCCGTCGGACTCTACAAACCCAAAAAATCAATAAAACACGCACCAAAACAAACAACACAATTCATTTTCCTCACCGTAACAGCAACCCGCTTCCCACCCTCTCGTACCCTCCCAACAAACTCATTCAAAACAGCCGTCTTACCCGTCCCCGCCTTCCCCGTAAAAAACACATTAGCTCCACTCGACAAGAGTTGAACCAGTTTTTCTTGGGAGGCTGATAGACGGGGTGTTGTTGTTGGGGTTAGGTAGGGGGTTTCGGTGTCGGCGAGGGCGAGGACGGTGGAGAGGTGCCGGAGGGAATGTCGGAGGGAATGGTGGAGGGGTCGTCGGCGATAGAGGATACAAAGGGGCATCTAGGTAAATGTCAAAATGTGCGAGTTGGGTTTTTGCGAGTACTTGCGCGTATATCAGTTTGACATGTGTCCAAGCCACGTACGCGTCCGAACATTTTGTGAGTCAACCGATCATTCGCTTCCCATTAATTTATGTTTTGCAAAAAAAAAAAAGGTATTAAAGCTACCTAGATGGATAGCGTGAGGTGAAAAGACTGAATGTGGGTGAAATAGAGATGCTTAATGGGTGAGATGTTGAAATGTTGGAGTAGTGGTACCAATCCATACGACAAACAGCCTTTTGTGTATCTTGGAAGACATTTTGATGGATAACCAAGAGACAGCATAACGCAAGTCAAACTTCTGCCCATTTTTAAAAACTCAATGATATACATTAAAACACATTCACAAAAACATCACAAAAAAAACCTTCCAAAATGTATTCACATGACTACCCCAACCTCGGCACAGCCTTAATAACACCCGTCCGATTCAACCTATCCAACAACACAAACAACTTTTCCGCTTCCCGTTCCCTCTCTTCCTCACTCATAGCCTTCCACTCTTCATCCGCCTTCTGCGCACTGAATTCACCTGTAATGGGGTCAATATCTTCTGTTGGTGCTGGTCCACCACTAGGAAGGAGACCACGGTTATAGAGAAAGCCCGCGGCGGGGCCGTATCCAATGTAGGAGACGAGGGTTTCGGCTTTATCAAGACAATTAAAAGAATGTGGGTTGGGAATGGAAATAAAGAGATACGTACGTGATTCATTGGAGAGTATAAAAAAGAGTTCAGAGACGGCTTGTCGGAGGTTTGGATATGTGATGGATGTCATGTACCGTATTAATCGAGCCGTCAATGTCGTCCCTTTATCCAACGGCTGACTTCGATCTCTATAAACCAAGAAGCATTAGGACATACCTAAAACACACACATATTGTAACGCTACTCACATATCATTTGGCATGATCCAGTCTCTCATGACAGCTCTCGCATGCACATCCCCTCTAGCAACTCCCACCAAAACCAACACCAAAGGCGAACACGATTCATCCAATAACACGCCACCTACGCGTACCTCCTCCTCGGCATCCTCGCCATGAACACCTACAGTCTCTTCCAAGATATCCACAAACTTTCGCAAGAGTGTGTAATCGTCATTCGGAAACCAAATGTCGTGGTGTGTAGGGAAATGCAATAACGTGTGAATGGCGTGTGAGATGGGTGGTGAGAGTGGCGGTGTTGGAAGGGGGTATGATCGGAGGAGATCCAAAATGGGTGGCACGAGTCTGTTTTGGTTTCTTGAGATGAAATGTTACAACCTTTTTCAGCATATAATAAACGCACCCTGTACAATCAGTCTCTTCATCCGAAATATTAAAAACAAGCTTTAAAATCTCGTTCAACACCATCAATTCCATCCCCTCCACAGGTGCTTTGACGAGTCTCTCGAGTCTCTGTTTCCAATTAGTCCCAATTCGCAAAAAAATATAAAAGCGTTTGTTGTTTACCTCGGTCAATATACCAACAATCCCGTTCTTTAGTACCGTCTGCACAACTTGACGTTCAACAGTCGCCAAAAACAGAATCCGAAATATGAGAAACGTGGGTTCAGATGCTAAACCCCCATCCTACACACACCCATTAAACTTCATTCATCCAAAAACCAAAAAATCGAAACACAACATACCTTTATAATCTCTACACACTTTTCCACACCACCTAGTTCCCATACTACACCCCTCGCAGCAGGATAATGCAACAAGACATTACAAAGACATTTAAGTCCCTCTGTTGTGTGTGGCGTCGGTTGATACGCATTTGACCCGAGTCCCGCATGCAATACCAACAATTTTGTGCCCTATGTATTTAAATTAGATACGATACGTATATTGGGCACGACCGATACGTACCTCAACGGAATAGAGTGCATCGCATCCAACGGATTCACGTAGTAGGATACGCAACACGCTTAATACGTGGGTAAAGACTAGTGGACATGTCAATCCATGTTTTAACGTTATATAGTTGGTGGTGATTGTATTTTACCATCTTGGCTCCATGTGCCGCTCTCGTCGCGTAGACCTTGAACGATACGATCAACGTAAGCGGTTTTCTCAGCGACGGTGATTGCGGGTGTGAAGCATGTGGTCTGGGCGTGGGTTTTGAGAAAGGTTTGGAGGGTAGAGAGAAGGGTTGGGTCTGTGAAGGATGATGGGAGGGGAGGGAGGGACGTCATGTTTTGAATCTGTGGGATGGTCAGTGTGGTGGTTGATGCAAGCAAAAGTGTTCCAACGCGTGAGCAGTGTCACGTGAGTATGCTTGGTAAGCAGCTGCGATCAACTTTGGGTGGAATGACACGAGTCTGCAGTTGTGCAGTGTTTGTCCAGGGAAGGGAACCTCCGGAGGGACTTAATCAAAGGAACAAAGGATCAAGGGACGGCAAGGTCGGGGCGAGACGTTCAGGAAGAAGGGAACGAAACCACAAGGGTAATGCCAGACGCACGCCGAGACGCTGCCTGGCCAGTCAACAGTCAGCCCTTGAAAACAAAAAAAAAAAACTGCATTCGTCACAGTGCACCCACCAAAACTCGAACTTGTCAATTGTTCAAAAGTCGCACACGTGTCATCACACGACAGCCCAATTTGATACAACTTTCACATGTCTAGATCTTCAAAAAGGTCACGTTCTCCTTGGTGTAACATGATTCCAAATATAGCATAATTGGCAGTTATTGAGCGTATTTAATGGGTCTGGTGGAGGAGAAGGGTTGGATTTCCCCCCACCTTGGTTTTGTGTACGCCTTGCTCATCGCCATCTTGGTTCTCGCCCCCGTCCATCTGCACATTTGCAAAGCTATGCCGTCCTTTACTACTGAGCAGGTTGCCTCCCACAACACTGAAAAGGACATTTGGGTACTGCACACCATCCGCTACACTTGAGCGCGCTGACTTGAAGCTAAACACATACCTCTAGATCATTGTCCACGGAAAAGTGTACGATGTGACATCCTTTCTAAACGACCACCCAGGAGGCAAAAAGATTTTGCTAAAGGTGGCCGGAACGGATGCGTCCAAGCAGTTTGACAACTTTCACAACAAGTCTGTTTTGGACAAGTATGGACCTAAATTGTACAAGGGCGATATTGGAGGTGCTGTTGAGGAGGTCAAGGGCGAGGCTGAGAGTGTAGAGTTGACTGGGTTGGAGGAGGGTGAGGCCTTTGGTGATTTGATTCCTTTTGGCGATCCTTACTGGTACCAGGTAAATTGAATGTAGGAATGTGCATCGTTCGTATTGGGATATTGATGTTTTTTGTCGTTTAGGACTGGTATTCTCCTTACTACAATGAAAGTCACCGTCGTCTACGTGCGACTGTGCGCGCCTTTGTGGAAAAGGAGATTATGCCTTTCTGCCATGAATGGGATGAGGCAAAACAGATTCCCAAGGAACTGTTTATCAAGGCTGCTAACGCGGGCATCCTTGGCGCCATTGTCGGACACCCATGGCCTACAAAGTACGTTGAGAGAGGTCCCATTGCTGGTATCAAACCTGAAGGTGAGCCAATAAAAGGAGAATTTGACGCGCAATCTCCGCTGACTCGACATGACAGACTTTGACGCGTTCCACGAGTTTATTGTTTGTGATGAGCTTTCCCGCTGTGGATCTGGAGGTGTCCTTTGGGGTTTGATTGGTGGTTTGGGTATCGGACTCCCACCCGTCATCCAATTCGGAACGGACTACCTCAAGGACAAGGTTGTCAAGGATTGCCTTGCTGGGCGCAAGAACATTTGCTTGGCCATTACCGAACCCGCTGCTGGGTCTGATGTGGCTAATTTGACCACTACCGCAAAGAAGACTGCTGATGGAAAGCACTACATTGTAAGTGCGACGCAAAGGTGGTTTCAACCCAATGCCGCCGCTAATGTATCGTCATTTTGTTGACAGCTCAATGGTGAGAAAAAATGGATCACCAACGGTGTCTTTGCAGACTACTTTACTGTTGCTTGGTAAGTTGCATCAAATACAGCCAACACCGCAGCTGTCTCGACCACTATCTCTAACCAGGATGCCCCTATTATTAGCCGTACTGGCGGTCCGGGAATGAATGGCGTGTCTCTGCTGCTCGTAGAGCGTGACATGCCAGGTGTGACTACCCGTCACATGCCATGCATGGGTGTCTGGGCGTCCGGAACGACCTATATCACCTTTGAAGATGTCAAGGTTCCCGTGGAGAACTTGATTGGCCGGGAGAACAAGGGATTCAAGGTAAGCCCTGAGATCTCAACGTTCAATGGGAGCCGGACCACCAACATGAAAACATTGCTAGTGCATCATGTTCAACTTTAATCACGAGCGTATGGGTATTTGCATCCAAGCCAACCGGTTCGCCCGTGTCTGCGTTGAAGAGTCCATGCGTTACGCGTAAGTGCGCAAATGATATTAGATTCAATGTCTGATCTTATTTGACACTTTTGTCATTCCTCCAGTCACAAACGCAAGACCTTTGGCAAAAAGCTCATTGACCACCCCGTCATCCGTAATAAGCTGGGTCACATGGTCCGCAAGGTCGAAGCGACCCACGCGTGGATGGAATCCTTGATCTTCCAAACAACGACCATGCCCCAAGAGCTTCAGATGCTCAAACTCGGAGGACCGATTGCATTGCTCAAAGTCCAAGCTACCCAGACTATGGAATACTGTGCTCGTGAAGCTGCCCAAATCTTTGGTGGGTTGTCGTATAGCCGTGGTGGACAGGGAGAGAAAGTGGAACGGTTGTACCGTGAAGTCCGGGGTAAGTCACTCGAGTTGACATTAAAGTGAATCCATTGTTTGATGCGTTGTTATTTTCTTTAGCGTATGCCATTCCTGGTGGGTCTGAGGAAATTATGATTGACTTGGGTATTCGACAGTCGGTCAAAGTTGCCCAATTGAGTGGTGCCAAGTTGTAGATGGGATTACTACTCTATTTACATTGTGTGCAAGGTTTGGAAATATATAAGAGGGCCACGTCCCCAAATCACGTTAGATAACATTAGTGCAGTTTGGTTTTTGGAGTGTAGCTGGGGCGGGTTGTTGATTGGGATGTCGAGGTTATGGTGAGCTGCGTTTATAACATTGCACACGCCACTTCCAGTTGTGGATGGTGTTTGCCATGCCTTGTGGTTTTGGTGCAGTAAATTGCATCCATGAGACTTGAGTTCTATCGTCACGTTAGGGCCCTGGCACTTGGCACTTGCTAATCTTGTACCTGCTTTGGCGACGCCATCAACACCAATCTCTCCACTAACAGGACCAAACACACAGAGACACAAAAAAAAAATGCAACAATAGAAGAAATATTATCTAGCGGCAGTAATATAAAATATTCATAAAACCCCCTCATCAATTCACTCGCTCCAACCACTTTCCAGCCCCCCACGTAACCCACCAAGCACACTCCAAAACCCCCCACCCAACAACGCACTCCCCAACCAAACTCACAATCCCCCTCCTCCACCCCACAAACCCCAAAAAAACTTCAACAGGCCAACAACACAAACTCGTTAACAACCCTGCCCCAATCCTCCCCACCGCAGACCGCCAATACCGTCTCAACACTGTCCTTCGTAATTGTAACACAACTTCTTTGGCGTCATCACCATAGTACATGGCATCTGACATCCATGACTGCGTTGGTTTATCTAGGTGGATTGTATCCGGGTGGGTGGGCGTTGGTGGTGTGAGACGGGTTTGAAAGTAGCTTTGAAGGGTTTGTCTCAATATGTGGAGTATGAGGGATGGGAAGAGCGTCGTGTGGGTGTATGGATTGAGGGGATATGTCAACATATAGGAAATACTACAACAAATACCAGTTAGTATCCAATACACGATTTTATTTAAAGTTTTTTGCGTACCATGTATTCAACTTTTCTAGCAAACCAGACTGTTTCAGAGTAGGAAATCGGGGGAGGAGGTACGTTTCTTGGACAAGTTCAAGTAGGTATTCGGTTAGGAGAAGGGATGTTTGGTGGGTTGTTGCTTTTGGGAGGGATGTAAATCCTATACGGGACGTGGGATTATATCTTGCCACAGAAAAGGGGTAGGAGAGCATGTAGTTTGACGTTAGGGCTGTCAGGAAAGGATGGGGTTATAAACAAAATGTCAAGCATGGTAAACGAAAAAAACCGTGAACGTACTTAGACAATTCAATGTCATCCCCAACCTATTCTCCAAAGCCTCCCTCCTCAACATTCCCCGTCGAACATCAACAACATGTCCCTCCACCGACGACAAAATCTCATCCTGAGCCCTCGTTAACCGGCCGGATAGTACATTCCGTTTCCGTCCCATTCGACGAAAATCCTCTCGTTGTGTCTCCATTGATGTACTGTTTTCGGCTGCTGGTGCAATATACGTTGTTGCGACTTGGTGGCAGACTGTTCCGCCGAGGGTGTGCATGGCTGTTGGGGGAATGCCGAGGACAAGTGTCCAGGTTGATAAGCCCATAATGATTTTTTGGTGAGAGGTTTGTATGAGGTTTGTTGGTGTAGGTAATGAGGTAGTTGGTGAGGAGGAGTTTTTTGTAAGAGATTGTGGTGGGGATGAGGTACGAGGTTCAAAATAAAGAAACTAGATGGCTTTTTTGATGCGAGTAGCGGGTTTGGTGTTATCAAGATGACAAAGAGGATAACAACAAAAACACAAGAGGAAGACTAAATAATCGTCCCCAACAAAAGATTGACAGGGTTGAGAAGGAGGGGGTGGGAGCTTTCTACCCGGGCTTAAAAACGTTGTCGTTTTCCTCCTTGGCCCAATGGCAGCTCCATGCAAAAAGCAATGGCTCGGCACCTCCAACGTCCGCTCAGCTTTCTTGGAGCAATGGGTCATCATGATGACAATTGAAACGCTGTCAGGATGTGACTCATTTGCTATGGCAACATGTGAACCGCAGTCACATGATAAATTGTGCTTAGTAGTGCTGCGCACGGGTTTTGTAGCCCTTGCAAATACGGTTCTTGTCGTTTAGCTTTGCTCTTGCGTTGTTTTTGCCTCATGTCATTGAAGAACCGTGCCGGCGGTGCTGTCAGCCCGGCGATGGATGTAAATGGGTCACCAACATCTGCTGAGATACCCCTACTACCTAGAACTGGACGGCCGAGTCGCGGGCGTACTGAAAAGACGGAAAAGAGCCAACCGCGCTGGTTGACACTAGAGTTTTTATTGTATTATGTGGTGATTGCGGTGGGGTTACCGGCATTGTTTATCTGTGCATGGGGATTTAGCAGTGGTAGGTGGGGCATAAAAGGCGTTATGGTTTCTGGACATGAATTTGAATTTAAACGCGTTATGTCGTAACTTTAGCAAACCACATCAATTACTACCAATATTCACGAAAACTTGGCAAAGGCTGGTTACTCGGTCGCAGAGTCGATAATAGCGATGCTCAGTATGCATCTTTCCGCAACAATATTCCCCTCCTTTCCTACGTCCTTGTAGGCCACATTCTCCTGTCAAACGTCGTTCAACGTCAAATCCCTTCCCTCCGACCGCTATTCTCCCTCATCTTTTCCCTCATCTTCCTATCTGTCATTCATGGTAGTTCGGTCATCAAAATCCTAGTCCTTGCAGCTGTCAACTACGCGGTGGCGAAATATGTGGGAGGTCGATTGGGAGTGGCATTATCGTGGATATGGAGTTTAGGGGTGTTGTTTGCAAATAATGCGTATGATGGGTATAAATTTGCGAGTTTAAGTCAGGATTTGGCGTGGTTGGTGAGTTTTGTCTGGCTGTTCTCGCTGATTTGGTGCAATTGCTGCCGAGGGTGACTCTAATTTCTCGGTTAAGGACAAGTACAAAGGGATCAACATGCGATGGTGGATCACGTTCAATTTCACAACTTTGAGAATGATATCGTTTGCTATGGACTATTACTGGCAGACGAACGGAGGACGTGATAAGAGCAAATACGAAGTATGCAAACAAGTAGGGATATCCAGTCGCGCTGCGGAGTGGTACTAATGACAGTCAAGCAGACACACCGGCAAACCTGCAGCGAATGTTCCTCTGCCACCCATCCCGGTGAACAATGCTCCAAATCCCGCATCGAAACTCCTCTCTCAGCGTCATCCTACAACCTCCTCAACTACTACACCTACCTTCTCTACGTTCCCCTCTATCTCGCCGGTCCCATCATCACATTCAACGACTTTACAGCCCAACTTCGACATCCACCCAAATCGATAACAATGAAAAGCACGCTTTTGTATGCTGTTAGATGGATTTTGGTTGTCTTGTGCATGGAGTGGATTCTACACACGATTTATGTGGTCGCCATCAAGGACACCAAGGCGTGGGGTGGGTTTACGCCCTTTCAGATGAGCATGGTGGGCTATTTCAATCTCAAATTGATTTGGTTAAAGGTGGGTACCATATTTTAGAGTTTGGTGTGTGGGAGTTTGCTCACTGTTTTTATGTACGACAGTTGCTGATTATTTGGAGATACTTTCGATTATGGGTATGTCATTTAGCTCGAGCTTTGGTAGGCGTTAGATGGGACAACTAATTACTTGCAAACAGGCCATGGCTGACCGTATTGAGACAACGGAAAATATGACACGGTGCATGAGTGACAATTACTCTGCGATTGAGTTTTGGCGGTCTTGGCATCGATCCTTTAATCGGTGGCTTGTCCGGTAAGCGCATGCATTGCCAGATTTTGGGGTCCAAGCACAGTGCTAATACCATTTTGGGACAGTTATGTTTATATTCCCTTGGGCGGCCAACGCTACTATGCCCTCAACATCTTCCCCACCTTCACCTTTGTGGCGGTCTGGCACGACATTTCACTCAAACTCTTGACTTGGGGTTGGCTCGTCGCCATCTTTATCCTCCCCGAACTCGCTCTCCGCAAATCCTTTGCCACACCGCAATTCAGAGCAAAACTCGGCGGCTGGTACCGCATGCTCAAAGGCATTGCAGCCGTCTTGAACATTTGGCTGATGATGATTGCGAATCTGGTCGGCTTTGCTGTGGGAGTAGATGGCGTACGCGAAATGATGCGTCAAATTATTTTTGGAGAGGGTGGGACTGTGTTTTTGGTGTGCTCTTTTGTAGCTGTTTTTGCTGCTGTACAACTTATGTTTGAGTTGAGGGAGGAGGAGAAGAGACGGGGGTGGAAGAAGTAAGAGAGAGATCTTGGGTCTGGCAGATACCCCCCCCCCCATAGATAGGTCTTTGTATGTGTATGCAAATTACCACACAAGTACAATATCTATATTCATGCTCAGAGGACTAGAGTGATTTAGAATACGAACCATGGTTTTCCACCGCCTGGTCATCATACCTGCGGATCTGTACCAGCGATCTGGAACCCCTGTCACATTACAAGCTTTTTGACAATTTTCAAGTTGCAGGGTTATTCCAGGCTTTTGAAGATTACGTCTTGAGGATTTGAAGCCACGATCATTTTTCGAATTACTTTGCAGCGGAGATCAGATCGCGCTTAACGTCAGCAGCGCGTCCCAACTGTCGGATTTTTTCAGGATGCGAGCTTTTGTTTTCAAACAATAGGTTGTTTTTCCCATGATTGCGCATCCGTAAACAATCCGTCTAGATCATACGCCTCACACAAGTGTTGGCGTGGTGGGTGTTGGATCGTTTTGCAAGGCGGGTTTGTAGCATTCCAGTACGCAAAGCACCTTACATTGCATCAAAAAAAAAACAATGTCAGACGGATCACGCAATCCATATCCACAGCGACCAAAACTTCCCAACCTCAATGTCAGCTCAACACCCTCCAGCGTGCCAACCACGCCCACCTATACTATCCAAACCGACAAACCCACCCCACTCGTTGATTCCGCTATAGATCCGTATACCCCACGCACGGCCCAATCGTTCAGTTTCCCCCTCCCAGATACACCAAGTACAAAACGCAGTTCAGTACAATACAGCTACGGTAACTCCCGTCGTCACACTCTGTTGGCTCGTGTACGTCCCCAAGCGACTCCCACCCCGCATTCGCAAACCATACTCGAGTTTCCCACACATCATGACAGACAAACCCTACACACTCTCCTCACAAAACTACCGACCCTTCATCGTGTATCCGATACATCCTATAAAGCAACATACACTCCGCCGCCTTTATGTGAATCACCACTTTCCGCACGTACACCAGAGGAGGCAATGGATATGGTCGTCGCAGGGTTTGGCGCAGAGGAGGGATACGGATTTGTAGTGGATCTTGCTACCGAAGGGACGGTGCGATGTGTGGAGGAAGGGGTTTGGGCTGTGCCCTTTGAAGACGGTGTTAAAAGTGTACTGGGAAATGTCGTAGAGTGAAAATAGAAGGGATGTCAAGGATGCGTTTGTGTTTAATTATTTGTATTTTTTACAATACATCTTTGGTAGAGGAGTGTATATCCCTTATTTTTGTTACATACCCTATCCTTTCAACCAGAATTCCAACAGAAGACGTTCCTGTGAACTTATGCCGCATTGATTACAGGAATTCTCTCAAACAACATCCTTTAGGCGCAAATATATATATATATGTACAAGGCTTGCTGTCTAGTGTGAGGTCTGATGTTGACTGGATGGTCGACTCACGTTCAAAGCCCTGTGTATTGCTGATGACAATACATTGCCATGGTATATTAGCTAATAATGCAATCCTCACCAATTATCTGCATCGGATGGATAATACTTGGGTAAAAGTGGGCTGTGTTGTATGCATGTTCAGGTTCTCTGGGATCCAGAAGGCTGTGATACCTTGTTCTCAAGTTAGAATTTGGGTAACCTAATATGGGTAACCTGTCAGGACTTTTTGAACCCGTCCACACACATGGAATACAGCATGACTGTTCAATACTAAAAATCTTATCTGTTCTTACTCTCTTTTGAGTCTCTCCGTTCCTGTGATACATGCGTTTCTCTATATAGCTTGTATAGATTACAAATGACGATGTTATCCCAGTTCTAGATATCATATTGAGGCGTGGAAACACACCAGAATATCAGTTGAGATATATCTGTTGATACGTGAGGGCAAGATAGACTTGTCATAAATCCACACTGATTTATCAACACCTATCTGCAATTGGAGTCCGCAGGGAGAGCAGGTACACACTGCCGGCTGCCTCGAGACTCGCCATAATATGCAAGGACGAGTCTAGCAATCATTTCACACCAATGGCCGGTTATGGCGCGCTAGGTCACAATTTGTTGAAATCTCGTCTTGTATCGCTTGTGGAGCACCACTCGAGGATGGTAGGTCCCGATCAGCCCACTCTTTCAGACGCATTACATGTACTGCACAAAATAACCAGTCCAGTATCATTGTCGAAGGTAAAGTCAGGCGTGCCAGGACAGAGTTGCCTGAGCAGAGGGCCTATGATGAGAGCCAGGTGATTTGTCACAATACAGGAAATTGGACTTACTCGTGATTGGAGGAAAGTTGTCGTATTTGGCGTTTAAGAGTCTCCACTGAGAACGGAGATCCAGTGCGAGGATCTACTCGCAGGTTACAGGAAGAGCAGACTATTTGGTTTCCGGCTATAGTCATCACTCCCTGCCGGCAGACAATGCACGTATCTGAAGAATCTGGGGCCCCATAACCTGGTATATCATCATCCATCATAATCATATCAATGTCTTCCTCTTGATTTAACGAGCTCTCGTACACCGCAAGGATCTGATCATCCCACGTCTCAGGTCCCTCCTCATACCCTGCCGTCTCAAGTGCTAGTTCCCGCAAGATCTCTTCCTCGAAAACCAAAGGAATAGATCCTTGTGCATTAGCTTCTGTTCGAAACTGTTGCCACTGACTGGAAATGAAAGAACGGGCCCACTGAAAAAGGGCGAAGAATGGTATCTCAAGCAGATATCGTTTGAATGTTCAGAGGTGCAGTTTCTACCTGTTGCTCAACAATTTCATCCCAGTTCTCATTCACCTGGACCTTTGGACCATCTTTCAGTGGACTACTGGCAATATTCCCAAACCTCCTCCGCCGAACTTCTGCATCGCGAGACTCTTTTACTCTGCTTAAACATTGGAGCCTGAAACGTTCACGCCATGTCGGTGTACTAGGTGATGAGGGGGATCCAGTGCGTTCGGACCGTTCAGACGGTGAGAGAGGGGAGGATATATGTGGTGCGTAGGGTCGCTTGACAGGTGTTCTTGCCGGACATTGCGTATGTGCCATTGGGTCTAGTCGCAATTAGTGAATGAAGTGGGGCGAAATCCTTTCCTTGTCCGAAATCACGTTACTGTACTGTACGTAAGCAATAGGTCACGTGGCTTTTGGAATTGCCAAGAGGCCGTCTTACTATTGGAATATTTATTTTCTAAAACACAATTCTACAAAATAATAGTAATCAAAAGAATGGTCATCTTAAGCAATCAATGGACGCTTAATATGCAGTTATTTGCCGGGTGGTGATAGGCCTATCCAAGCCGGGGGAATTTTTAACTGTTCGCAGAGCGCACGACCAAAGAGCTTGTTATCGTGAACCAGGAGGAACGGCTGAATGACGGCACCCACTATAACCATCGTGTGGCCAAAAAAATCCATAACGTACGGGCAAGCCTTTCCAGATATTGCCTCTGAAATGTCGAACATTATGATTATTCCACTGCGGATTCCAAACGGTACAACTAGTCTTACCGTATGCAAACATTGTTGCATGAATGCACCATCCAAACATGAACAGCCCGACAATACGGACGGAACGCCGAAGAACTTCTCTCTCCAAGCGCTGGGTTTTTTGCTTTCTTGTCATGCTTTTCTTTGTAAAGGACACCCGTTTGCTGCGAGCACCTTGGCTATTCTCCTCTGCCTGGTCATCAAGGTCCCCGTTTCCAAAAAAACTCAATGAGAATTTGATATTCTCCCTAAGTCGCGCCCAAAATCCCCCACCACCGTCCGCCGCAGGCACCATTTGTTCATGTTGCGATTGATCAATCGTACTGTTTCCATTTGAAGACATCATCAGTTCAGTCTTAATCATTCCGCTCAGCTCATTAACTTGTGATCGAACGACTAGGAAAGTTTTCCCGTAGAATACAACCGTCAGCACCATTGTCGAACTCAACATGATGATGCAGAAAATGGTATGAGCTAGAGCCAGGGGTTCGCGGGTATACCATGCCCCAGAGCAAGCGATCTGGGCTGGCCGCAAGACGAATCGTCCAGTAAGCCAAGGGTATGTCCCGATGAACAAACCAGGTACCCATGTCATCATTGCCATTACGATCATGATCGGGACGGTCACTTGTCTTTGCTATAAAAATAGATTTTCAGGAATTTGATCGCAAGACCCCAATCCCCATTATTTTGCCAGCAACTAACCTTAACAATGACCAGATATCTCTCGATGCTGATAGTGAAAGTTGACATCCCCGCCTCAGATCCAAACCCCAACCCACTCCACCCTTCGAACGCGCAAAAGTTGGCCGAGGCAAACTCCCCGTGTATCGAATTGTAGATGGTTATGGGCGCAGAAAATCTTAAAACAGCGACAATATTGAAATAGCCAGGAAATAAGATAATAGCCAGGGATACAGAGCATAATTTTGGTACTCACCCGCCAAAAAGCATGTTCGCAATAACCATCCCGAAAATAACCACCATGTTTGAAGGCGTCCATAGTCGGCGATCGCGACAAAACACATACAGTATGACAAAGTTGAAAAGGAAACAAAGTGCTAACAAAATCCCAACCTTTCAGTTTCGAGACGAAGGCAAATGAGTCACAACTACCGACCCCACACAAAATACTTTTTTACTATTCTCTTACAAGCATGCTAAGAATTTGCGTCGATCTCGACGTAGGCACAGGAAAGTCCTGGCTTTCAATTCCGGTGTACATCTTTGATATCAGAAAAATGTAGTTGGATTTGGATATGCCGTGGGGACAGAACGGGTCAGACACAGACTCTTTAAAATGTTCCTCATGTCTATTATAAACCACCCAGGATTAAGTTGGCTTTGTCAATGGTTACTATTCTGTGAGGGTAACCGATCCTCGGACAATAGGGAACCGAAATCAGGACTCGTGGCATCTGCAAGCAAAAAAGGAGCATGTGGGCAAATGTTGACTCTAAAATTTCCGTTTACGGAAGATGCGTGAAATATTTATGAGGGTTATCCCTTGGATGCGAATGAGATCCTAGCCAAATATTCCTCTATTTAGAATAAGGTGCAGGTTAAATACACTAAGGCAAACCTTATACAAAGGTTTATCCTTAAGAGTATTTATCCCTTAACCCACCTATCCAGTGGTGCATGTGATCCCAGCAACTCCCGCCCAAGGCATACGACCCTGTTGCTCTCTCCGGGGTTTCAGGCACTGCGATGGAATCCAACTTTCGATAACATTCATAATCTTTGTTGAAACCACTTCCCTTGTGGTAACTAGTTCACATGCAAAGGATAGGGGTATATTCAACAAGGATCAAAAACAGCATTTGGCCGTATTGTGTATATAACAAAAGAAACAATCTTCCATTTACTTCATTGATAGCACATGCCTCACGTCGTCGACATATCGCAAGGCATCCAAAAAAAGTAGCATATCCAGCAACGCTTCGTCCCGCGGGTCGCTTATCCAGCCCTCTATTGGTATTCCATTGTCTGGAAAGAGTCACAACAGCGGACGAGATCAGGAGCGAGATCAATAGCATGTGCATAACGTCGTACGAGATCTCACCTTCATTGTCTTGGTAGGATATCGGAGAATTATCCACTAAACAAACCTGCGACAAGTCGGGTTCGACGATTGCGAGGTTCTTAATGTAAGTTCCATTGGAGTGTCGGCAGGCCTTGACCCCGTAGACAAGTCAGCTAGGAATGAAAGGACTATGCCAAAGCATTCGATACTCACCTGTCTGAAAAGACGCTGGGAGACCATATTCCGCCGTGGGTCTAACCAGTCAATAACCGGATCGGCATATTCGGGCATCGACGCCGTAAATATAACGACATTATACCATTCGCTGACCTTGGAAATGGAGCACAAGATTATGAAGATCAGTAATTGCTCAATAGAATGAGAGCCGTATCAGTACATAAAAGCCACCTTCTGGAGAAAAAAATCGCAAAACGGTCTCTTGAATACATAATATAAACACACATGACGGTCAACCGTGACCTCGACTACGTGATCATAGTTGCGTGAGTGTCGAGATGTCGAGTGAATAAGAGTCTCGTCCAGATCTAGCACTAGAGTTTTCTTTCTACAAGGTATGGAGGGAGTTCTGCGAAGGGTATTTTGTGTAGCAGACCTCTTCACTGGTGGCGTTTTAGACGCTCGAGGTCCACGTAAATGTCCTAGTTGACGAGGATGTTGGACATCGCTGGCATTGGAGTCCGAGTCGGTAATTGAGTCTGATTCGGACGAGGAGGAAGATGAAGAGGATACGCCACTTCCTGAGGAACCACTTCCCTGCTTTTCCTTCAGACGCCGAGACCTTCTCGGTGAAGGGCTCCCTGTCGCCAGCTTTCCTTTTGACACTTTCCCCCCACGGCGTTTCGCACTAGCAGCCTCACTCGTACTCCCAAGTCGCACCCTCCCAGCTTGCAAGCGCTGCCTCCAACTTGAAACTGGCAACAAACCGATGAAAATCCTCAATATCCATTGTATACTCCATGTGAGATATGACCAAAGGGTTTCCGCTGCTTGGGTTAGGATTGGCTCCGTAGCATCCTCGCTCGGAACAAGTGACACACCAGCTTTGACCATGGTATAGCTCATGGCAGAGTGCAGAGGGGAAAGGTTTGGAGCCCAAAGGTGGTGGACTTCTATCGTACTGCGCAAAGCCACTCTAGTCAGTGTAAGGTTCGGGAAGCATAGAGGAATATGCAGCTAACAGCATTAACTGAACAATTCCCACCTACGTTCTTAAACCAATTTTAGAACATTGTGTGATCCGGCGGGGAGATGGGAACACTGTGTATGGAGAGTAATAATATTGAGCAGGTGCGAACCAGCGGACGAGTCACTGGCCACGTACGCCTCCCTCTTGAGGCTAGTATGAGGCTCAGGACTCGGATGTCGTATATCCAAAAGTTAACGTAAAGTGTTATGCTGCTCGCAGACCTACGGTTCAAAAGGTCATCCTCCTTTTCATAGACTTTTTCAATGATCCGGACTCAAACTCTTCTTTAATGTTAATGTTTTGAATAGTCTCTGGTCGCTGCTGTCGAAGAGCTTGGGGATATACACGTGACATGCGTGACATGACATCCAATGCAACTCTTTGAGATGCAACTGAACTTGTGCTAACTTAAGAGAATCGAACTCATGCCGCCAACAGCATTTCGAGTGTGCAGAACGTGCGCTCTACAGCATTATGGTCAAAGCCGGACATTCTTCTCCTTCGCAAAGGTCTTCCGCTCCTCAACACCACCTCCTGCTAAAGATAGTCCAAATGTTCCGGTCCCGCATACGCCTTTCACCAGGCTACAAAATGAAGACGAACAAGAGCTGTACGATGATCTAACGGACAGGTTTTTGGAAAAGCTGAGGATGACGGACAATGCCGAGGAAGCATGGGAAGACTACTCAAAACTGGTTGAAAGCACATTGGAGAAGGTCAGCTATGGTTCTCTTAATGTCTTCATGCGGAGGGCGATCTCCAGGGCGGCACTGTCTCACCTCACAAATCTAGTTCAACCTCTCGATCCTCTCTCACCACCGGCTCTTCAAAATGCTGCAGCTAACACCTGCGCCTAGGAGTGATTCTAAAGCACACGTCATGTCAAGCATCGTCAAAAAGCTGGCGTGGTCTGCCAAGTCAGAGGAGTATGAGCGGTTGATTCAAATTCATGACAAGCAGGTACATTGAATAGTGCATTCAACTGTTCTAATCCCAAGAATCGAAAGTGACAAACACTACAATCTGTAGAATGATGTATCGAAAATCATCTCTCTGATAAATGAGATGCGACGAAATGGTATTCGTCCTACCATTCGTGCGTACAATCACCTCATTCGGGTTTACATTCGTAACAACAACTTGAAGGCTGCTATGAGCATTTTTGAAAAACTTCGAAATACGAGCGAAACGGATGAATCCGCAGATCCGCATCTGAAACCCGACGTATATACTTACTCCTCGCTTATTCGTGGACATTTGGAAAACTCAAATCATTCCGCCGCGGATCGATTATTTGGAGAAATGCGAGCATTGGGTATCGGCCCTAACCTTGCCCTATTCAATGCGCTGATGTTGAGTTATCTTCGGCGAGGGCGAAACGGAGCGGCTCTACGTCTCTTTGATGAGCTACGCAAAACAGAAAGCTTGGCACCTAACATTGTCAGCTATCGATTGCGCGTTGCAGCGTACGTGAATAGTGGAAATACGGTCGCGGCTCGCAGGGTGTTAGATGAGATGATATCGGGCAAAGATCCCCTTGTGCCTCTGCCAGACTATGCGATATGGAAGATGGTGATTAAGGCGTACGCAGGCACTGAGAATTTGGCGATGGCCTTGGAACTGTTACAATTAATGCAGGAGAGATCTAGAAGATTGTCCAATGAGGAAGACACAACTGTGGTAGCACCGAACGCCAGTATATTCTCAACAGTAATTGCTCTATGCTGCCGACAAGGCGAGATTGCAGACGCACAAAGGTTGTACGATGACATGCTACGCGAAGGAATGCGACCAACGCCCGCGATATGGAACACCATGATCGCCGCACTTGCTAGACACGGAGACGCGGTGTCAGCTAGGCGACTGTACAGCGCAGCACGGGAGAGCCAGGCGACCCTGAACGTTGATACTCTGGCAGAGCTTGTTCGAGCTTACCTCGCTAAAGGGCAATACAGTGCGGCAATAGAGATTGGGGTAGATGTAACCAAATTGGACGCGGCGGTGACAGCGGAAGCGATATCTCTTATTACCGAAAAGGTAGTTTGTCCTGTCGTGGAGGCACTGAGTTCTGATGGTCGTCATCTCGACCAAGCAACTACGCTGGTGCATGCTGTGATACGACAAGCGCAACACTATGGAGCACCATTGCCTTCATTGTCCCGACTGTATTGTGCTTTGATGGACGGGTATGCAAAAGGTCCGAAAGGGTGGGAAAGGACTATCTTTTTGTTTCGTGAATACTTGGGACGCGGTGGTGAGAGAGAAGGGCCAATTTCTGATCTATTGATCAGACTGGCCAGTAAATTGCTGGCCCACCCTGCGAAGATCATTTTGGAAATGGTGGCGTCGAAGGAATTATGCCCGACTGTATCTGGATGGATTCAGACTGTCGACGCGCTGTTGGATAGTGAGCGACAAGACGAACTCAGGGCATTGTTAAGTGGATTGAAAGGACGGGATGAGGCGACGGCGAGATTGGGTTACGTAGTACTAGACATGGTTCTGGATAGGATTGATACCAGACACGATCAAACGGTTGCGAATACAGTTGACGGCGATGAAACGAAGAAGGAACACATGTATGCGTCCCCTGGGTTGGGGGAGGAGGAGATTGAGCAGATTTTGGCGCTTATCGCGAGACGATTAGCTCCTACTAGTTGTTAAAACCAATGTAATGTACACTTCATGTCGAACATATTTACACTTAAAGTAGGACGATGGCTCTCTAAAGTCAGCATGCTTCGTTACCGAGCATTTCAAATTCCGACGAAGCGACCAGGTCTCCACGTCTTCAGTATGGTCATTAGTATACCAACCACGGAATCCATGCGTATCGAAAGGGCTTACCGCTGCTGTCGCCAGTATTCCACAACCAATTGTCCAGTTCCCATCCCCAAAACAACGGCAACAAACAGCTGGACACTGAACGACATTACCACCAACATTGTGAGGTACTTGCATATGATATTGGCCACGTAAATCATTGATCGACATATGATAAACTTCCACGGTGAGACAGCGTGGTTCTTCCTGTATAATGTCTGATGCGATCCCGTAAAGTACTCATACGCGTAGGATGTTAAGCGCTCTGTCCAGCAGAGGAGAATAGTAAAGGATAGGGCAAAGAACAAGGTTGACGTCTGTCAGAAGTCGTCAGTGACAACTGGTGTGCGCTAGCGACGTCAAGTTCGCCATACCGAGCTTGATATGGTCAAGTTCTTGAAGAGCACTTGAACACCTGTCAAGTCTGAAAAGGGCCGATAACAGGGTTACTGAAATGTTACTAGTAAAATCGATCAGCGGGATTCCTCGAACCTGTAATAAAGTACGGCTGCCACCACATTTTCGAGTCCATGGTTGAGTAATGTGGAGTGTTCAAGCCGTGGCAAGCAGCCGATCGGGCACTGAGGTAAGTACGTGATACAAGGTTGCACAACGCGTTACCATCTCAACCATGACAGTGCCAAACTGGTAGCGAGATCTCCACTGTCTTCTGCAAGTTATCATACCAGCACCAAATGCCGCCATGACAGTACCACTCACGTAAGTCATGTTTCTGTTTCCGTCCCACATTCCAGCATACGACAGGAGTTCCGCTCCATGGCCATGCAGACCATCCTCTCACCATCCTTCCATGCAGCGACCGGGCGACCTTGTCAACCTGGCTGAAAAATGAGCTTTCCCCAAACTCTCGAACTTTGTTGGAAAGCGAAGGATTTTGGACCCCTAGCGTTGATCTCAGCCAGATTTTTGACTATCTCTCAAGAAGGCAGTCCGATCTATACTCCGCCGATTCGACTAGGCGACTGGCCCACGCGGAGGTTAGTAAATGATTGGTATTGGCAGGCTTTGACAGAGGGTGAAAAGTCGGATAGTTGACTATGAGATTTGAGAACATCTGGTTTCTCTACGACACCGATAGTTGATAGTCACGTGATCATACTTGTCCTGACTCTTTCCCAGTTGAGCTGGGCTGCTCTAGGATGGGCTGATGCGGACAAACAAGACCTTTCCGTGGATATCAGAGAGTATCTTGAATCCTTGATATCAAGGCTCATCGAGGAAAGGCTAGATATTGAGGTGGATGACAACATTTTATGCGCGGTGTTTGGCACAGTGGGGCGGGCAGTACCCTTCATCAATCCGACACATCATCAAGAGAAAATGGAAAAATGGTTCTCTCGCTTAGCCAACTGCGTGATGATGAAATCTTCGCAATCTTATTCACTGAACGTTATTTTAGCGATGCTTAAGGTATGTGATAAATAAATATTTTTGGGTACGGCTGCGTTCAACGTCATCGTGATTGACATCTCCCACCCATTCGCCTATGGAGTGTGTAGAGGTTATTTTGAGCTATATCGCTCGCATTGAACACAATTCATCATCGATGACACGATCCTTGACGACCATATGGGAGGTGATGAGTCGCCTTCGTCACAGCCAACCTTGGCAAATTCGTTCGATACTGGTACAATTGTTGGGCCCATATTGGAGACTAGAAGTACTGGCGGCGAACAATGAGGGGAAAGAGAAAGGTACGGTTTTCGGTTCCGGATGTCTCTTTAATGTGTGAACTAAGGAACTTGCAGATATTTATCAAATGTGGATGGACCTTATGCAAGATGGGGATGAAAACGTCCGTCTCGCTGTTCTAACAATGGTAGAGCAGCTTTGGAATGTGAGTAAACGGGTCGAACACCATTTGCGACTGTCGGTACCCTCTGACACGTCATTGATACAGATAGACAAGAAGCGCAATCGTGACGAAAAATGGATGGATTTGATCTTTATTCCATCAGACAACGGTTTGTTGTTACGCCACGCTGCGAAAATGGTAGTAGTCGCTTGCCACGACCGCGGCTTTGACCTTTTCTTGTACATAAATCAGGTGAGTAGCAATTGAAATGTCATCGAGTTTTCATCCTTAGCAAAGATAGCGTGCTGATATCAGCTTTCAGTATATATCCACACTTGAAGATTTCTCAGAGAGTGAACTGCAGGTCCGGACCCACCCAAGGGATATTGCAAAGCTTCGAGCGATCGTCACGCATTCGAATCTTCTGAAATCAGAGAGTTGGGCAGTGCGCCTTTTACGATTGACAGCAAAGCTCTTTGCAATTCGAAAATCGCACCCCGACCTACGGCCGTCAATTAAGTACGACGTATTACTTTGCAAGGGGGACAGAATTCGAAGGGAAGCTTACATCGCACCATAACAGACAACTTGCATACGATGTCGCCATGGTCCTTCCACGTCAAATCCTCAATTATATTCAGTGGTCCATGCTGAGAGACGACGAAGACGACGACTCGCTGGTGAATATTCTAACCCACTTGCCCGAATTATACCGCGCTTTACTAATGCGACTCATGTAGGTCATGGAGCTGTTCACCCAGTTGCATAGTCTGCGTGTACCTGCGCAGATCGGGCAACAGCTCCTGTGCACCGTCGACATACCGACAGATAACCCTCGATCCATGTCGACGGATCAGCTGTTGGCAAATCTAGCACACATGTTGGCAGTCCCACCTCTTTTTGCCAATAATATGGATGACGGTAAGTACAGTTCACTTTCATGTTCCTTAACACTGTCTTAGATAATCCTTTCAATGCTGTATAGATCCCAGTACGGAGACCTTGACGATGGCAGACAAGTTTCGACGCCGATCACAGCTGTTCTTTGAATTCATCCATGTTGTCATTAGTGGCCTCACTGCTGAAGATCAGGATGCAGAGGTAGGTTGGGAGATATCTCAAGCATGGTACCTATATCGCGTCATTTATGCTTCTGTCGTCAGCGTTTAAGTGATAAAACCATGTACCACCTCCTTGTAAGCTGCGCTACATTTCTTGGGGATGAACGAAAACGTTGGTGCGATGAGGCATCACATCGAGCGGCCGAAGGTCAGTAGCTAATGCTTTGTTGCCGCTAAAACAGACACTGAAGTGCAGCGACGTTGACAGCGACGCTTTCATGTCTGCTTTCTTATGCGAAAAAGACCGACTCTAGAATTCAGCGCATTCCACATTTGGTCAATCGTTACTCTGAACGGATCCTGGAAGAACATATCAAACCGTACTTTAGGCATGCAAAGGTGGATGATACTGGTCATCGGGTAATAGTCAAAAAAGGAACCCGGCAACCGGAGGACGAGTTAGGACGATACTATGATCAGCAGCCTTGGAAAGTGGAAAAGGTGGAGTGCGTAGAAATCTTGTCGTGGACAATATTGCAGTTGGAGGTAATACCAAATTCTTCATTCCATGTTTCGTTTTATAGCCGACTTACGCGCAGCCGCTTTTTAGCATGGGCAATTCGGCCCTCTGCAGCACCATATATTTCCTGCATTGTTGCAGTTACTTGATGACTACGATCCGATCTATAAGGCGATCGGTGTTCGGCTGATCCAACACGCTATTGTTGAGAATTCGACGCCGATGGATATACGGCGAACCGGACTTGGGGACGTATTTTTTGAGGTAACTTGGCGATTGACCAGTTTCGCTAGTATAAACAGGATGCTAATAAACCGATCTGGATAATGCGAGCAGTCGCTGCTTCCATGTTTGACATATCATAGCGATCAGCCCCTTCTCTTCGCCGCTATTACATGTATTGTCGATATCATTCCTGTGATTGAAGTGAAAGATTCTGAGGTGTACCATGACAAGTTGGGAAAATTGGTGGAAGACGGCATATTGCGGAACCTGACCTTTGCTATCGGAGGTAATTTTATGGTTATACGTGTAAGTATCCTCCGATCCATTTGATAAGGTTCCCACAGCACTGATTCTTGTCATTATGCGGGTAGGCACTAATTCGTACGATCCCGAAACTCGTTAGCTTGTTGGACGTTGTAGGCATAAGATTCCTGCAGGTGGGTTCTGCGTGGTCGCGTATTTGGTCTGGGTAAATCTGACAGCGTCATTCCCAGCCGCTGCTTGGTATCTCATGTGAGATCTTGGAACTACATCAGCACGATGTAACAACCCAACTCGCCGCTTGTGATGCCATCATGGCTTTAATGCGACAGTATTGGCCGCGGTTAGTAAGATTTCGTTCTAAGCTTGTCGCAGTAGCTTATGATTTAATGAGGCCCTACCCAACAGAATTCATGCGTATCGTGGCTTGATCTTGAAATCAGCTGCACATGCGTGGCGAGGCATTATGCGCGGAGAAAAAGGCCGAAATGATGTGGAAAACCAAGGTATTATGGAACCCAGCGGTCTTCTGCAGGATACGCTGACTCAATTGCTGTCGTTAGATCTGCGTGAAGCTCTGAAAGGGATATGCACGCTTTTAAGAGAGATTTGCCGGGAGTTGGTAGAGGTACGTCGTCCTAGTGCCTGTTTTCCCTTCTCGCGCATCCCTCTAACATCTTTTTTACTTGATTTTCTTCCTTCAGGCTGACTTCAAATTGTTATTGCATATGGATCGCGAAATGTATGGAAGCTTGGTTGGGCATTAAGGTTGTTCTTGTATAGTATGGTTCCTTTCATTCTTTTGGTCCTGCACTGATGATTGTAAATATATTAAATATCATTCCAACCTTGAGAATTTGGACTTGCATTGTTTGACCATGTATGTAGAAGCGAGGCGGCCGATGTGTCAAGTACTGATGATTGTAAATATATTAAATATCATTCCAACCCTAAGAATTTGGACTTACATTGTTTGAGTATGTATGAAGAAGCGAGGCGGCCAACGTGTCAAGTTCGTTTACGTCATGTCTAAATTGCAACTTGCGATCACATGGAAGTTCAAGCCTGCCATTGTAAAGGCACTTTTACCAGTCTTTCAGTACCACGCTTGGTTCATCCAAGAATATATATGACGGGAGCGGGGGCAGGAAGAAGATAGGAGTTGCAACGATGACATAGGCCACTGTCGACTTCCACTGGAGTGAGGTATGTCTATTCGGTTATAGGTTCATTTCACTATGCTATATTACCCTAACCTACTCAAAGGCAGTCTCTAATTTACCGAACATTAATGCAACCTCTTCGAGGCTCATAGTACCAAGATTTGTCCCATCCCGCCTTCGTACAGTAACCTGTTTCGATGCCCTTTCCCTTTCTCCGGCCACCAACATGAAATTATATTGCGCCTTTTGTGCCTCCCGAATTCGCTTTGCAAGCGAATGATCTGTTTCGTCCACGTCCACGTACCAAAACCGTTTATTACCGGCAGATATGTCAACACCACGTCCGCTCAACTCTTGACAAACACTTCGCGCGTAATCCTGGTACTCCATTCCAACAGGAATGACAATCGCTTGTCGAGGACTTAACCAAAACGGCCATTTCCCGGCATAATGCTCAATCAAAATTGCCATCATACGTTCTATACTTCCCAGAATAGCGCGATGCACGATGACAGGGGGATGAAACCCCCCGTCCTCTGCCTGGTACTTCAACCCAAACCGCTGCGGTAATTGGAAGTCAAGTTGAATGGTAGCGGTTTGATGAGCACGGCCCATGGCGTCGTTCACCATTATGTCGATCTTAGGCCCGTAAAACGCTCCGTCCCCCTCCTTTATCGTCCAGTCGCGTCCAGTGGCATTGAGAGCAGTCCGCAATTGATTCTCTGCATCCTCCCATTGGGAAATAGTGCCAATGTAATTTTGGGCGGGTCGTGTGGAAAGTGTTAATTCGTAGGAAGGGAAATTGAAAATTTTGTATACGCGATCAATGAACTGAAGAGTGGATATGATTTCGGAGGTTATTTGGGCCGGAGTGCAAAATATGTGTGCATCATCTTGGTGAAATTTGCGCACACGCGTTAGACCAGTCAAAGCTCCCGAAGCTTCGTTTCTACGACAACCAAAGCATTAAGCACCAGCTATGATCTTTCACTTCTACACATCGTTCAGAAACTTACCTATGCAGGGGGCTGAATTCCGCTAGTCTCACCGGCAACTCGCGATACGATTTGGCCGTGTTGGCAAAGAGCAAACAATGTCCCGGGCAGTTCATCGGCTTTAGTCCGTGGATTTCTTCGTGCTCTCCCTCGGTTTGACCGTCCCCACATGTATGGCCCCCACCAACCACAAACATATCCTCCTTATAATTCTCCCAATGCCCAGACGTAACCCACAAGTCTTTGTTGAACAGTAACGGTGTCACAACTTCTTCATAGCCAAATCGTCTGTATTCGCCTCTTAGGAAATCCATAAGCCGCTGTACTATTCTTGTACCGTGCGGTAACATGAAAGGAGATCCAGGTGCTAGAGAATTTACACTGAATAAGCCTTGCTTCTTCGCTATGAGACGATGATCCCGCTTCGCTGCATCCTCCTGGGCTATTTGCCATGCCCGAAGCTTCTCAACATTCGAAAAGGCAATTCCGTAGATGCGAGAAAGAGGTTGATGTTTCGATCCCTGTGATGCATCCCACTGTGCACCGCCTGTTCGCAAAAGTTTATGTGCACGTAAATAGCCGGTATGTGGGACATGAGGACCGCGACATAGATCAATGAAGTCGCCACAGCGATATAAGGTTACCGACTCAGTCGGTGGGATACGGGAAAGGAATTGAAGCTTGAAAGGATTGTATCGAAACATGTGTTCCGCAACAGATCGCGAAACGACCAGCCGCTGAAACGGTGCTTTTTTCTTGGCGAATGCTTTCATTGTTATTTCCAAATCTCGTACATCTGCGTCGGTGACGTTATACAGTTGTCCATCAGGCTGCACAAGTTGAGGAATTTCATCCATGCCCGTGTCCTCGCCGCTCAACCCTCTTCTTACCAAACCATCATAGTAAAATCCTCCAGATTTCAACGAGGGACCATCGCATAACAACAATTCGTCTCCAAACTGTTTCTCCAGAGCCCATCCCAATAAGTGTGCCGAAGAATGCCATAATGTCGTATGGGCTAACTCAGAGTCGGAATGTGTAGGAATTAATTGGAGTGTACAGCTTGCTTCGATGGGGCGGCTGAGGTCCCATGGATGAGCCTTATTGAGCACTGCCAGAAGGTGAGAGTCGGACGCATAGCCTACGTCTGAAACAGCTAATATAGTTGAAATCAGTTGAGACTTAGGCATTCGTGGGAGGAAGCGATCCTAGCGCAAGTTTGACCACCTTTCAGAACATCCAGCGGTGTCAGCACACCAGCGATTCCTGTAACCATCTTTTTTCCCTCAACGTGCACTTCAATATCAACAGACTTCTCCGTGAACTTGTCCTTTCGGACTTCCTCGTCCCAAATGGCGAGTCGCTGCTGTACATAACTGCTTGCCAAACCTAAGTAGTCGAAGTTGCAGGTATTACGTTATCGAGACCAGTGTTCGAATGGGAGCATTTACGCACGTAGCAGAGGATAAACTCTAACGGGAAGATTGCTATGACTGACTGGTCTACGCAGGCCAAAGCCTAGACGTGTAACAGTAAGCCGTTTCATTTGCAGGTTGCAGATCCATGCCTGTAAATTGCGGGAGGATGGGCATCCTACATCTTGTTGCCATGGTTGTGTCTCATGTAAGCGACTCCGCCTGTATTACCCTACCACCAATAAACAATTCAATTCCATCAGCCTTTTAAATTGTTGAGTCGAACCCCTCAGGGTCTTTGGCCGCATCTTTTACTCCACCAGTACCGTGCAACGAAGGTAGTCCTCCCGCGCGGTCCTTTGCAGCATCTCTTTCCAATATCTTCTTTGTTTTTCGCGTGTATTGTCTCACGGCGGAATCTTGAGCTATTCCCGCAGCTTGATATGCGTGATCACGCTCATGCTCCTCATAGCCGCGCGGCTCCTGATTATCGATAGCTGCTTCATCCACGACCACATAGCGGATGTTCGTACCAGGATATTCATAGAGTGCATGCTGTAATATATTTTCCTAACGTACAGCAAACGATTAGCATGAGATTGATTTTTGAGATAAAGCATCGAAAGTTTTCGCCAGTACCATGATCCTTCGGAGCCCTCTAGCACCAGTCTTTTTTGTCACGGCTATCTCGGCAATCTTGTGCAGCGCTTTTGAATGGAACAAGAGTTCCATCTACAGCACAAGGCCACTTTAAAATCATCTAGAAAAAAAATGTCGTTTCCCATACTGGAACTCACGTTGCTGCATCGGAAGATCCCCTGAAATTGTCTGGTCAAAGCATTCTTTGGTTCAACCAAGATGCGCACCAGCTCTTCAGCACCGAGAGGATTAGCGCTCGCCATTACAGGGAGTCTACCTGCATAATTGTTAATAATAGATCCCGACTTCAATCAGGACAATGACAACGCATTTTCCATACCAACGAACTCTGGTATGAAACCATACTTGATTAAATCCTCTGGTTCGGCGTACTGTAAGGCATTTAATACCACGGGACTAGACTCCTCCTTCCCCACATGCGCTCCAAAGCCGATCGACTACGCGGAGAAGAGAAGTTGTCATGTAAGCGTGGCATCCCCCAGATGGTAACCTCACTCCACCTACCCCCTTTGCTCCCACCCTATCCTGTACAATCTTATCCAAACCGACAAACGCGCCGGAACAGACGAACAAAATATTTGAGGTATCGATCGAGTACACCTCCCCTCCTTGCGCTGTATTTCGCTTCGCACTACTGGCTCCCGGCTTCACAGTTACATTCACAACCGTCCCCTCTAACATTCGGAGTAGCCCTTGTTGAACACCCTCGCCTGATACGTCCCTTTGATTTGGATTCGCTGAATCTGTTCGTCTGGCAATCTTGCTATATCCCGAAGAAACATGAAATCAGGAACTGGCGGTGTGGGTTTCGGCACATCCAGAAGAACATACTCTATCTCATCAATGAAGACAATTCCTCGCTGTGCTCTAGCCACATCAAAGTCCGCGTTTTGCAATAACCTGTATATGCACACTTCCACATCTTCTCCTACATAGCCCGACTGCGTAAACGGGGTCGCATCGTTCATAGAAAATGGAACGTCAAGGACTTTGGCAATGGTACGAGCGATGAGGGTTTTCCCTGTACATGTCAGGTTAATACCAAAGAAAAACCTGCAGCGCTGTTTTGATAAACATACCTGACCCAGTTGGCCCAATAAGCAACACATTGCTCTTGTCGATCAAGACGCGTTCGTCCGGGTCGGATATCATTCGCTTGATCTGTTTTGGATTTGGGTTGAACCGTGCTTCTGAAGCTGGTACATTAGTCACAGTTGGACTCTCTGAGGAGTAGATATGCGTCTACTCCAATCACTGTTACCCACCTTCTCGTGGATCTTCGGATTGTGGTTGGACCATATTCGTCCGAACTCGAGCATGATGATTGTAAATAGCCACGGCAAGTGTTCGTTTCAGCTTATCTTGACCAATGACATAGTCGTCGAGATATCTTCGTATCTATGAAGAAGTAGAAAAGCTCAATCTCAATGTCCTCAACGCATCTTACAAGCTGTCCAAGTGTACCTCCATTGGGGTTGGAATAGCGGACTCTCCGCTGGCGTGTCCCTGCTCCGTATCCTCTTCCACCAACATCTGCGCCTGGGCCCCACTTAGTTGACTTCTAATACTATAAGAGGACCTTGGTGCATGCGCCTGCAACAGCGGATCGACTTCTGCGGTCACTGGCCGCGCTGGTCTGATTCGCGCTTCAAGCCTTCCCGAGCGTCCTGAAAGGGGCAGCTCCTGCATGTGGCGACCTGATGGTACTGGCTCCCCTCTCTCACCTCCGCATGCATTACCATCTGTCCCCGACACATTGGATAATCTTCTTTGCCACCCTCCTCTGGCTATATTAAAGGATTGGCGACGCATGGCTCCCGTGGGGTTTACAGCAACCGCTGCGTGACGAGGGATTGAGGAAACACGCATGGTGCCAAACGTCCAATAGAAGGGAACAGGTTGTCAGCAGGCCGAGCTTTCAGAACTTTCAGAAAGTGGTCTTGTCTTTTTCGAAAGAGACTGCAGCTCCAAACGTGAACAATACGGCTGGGTTCTGTAAAAAACCCTGGTCTTGGAGAGCTTTTTCCAAAGAATAAGGTAGGAAGGCCCGGCGGGTACCGATGCTGAAGATGAGTAGAGTAGGGCTGGGAGTGCGTCGCAAGAGTTCAACAAACAGAGTGCAATAAAATGAGTCGGCTGGCGGTTTGCTACCATCAATTCATCACGCAATTGCAATCCCTTGATGCGTGACTAAGTCCATGACTCAACTTGGCACAAACTCATGCACAAGTTGAACTTTCGTACAGCGAGACGCCCGACCAAGATGCCCGTCCAGTTGTCCCCTCAGCACCAGGAAATCTATTTGCAGTATCTAAGTGCAAAGGAAAAGCAGAGTCCTTCCGAAGTGCCATTCAAGTATCTATATGAAGCCCGTAAACATTTGGTTCGTGCATCGCTCCCAAGTCCACCATGACAATGGAGCAGTAAAGCTGACGGTCAAAAGGGGGCTATAGTACAAGCTGAAAAATGAGCTGGAAAAGGAAGAAGAGTCTGGATCCAATTACTCAAAGGAACAGCAGGTAATCGGCTTGACACCGGAGTAAAAATAGATAAACCTGACGCTATCTCCCTATTACAGCGTCTATTACTCGCTGTCTTTGACTACCTATTGGGCATAAACCACATAGATAGCGAGGAGCTATCCCCGGGTGAAAAGGCACTCACAGCTAGGTAAGCAGTTAAACGCGTGAAAGAATGCAATATACACTATCGGCCTCATCCATAATACACAAATCTTAGCTTGGAGGTTCTTAGACCACATGCTGTCCAACCTCTATACTGTTCAATAGTCTTAAACACACTCAATCAGCTGGGAATTCTCTGGGCAAATTGGTCGTGAGTCTTCCTTCGAAATCCATGGACAACCAAGCACACCCAGTGACATCGTTCTTAGGGATGCACGTCGTGCGGCAACTTTCTTGGAAAAAGCGGAAGAATTGTATCACGCTTATGCAAAGGCTGTTAAAGAGCCCCCAGTACCAAAGTAAGGCGCGAAGCTGCTGTTATGCGACCGCTGCAGGAATTTATATTTGATAGTCCATTCGATGTAGCGATCACTCTCACTCCAACAGAGTGCTGGGATGAACTTGACAATCTGCACACGCACAGTTTATACTATTTGGCGCAGGTTTATGGATCTCTGGGTCTGAAGGATAAGGCAAGAATGTGCAGTCATGAGTACCTAATGGCGCACTCGCTAACTGCGCTTTGGTTGCAGTCTGCCGAGTACTGTCGGATGACGTTGATGCGGCAGCTTGGACGCAAAGACCTGAATCAATTGGTTGGTAGAAAACACGAATCTACCAGGAATTGTTCGCAGGCACTTACTTGACACACTCCAGACTTGGGCATTGGACTGCATGACATTGTCTCAATATTATACATCAATTGGTGCCTTCCCTTTTGCTCATCATTGCTTGAGTAAGTATCTGTCGAGACACACTAGTCTCACCTATAAGAGCCTACTGAATCCCATATCTCTTGTGAAGCGGCTGCTGAATCTATGCTTTGGAGCATGAGTGGCGATGGTGTGTCGCTTGATTCGACGGAACAAGCAAGATCTTTCCAGCGAGCAAAGGCAGATTTATCGTAAGAACTAGAAGGGACGTGTTTGACGCATACCGTCTCAGTAACCTTGTTTTGCGGCATTAGATGGATATGGGGAAAGTTCTACCTCAATGCCTTGGAGGTGTCGGCGTAAGTTCTTGGGATTCCGCTGAGAGTAGATCGATTTCAGCTGAGAAACAGCCCACCGCTGCTTTTTATCAGCGAACGTCACGTTGAATCTGACACCACAATTGAATCCTCGCTCTCGTAAGTGACTGCTTGTATCGCTCGGTTGACTGTCTTGCTGATCTGGTTGCCAGTATGAGCTTATGTGGCATGCCCCTTTTCGACATCCAGCGGCCTGCCACGCAACCAGTACGACCGGTAGTTCCATCCGCTTTTGCACAAAGTTATACCGAAGCACAGCCATTGTTTCTTGAAGGTTTGCGCTGTCTTGAAGAGGCGAAAAAGTTCTTCGTTATCGATGGGTTTGTGACGGATCATGTGGGAATAGTGAAGGTACATTCCTTCCTTAACAGAGAGTGCCCTTTAGATTAATCCTAAAACCCTACAGGACATGTCTCAACTGTACAAGCACCTTGGCGCTTTCGAGTCAGATCCTGTACGCCGAAGGTACACACATGCATCGCTCCCCTTCTCTTAACTCGTCTGATGTATTGGCACAGCGCACTCACCCAGCGCTGTGCCCTGCTGCTTACACCCCTTCTGGAGTCGTTGAATCCCGCTCATTTTCTGGACCTTGTGCAAAGCGTTACCTACGAGCTTAGCACGACATACGAAGCGCTAGTGGACAGCCGACTTGCTGTATTTGAGAATGTAGCTGAAGGATTACCGTACAAGGAGCGAATCGAGAAAGCGATAGATATCAATAAGTTGTGAGTATTCATTTTCAAAATGTGAAAGGACTTATTGACTCGCCTTCGGGCCTTGCTCACCGATGAATCAGAATTGAGAAAACCATACAGTACTCCACGGCTTTCATCACTCTATATGCGGATCCACAAACTAAACTTCTACCAGAACCTTTTGACGATGCAGACGATGCGGTATGTAGTCTACTTCCTCACGACATTGGTCTGTCGTTTTCTAGAGATCATTTGTATTATTACAGCGTGCTGTTATGACCGCGACATGGCGCATGGCACGGCTCTGGGCGCGTAAGATCCCGGTTCCGGAAAGCGAAGCGGAAGCTGATGAAAATCATCTGAGGGGTCTTAAAGCTACATATCTCAGGAACAGGTAAGTGTTCCTGGGCTGTATCTTCGTGGACTTACGGGGTAAATGACTGTCTCTGTTCACGTTTACAACAGCTTGGTCGCATACACCCAAATCACAGCGTACTATACACAGTTTGGCATATCTGGGTTTGAAGACGAGATGGAAGTCATTAAAGCCATGTGTGACTTGCTACCGCGGCACATCTCTGAGGTTGAAAAGCCAGTGTCATGATATTCAAGAGCTTTCGTACTTGTGGTCTCTCGTCTGCTGAAGGGAAAACCGAAACCCCCGCCTTCGTAGGTAGGCACCTAACCGGTTAGAACATACGAAAATCTTCTGGGCAAATATGGAAGGAACTATCGAAGTGATTGGGACTGGTGGCGCCGCTTCTTTGGGGCGGGACTATAGATAGTAGGCTTAACTGCATGATCTGAACACACAGCGGACACAACGGACAAAAAATAGAATGCCATGAGAATCTCTGCCAGGCATACTTTTCTTATACAATCTGGAAAGACGGATAAACAGAAGGGGCAGTCGCCATACAAATAACACCTTGCAACCTTCAATTTCTTTTACAGATATTCCATTCCAATCCCATGACTCAAACGTTCGCTGGCTAGGGAGTTACCTCCATGTAATTGTCTTCTCACTCCACCACTCCGATTTATCAAGAAATAGACCGCAAAATGACGATAGACATGGTAATGCAGCCGCCAAATTGTTTCTCCCTTTCGATTCCTCTGCCTGGTTTACTTCTTTCAGATACTGAAAACAATTGTTCACGATTCCATTGGGGTGCCCTCGCTGTCCTGAGCCATATATTCGTCCAGTTCGTTATCGAGCTTGCTTGCAGCATATTTGGTATCCTTCATCATAAAGCTTTCGAGATCTCTGTCGAGAGCTTCTTTAGACGGCGGGGCACCACCTCGACCTCCACGACCGCGTCCACCACGAAATCCACCTCGACCACTACGAAAAGTGTTTCTTGCCGCAAAACCTCGTCCAAAACTCCCTCGACCACGGAAAGCGCTTCCTCCCCTTGCAAATCCTCGGCTGATTTTGGCGACGCCTCCACGGGCCACATGTCCATTCAGGCCGCCGCGCGCACCACGAAATGCACTAGCGTTAACAACGCCGCGATTCGCCATTGGTTTACCTCGGCCCAAACGATTGGCCATTACGGTAGCTTGACGGCTGCCGGCCTGTCGAGAGGCCACGCGAGCGATTTCAATTTGCCTGAATCTTCATAAAACATATAAAATAAGGAACCGGTGAGTATAACTATGAAGTTGAAACAAAGGAAAGGGGACAGGGTAACAAACCTATCGGAAAGTGAACTGTTCGCTTGCGTACCAGTTGAACCGTTGGTACCCTTAGTAACCACTACACGACGAGCAGGAGCGCCGTTGGCAGCATTTCCGTTCGCTGGTTTCGTCATGATGAGAATAGGAAGCCGTTGGTCAACTAGAAAGAGAAACGCACAGCCAAAGATGTGCCATAATATCAGCATAGGAAATGCAACTACATCAGGCCAGCGGAGGAGGTTAAGGAGACGGTCGATAACCACCAAAGTCAGAGGCATGTGTTCTTGCTGTCTCCTAACAATTTTCTTCTGGTAGCACACTGGCGATTCGGAGGTTTGCAAAAAGTCGCACCGATCGGCACAAGGTGAAAGTTCCCTCGACGCTCGCTTGGCTATACCTCGCTTGGCCATCGCTCGCCATGATATCCAACCACGCTTTTCCCACGACAAACGCAAGATCCACAACGATCTCTGGCAGCGTTAAAGGAGCCTTCACCACCCCATCGTCGCTGAACTTAACGCCTCTGACCAAGCTACTCGAACCCTCTCCCCAACCTTCTCCACAGGCAAAAAGTGGCACTCGGAAACAGCGAGCTCGTACATTTCTAAGACGGCCAAAATATCCAGTTGTTGAACGCAATAGGCGATCGAGACTCGTCTCTGGTCTGGTGCTTCCGACGGGCTTCAAATCCGAGCGTCCACCGTACACCTTCGCAATGTATATTCAAGCTGAGAAGATGCAATCAGACAATCGGCCTTGTGAAATTTCAGTTGGTAGAGATCCTCGCGATGTGGTTTGAGTTAAGCAGGTGAAGTCAAACTGTCCAAACTGCGCGCTTTGATACCTCACGTGATAGTAGTGGCACAGCACCTTTCGGAATTTGGTTGAGGCCGATCTTAATAGGCATTAGGTCATGTTCGTCCATCTGGCCCATCGTTTGCAAAAGAACTATGTCGACAAAGAAGGGGGGAGATATTTTAAGTATGTTTAGAAGACCTTGTCATATTTCTCCAAGAGTTTGCTGACGTTGTCCTGTTAGGCTTGCTTCTCGCTTCACGACAGGTTTTCTGGAGCATCCTTGACCAGCAAAGCGGCAGCCTGAAGCATTACACGCGAACCTCTAGTATTCCCCGTGCAGCTGCCCGAGTTCTAAATAGAACCCGACATGCTGAAGCTCCAGCCCAGGAGTCAAGTGTCGCTAGTCATACAATCTCTCAGAGGTGGTTTCACCCTATATGTCTCCCCTATGGCCAAACTAACCATCCCCCGTCTCCCTAGTCCCCGGACTATAGATCCTGTGCACACGCAACCGTATGTAGAGAGTGCAAAAGAACATCCTCATGCATCAAAATCTGCTCCCCCACCCCCATTTTCATCTGAGGTATTATCCCATATATCACTTGACCTGCTTGAATTAATGATAGCACTCTAACCTTGTACAAAGCTCAATAATGGCGGACGGTTACCATTGCCTTCTGGAGCATCACACCTTCCAGACCCGCCAATAGATCCGCCGTCATCTATTCCGCCTGATTCTCAAATGACTCGTGCAGCACGAACCGGGCATTTGGGTGCGAGCTTTTCAGCAACATCACGTGAACCTGTCTCGGAAAATACTGCGGAACAGTCGGCGGATAACCGATCGCGGGTGAGCAGTTCGTAAATCTTACTTAAACAATTCCGCTGGCAACAAGCTTACTGAATATACCTCGGCCAAAGCCGGCAGCTTTTAAGCAATCCAGGGTCCCTTCATCACGAGTGGGCCGACTGTGGCACTATGGAAGTGAGTCAGAATGATACCTGAAATCTCGCATATTCCCGAGCTGATTATCAACCATCCTTCAGGTCTTGCAGCGGGCGTGGGTGTGGGTGCGGTGGGTGAAGCAGTCCGCCGAGCGGCGGGCTTTTCGGATGGGAATGGTAGCTACTACTGTCGCTATGCGAGATGGTTCCTTTTATTTACAGTCATTATTTTGAAGGTGGAAGTGTGGTTCTCAGTCCTGGAAATATCGAGAGAATTGTTAGCAAGCTGACGCGAATGCGAGGCGCCGCACTGAAACTCGGCCAGATGCTAAGTATACAAGGTATGGGGATATAGCCAGTACAGTAATTCATGTGGTGCTGATATCCTCGAATACTGTACGAATAGACAATTCCATGCTCCCTAAAGAGCTGGAGAACATCCTCCTACGTGTCCAGAACACTGCGAATTACATGCCTGACTCACAGCTGCAGGTAAAACACCTTTTGACAATCATTCTCAACTCTGGCAGAGACCAATTCTTTAATTTCCAGACCACACTAAGCAGGGAGCTTGGACCGGATTGGCGTTCAAAGTTTGGTGACTTTGAGCTCATGCCCATCGCTGCGGCGTCCATTGGGCAAGTTCATCGTGCTACGTTATTGGACGGTCAACCTGTGGCCGTTAAAGTGCAGTATCCTGGTGTAGCCGACAGTATCGACAGTGACCTGGACAACTTGCGCGCTCTCATACTGTTCAGCAATTTTCTGCCAAAAGGATTGTACCTCGATAACACTATCCGAGTTGCACGAAAAGAGCTGGCATGGGAATGCGATTATAAGCGAGAGGCGGAGGCCATGGAGAAATTTCGAGATCTAATCAAAGGCTTACGAGGCTTCAACGTCCCAAAAGTAATATCCAATCTCACGACCCCTCAAGTCTTGACAACGGAATTTGTCGAAGGGCTTCCCGTAGGGTCCTTCTCAAATCTTCCGCAGAGGATTCGCGACAGCATCGGTGAACGAATACTCCGTCTTTGTCTACGCGAACTATTTGAGTTCCGCTTCATGCAAACTGACCCTAACTGGTCCAACTTCTTGTATGATCCGCGCACGGATATGATACATTTGCTGGATTTTGGGGCGGCGAGAGAGTTTGATGCGAATTTCACCCAGAAATACATGAATGTTTTGTATGCAGCTTCTGAAGGGGACCGAGAAGGGTGTGCATATTGGTCCAAAGTATTAGGGTTTTTGACTGGAATGGAGAGTCAGGTAAGCTTATCCAGTACATGTTAATTCAATCTTTCTGAATCCTAACCGGTCCGCTGACGCAGGCTATGACGAATGCCCATGTTAACTCTATCCTCATGCTGGCGGAACCGTTTTCAAAGTTTGGTCCTGCCGTCTATGATTTCGGAAAACAGGATGTGACCAACCGCGTCCGCGCGGAGATTCCGTTGATGCTCAGAGAGAGACTGACTCCACCACCTGACGAGACGTATTCATTGCATAGGAAGCTATCGGGGGCCTTCTTGCTGTGCACAAAACTGAGATCCAGAATTAGGTGTAGAGAAATCTTTGAGGGATTTAGGGAGCGATATGTCTTTGATTTGGCATAAAGTCAATAGTGTGAACCATTTAAGACGATTAGAACTAGTACTACTACGAAAATAGATTAGATTAGTATGTACAAAGGGCCCAAGCAAAATCTACAATTCAAGGTATCATTTATCGGATCTTTTGTGGCATTTTGACCACCCGATTTCGAGATACAGGCTCCCTAATCTGTAATTCAGGCTCACTGTCTGAATCCGCCTTCGCAGCCCTGCGGGGAAATTTCTTTTGAGTTAGCTTTTCGAAAATGCTGGAATCGGGTTCGCTATCGGACTCTGCCGCTTTCTCAAAACGGTCGTCCGCTACGTCCAATTCCGAATCGCTATCGATGACATAAAAGTGATCGGCCTCGTCCCGGAGGTGCAGTTTTCCTTGACCCTTTTTTCGTTTTTGCCCCTGAGTCGACTTTTGGCTGTCGACATTGTCTCCTCTTTTCCTCTTTTGCCCCAGCGCGGGAGACCCTGAGACGTTTGCTCGTGTGACGTACTCTTTTAGATTATCTCGAATCTCATCATACTGCTCCTGGACAGCTTCTCGATGCTCCATCACTTCCTTTCTAACTGTAAGTATACTGCCGAGCAGAGTGGGCACATTCACATGGCGTCCTGCGTGTAATCGTTCGTATCCGGCACCTATCATGCCCTGGAGGAGTCTGGACGCACGCATGAATTCGTAACGAATCGCCGGCCAGGCACGAGTTGCTCCGGCGATTTCATTTGCTGCGGTGACAAGCGTTAGATGGCCAATGACGCGTATTCGCGAAGGCATGGTGGTGACTTACTCGGATCTTGTGGGTCCAGGATACATAGCGCCGTTGGCCGTGGGGGCCCACGCTGCAGCGGACAGGTTCTTGGGTTCTGGTAGATTTCCTATAATTGGATGCGCTCCCTGATGTTAGATCAACTAAAACTCGGGAGAGATCCAGCAAACAACCGACCTTGCGATAGTACCAAGCCCGTTCGAGATTCACCCCAATACCAACGTCCTCGTAGTTGAACTGTGAACCGTATAATTCCAGCATGTCCAGTAACAGCACTCCCAGGTTATCTTTGGCTCTTATCTGGCCAGTTTGTAGTTTTGGATGAAGCTAAACACAAAACAACATTCCATAACTCAGCGAATAGGCGCCAACGGCTAAGGATACGATTCATCAGTACCTTTAGAAACGCGGTTATAAGGGTCATTAGTGCGTAGCTGCCCAATCCTCCTGTGAACACCTCATTCAAGTGCCTTTGCAAAAGAAACTGCTTCATGATGAGGAGTAGTGGTCGAAGACCTTCCCCGGAAAGCGGGTCGTCAATGAACTTCTTCACAATATCCGCAGCATGCACTCCAGTTTCGACATTGAAACTGATATCGGCTGGGAACTTCGTCAGCGCATCTACAATTTTGATGATTGGCACCTAACACCATGCTTGATGAGATTCTCGGATCTGTCGCTGGCTTTGAGGGGAACTGCCCACCTTCGCATTTCTAATTACTTCAATTTTTGATGCAATACCAGCACGCTTTACCGCTGTCTCCAGTTGGTGTAAACAAATCGGCGGATATGCACTTCTTTCGAGAATGACTACGTCAACGTCACTAGTGCACGCCATATTAAATAACGGTTTGTGATGTGAAACATCGCCGGCTACGTGGCAATCCTTACCTCGAAGGAAGATAAAGTTTTGTTTCGAAGCTGCCGAATACGTGAACCTCTGCTCGCGGCCATACCGACTGCACAACATGTGTGATTCTGTCGACCGTCAATTGACGCATGCTATGTTCGGCTTCTGTCGGGATGAGAAAAGAGATATAGTCGTCGATTTCTTCATGCAACCTTTTTCAACGCGATTGAGCGGAATTCGAGGTGCGAATGAAAGTGAGAAACTGGCCCATGGAAAGTACCTCTATAAGATACACCTACATCTTCAACAGGTTTTTCGAATAAACTCTTCCTTTAGGCTGCCATGGAGGGGTCGGTAGCGGAGTCAAAATATCCAAGCTTTTAGGCTTCAGCTGGTCTTGCCGTTTCCCGCGAGGATCAGAATTCGGAGCAAAAGCTCCACCTTGCCCACCTCGGCGAGCAGGTGCGGAGTCCGGTCTTACGTTCGATTTGGTGCGACCGGCTGGAGTTTTGGGTGCTTGAGCTTGAGCTTGGGCTTCTGACGTGGGGCCAGGACCATCCAGCTGATCCACATATTGATCATCGTCCAAGTCTAAAGGTATATAGTCGTCTTGCTCCGCAGCAACATCTGGCGTCGAGGTGATCTCACCCATATCTATCGAACCAAGTAGGAAATGTCTCCTGCTTTCTGTCGGATGAGTACACGTGCTAATGCTTAGCTCAATTATGAGCGATCGTGGAGAACAACTTGTGAAGTTTTCCTGTTGGCGATGGATTCCTCTCTCTCAAGACGACTAGGATTTCTGCATGACGCTGCTCATTCCCTTTTCGCGACATGCCCATCACTCTCCCGCTTCTACCTTTCAAAATTCCAAGACGTCTGTGCTGATCAGAAGGTGCCCATTGTAGAAAGAGTCTCCAAAAGGTTTTGTTCGAGGTGTGGGAGCTTATTTGTACCGGGGCAAAACGTAAGGGTAAGGGTCACTGGAGATGGCAATGGAGAGAAACACAAGAAGAAGAAACGAAAGACGGGCAACCGCTCATCGGCGCCAACTAGGCAGGAAACGTTGAGTCATGCCTGCCATGTCTCCCACCCGGGAAACCGGACGAGAATTATAATCAATCATGTGAAGAATTCAGAGTCAATGATGGGGCGAGTGACATCGGGGGTGCTTCCTTTGCAGATACCAGCGCCAATTTCTGGGAAGAGATTAAGACTTGTAGCGGAGAGTCACCAGTCAAATGCGACCCTTATGAATCAAGTGGCATATCTCTGCGTTATATGCGGGGCAGAAACTCGCTTTCCAGGGACATCTATCGAGCATGTGAGGCAGTTTGATGCTGCAAAAAACAGCCTCAATGCCGCTGTCAAAGTTCCAATCCTACCCTCTGGAGCCAAAGCCACTCCTGCGTCAGAATGTTCACAAGCAACGACAGGGAATCTCTCCAATGTCTTGGAATCTTCCCCATGTGGAGTCAAGAAGAAAAAGAAAGAAAAGCGCAAAAATGACTTACGGACGCTCCTGGCAGCTAGTAAAAAGGATGATGCTCAGAGAACAGGAGACAGCCTAAATTTGACCGATTTTCTGTCGAGTTTGTAGCATTTGGTAGAGCTATACACTCTGTATTCTAAACTAGTAGATCGCATTATCATATCCTTCTATTGAACTGCAGTAGTGGAAGTTTCATGTTTCTACTTTAGGGGTACCGCCTACGTACTTGGTATGGCTGAAATACACTCCCTTCAATAACCAAATCCGAAACAGACAATGTGGATGTTAAAGCCCACCTTCCTGTGGCCAGCAATTTATCTCCAGCTTTCACCTCGACGGTAGTGTATGCCAAGGTTTTCCCTTTCTTATTGCATGTGGAATGAATCCTAGGGTCCAAAAGGTCATCGATGATTCACTACTTGCATACTCGCAGAGCAGATACATACTGGAGCTTGTCGCCGATTTTACCGCCTTAGGTGCACTTCCGCATTATTGGCCCATATTTTGTAGACAATTCGATTCTACTAACTCACCATTAAGAAACGAGACAGATATGTCTGTGCTAACCTGCACAGAGATTAAGGAGCAAGCTCACGGTACGAATACATCAAGTCGACAGATACCCCAGTATACGTGTTATTTGCTTTAGCAGCTACGGCAAGTGATCCTCCAATATCGACCAAGGTACATATTGTACTAATGGATGTTAATTCCAAGGGCCAAGCACAACAATATAACGTAACACAGTTACCCTCCGTGTAAACCTTGAAGGCGGTTCAAATGGTAGTCCTCCACAGTCAGCTGCCCCAAAAATATTTCAACGATGGGTTGCCATCGCTGTCAGTTGCTCTTAGCAAATAAAGCGAACCTCGCACAAAACTGTTCCCTTATGATGGCAAGCTTCCACTACGCGCAACTGTAGATGTATTGAGGATAAGGCCGATGAGGCTTGCTTCCTCCCGTCCAACCCATCTTACCTTGCTTAAAATACGGCTGTCAAGGCCACCAGCCCCAACAATTGAACTCCATGTTTTCCTAACGACTTCCAACGCGGACGTTGCGGGGCGATGCATGACAAACCGTGAGTCGGGTATGGGTTCAAGATGGATAACCGATCGATTGGTCAACGCGAGGCACAGTCATCCTAAGTTACCGACCTCGCAGACAATGTGTGGCAAATTATCATGCTACGAGATTGCAGTAGATGCTTCGCGTATTATACTTTTCCCTGGCTCTAATAACAGTGCAGCAACAAAATCATGCAAGATCTATCTATCTATTTACACCTTAAGCTTTTCCGACAGAGTAGCCGTCAACCTTGACACCTCGTCGTCACCCTCAGCCTCGCTTGGTACCTTCTCCTCCTCCTCCTCCTCTGCTTCTTCCTCCTCTTCCTCCTCCTCCCACTCCATCTCATCTAGCTCATCTAATGCTTCCTCATGACCATGGCCCAACAATACTCGCTTAATGTCCCGAACAGCATCACCTTCCGGATCAAAAGCATTACCGTTCAATTCAATCGCAACGAGGTTTTTCTTGTTCAGGAGCATGCCAGCAACATATCCTGCACCCTCCGAATCCATCTCGTTGAATGCTAGGTGCAGTCGCTCAAGGTTAAGGTGTCCGGGGGTTAAGGCTTTCAATACTGCGAGACTGCCCGATGCACTGAGGAGACAATCACCGACGTGCAATATTCTCAATTTTTCCCACGTCGGGAGCACCTTGGCGAGTGATCGGGATCCTACGTCGGTAAAGGTGTTGTCCTGAAGATCAAGGTGCTCCAGATTCTTGCAAGCCGCCAGGGCTTCCATCAAAACCTGAATGCCTTCTGGCCGGATACTGTTCTGTGGCATGCGGATCTCGCGCAGACTCTCACCGTGAGCCTCAAACGCCTTGCAGAGATGTTGTATTCCTTTGCTTTCCATTCGATTCCTCCCTGCAACAACAACTCGCAAAGCAGGCTTGCGCTCTTCCGCCTTATTCTTTTCTGCCGCAGTAACAAGGGCCTCCGCAACCAATCTTGCCCCTTCAATTCCAAGTCCATTGTTGTTTAAACGTAGGACTTGAATGTTTCGGTTATTGATCAAAAGTCTTTGCAGCGGCTCTGCCCCAGCCGGCCCAAAAGCGTTATCAGAGAGGTCGAGTTCAACAAGGTTGACCTTATCCTCAAGTGCTTCTGCAAGGGCTTCTAGTACCAATGGAATTTCATTTCGCAGTCGTCCCGTAAACATGTCGCTGAGGCTCGCTATCTATAAAACGCAATCCAGGTATTTAGTGTATTAGAGTAACGATTGCATCCTTTCACCGACAAACATGGACCTTACCCGAAGAGAATGCTGATCTTTCAATGCATGCGCGATTGCCCGTCCTGCTTCCACACCAAAAGTGTTTCCGCTCAATCGGATTTCGGTGAGACCTTTCGTTGCAATAATCTCATCTACGTATTGCTTGACATCCTCCGCTGTATTCAATTTGAGGGTCTTCCCCTCTAAAGAGTAAACCACGGCGTCGGAGGTGTTAGATCCGTCGGTTGTAACTGTCGACATTATGTTAATAGCTATGACGCTAGTTCAGGTGTTGATACCACGTCAAAGAGTGTCGCAAGCTGGATACACAGATTCAGCCTACTTCGTCAGTCCAGAAGCCTTTATTTAACTTGTAGCAGTCTTTAGGATCCCTACCTCTCTACACGATCCAAAGAGGTATGCAGTCCTCCCACCACACTGCAAGAGCGAGTTGCAGAGCGATCAAATAAGCACGTGACTTGTCATGCGAATCCATTTGGAATTCCAATCAATTCAAATGTAAAGAACCACATTAGACTGCGGAAACAAACAAAAACACCTTATCGGATGTGTGCTAACGCGGCTGAAACTGGTTGCGGCTTGTAAGGTGGCAAACACCCGCGGGCACGGACACTCGCCGCACTCCGTCATTGGCATTTGAGTACTACAAGCATCTTACCACATCTCTAATCCGCTCCATTCACGAGTCTTGACACTGACCCATTCAGAGGACACCGTCCAAGTCACAACAAACTAAAGCAGCTTCTACATATACCGCAAAAATGGCATCGAAGGGGGCTCATAAGCGCCTGACGAAGGAATATATTGCAATTACAAAAAACCCTCCCGATTACATTGTTGCAAAGCCTTTGGAGTCGAACATTTTAGAATGGTAAGCTTCCACATCACACAGGCCTAGTGGACGGTTTCCGGTTGCCCAGTTGTACAGAGGTTCAGGTCTCTTTTAGTGCGTAATTTGACAGCTTCATGTGTGTTTCCCAGGCACTACGTGATTCGAGGCCCACCGGACTCCCCCTACGAAGGAGGCGAATATCATGGAAAAGTAATATTCCCCGCCGACTATCCATACAAACCTCCCGCCATCAAGATGCTCACACCGAACGGCCGTTTTCAAACGGATTACAGGCTCTGCCTGAGTATGAGCGATTACCATCGTAAGTGCGGCCTCGCTTGGGTCGGCGACTGTGCGCATAGGTTGAAAAAGGATCTCATATTGCCCTTTCGTCACGCTAGCCGGTACTTGGAATCCAGCTTGGTCTGTTGCAACAATATTGACAGGATTGTTGAGTTTCATGGTTGGTGATTGTCAGTCGAGATTGTGGATTCAAGTACAGCTCACAAGTGCCTGTAATTAGCTGGAGGATGCACCAACCACTGGCAGTATCAAATCAACCTTGGAAGAAAAGCGGCTCTATGCAAGAAAATCTCATCAGTGGAATTTGAATAATGGGAAATTCAAAGGTGCGTCAGCATCGACATCAATGTTGTCACTGCCAAGTACCTGACAGGTGAGGTTTTGCAGAGATATTCCCCGACCTTTGCACCCCTGAGCTGGCCCCGCTCCCCAACGCGCCGATAGCGAAACCCCCTTTGAAACCCGCCCTCAAATCCGCCGCCCACCCCGCTGTCCCAAACCCATCAGACCTCCATCGCCGTACAACCACATCGACATCCTCTCCATCTGTTTCAACGTCAGCAGCAACTCAGGCAACAAACCGCCACGCCGTAGGAGCGAATGAAGCAGGAGTGGTAGTCGCAAATGTATGGCAGAATGTGAGGTCAAACATATGGAGAGTGCTACTATTGGTGGTCTTCTTGTATTTGGTAGTGCTGAAGGTTGTGGATAGGGTCGCCGAAGATTCTGATGAGATGTGAGAATTCAATTTCAGCATATCGATGTGACTTCTATGAACGTGTGTGAAGTCGTATAAGAGAGTTTGTTCGGTCCGTTTGCAGGCGCCCTAACGTAACTGAGAAACCACTCGGGAATGACTCTATGTGAGGGATGGATTGATCACGTCTTATTTACAACCTCTTAAAAGTTAAGAACAAGATAAAGATGTGATAGGTTTACTGTTTGCCGACATAGCGGACATTCTGCCTAATATGGAGAGCATGTCTCAGCATCCGCCTGTCTTCAAAATCAATGGTCACTTACCTTATTTCGGCACCACTCGGCAATGCAATTCCAGCAAAACAAATGACCACATGGTGTCGCGGTCGTATGTCGTCTTGGGCTTAGACACAGCATACATTTTTGCCTTTCTTGCTGCTCTGGGGTTAGGCCTAGCGCAACTGATTGCGCCAAATCTTGGTCGCTGTAGAGGACGAACCTTAGTACATCCCAGCCCACAATGTACGAACCGGGTGATGTTACTTACTCATTGTAGTCCCCTTCGGGTTCATCCTGCCCTTTATCTGCCAGTCTCTGGCGCTGATGAATATATCCTTGCACCAGCATCTGTACAACGATGAGCATGCCAAGGACCTCATAGCTTATTTGCTTTTCGCCGCTGCGGAGTTGCCGCATGAAAATCTAGGTTGAAATCAAGTTGTAGGTCCTGCAGGAAATGGAAATAAAAAAGCACCACATACGTATCGAATGCCCAGTATCCGTTTCGATACGTGATAGTATGCACCGTAAAAGTAAAATAGTGCAAGGTGTAAAGGACGCAGCTTTTGTAGTGTTGGGAGATGGGTGGACAGCAATTGGATAACTTTTTCTTGAGTTGGATTCATGGCTGTTATGCCACATATGTGAGATGTTGGCTGTGAGTACCATAATTGAGGATAGTATATATACCAGATGATGGTCGCCGTGAAAGACCCTTGATGTGAGCGATGAGGCGTGTGAATATATAGGGAGTCAGCACATGGAAGAGTACCAAAGCATTGCGGGACTAATGTGGAATGAGAGTAATTAAGGTTGCAAAACTGTGATCGATCGCAAGGGAAAGGGTTGGTCTTACCATCGCAGAAGGTGGTGTGATGGTTGAGGATCGGACTTGCATTATATCACAGTATTCTTCCCCAAGTGTTCGCGAACCTTTAGAACAGAGACACACACAACAATGAACATGCCTGAGTGAGATGCATATTCTGTCGAGTAAACCTACCAGCAGCGGTTGTTAAACCGTAATACGTCAAGTCCGAAAACAAGTTGACTTTGTCCTGATACTTCAGATGTACTCTCGTTCCTATTACACTCAAACAACGGCTGTCAGCACCTTCAACCTGCTGATGTCATGCTCATAAGGTTGCTCACCGAAAAATGAGCGAAAGACGCTTGAGAACTGATCTTGAAGAAACTTTTGGTAGTAGACATCTTTTTGGTTGGCACGAATAACATCAGGTTGAGATCCGTATGGAAATGTGAGCGAGGTTGCTTGCGGTGACCCCGCAGGTTGTGGTGTGGTCAATGCAGTCGGAGATTGCGACATTGTAGTTCCATGTTATGGGCGAGTCAAGACAGAGCTCTGTTGAAGTGAGTCAGCGCAAAGCTCTGGTCACGGTATTTAGCCCTATCCGTCCGCGTCAACTTCAAAGCTCTCTGTTCTGCGACCATAATGGCAAAGGGCTGGGCATGGTGGGGGCGACTAATTGTAATAGGGGTGACCCTGCTAATCGTATTTGTCCTTGTAACAACTCAGGTAAACACTCCACTTGTCAGGTTCATTAAATCCACTTTATCGCTGTCGTAGGTCGCTTACAGTTTCCACCAGGTGTTTATATTTTGGCCTTGGCTATCGTTTCACCCCGAACGGAACCTCTATCTCTGGCTAGGGCCATTTAATGTTGGTGTCCTATCGATCTTCGTCAATTACTATCTAGGCGTAGTCACAGACCCAGGTCGTGTACCAGCAAGTTACGACCCGCTCAAAGAGCACGACCGGGGGGAGAAGGAGGAAAGTGGAAAAGCAAGGAGACGAGGAAGACGACCAAAAAATTCTATCCCGGATAGGGCCGTGAAGGCTAAACCGGCAAAGCCGAGATGGTGTAAGACATGTATGGTGTATAAACCACCACGGAGCCATCATTGCAGTGTATGTAATCGTTGTGTATTGAAGATGGATCATCACTGTGAGTATCCGCATGGTCTTATTACGATATTTAACATGCGATCAATGACCAACCTTCTCCAACTTCTGAAACTGCAGGCCCATGGTTAAACAATTGCATTGGCCACGCGAATCAAGCACATTTCCTTCGCTTTGTGCTTTCCGTAACATTTTCTGCTCTTTCGTGCCTCAGTCTCATGGCACTTCGTATTTGGGACTTGATTCATTATCAAAACCAAATGGAAACGGCGTACAGCACATTTCATGACAATCGTCCCAGTGCGTATTTTTACACTCCGCCACCGGAAGGTCCCGAAATTGTGTTTCTGATCATCAACCTGTTGATTCTCTTCCTTCTTCTGCTAACTGTCGGCCTACTGAGTCTGTGGCAACTCTATTATGCATGGCAGAATGTCACAACAATTGAGAGTTTCGAAAACGCCAAAATTGAAGAACTAGTCCGCCGGGGCAAAATTGCCAGCGAAGATGTATCCGCCTATCCATACGACTTGGGGGGATATCGCAATCTTCAGTCAGTACTGGGCAAACGGTGGTGGCTATGGTGGGTACCGCAGCGGACACCAGGGGACGGAATTCATCACGAAGTGAACAGCACCGCACTACGGCGTGTTGCTGAGGGACATCCCATACAGTGGCCTCCAAGAGCGTATTTCGCTTACAAGAAATATCCACACGGGAAACCTCGAAAGGGTTCTCAGGAGGATAGAATCGAAAACAGTGTATTTGGAAGCAGCCCGCGAGTTAGGCGGGGAAGTGAAGGGTACGTGGTTCGTGAATGGACACCTGAGGAACGGAAGAGAATGGTTGAAATCGCAATGCATCGTGCCACCGTGGACGAGAATAAATTGAAGCCGCTTGTTGATCTTGGAAATACTCCTTTACCGCCTGTTGTATCCAAAGACGCCGACTCGGCATCAGAGTCAAGCGATTGGACGGCAAGTAGTTATGATGAATCTAGTGAAGAGGAGGACCAAGCATCTACGGAAGATAGCGACGATGAGGTTCTCGGGCTGCGGCAGCGGAAATATCAGGATCGGGAGGGAAAAGTCATCGTCGAACCGTTAGACTATGTGGATGATGGGGCGGTTGAGGTTGGGTGTACAGGAAGTGTGCAGAAACGTTAAGTATCGAAGGAAACGTAGGAAAAGACTTTGAGGGTTATCTAGTCATGTAGAAGGGTTGAAGAGAGTTCCATAGAGGTTGCATCGACACGTTCTCAAATATGAACATGCTGAGTATCACGTAAATAGGACTTCCACCAGTTTCACACAGTACTGTCAGTTCCAAATGATACCAATGTCCTGGTCAGTTGAGTGATGTACTTCGACTCTAAAACTGCTGCCTATTCATGCAAAAAGTCGTTTTTATTCAATCTATAATTTGCTCTTTGGAGCTTTGGCGGCATCGTTCTCATCAATGTAAAGCACCATTTCGAATTCCTAGTCCAAATCAAACGTGTAGGTCAATAGATGCTCACATAGATTAGGGGGAGGCGCTTTCACACCTTATGAGCAAATCCGCACTTTTGGTAAAACGGGATGTTCTTGTCGCTACAATCCACTGTGGAGAATGCATTAGTGGCCTAGTGCTAAAAGCAGCTGCGAGACCCTTCTACCCACGGATGACTAGAAAGGAAGTATAGAATGGAAGTTAGCATCGTAGATGCGAGAGTAGAATGATATTGCATCGACATACTTTTGTAACAGCCGGTCATTTTCCCAATGTGCTTTAGTGTTTCAATAACGCTTTTATGATTTCGTTAGAATGTTTATGTTAGAAGAAATGAAGCTAAATACTTACAGCTTTCCAAGATTCAACCCACGGTACTCTTTGTGCGTCACGATATCTGAGGAACAGAAATCCTTTAAAAATCATTCCATGTCCTGGATTCCCTCCATTTTCCATCTCAAACCTTCGATGTGTCCGACCTGGCACATTCAAAGAGTCAGTGGTATTCAATCATCCTCGGCAATAACTGCTTCTTACAAGCCCATTGTGGTGCACAAATTTCCGTTCCACAAGAATCGTTCCAGCCCCCACAATGATCTGCTTCTTGGCATCTTCGATGACAATGGTAAAGTACCTGCCACACGGGAATGAGAAGTTCAGCTAACCGTCTTTGCACATAACGGAGACTTTCATTTGAACGCCGTACTCGTGATTATGTGCTTTAAGATATGCGTATCGCTCTGAAAAAAGTCGAAAGCGTCAGTTCATGCGCGTTGGGGTTCGGCACGGAAAATGACGCGCAATTGAGACGCACCCATAAAGTCGCCCTTTGACATGTTTCCAACGGTAGTGAGTTGTGACAGAACATCCAAGAACCCTGAATTATTGAAAAAACAGACCAGTTAAACATGGGACAAACAACGTCATCTGCCTCTCAAAGCCTCACCTTTCTCGTAGTCACCCGCTTCAAGGGGTCGAACGACAAAGCCCTCTTTCAATTGTCTCTGGACATCTTGAGAGATGTATACGGGGTTAAATAGTGGCTGTTGTGTCATTGGCGCTTGAGTATCGGAAATCGCGATCGCAAGATTTGGGATTGATGCAAGCAACTCAATTCACACTCGCCCTTCGAGGCGTCGTTAACGACGCTCGTACCAAAACCCAGGCGTTCCAAGCAATGTCTTGTTAATTTCCTATCTATAACCTAAAATGGTAATCCTACCCCACTCGTGTTTTATGGGTCGATCTATCTGACCTCACAGTCTTTTATCACGAGAAGGCTCATCGTAAAGTTCCTCCCAGCCGTCGCCGTTATAATATGTCTTCAACTGTCGGAAAAGTCAGTACTTTGAACCTCATCCAGTCGCTGTACTATCCAGGGGACAATGTAAACTTACGTATGGTTTGGGATTGCAGGTCATCAAGTGTCAGGCCGCCGTCGCCTGGGAAGCAGGCAAGCCTTTATGTGAGTACGGAATGCAGATGGGTCTTGCGAATTGAGAAGCGTTGGCGTCTCTATTGGCTCGTAATGAAGATATAGAAGTCTGGGGAATAATGAAGCGGGTCCCCTGGCCTCAGTCGATAGCTAGTTGCCAGAGCCTGCAGCCGTGATATAGCTACTGCTCTGGTCTCTCTGTCAACAGAAGATGTCATATCACGCATATCACCTACTGACTTTTGTATTTTCTGTAGCTATTGAAGAAATTGAAGTCGCTCCTCCAAAGAAAGGAGAGGTGAGAATAAAGATCCTCGCAACCGGCGTTTGCCATACGGATGCCTATACTTTGTCGGGCCAAGATCCGGAGGGCATTTTCCCAGTCGTCTTTGGTCATGAAGGTGGCGGTGTAGTAGAGTCTGTCGGTGAAGGCGTCACGAGCGTCCAGCCCGGTGATCACGTCGTACCTCTCTACATTCCTGAATGCCGCGAATGCAAGTTCTGCAAGTCTGGAAAGACCAATCTCTGCTCTGTCGTGCGTGTCACTCAAGGCCAGGGTTTGATGCCGGACAGCACATCTCGTTTCACTTGCAAAGGGAAGCCGATCTTCCATTACATGGGATGCTCAACATTCAGTGAATACACCGTTGCACTGGAGATCTCCGTCGCAAAGGTCGACAAAACTGCACCGTTGGACAAGGTCTGTCTCCTTGGATGTGGTATCACCACTGGCTACGGTGCTGTAACGAATACGGCGAAAGTGGAGGCGGGTGCCACTGTGGCGGTCTTTGGATTGGGCGGAGTTGGTCTCTCGGCGATTCAGGGGGCACGAGCTGTTGGTGCGAAACGCGTAATCGCCATTGATATCAACCCCAGCAAGTTTGCGATCGCTCAAAAGTTTGGGGCAACTGAGTGTGTTAATCCAAAGGATTACGACAAACCCATTCAGCAAGTCCTGGTGGACATGACTGATGGTGGTGTGGACTACTCGTTTGAGTGCGTTGGAAATGTGCAACTCATGCGCGCCGCCCTTGAAGCGACCCATAAAGGATGGGGCGTTAGCACAATTATTGGCGTTGCTGGTGCGGGACAGGAGATTAGCACAAGGCCATTTCAATTGGTCACAGGTGAGAGTTATTGTTACATCGCGTGGGACTCAAATGTTGCCGCAAATGCTGAATGCTTATTCTGCTTTAGGTCGTACTTGGAAGGGAAGCGCATTCGGTGGTGTGAAGGGCCGTTCGGAACTGCCTGGATTGGTTCAAAAATACCAGAGCGGTGAACTTGATATTGACACTTGTGAGTACAGACATTGCAAGCGATCTCGAATAGGAACCTGCGCTCATAAAATGGATCGGTATAGATGTTACCCATACTTTCAGCCTGGAGGATATCAATAAGGCGTTCGATGCCATGCATGAGGGAACATGGTAAATTATATCGTATCTGTCCAAACTGGAGGCAGCAATCTAACTGGGTTGTTTTAGCATTCGTGCGGTCATTATTAATAAGCAGTAACCAGCCCATTGAACCGGAACTAAGGGCCAAGACTGTCAAACCACACTACCCTTGTATACAATATATATAAACAAATGCCGGTTCCTTCAAGCCTTCATTTCTTGAAGCAGAAATTGGATCTTTCAAGTGGTGTCGTCGATGTCCTCATCATCGTCATCTAGTAACCCTATGCCAGCAACCGCACATGCAACTTTCGCGGCCAGTGCTCTACGCTCTGCATCTGGTAGTGCTTGGCCATACTCTGCAGAGACGTGGATGTTAGTTTCACATCTAGTAAGATGAACCACATGATATGACATTTACAGACCTCGGAAGCCTTGCAGAGTTTTTAGCGCATGTTCAAACCCATCATCGTCAGAATCGTCTTCAGGTGCGTTAGTTTCCAGTTTTCGAAATATCATAGCTCGCGTTTGAGAAATGTCTAAGATCGATGGCATCTCTTCTAGTGAAAGATCTGCAAACCCTAAGACTGACGCATTAAAAAAAATGCAAATCCACGTGAGTATACTTCCTAAATACACACTTGTCTGGTCGTCATCCACGAGCCCAACTTCAGTCTTTTCTTGTATTTTTTCACGATCATGTACGGCACGCTTTCGTACCATCCCATCCCACATGTTACTCTCCAACGCCTCAATTATGCGTTCAAATCCCACGCGGTCTTCAAATGCATCGATCGAGGAAGGTGTGCCTTCAAGTTGGTGTAGGTCAACAAATTCTATACCATTTTCGATGCAGAATTCTTTATGGGAGTCAAGATGAGAAAGTGTGGTTGCTGTTGAACCCTGGATCACGTTGGCAATGCAGAGAGCGACGCTAGGCGTGTTTTCTGCCAGGAACGGTGTCCACACTCGTAAAGGCTCAAACGTGTCAGGCTAAATACGCGACGTATTAAGCAACTTCCGCTTTCTATATCCATCATTGCAATAGTTCGTTGCTGCGCTCTCACCTTTTGCCGATCGTATACGAATATAAACCCATCGATAGCGTGTGCCACAACCGACCATTCCGCTGATTTTGGCTCTTCCTCTTTCGCGGTTGATATAGAGTCAACCCAGAATACCACTTCGGCGGTATAGTACTTTGTATCAAGTGTCATGGGTATACAAAGGGGCGGTACAGTAGTTTGTGGTCCCGCTCCCAGTCGTTCTGTCCGATCATTGTGTCCCAGGATTTCTGAGGAGAATGATTTCAGTGCAATGTGGATATTTATATTGCTGCAGTTGCTGTATAAGATTACTTTTGACGAGGTCCAACTTTCCCACTCCGGGATGTCCAATGACGAGGATCTTGTTTTTGAGAGAAGGTTCCGACTCCATACTCGGTTGTTGGAGCGTCTGGGCGATGCGCCATGGTGCTGTCTGGGATGGAATGGGAGGCTTAGCGGCGCGCTTGATGAATTGAACCAAATATTTTTGCTTTGGTAAGGCAATGGGTGACAATATGGCCTGTCCCTTATGGTCCACAAACCCAAAATAAGCACAGTTTGATGGAGCTGCTGACTCTACAGCTCATGAATAGGGATCTGGAAAGCTGCATTGATCATCATCAGTCGCTTGCCCTTCGCTGGGAACAATACAGCCGGTCGCTGAGTAATTTGGTACCCTAGTGTTTGCGTAAATATTTTCAGATAACTCTAACTCATGCGCGATAGAGGTCATCCTTGGCTAGTTGAGCTATTTTTGGTTATGCTCGCAGCTGTCGGGGAAGTTGTCCCCCATTGATCAGCTTTACAAATAAAAATAGGAGCAGGCAATTTGTAACCTCCATTATTTTCGCACACATTTACGACCATGCCCGTTGTGCTCCTGACGACGCTTCTTCCACCGAATACTTACTATGGAGAAGAGGACAAACGGTGGACTTATGTTCAAGTATACCAGGCAGTTGACCTTGTGTGGGCGGTATGGATCTTTAACTCCGTGTTCGGCAAGCTTATGCAGCGTAAGAGTACTCAAATCGTAGTAAACCGTTGTGCTTGTTTTCAACTTTGTGTTGTACTTTAGACTGGATTCAGTCTGGTCTGAATCGGCGCAACTTCAGCGACTTTGTGCTCACGCTGCTGACCATAGCATCTGTTGTGCATATGGCTGCAAGAATAGTTATGGCAATTATCGTAGTTCCATGGCTAGTTCCACTGCAGCTGTTTTTGGATCGATTCTTTGTTCTCATGGTGGTTAGTATTATGTGCCTTGATCATTGCAACCAGCCCGAGTCTCATCTTTCAATTCGGTAGATCACTGCGTACGCGGCAATATCACGGAGCTTGATTTTGGCCAGTAACACAGATGCAGCCGCTAGTACCTCCAAAGTGGATGTCTTCAAGGTGCTGTCGGTTGTTACGACGGGCCCAATTCTCCTCGCGATGATTGCACAAGTTGTAGTCGCCGCACGAGCCCCTCACAGAAATTGGGAGTTAGAGGTCCTAGTCTGTGCAGCGATCGCTATGGCATTCGTAATCGAAGCCTTCATCTTGAACTTAGCGCGCAGTCGTGTTCAATCACGATTAAACAAAGTCAAAGCCTTCCTGTCCCCTATGCAAGCCCGACGTGAGAAACGAATGCTTAGGAAGCTGAACTATTTGACTATGTTCACGATTTTTGGCGTGTTTCTCATGGGCGGATACGCGGTTCACCTCTGGGTATTGCATAAAGTCAACTTGGATGACCCAGCGAGCGGAAACGTCGAGGTACGGGACTCTGCCATCGTCATGGCTATGGGTTTCTTGGAACTTTTGTTTGCTGGTGTTTCTGCTGCTACCGCAGCAGATTTGTTTGATGTCACGGAGCTCAAGCCTAGCTCGCCATTCTACAAGCTTGTCACCGCCACAGCGAGTCGTGCAGGAGTTCTGGTCAGTCATCAAGGAACTATCAAAGGATCACAGGAGCAGAAAGAATCCCGACCGAGCTCCTCGGTAAGGGGAGCACAGTTGGAAGCCGCGCCAGCGTCGCAAGCATCACAATTATCGCAAGTATCTGCAGCAAATGAGCAGCGCGAACTTGATCTGGAAAGAGAATGGAGGACTGGTCTTCTACAAACGGCCGAGGATCAAGCCTTGTGGTGGAAGAAATTGAATACTCTAACCTGGAAGGAATTCACAACCTTCCCGAACCCGATATCTGAGGCAGAAATTCGAATTTGGATCTTTATCATGGCATTCATATGCGCTTTAAGTCCTGTGCTGGATATTTTTGCGGGAAGTCCCGTTTTCTATTGGTTCATATTGTACGAGTTGATCGTCAGAACATTGTTTGGAATACGACTAGGTATGTGCAGCAGTGGAAATAGGCCCGAGTATCGCCAGAAATTTATCTGACGTGTGATTTCTTAAGACCCTATTGCCTACCTCGCGATGTTCGTCATTAAGCCTTATGGTGAGTTAAAACTGATGTGCGTTCCACACTTATATCAGCGGATTCACGTTATCTTTATTTCAAGTCGTTGATCGATGGGAACTAATCGAGGATTTAATGGTACGGGAAGAGATAAACTGGACAACAACCAGAAGACTGATCTTCCTTCTTGCAACAGGTTGCCGGCCCGCCACGAAGGCAAGCGATGATTAATCCTATTCCTCCTACCTTGATGGCCACCATCGCCTGGCACTGTGGCTGGCCATACGGGGCTCGGTGGATTGGTGGTCTGCTGGCGGCTACGTGTTTCGCACAGGCTTTCTATGATGTGTGCCTTGGATGTGCAGTCTTCTGGATCATGATCAAGCTTAAGATTGCTCCACGAGAGCAGTGCGAGGTGTGCACGGTCACGCTGGGAGCATCTGGAGAGCAATACTGCCTATCGCGTCCAAAGAAAACGAACATGACTGAGTCTGTCATCGCCCAAAAATCAGTTGTCAGTCACAGACCAACAGAGTTGGTTGACTGATGGCAGATACCTATACACGCAATACCCTTCAATAGATTAGTTTGTGGTTTGCGCTTGTCATCAGTTATAGTTAGTCTCAAGTTTAACATGGTGAACCTGAATCAATCCTCATTTGCTCGGTCGTGTGGGCGAAACGGGCGGGGTTATTAACCTCGCTACGTCACCAATTTTTTAGCCTGTGGCACAGCATTATCTTGATATTCAAGTTCCGCTGTCTCTACCCTAGTTGCATCGTCTTGTCCAGCGATGAATTCCCTAATAGCTACTTCCATCTTCATCTTGGCTGTGTCAAGCGTGCTAAGTCATGCAAGAGCAGCGCAGCTGCCTCTTTTGAACGCAGTTGTGGAAGGTAACGACAAACGGTTTGGACGATTCCTTCATATTACGGACATGCACTTGGACCCGTAGGTACACACATTGTCACTATCGGAAAGAATTCGTCCATAAATTCCCTTCTACTGTAGCTACTACGAAGAAGGTGCACCGATAGCGACAAGTTGCCACGGAATAGCGGATGTTCTGATCGCACGGAAGAAACGACCACAAACCGACGCAACAGCAGGGAAATATGGGACTCCTGGAAGTGGCTGTGATTCCCCTCTATTACTCATCAATGAGACAATGAGATTCATTGCGGGAATATTGAACGCTGGGGACAAGTTGGATTTTGTTGTGTGGACTGGAGATTCTGCCAGGTAATCACGTGATCTAGTCGACTCCATTTCTCACCTCTCACCTTCGTCCTATTCATGAATATGAATAGGCACGATAGCGACTCGCGCATTGTACGAACGGAAGGAGAGATACAGGCGCTGAACGCTTTGGCGGTGGAGTTCCTGTTAGGAGCATTTCCGTCAGGGGGCGAGAAAGGGTCAATCCCGATCGTCCCGAACATTGGCAATAACGATATTTGGCCACACAACGACCTGATATACACACCATCTATTCCGAACCCGACGTTAGACTTTTATGCTACATTATGGAAACCATTCATACCCGCTGATCAGACTGAAGAGTTCCGGCGACATGGAAGCTTTGCTGTCGAGGTCGTTCCAAATGTTGTTGTTGCCTCAATCAATACCATGTACCTCAGTGATGGGAACAAGCAAGTTGATGACTGTAGGGCATCTAAAGATGATCCGCTGGCTGCTGGAGATGATGTTCTTCAATGGCTTGCAAATGTGCTGAATGGAGCGCGCCAGGGCGGAAAGGCAGTGTATATTGCCGGCCATGTACCACCCACCCCAATCAACTTTTATCCGAACTGCTACGAAAGCTTTTCCAAACTCATGATAGATTATACAGACGTTGTTGCTGGCCAGTTTTACGGTCATATGAACATTGGTAAGCGCGGGAGCCAGCATTCTTGAAAGCAAATGTGTGCGCTAACTCCCAATTCATGTGGATAGATCACTTCTTTTTCCCCACTCCAGCGAACGCTGTTGGTGAGGACTCAACATCGACTACCGAACAAGGGGCCATAGCGGAATCTCTGCGGGCGTATATGCCTTATTTTTCGGCTAGCTCTCTTGCCCCATTGACAGAGCCCCTTCCACCACATGCCGGAGGTACTGTAGGTACAACTATACCTAGCTGGCTCAATCTCTACTGCCATTACCTCATCAGACATTATACCGAACTGGTACATCAAGTCAAGAAGAATCCAGACCTGCGGGTACCACAGCCTGTCTTCGTGTCTCCCTCAGTGGTTCCGTCCTTCAATCCTTCCTTAAGAGTATTCGAATACCGGAAGAGCATGGGTGATGTTCAGTCTACTGTAGGCCATCTGATCGGGTACACCCAGTACTTTGCCGACATTGAGAAATGGAACAAGCGGAGCAAAATTGGGGATATGACTGTTCAAAAGGACGAATTCCCAGGATATATTTACGAGACAGAGTATCGTCCAGGATCCTTGTATGGTTTAGAGAAATTTGATGCTGAAGAATGGTTACGATTCGGCGGACGGATGGCAGGAATTGGAGCAGACAAAAATACAGCTGCCCAATTAAGGGAATTATATCTCGCTAATTTGGTAGTTAGACTGAAGGGGTTGAAGGTGCCGGTTTGAGGTTGCATGTGCCTGGCGTGAGACCGTTTGGCCAAGATAAACAGCAAGGTAGCTTTCGTCGCGGCCATGTATGTATCATTATGTATCATTCCTTTGCGTGTTCAGAATCATGGATAGCATATGTAAACAAGTTGAATAATATTGGGTTGCACGTAATGTTACGGCTCCTCATTAATGTTGATCATATTGCCGTTGATATATGTTTAAATGCAAATCTAACTAGATATGTGAATTTATGATACAAAGGGTCTCCCAGTTGGTGGCGGCGTTGGGAAATGCCGATACCAACAGCACAAAATGGCGTACAAACCAAAAAAGGTTGTCATTATTCCAATGATCATCATACAGACTGTCCCAACTTCAGTCTGCAACAACTGCTGCAATCCATCGGACATTGCATCTCCGCTTTGTTGCACAGGATGACTTAGGGCTTTGAACATCAGAACACCAACGAACAAAAAAATCCCTGCTCTGCCGGCATATCCGACATGGCCCGTGACCAGTATCACCCATTTTTCGTACTTGGTTTTGCATTTCTCCCAATTGATCTCATAGTGCCATTTTTTAGTTAATGCGTTCTGGAGCTGAATCGCACAAGCGATCGAGAAAGCTATTCCCATGAGGACCAACGCTGTTCGGCCAAGGGCACTGTCCCTCCAACAGTTTGGGTAACAACTTGGAGCAGAGTCACGATATCGCTGCAGAAGAACTTGCAGTAGGTACCCGGAATATCCTACATACACGCATCCTGACACAAACGGGGCCAGCCGAAAAGAAAAGAAGTTTTTAAACTTGGAGTAGTTCGCATCGCGGCCTTGGTACGTTGCGCATTCCCAGAAGCGCCAGATCGAGTAGCACCAGAGTGCTAATGGAAAAGATGAGATATGAGAGCTCTCAATGAGCAATGTGCGAAAGGTGAAGTGCTGAGGCATCCAACCGTACTTACCTATGAGGAGGATGAACAAGAAACTAGATCCGGCTGGGAAGGTACCAATGAGAATGAATGCACCCTAATAGGTGAACCAACTTGAGCCCATTATTTATCCTGTCAATTTGGCCTCTTATGCACGTACCTTTGGGCTTTCCCCATAGTCCTCATCGTTATGCAGCCTACTTGCACTTGCACATGTCATTCCACCAATGAACCCGTAAACAATGCCTTTGGCGGCAAAACCGAGCGTGCCCACAAAAGTCTCGAGCCGTATCCATCGCGGACTGACTCCATGTGGATGCCGTAGACGGTAAACGCAATAGCAACGAAGAGGACACCAGCGATAGATGCTGCAACGACTTCGGTCTTTGTCTGAAGGCGACGTTGACGGTTCAACATCGATCGTTATACTGGAGGAAGATGAGGTGGGGACAGGTGTGGGTTCTGGGGTTGCTGGATAACTCTCTTTGCTCATTTTTTTTGGCTATTATGGTGGCGGTTTATCTACAAAATAAAGTTTTAGCGTCGAGGAAAGGTTTGACAAACTATCAAAATACTAAGTGTGAAGAAACGCAGACGCTGACATCACAGGAACCGGCTATGTGAGTACGTAAGCAATTCCAACCTTTATGGGGAATTTTGGATTAACCTTACATGAGGGTTAACTTTTACACTATGCCCATCCGCCGGGCTTTCGAGGTCCTTCCTACGTATATGATTTGCGGTGCTGAGCAGTATGAGAAATCTTAGGGGAGGAGATTTCCAATCCTCAAAGGGAGGGGGAACGTTACTTGATGACATGACAGCTCGCACGAAGAGAATAATAGAGAATAATAACGAACCAATCTACTTGCAAACAAAGCAGCATACGGCAATGGTCGCTTTATCGATTGCAGTGCAACGCTTTGAGCTCGTTCAGGTCTGCTTTCAAGTAGTGTCATGGCAAGTGATGGATTGTCCAACTATGCCTCAATTGCTTAGTCGCACTCTTTCCGGTTGTAATGCGATTTTGATTTTTGTTGGCGGGTCCAAGAAAACCAACCATCTAGCTCCGACCCTTGTTCTGCCAACAACCTTTGACCATGATCTCGTCATTAGTCTGGGTGCGAAAAGGTGCTGCACAGCAAATTCCGGACCGGTACCGTCTTACAGACGAAGAGTTCTCAAGTCTAGCGGACAGGATCGGCGCCCAATTGGAAGATGCACGTGAAGGATTGGAGGACGCCAAAAATGTGGATGTGACTATGGACGACGATATTCCAGATCAGCAGAAAGTTCAGACCGCTGGAAATGAAATGGATGAGGAATTGGCAGAATATAACCTAGACACATACGACGATGATTCGGAACCTGAAGAAGAAAATTCGACAGCCATACCTCTCTTCAGTAAAATTCAAGGGTTAACGTACCACGGCAGCAATGACGAGGACCCATATGTCACAGTGAAAGATCAAGAAGATGAGAATGAAGAACTTCGTGAGATGGAGATCATGCCCGGCGATAACCTGCTTCTTGCTGCCAAAACCGAAGACGATATCTCGCATCTCGAAGTTTACCTGTACGAAGAGGAGGAAGACAATTTGTTCGTTCATCACGATATTATGCTTCCCAGCTTTCCTCTTTGCCTGGAATGGATGGATTTCAGGGTTGGGAAGAAGAAAGATTTGTCCACACCTGGAAACTATGTTGCCATTGGAACATTCGATCCTGAGGTAGAGATTTGGGATTTGGACATGGTCGACGCTGTGTACCCCGAATGTATCCTAGGCGGAACGTCGCAACCGGGCCTTGATGCGGGGGAAGGTGGAAAGAAGAAGAAGAAGAAGTTTGGTCCTGCCCGTGTGGCCAAAAAGGCCAATGCAGAGCGACATGTTGATGCTGTTATGAGCATCTCCTGGAACTCTTCGCATCGGAATCTCATTGCGACAGGCTCAGCGGATACTACAGTCAAGCTATGGGACCTTTCAGCTCCCGAGAAGGCTGTTAGAAGCTTCACGCAGCACAAAGACAAGGTCCAAGGTGTTGCTTGGAATAAGGGCGAGCCCACAGTATTGCTGACGGGTGGCTACGACAAACGGTGCTGTGCCTTCGATTCGCGTGCACCAACAGCCGTGACGGAGTGGAAGTTGAAAGCTGATGTTGAATGTATCAAGTGGGATCCTTTCCATCCTGAGAGATTCTTTGTAAGTCTGGGGCTGGAAGAATTATGATGGTTGTAGAATTCTAATGCTCTCACGTTCTTGCAGGTAAGTACGGAGGATGGACTGGTAAAATGCTTTGACGCCCGCCAAAGCGGCACCGCGCCGCTTTTCACGCTCCACGCCCACGATGCTGCTGTGTCTTCATTCGACGTTAGCCCAGTCATAGAGGGACTTCTGGTCACAGGCTCTACCGACAAAATGGTGAAAGTTTGGAACGTCAAAGATGCCAAGCCAAGCTGCCTGGTGTCGAGAGACTTGGATCTGGTACGTTTCCCATAGTTTCCCCAGTCAATGCTTATTGACGCTGATCCAATAATGGTTTTTACTATTGTAGGGCAAAATCTTTGCAGCCACCTTCTCCCCAGACTCTCCATATTGTGTCGCGGCGGCAGGAAGCAAAGGAAAAGTTTTGGTGTGGAATCTGGAAAATAACGCTGGTGTAAGACGAGCATTCGGTCCCACTCAGTTCAACGAAACCGCTGTCCAAGCAAATACGCCACGGAAAGAGATTACGGGAGTTGAGTCGGATCACGAGGGCGATGAGGACGAAGATGAGGAAGCCGTGGACGGGATGGCTATGGATGTGGACCAGGATCAGGACGAGGACGATGAAGATGAAGACGAAGATCATGTATGATAAGAGGTCTGTGATGATGGGGCGGCTATGGTAGAATGCATCGCTGAGTTCCTTGTAGATAGTCATAAGTACGATCATTGTTCGCATATACACAACCCAAGTATAATAGCATATTTACTATAAACAGAGTAAAATCAATAGCAGCTAGCCTAGTCTCATATAATACGGGAAGGATTCCCTCTACGACTTCGAGAGAAAGCCTCCCGCCCTCTGTGCAAATGCTTTATTTCTCCGTATCATGTCGGCAGCGCTGGCGCTTTCTCCGGAGAATGTCTGCCTGTGGAGATCTCTGAGAAAGCTCTCGCCCTGCGCTCCTCCAGCTCTTTCCAACCTCTTCATTCTTGCGTCCATGTCACGCGCATGCTCTTCTGCATCCTGTCTACGCTCTTCCTCAACGCGCTTAGTCCGCGCCGCGTCCCATTCCTGAGCATTATTCATCATCTCAGCTAACCGGCGTTCACGTTCGCTCTCTAAGGCCTTCTTCCGAGCCTCATACTCTGCATGAGCGGTACTTAGCACGGTATTCGTTTTGGACAGGCTTTCGGCAGATGGCGTTGGAGGTGATTGACGGGTATCATGCTGTTTGCCATCGGTAACAGGTGGACGTGGAGAAGGTGAAGAGCGCCGTCTTCGCGGCGACATATGGTTTGGTCGGCTGGACTCAGGAGGTGATCGAAACGATCTGCCGTCCCGTGGTTGGGAGCGTCTTCCACCACGTTCTCCCACAGGGGATGGTGATCGGAATGGTGACTTCCTTCTCGGCCGTTCTCTTGGCAATGATGGAGAACGGCGGGAGGGCCTTTCGATCGATCCGGAAGGAGATCGCCTCCACATTCTACTTCTTACTGGCGATGGAGAAGGTCGTGATGTTCTCTCTATGGATGCAGAGGGAGATGCCCTTCTGAATGTCCCTCTCCTCGCAGGTGAGGGGGAACGTCGCGAAAACCACCCGCCGGAAACCGAAGGAGAACGTCTTCTATATCGATTACGTTCTACGGACGAAGATCGTCTTGTCGAGCGCCCAAATGACCGAGAGCGGGATCGTCGGTTATGATGACCATTGCTTCGGCCGTTCTCTCGGCCGTGCACAGCAATGTCAACTTTCGTGCTTTTAGCAGCCCTACGCAGTTCAGTGTTTTGACTGGAATCACTATCGCTGTCTTCGTCCCTCACGCGCTTCTTTTTCTCTCTCTTGTGTTTTTTTTCTTTCTTGTCCTTCTTGCTTCCTCTGTCCTTTTTTCCAGACTTGGCCTCTTTTAGTTTTTTCAATTCAACGGGGTTGTTGAGGACAGCTTGCAACGACGCATGCTCGCGCTTTTTGATCGCTAGTAAGGGGTCCTCACGAATTTTTGCCTGCGTGTCACGCACGGTGTTTGCGGTAACCCCGTACACATTCGCTCGGTCGAATGAAGCGCTAGATTCGATCTCTTGAATAGTTTTCCCCTGCTCAACCAACTTGTCGACCCGCTTTTTACCGAGCAAGTATGCTTCTCGATCCTCATCGACTGCCTTGTTTCCACCTCCGGCTGAAGAATACATCCAGTCAAGTCTCTCCGTGCGTTTCTTGACTTTCCCGGCGGCCTCCGATAGCGCTTGGAGCTCCATCATTTGCCGTTCTTCGTTTTTCTCTTTCAGAAGTTGATCCATCTTCTTGCGCTCCTCCTCCGCTTCCCGTTCCTTTTTCCATACCTTCTCCTGGTTCCGAAGGGTTGCGGGATGCCATGATTTCTTCAAATTCTGGAAACAAAAAAAGGAAACGGATGAGCGACAGCTAGACTGTAAGGAAGCACCCGTCCTTACGCACCAAGTCTCCTCCTCCCATCTTGGCAAGTTACTGATTGTCACCAACCAGAGGCTGATGATTCAAGGGCAGGGACTCAAGGATCAGGTAGACGGGATGGTGTGGGACTATACCTTTGAGCACGCGCAGTCTTGTTGAACTTTCACTGCTGCTAAACCTTTCTGGTCACGTGCATTTGCATCCAGTTCATAGTGTGGAGGCGATTGAAAATGGCACTAGGACCCATTATTATCCGGATTAATCCGGTTAATCATATCGCATAATCAGAACCCCCCTCTATCGCTCAGATTGGTGTGGCATGTATTGTAATGTTTTTTTTTTTTTCTGCGGTGAGGCGCATGCCAAAGGTCTATAAAAGGGGGGCCTTTTCCCTCTTTCCTCTTTACCCATCCTCGACTCGAAGCATCTGCGCAACGCTCATTGCGACCCACACAACCTCATCGTGACTCGGTCAACCATGAGAATGCAGATGTGGTGGTGCCGAGGACCTCGCCCTCCCGACAGCAACAACGGACAGAACCAGCAGCAACCAGTTGGATCTGTTGACAAACTTACTATTATGTTGCCACATTTGTTGAGCTTGGTTGGTATGTACCGATGGCTTTTCTTGCATTTCTTGTCATCGGGTCACCTCGCTGACATGCAGTTTTTTTAGTCTCCAAGCCTTTGTCACTGAAAATCCACCAGCTTGTGACGCTGCCCAGTCGATTCGCTCCTGGATGCAAGAGTCTGGCTTCAATGCCATCAAGAGTTCTGGATCAAGGCCTAGTAGGGACCGTGTGTGGTGGTGGGCAATTATCCGGTTAGAACCAACCGTTACAGTATTGCGTGTATAATTGTCTAGTAGTAGCTTAGCTTTTCCGAACCGGTTGTCGCCGGTTTATTCCCTGGTGTAGTAGCTAGTGCCAGTTTCTGTCACCCCTACACTAAACTTGCCTCTCAATGGAACTTTGCCCGCATTGTTATTGAAGGCCACATCTGTACACATGTAAATATGAGGTTGAATAATACGATCTGGCGTAAGTTCAGGGCGGCGAGGAGGAAAACATGCATCGATTCTGTCCAGTGTGCTTGCCAATTGAACAAGTCGTAGTCGAGTGAGCATACTCACAGGCGTTACCAATGATTTACCAATAAGAGTTTCCTCCGAGAGCTATCTGCAGGTTAAAAAACCGATAACTTCTGCCGTCTATCTCTTGGAAAGCTGGTGCTCTTTTCCGTCCAATTTACAAACAGATGTGGAATTGAGTCATGATGACTAAGCCAGGCCACCATGCTGTCAGCTCTCAACAGTCACCCGCTCGAGTTTTACGCCAACATGGGCAACTTACTGGGAAAGGACAAATCAAAAGGGCCAAAGATAACTTCAAAGGACAAGGCCATTTTGGACCTGAAAATACAACGAGACAAACTACGACAATATCAAAAAAAGGTGGACGTTGGATACCATCGCGCCTTTCTCGAAATGTGTCAAATGGCAACTTTGAGTGAACGTTTCTCGCTCTGGCATCGTAGATTCAGGTCATTCTCTCCCGGGAAGTGGAAGTTGCGAAGCATCATCTTCGTTCTGGAGATCAAGGGCGAGCTTTATTGGCCCTCAAAAAGAAGAAGTACCAGGAGCACCTGCTGGCAGAAACCGATCAGCAGCTTCTCAACCTAGAACAATTGGTACTGATTTCTCAATACTCTACTCAAAGCCGTCAGCCACTCATCTAATTTTCATTGTACAGACGAGCCAGATTGAGTTTGCGCTGGTTGAACAAGATGTCGTCAAGGGACTCCAGCAAGGAAATGAAATTCTTAAACAAATACATCAAGAAATGTCATTGGATGCTGTTCAGAAGCTAATGGACGATACAGCTGATGCGATTGCCTATCAAGCGGTAATCTGCAATTTGAAATCTTTACCCCCAGTGGTAGGCTGACCTTTCGCCCACTTGCAATAGGAAATTGATGAGTTGATTAGTGGAAAAATATCTCCCGAGGATGAGGAGGAAATCATGGCACAGCTGGATGCATTAGAGGCAGAAGAGGTACTTCCGCCTTATTTTTTGCTTACTGTATCCGCTTGATCGTTTGGTTCATTGCCTCCATGGCATGCATTCAATTGCAGATAGCAGCAAGGTTGCCCGATGTCCCAGCGGCGAAAGGCAAGGGATCAGAAGCCACACAATCCGTTTCGGCTAATAAACTGCCCATTGATTTGAATGACCTCCCCCCAGTCCCTACAAAGGAGTTACCCAGGTTGGAAGAGCCAGACGAAGGTACGTCTCGACATTTCTGATAAATCTGGTGATAGAATGAGGTAGTTATTATTGACATTTTATAGCGGCGGAACATGCGAAGATATCCAAAATTGCTAAGGCGCGAGCTGAACCGAAATTGGAAGAGCCATTAATGGCATAGCGAGATCAAATCTCAATCTGTATTACACAACAAAAAAAAACCCCCCACGGCCACAGGCGAGCTGGTCTCGCGATTGATCGACAAAAGCCAACCAGCGCTTCATTTAGACCATAAATCATGTCCAATAGGCATTTCTTTTACTCGCTCGATCACTTCCAGAACGGTGCCAACTATGTCCTTTTGAATCTCCTCTACGGGTCTATCGGCATCTATCACTCTCCAAGTCGGGTCTTGTTCTTTCAGTTGCTTAAAACAACCGCGGACTTTTTCCTGGAACTCGATCTTCTCATACCTCTCCCCACCGAATCCACCCCTTGTTGCAGCAACTTCAATAGGTATCTCCATATAAATAACCAGGTCCGGCGTCAACAGGCCTTTATCTGGTCCCTTGCACCAGTTGAGATCTAGACCTTTGGCTGCAGTATAAGCGACACCCGAGTACGCGTATCTGTCGACAATAACTGTTGTGCCATTCAACAGAGCGTCTTCCAGCTCTTTCACAGCCTCCCATCGATTTGCGGAGAACAGTAAGTGTATCGCTTCGTCGCTTAATTCGGGTTCGCTAGTAGAACTCAGGTACGATGAAATAAGGGCGCCTGTGGTTGAGGTTCGGTCTGGAAAGCGGCGGAGGATGGACGGAATTTGGTGGGAAGAGAGGTTTTGCGTGAGGAGTGCAGTTTGAGTTGATTTTCCTGAACGGTCGACACCTTCAAAGACAATTAAAGCGCCGCGCCGACGCGGCATATTTGCCAGCATGCTGAATGGGTGTTGGTAAGTAGAAAACAACGCGTCGTCCGTTGTGGTCCATGCCCGTCCGACTCTGACTCACGTCCGTCCTTCCCAATTCCTGCGAGTGCCAAATCTTTGCACGATATCGTGCTATTTGTATTGCCAGACTCTTCTTATTTTCAAATTGAATCTGCCTAGCTCGACTGTGGAAGGCTTGCTCCACCATTGCCTGCCAGCGCCGTGAGAGTACCGGTGTATTTCAAGTCAAAGCTCAATCACCTGGAAGGCTGCACCTTGCCTTTCGGCTGCTTGCGCACTTGCTCCGGCAAAAGCGTGATGGAGGAGGACATTGACATGTTCGACTATGGTGGAACCTTGGGCGGCCTCCGTGACGGGGAACCAGACCTTGGCGGTAAGCACACAGCGCGGATGCTGTTTCCCGGTCACCCTTTACGGTTCTATGACATTGGAAATATAGGCAAGGTCTTGCCGGAGCATGATCGATCGAACTCGTCGACATCGTCGTTCTCGAGCACCATATCTGCAAATAATTCCATGCGCAGGCCAACCTCACTGAACCAGTTTGCGGAATGCCAGCCGGAGCTACAAATTACTTCTCCGAATCTTGTACAGTTACTGAAAGATGAGATGACAGCATACTATAGAGGTCAGGGTAGCCATAGAAATGATGTTGGAGTAAGTGGTGACGATAACGGTGTAGGAGCCTAGTAGATCGCACATAATCGCCCTAACCGGAGAGGATACGCATAATAGGTGATTCGGACCAACATACCGTTGCACCCCGCTGGGTATGTTGGCTACTTTGAGGTAGAGGTTTTGGATGCCGGGGAAAGAGGGTACAGATGCGGTGACTTGAGAAAGTCTGATAAGGATCATCCATACTAAATGAGGACCGCTGCGATACTCCCAGCTGCGTCTCTATTGGCCTCTCGCACAGTGAATCTTCGGCTAATAAGCATGCTGGATCGGATTCAAGGTATTCTACCAAATACTAGTAATGGTTTTGAAACCTGGATGCTAGCATGCGGAACGTTGAAACGAAATTGTAGGTCTTGGAGCTGGCTTGGAGCTGAAGCCCGTCGACTTCACGACTCGCGGCGGTGGGCCTTGATGATGATGTACTCTTTTCAACCTAGCTTCTAACCCGCAATTAACGTCTTTGCTCAGAGACCCATACGCAGCGGGTGTGAAGATTAAAAGCAAAGATGTGATGGGATGCGGATACCACTTCGAAAAGGGTGTCATTTTCTTTACACTGAACGGACGATCACTAGGTGATTCAAATTCGCGCTGGAGTATGTGAATTATTGTCTAATCAGCGCACATTCTGTAAGGTGTGGCGTTCCAGGATGCTAAAGGTGATCTCTTTCCTACAGTCGGCTTGCACAGCCCCGGAGAATGTGTAAGACTTAATTTCGGGGGAAGGCCCTTTGATTTTGATATTTGCGCGTACATTGAGGTAGTCTACGGTGTTAAGACGATTTGACAAGCTGAGGGCTAAAGACACGTAAAGGAGGAAAAACGCTCTAACATGCAGCGAATCCGTGCGCTACCATTGTCGAATCAAGATACTGACTGGATAATACAGTCCTACCTTTTGCATTGTGGTTACGCAGAAACGTTCGAAACGCTTTGTGGATCCCAACCTCCTCCAGGTATAGTATCTCTCATGCTACCCTTCATTTCAGTAAGGGCGAACCTTCTTATATGTTGCAGGGCAAGGCCAACTTCTCGAAATGCTGGAGATTCGGAAGGGTAAACACTATTTTACATCGCGTGGCAAGGGTCATTCTAATATACTTCATAATTAGCCATCCGACGCTTGATACTGACAGGAGATATCGCAGCAGCACAGGCATTGACGCACCTTCATTTTCCCTCAGTTCTGGATCCCGGTGGAGGTTCGCGCAATGTGCGACTCCGCTTGTTTTGTGAATGTCAACAATTTGTTGAGCTCGTGAGAAAAGGGGCGCAAGAGGATGAACTCATTAGTACGATGCAGACTAATCTCGGAACATTTTATCGCGGCGACGTAGAAGGGTGCCACTTGGATGACGAATTGCATAAGATGTTACAGGTGCGGTGATAACACAAAGTATGTGATCACCCTTGTATGTGAACGGCATAAACACCTGCATCAGGCAGTAGTTTCGTTAATCGCCTATGACAATCCTTCGGCTGCGCCGCAGCAAGAGCTACTTGACGAGAGGCAACGGGAGGTGGTAGCAGACATGTTGAATGACGCAATCATTGGTATGATCGTTTTGCTTTATGTGGTTTTAATGGGGGTAGGGTTAGATTTCATGACGGCTCAATTGCTGCTTGTGGTCTGACACCCTTTCTGCAAATCACTCTCCCTCTCTCTCTCTCGCTCTTGCCACATGGATCACATTTCCTTAGCCTCAATGAGTAACCCGCCACCCTCTCTTAACTTGGACCTCCTCCTGCGTCAGCTTGTTTTGGTCCGCAGTCGCTTGCGCGTTTTCCAAGATGGAGTCGATTCCCGGAGCATCGGAAAAGGTCATTACAGTCCTAGGAGAGGGACGGAAGGAGGCGAAGAACTTCGGCCCTCGTCTGCTTATTCGAGAGCAGGGCTAGAGTTGGCGGATATCACGGCGGAAGTTGTTGCGTAGAAACAGGTCAACCGTATCACAATGACGGGTAGAAAGTGTATGATTCTTGTGGTTCTTTGCATGGAATATCTTCCTTGCGATTAGCTTTACACGGCGGATTCTAATACGTGTGTTTTCTTTGTACATATTATCAAATAAAAGAGCATTACATGGCACGCTTTATTATTGTACCGCACCTCGGAGACGTCCTTCACCTGGTGACGCTTGACTCTACAAACAGGCGCGAAACATTGTTGGACTACTCAAAAGAGACATCGAACCAGGATGTGGCCCTCACCATCATTGTTTGTTGATGCCCTCGCACTAGCCGCCATTCCCTCAATCTCAGGCCAGTCGGGCAGCCAGTCTGAGTCAAAAGGGACCCTGGTTGCATCAAATAACTCAATAAACTGTTGATCCATTGATCGGGACTTCGGATGTGAAAACCGACGATATTCATCAAATATGGAAGTATGGGACCAGTGTTGTAGTTTGCGGAGGCAGCCTACAAGACAACCAGTTCGGTGCTACGATACGGTTGCATATGTATATCAGTGAGTGCAAGGTGAAAGTGATCAGTTTTAAACCACTTTTACCTTTCCTTTGTTGCAGTGGATGAGTACTGTGATTACCACGCAAATATAGAGAAGAAGGGGGAAGACAATGTAAGCAAAGGATCGTGCGTGTCGCTCAACAACGGAGGCATCCCATGAGGCGACCCGCACATGGATGATTTCGTCGGTCTAGAATTAACCTTTAATACCGAAGATCTCTGAAAGACTGAATGAAAATAATCCCTACCCAGTATCACCGATAATGCAGCACATATTGTGTCTTCTGGTATATCTACAAAGGGTTCCTTCGGCCAGTTGAATTAACTCAACGTCGCTTTAAGACGAATCCGAAGAATGTCTCGTTCGTAGGTGTGCTCCTTACCTTATTGCCCGCCACGCCGAATTGAAATAATTTTATCTTATTCTCTTCCATAAACTTTTTATTCTGATCGGGATATTCTTCAAGGATAAGTGTTCTTCAGCAATAAAAACGCTATCAGTAGTAGAACACTTGCGGGTCCAGTCGTGTGACATTCTCCACCTACAATATAGACTTCAACCCAAGCTTCTTCAAAAAAGAGAAATTCTTTTTCTTTGGAAAAGCGCTCCGGTACACTCCTTTCGTCACCATATTGAAGTTCTCGGTGGGATACAGCTCTTCATCGGCTAAGTCTTCCCCACCCCCGGACTTGGTGCTGGAGTCTCCAAAGGACGCGATAGTTGCGCTTGTTGGTGCGTCTGCTGGTTTTGACTGTGCTGAGGACGGTGGCTGAGAGGTTGGGGCAACTGACCGTGGAGGTGAGGGATTTGTTACAGAAGTGGGAGGCGGTGTCGACGACGGAATCGATACAGAGTGTGAGGGAGAAGGCCGGGTGTTTATTGGTGCGGGATGCGGACCGTGATGGTGTCTTTGGGGAACCGACATTATCGAAGGTGGAAATCTATGGCAAACGCATGAAGATGGAAAGGCAGGCTCCAAGCGGACACTCATCTCTGTGGTTTGACATGGTTGGAATGCAACATCGCAAACTACTGTACAGTACCATGGCACACTTGTAAAAATAAATTAAGTCTATTTCGCAGAATAAACACTGCTAGTCAGTTATCAATGTGCATGGATCAACTCCAAGACTCCTTGCCCACCCGTAGTCTATCTACGTTTCCTCCCAGAAAGTACGGCCTAAGCTTTTCGGGTATACGTAATTGGCCATCTTCTAGTTGATGCGTTTCCAGCAGAGCAATGATGAGACGGGGGACGGCACACGCTGTTCCATTAATTGTGTGCACAAAGTCAGTGGTGTTTGGGGATGGGGAAGAGACGAAGTGGCGAATGTTGAGCCTGCGTGTTTGGTAGTCAGTGCAGTTGGAAGCACTGGAGATCTGCAAGAAGGATTGTTTTTCAGTTACAATACGAGTTATGGGTTGCAAAAAGGCCATTTGTACCTCTCCCCACGCCTTCCGCCCAGGCATCCATGCTTCCATGTCATATTTCTGATACGCAGGCGCTCCAAGATCATGAGTAGGCATGTTAAGAATCCTGAAGCAGAGCTCCAAATCTTCAAATATTTCCTTCTGGATGTCCACCATCTCTTTCAGAGCATTATCACTTTCACCTTTTGCTGTAATACTAAACATTTCAACCTTTGTAAACTGATGTACCCGGTACAAGCCTCTATTTGTGGCACCAGCCTGTCCTTCAGCCCGAAAGGATTTGCCTAAGGCTACCATTTTAATCGGCAGCTTCTCAGACAAAACGATTTCGTTGGCGTACATGGCTGCTAATGGAAACTCGGCCGTCGCAGACAAACACAGTTGCATTGGATCGCGTCGTGCGTTGAAAGGCAGACGGGCCTCGCTTGCTGCATGGGGTTCAATATAGTAAGTTTGGGGGTCTTCTGTTCTTGGATTAAAACCGCATGCTTCAAGGACCTCATGTCGGATAAGATCTGGTGTTGTCACCGGTACGAACCCGCGGGCTATACATCTGTCGATAGCGTACCGGGTCAAAGCCATTTCCAGGAGCGCACCGGCATTACGAAGGTAATAGAAACTTGATCCTGTAGCTTTCCCAGCGCGTTCGAAATCCACCATGTCATGTAACGACGCCAGCTCCATATGGTCCCGCAAGGGAGCACCTGAGTCAAACACAGCCGCTCGAGGACTACCGACTGTGTCAACCAGCCCCGCTTTCGATTCATCGCCTATAGGTACCGATGGATGCGTGTCGTTCGGTATATGCCGCGCTTCTTCGTACAGAGCTGCTTGCATATTTGCCACCTGCTCTTCTTTCTCAGCAACCAACTTCTTTAAAGTCTTCCCCTCCTCCGCCAGCTGATTCTTGCGATTCAACGCCTCAACCACGTCATCTTTCCGTTGCTTTTTTAAGATACCCACGATTGCGGCCATCTCCGTTGCAATCTTGTTCCTTCGCCTTCTCAACTCTGCCAATTCAAAGTCTGCCGTAACGAACTTATCGTAAAGAGACACTACCCGCGATACATCCAAGTCCAAGACGTTTCGGTTTATGGCATTTTGTTGTATGTAGGCAGCGTTCTCACGGATATAGCGATAATTGAGATGCGGATTGAACTGGCGAGCAGACACCTGAGGTCCTGGGACATCGGTCGAATTTCGGCTGGCAGGCCGGACACCAGTAGAGAATGGGCGCGCTATAAGACAGAAGGTATAAGTTAGTACCGAAGATGAAGAGAACATGGGAGTATATACCTCTCCATAATATCACCCGTCGGAGTGCGAACATTTGGCTACCCTTACGGGGGGACAGCATTGCAACGTTCAAATGCAGCTTTGCTCCAAAAGGGTTGTTTCGTTGAATGAGTCATGACAGACGCTATCATGGCAACCAGCGTCCGAACGCGATCCTGACGTAAAGTTATCGGACTTCCTTCCAAAAGTACCACTAGGTCTTTTTTTCATCATAATCATAGAACCCATAGCACCATAATGGAGTAAAAGACAATACTGTACCAATTCTGAAAATCCTCCTGCATTCGTCTCCTTTGCAGAGATACAGCCCGAAAGAACACTTCAAAATCCTTGCGCCTGTGTACAGCGGTTCCGGGGGCGAACGATCCCCTAGCCAAGACTATAATAGCGGCACCCATAAACCCCTCGTTCGGAGCCGACTACGATACGTGTAATTGCTGGGATATCTAAAATGGGTACGTTTAGGTTGCTAATCATTATTGGCGGACCTTGATCCACGGCTCCTGGAACAAACAGAAACGGTCACCCCATGGACCCCAGATGCCACGGAACTGTTAATCTTTATTTCGACATGTCTCAACCGAGACTTGCCAATTGTTTCAGTAGAGTAGTGGTTGTACGCAATGGCACCGATTGTTCACTCCTGAACATGGTGTGTGCTTGCTTGTACACATCCTTTTTGCACACGTCGACAAACTGCTGTCTAAGCGCCAGAAGGGCTGAAGTCCTGTTTAAGACGATGGCTATCTACAGCAGAATGACTGTATAGGACAATAGCAAAATCTATCACACGCAGTCCTCCTCAAGCCGAACTAACAGCAGACATTCATAGTCTGTTTTGTAACTGCATAGACATCAGTCTACGTAGTTGAACGAGATTGTCCCCGGATCATCTTAGAAGTCAAGTTTAAACTGGAATATCCCTTGAGGCCCTTGAAGACGGCAGTATATAAAACCTGCTATGTACAGATGTTGCGTACAAGCATAGTCACTTTGGATACTGTACGTTTCAATTCATGTCCGTCGTCTCCCCATACTTGAAAAGACGGCCAGCCCGACAATGTAAGCAAACATGCTGAGCTGCACGCAAGCAAAATATTTTATACCGGAACGAGCATCGTTTCAGTAATTCTAGTATTCAGTCTATAACACGTCCATCCAACTAAATATGGGATGCTTCCATAAAAATGGTGTTATCCATGAACCGCTAACGCCCATTTCCTGCCTCTCTCGCGTAACGCTCTGTTGGCGACACCACCTATGCCGTAGGCCGGAAATATTCTACCCACGCGCGCCAGAGCAGTTCCCAAATACTCTCTTTTAATAAAATTCAATCGCGAAATTAAGGTAGCTGTTCCCGTTGGTCTATTGTAAAGATCCATGCCAAGAAGGTGCATAGGACAGCTCACAAACTGGACAGCACACGGAGTGACTAATTGAGAGAGGGTGTCCGCTGTCACCTTGCCTACTCCCACTTGTAATTGCAATCGCTGGGACACAATGGACGGAAGATTGAACGAGGCGTAGATAGTCAGACTGTCTCTGGCGGTATATAAAAGGTTGCTCGACCATGGCACACGGCGGTTTTGTGCGGTATGAGACGCAAACAATCGAGTAAAGTACATATCCTTAAGAACCGAAGATACGACATTTGTTGTGGATGCTGCCAGAAACTTTGGAAAGAACCAATCGATATTCCATCGATGCTCACAAAGACATTCCACAACGTTGGCAACACAGTATGTGGACGAATAAACTCCCCATACGAGGATAAATGGCATCTAAACAATTACGGTCACTCAATATATATATTTGACTGCATCATTTAGTGCCGCTGATTGTTACACACCTGTCTGAGGAATTGCGTCGGATGCAGAAACAGGCTTTTGAATCCCGAAACGATACCTCGCACGAGAGGTTCCCTTCCACTTGCATTAGCAAAAATAGATTTATCTATTATCGAAATAAACGGAGCAACAAGAAAGGCTGCACTGATGGCGCAGGCGCTCTCTGCCAGGAGTAGCCGGGACATCGTTCGTGAATCCAACCGACCAGGGGGTTCAAGGATTGGTTTGGCGACAGACAAGGGAGGACATTGAAATGGGAGGTTGTCACCACTAGCAGGCAGCAGATTGCTAGAGAATACCGGGTCTGTTCCCGCCGGGCACGGTGAAGGTGATGGCATAGATTCTCCTCGACCCTCGTAAAGTTGCTGACCTCAAAGCACTGACTGACTGGTACGAAGCTCTGGCTGATTCCACATGTACTTCTATAGACGTTTCCTGCAGAGAGCTTGAAGTGTCCCCCTCAACCTAACTAGAACTCCCACCGCTCCCTATGGTGAACTGGAGGTCGGGATGGCGGAGAGTGTGCATTGCAGGAGGCTTAGATGAGATAAGATCATTCGGGTATTTTGAGAGTTGAGGAATTCCATGGTATCGGTTGTACTGTAGTTGTATCACATAAGCAAATCCCTCGGATTGCATCAGCGGCCACCGCTCGACACACACTCTTATCCTGCTTCGCATCTTGCCTGAAACTACACGAGTTAAGGCTCAGCATGACAGCAGCTATGCAGCGTTCGTTTTCAAGCGAGCTCCATGACCTGGGCATTCCTACCGTCGATGTCAAAACGCTTGCGACTCGCATCAAAGAGCAGGATGCAACTATTAACTCCCTCCGTGAACAGCTCAAAAATTCCGAGTCTGAATGCTCCCGTCTCAGAAGCATCAATAAAATCTTGCGGGATAGACTAGCCCTTGTGGTGACACTCCAGGATCAGTTGCGGGGCACGTTAAAAGCCTATGATGAAATTTCTGAACGTGTACAAGAGCATCTGCGATTAACGCAGCAACTGCAGAGTCTTGTCGATATTACCACAGGCAACGTCCAAACCGCCTTTCAGACAATTCCCACCATTGCAGATTTGGATAAAATGGTCGAAGGTGTGACCGAAGCCACACCTGTCGTAAGGACGTTGACCGGTAGTCCACGAAGACGAAACACTGGTGTGACTGCAATTCCTCCTCCCACGATTGATTCAGTCATTTCCTTATTGTCAATATTCCCTTTGTTTGCCGAGTTCCCCAGAGAAGTACTGGTCAGGCTCGCGCAATCCTCCTATGAGGTAACCTGGGGGAGGAGCAACCTTAATCTTGCATCATCCACACTGATATTTACTGGCCCAGATGAGGCGGAGTCCAGGTCAGAATATCATCACCAAAGGCGAAATGGGTGCTGAGATATTTTTTCTTGAGGAGGGCCAGGTGAACGTCATGGCCACTCTTTCAGATGGGCAAGGTGAAAGTGCGCGTCTTTTTGTATGTTCTGAGTAGACGTGATGCTGTCCCACAAGAGTTTTCTGAGCCATGCGCAAAATGTTAGATATCCCGCTTGCAACACTGACTGCTAAAGCCTTTTTTGGTGAATTGGGAGTGTGTAAGTAACCTTATATGACATGGTATTGTATGCGGAACTCTGGTTAATTCGCTAGTATGGTAGTGTTTGGCAATCCCCGCACGGCCAGCGTGCAAACAAAGACAGACTGCGTACTTGTCGCTGTGACAAAGCAAAAGATTGATGAAGTTCTGCAAACATACCCGGAACTGCAATTGAAACTCCGCGCATTTGCTGATGATCGGGTGAAATGGTGTGACACCCGCTCATACAAGGCCGGATTCGGAGGGGAGTTCATTACCAATATTGCGCGAAAAGACGTCAGCAAGGTAAAGACCATTAATTCTCACATGATATGCACTGAAGTTTTGCCCATGTGCTAACTCTTTGGTACCCTCATCCCAGCTTCCCATATTCAGTGATGCATCCGACGAATTCATTGAACAGCTTGGCAAGCGCTTAACTCCCGAGATTTTTCCCGCGGCTGCCACCATTATCGCCAAAGGGGACGATTCTGATTGTATCTTCTTTATTGTTCGTGGTTCCGTCCAAGTTCTGGACGCAAACAGCAACGAGATTCATGCCGAAATGTCTGCGGGCTCCTTTTTTGGAGAGCTTGGAGTTGTCCTCAACGTACAACGTACAGCCAGCATCAAAGCAAAGGAGGAATGCTACCTCCTAAAGCTTACCAAAGCGAGCTTGACTGAGGTCCAGGACTTGTACCCAGCGATGAAGCAGAAGATTCAAGATGCAGTAGACGAGCGGTACGCTCTTTACAAAACTCGTACTCAAATAACCAACAAGGCACCGGAGCAGTTCCATATGGAAGTTGGACATCAGCAATTGACCAAAGTGAGTCACCGCTTCGATTTACAAACGCAGGAGCTGGCATTTATAAGCAGTATCCGATCACAGCTATCAATTTTCCAGGATATAGATGATAACATTGTGAGCGAACTGGCGCTCCTCATGAGTCAGAAATCTTGGAAAGGCGGTGAATATATCATCAAGTGCGGAGATCAAGCAAACAGGTGAATTGGGACTATGTGATCTAGGAGAATAGATAGTTCCTCCAAACTTACTTGGTTCACCACGACAGCATGTTCTTCCTTGCATCGGGCGAAGTGGATGTCATTGGTGAATTTGGGGAACAGATTGACAGCGCAAAGGGTCCGGACGCGTGGTTCGGCGAGGTAGGCCTGCTTCAAGATGTCCCGCGCACGGCAAGCGTTCGGGCTCGCACGGACTGTTCAACCTTCTTATTGCGGAAGGAGGACTTCATGGCATCACTTCGGAAGCACCCAAGCATTGCTTCCCGGATTGAAGAGACTGCAAGGGAGAGGTTACAAGCTCATTTAATGAGGAGTATTCTAGCTTGAGGACTACTCCCTACTGCGGAATGTTGATGTCCATTGCTTTGTTGCTTTGTTGCTTTCCTTATTTTTTTTTGCCGAACAGAGAAAAATACTGCCACATTTTGGGGACCATTTGGTTTTACTATTGTCCGCAATCGCAGATGACGTGGTTCCAGAAAAAATCAAGCATCTATTATAATACTCGCTTCTTGTCACGTATAGCCGGGTCGATGTCATATTTACAGGGAGAATAAGGGAATAATGGAGCGGGTTGAGTAACAACGTGATTATGTTGCATCACTACCCCTTCATGAGCGTGACGCCGGCCCCCAGCGGCACATCTCGCGGAAACTACGACCACGCCACAAGACGACATGCAGCTTATCAGAAAGAAATACGACAGACAACTGGGCCGACGCTGTTAAGCTCGTAATGCTGACAATCGAGCTGCCATCGATTCCAGATCCTCTTCCTGCGCCTGTGGTTGTTGATCCTAGTGGTAACATGAGAAAGCATGACGATGAGGTGTCATATTCCGTATGCCAGACGATAGAAGAGACCAAAATACCTCCAATGGAGCTCCGACCGCTCCAGGTGCTTCTCCGAGCATTCCTAAAAAACAAAACGAATTAAGTCATCCGGTTGCGTCTACTCTGAGATAGAGGGAATCATTACCATCAGTAAGCTCGAAAAGAACTTTGCTCACTTCGTCCTCAGCCTCTTCCTCTATTCCTTCCTCATCTCCCATTTCTATACTGTCCTGCATCATCTCTTCAATGATTCCGGCCTGCCAGAACAAGTCCTTAGTACACGCAGTCGCAGATACATAGAATGTGAAAATCCGACCTTCATCATCTCTGCCCCCATCTCAGACATTATGGAAGATATCTCAGGAAGCTTTACGAGATTGTTTACGAGTTTCATAACATCTGTGCTCTTTTGGAGTGTACCAGAAATTTTCATCGTCGCTGTTTTTTGACGATGTTATCACTCTTAGTATAGCGCGTAGCCCAATACAGATAGTGAGTCCCATACCTAGCTGCTGCTGCATATGCATTGTCAAAGAATTCAATTGCGCCTTTGAGGTGTAGAGTCGGTCCCGTGCCTTTCTACTCCTTACGATCTCTTTTGCCAACAATTTACATGAGGTGGTGTCATTTCGCTTCGCTGCCTGTTTGAGTGCTCGTTTTACTTTTGCTTCCTCAGCATCGATGCCACGCATGCTCTTTTCAAGTTCACGTTCTTGCGCACGGACTGTTTGGCGCCATTTTTTAACCTGGGGTGGGCTGGTTGGGTGAGGAAAGAATCGGCGGACGCACCACATCAAGTGCAAACCTGTTCCTCGGGTGATAACCTCTTTCCTATTAACATTTGCATTACGGAGGCCATCTTTGCGGTTGAAGCTGGCTCAGTTGGTCTGGGAGATGTGTACGGGATGAGACACGAAGACGGCTGCTGGCTGGGATACTTGTGTGGCACGTGGTATATGTGGCGGGGCAATTACCAAAGCAGATCGGATGTTTTACGTGATGTGAACGACCAATCTTGGAACACCAAAGCTTTCGAACGATCCGAAATCTAGCACAAAATGTCAGCTAAACCCAGTACTGCTGCTTCCAAAATCAATTGGGCCTCTGTGACTCAAAAACTGCGTCCTGAAACCGCTCAAAAACTCAATGCCTTCCGTCGGCAGCATACAGAATTGGTCAAAGAAGTGATGACACTTCAAGAGCAGCTGCAAAGATATTCCATCGACTTTGATTATTACTCTCGCGTTCTGAAAAACAAGAAAGTTGTCCTTGAAGCCAAACGTGCAATCGAAAACATGAAACCACTACCCGCCTTTGATGTTGAAAGTCTGTTGAAAATGATCGACGACGAGAAGAAGAAGGCCCTGGAGAGTGCCAAAAAAACCGAAGAAAAAGTTGGAAATGAAGTCAGTGAGCTGCGGAAAATGATGGACGACATCGAACACATGCGGGCTCCCGAGCAATTGATAGTGGATGATGTCTTTGCGGCGTATCCGCAAGATCTGGACGCAGTGGTAGCAAAGATGGCAAAGAGAGGTCAGTGGAGAATGCCAGGATATTATGAAAGGTAGGCACAAAATTTTGCTGTCAGAGCCACTGGGCATTTCTGAATCCATGAGATTGAAGGTTTGGCGAGTTCACGATCGGATTCTAGCTTCAAGAATCAAAATTGTATTTGTAAGTACTTATCACGCGATCTTGTGCCTGCTTTTCCATGCATTCTGCAGAATCCTTGATAAATGTATATATTACAGTATGTACGAGCTGAGTGCTCTCTTCTATCACCGCCAGGTTACCAAGACCTCATCGGTGCGGTATCTGTACACACGTTGACTCATAAGCAGCCTGAAGCAATATAAATATGCAACTTTCTCTCACCTTTGCGTACACCATGTGTCTTCCAGCGGTGTCACATGGCCAGTCTTGAACATCAATATGCCAGCCTGGGCGATCATAAGCCCATTATCTATACAAAATCTGCGACAAACTATCAGCTTGTCTCTGTCCGCCAGACGGACTCATCTTAACCCACCGTTCGTCTGTTGCAAAGAGATAGCCCCCACGTTGGGCCACCATCTTGCCCATCATATCCTGTAGCCGCTCATTGCCTGCACAAAAGAAATTCGACTGTTTACCATAAATGTTCAAAGACAGGGTATTTTCATAGTAATACCTACATCCCACGCCGCCAACAATCAACACTTCCGATGACCCGATGTGCGCCATAGCGCGCTCCGTAATTTCCACCAACATAGCAAACACGGTTTCTTGCAATGAAAAGCATAGATCCTCAGCGGTGCACTTTCCAGTCTTGAGATGAGTGGTAGATAGGGTTTCGATATATGAAAGGATACCAGAGAATGAAACATCCATCCCCTTAACCGCATACGGAAGTTCAAAAAACTTCTTGCCCCTGTCCTGAAGGTCACAAGGTGCGTAGCAGAACCCATGAACTGTAGAGGAACCTACCGTTTGGCACCCTGCTCGATGTTATAACCAGGACTGGGATCATTTGGAAGATTGAGGATTCGCGCAAATCTATCTAAGCAATTTCCCACAGCAATGTCAATCGTTTCTCCAAATATCCGATATCTGTCCTTAGGATTTCAGTACCATTGTCCATTTAAATACATCCCGATTTCTCGCACTGACCGATGTTCTGCGTACGCAATAACTTGAGTATTGCCTCCGCTCACGTAGAGAACCACCGGATTTTTTGCGCCAGTTATCATCCTGCCCATTTCAATGTGTCCGATGCAGTGATTAACAGCCACAAGGGGCTTTCCCCACAAAAGTGATAAGGTTCTTGCAGCTATCGCTACCGAAACCAATGGCGCCCCCATTCCCGGTCCTGGTTCATGAGTAAATTGAGAGGTTCAACCTTAAACCTTACAGGGTGTCGCACGAGTTCCACCAACCCTTTGTAAAACATATGCAGTCAACATCGGATGGTTTGAGACTCGCTTTCTCGAGGGCTTGCTTTGTGAGAGGTATTACGTGCGCACGATGATGTACCGCTGTATCACGAGGGAGGAAACCTTGACCTGGTGGGGTAATGTAGGTATGTCGAACGTTTGCGAGCACCTCGACTTTTCCGTCAGGCGTGTGCTTGATAATTCCAACCCCAATCTTGTTGGCAGATCCCTCTTTGGACATGTGAGATTCAGCTTTTCCCAGTAAAAGCTTGCTACGTCACTATCACTCACCAAAACCAATTGCGATCATTGTTGGACGACCCAAGATTTGGCTCCAGTTGCATACTCCGTCCTTGGACCATCCTTGTTGGCATGGCAACAGATCACCTTCTTGTCTCTGAAGATGCGTTGAAGCAAAACCGTAAAACTGACCGTGGGCTTTAAAAAGGCAGTTGCTGGAACCATTGTGCTTCTCACCCGTTCATTTCCGTCAATCTGCCAAATATCTGCGTTCGGAAAGTTTAGGTTTTACTTTCGTCGTTGTATGTAGGCCCCAACCCTGCTCCAGATACGTGGGGGTCGTTGCTAAAATTAGTTTAATGAAATCCATCCGTCAATCCCCCAAACAGTCAGCCGTGGTAGGGAGCTACCTCCATCTTCATTCCCAGGTTTATCCCGATGCTTCACTCGATAAGTATATCAGGGGGAAGCCCTGACCTTCCACTATACAAGTCGACCGTGGGATACTCCTCTGAGAAGTACAGGCAGAATGATCTTGTTGGCCTGGTCAAGCGATACATTCGCTCGATTGTAAACGATAAATCGACCAGGAAGGTCTTTTTTTTCTTGTTGTTGAACATATCATTTACTGGAGTGGAGTTCTTATATGGATGGTGGACGCATTCGTTGGGCCTGACGGCGGATGCGGTGCATATGCTTTTTGACTCGACGGCACTCATTTTCTCGCTGGTGGCAAGTGTGATTGCCAAATGGGAGCCAAACGATAGGTTTACCTATGGGTACGTTGGAATTTAAGCTGTCTCTTTACGGCGGAGAAATTTCTCTGCGCATCATCTGCTGGCAGGCAGGAGAGGCGATCTAATGCGTGCCGGGTTTCCTTGCTTTTTGGCAGTTACGGAAGGGTGGAGACGATGACGGGATTTGTCAACGCACTAGCTCTGCTTTTCGCGAGCTGGAACATTATCTGGGAATCGTTTGAGCGCTTCTTTGATCCTACAGAGATTGAATCGGGTCAGCTATTAGTGGTGTCAGTCTTGGGGTTGCTGGTCAACCTTGGTAAGTCTTAATGATATCGGATGATTATGAACATTATTTTGTATTGCTGTTCATTAACATTGTTGTTGAATCATCAGTCGGAATTTTCGCCTTCGATCATGGGCATGTACATGGGCACGACCACGGACATTCGCACGGACATGGCCATGATCACACACACTCGCACGCAAATTCGCATTCGCATAGTCATTGGAATGGAAGCAACGGGCACCACGACCATCACCACGAGCATGACCATCAACATCATAACCATGATCACGGTCACGATCATGGTCACGGTCATCACCACCATCACGGTCATGCGCATTCGCACGGTCACTCTCACGGGCACTCCCATGGGGGTGGTCATAATCATTTGATGCACGGTACTGTGATATTTGAGAGACCAGTGGCCCTCAACTATCTTACTGATTAAACAAGCAAATTCTTCACCATAGGGATGTTTCTTCACATTTTATCCGATACCCTAGGTTCGGTTGGTGTGATCATCTCTTCGATTCTCATACGGCTTTACGGTGGGTGCGTCGTTTTCTGTCTCTTCAACGTTTGTTCTCTATCTAAAATCAGATCTTCTCCGCTCAGGCTGGCAGTGGACCGATCCTCTGTGTTCTCTATTCATTGCTATACTGACAATCATTAGTCTGTGGCCGCTTCTGAAGAGTTCTGGTGCAACTCTCTTGCAGCGAGTACCAGAAGGCATAGAATGCAGTTTGGCGGAAGCATACAGAAAGGTATGAATACCATAACTGCTCTATTTACTTTGGATAGGCTTCTCAATCTTGTGGCCCATGTTCATTTCAGGTGAATTCAATCGAAGGAGTAGTGAGCTTTTCTCAACCGCACTTTTGGGAAGTATCCCAAGGGAACAACGTTGGAACAATAAAAGTACAGATGCGTCACGATCTTGGTGACGAGGAGAAGCTTCGCTTGCAGGTTGCGAGCGTTTTTCAGGAGATTGGGGTACGAAATTTGGTGGTGCAGATCGAGAAGACGGCACCGGTGGTAATGGGCGTAGGATCATATGTGGGCTAGTGATATAGATGAATTCTATGGAGAAGTGAGGATGATAGAACTTTTTTGGATGTAATGCGGTGCGCGCTTGATTATCTCAAATTTATTTATTACTATACTATATGGGTAACGATGTAGACTAAAAACATCGAGACTATGCCATGATGTTCTCCTCTTCCTTGTCGCGACTTTCTCTGTAAGCAGAGAAAGCCTTGGCCAGAAAAGCGTCAAATTCGCTTCGAATCGCTTCTGGCTCGTTGTCAAGGGTGGTCGAGATGATTGGGATGCGTGAGAGAGGCATTCCTGAGCTGAACCGGAGCTTCGCACTTTTCTGGGGGCCATTGTGTGCGAAGATAACCATCTGGCGCTCATTAAGGGTCGGAAAGAGCTTGCATCTGTCACAAAGAGCATCATAAGTGAGAAGACCATGTCGCAGAATTTCAGAGTGATACAAACAATGTGTCTAGCTCTCGCTCCTGCCTCAACTCTGGGGACGTCACCAAGATGACACAGTTTGCAGTGGACGAGAAAACCGGCCAGCAAGGATGGAATCTAGGATCTCCACTACAGTCCCATAGCTCGCAGGCAATCGTATGCTCCTTTCCCCCGTCTGGACGTATTTGTCGATCAAACTCTAATATCCTAACTGGGTATTATTGAGCTGTCGTAGTCCGGTGACACTGCTATTTAAATGGTACCTGACACCCTGTGTTGGGTGGTAATCTGTTGTGTGAAGACTTTCTGTCAGCTCCGCAATGTGATTGCTTATCGCTGTTTTGCCGGTTCTTGGTGGACCGACGACGAAAATTATGAGTTTGGTTGTCATTGTGAAAGTGGAGGGCAGTTCGGTGAAGGTGCGCGGTTGGCATTAGGTTTCGTAATCAAATACGCGTCAAGGACCAGCATCAAGTGAACTCGAATAGTTGCTCATTCACGTTTGCCCTTCGTTCGTGATTTGTAGAACGAGTGGTTACATGCAGTGTTATGCGACTCGGTGGTGATATCGGACAGCGGGCCAAAGTGTACTCATGGTAGTAAGGGTTGGTACTTAATGTTCCATGGATTCAGCTGCTTACGTTGCGCGTGTTCTTAATTCCGATTTTGTTTTTGGATAGTTCGCCGTGTCAAGATGTTTTTGGCGCTCGTAAGCAGGTAGCGCGCGTACTTCCACGCTCCCCTTCAAGGTCTGCAAATGCAAACGGAAAGCAGCAACAACAGGTCCCGCCAATATTTTCGCATATCAGGCGCTTAAATAAAATACGCTGGGATCACTGGCATCTCGAAAGGCCACCGTCATGAGGGCTATCATTTTCAACAGACCTTCCAGCCGATCTCGATGGAGCACAATTCTAATGCTCATGCTCTGCACCGCCTTCCTCTGCCTTCTTGATCGAACTCGTCGGAAAGCTGCAAGAGTGCTTCCAGAATGGGTGCACAAAGGAATATCGACGGAGCTCTCAGAATTCGTAAAGAAGGCCGATATCAACATCCAATGTTCTCATCAGCTTGAACAGCCAGCCATTATTGAGCCGAATCGCAAAGTGCAATCGGATCTTCCCGAATTTGGACAATGGAGATCCAAAAATGCCCTTCGGTTAGGAATGTCCCAGTGCGACGCTCATGTAACATATCAACAGAACCTCCTGTACGACTTCTACGGCTCTCGCCTTGCAAATATCACTCACGTCGGCGTCATTGGTCAGACGATTATTGCGAATCCAGGCGATGCTGCCTTGTATACTGCTACTGTATCTATGCTCCAAAAACTTCATATCCACATAGTTTACGCCTGCCCCTTCCGTGAATGCTCGGTGGACGAAATGCAGAAGGCCTTAGATGAAGCTCAGCCCGATAAGCGACGTCAAGGAATTGTATTTAACGGAGGTGGAAATATGAAATCTCAGTCTTTCATAGCGCAGGAGGTCAGGAATACCTTCGTTGAAGCGTTTCCGGAGGTTCAGATTACACACATGCCGCAAAGTGTATGGTTCGAGGATCCCAAGCATGATGAGTTGACGAGGGAGATATATAAGCGGCATAAGGATGTGGTTGTGACAGTCAGGGATCGGCTTTCCTTCGAACGCATCAAGCATTGGACGAACGAAGGCATACCCGTCTACCTTCTTCCGGACACTGCACACATTCACGGTGTACGGACAGATTACATGGGTGACGTAAAGTACGATTTCCTCATTGTTCCACGAAATGACAATGAGAACGGTGTCTCGCATCATCAAGTTGGAGCGTTTGAAACGTTGGTGAGAGGAGATGGCATGCAGGCCGCAAAAATGGTGATTGGGGACTGGAATGATCAGCCCTTTGAAAAGATCATACCGTTGCAAGAAAAGGACCGAACGCAACAGGCTTGGCTGCGTTATAGATTTGGGATGGAGTGGTTGGCACAGGGGGAGCTGATTGTGACGGATCGACTGCATGCAACTATCGTTGGATTGTCGCTTGGAAAGCAGGTTATCGTGATGGAACAAGGACCATACAAGAAGATTCAAGGATTTTACGAGACATGGTACAAACCTGGATGCGACGATCTTGTCAGGTTTGCAGATGGAGTCGAAGAAGCTGTAAACTTGGCGATGGAGTGGTACAAGAATGGAAAGTCATTTCCGGCATCAAAAGCACAATCAAACCGAGAGCTCCTTCCCATGGCCTCCAACACTCTCCCAGAGCCTAAACCCACGTCACCGAAATATGCAGTAACAACGGTGCTGACCGGAGACCGCTACCTGGCAGGGGCACTTGTCCTCGGGTTTTCCATCTCAAAGGTCAATTCTCTAAGAAACATAGACCGCATTGCCCTCGTTCCCAAAGACGCTGCACTATCAGATACCCACGTCAAAATGTTGGAAAAAGTTGGATGGACACTTTTGTACGTTGATCGTGTTCCGATGCCCGCAAAGGTCAACTGGAAGTTCGAAGATATGTTGATCAAGTTGCAAACCTTCAAGATGACTCAGTACGAAATGATTGCCGCAATTGACTCTGATGCTTTTGTTGTTGGAGATTTTTTGCCTGCGTTTGAACTATTGTCCGTGAGCGGGGCTCCTTTGGCAGCGACAATGGCAGCCACTAAACCAGTCGCACCATTTTGGGACCTAATGGCAGGCCATTTCAACGCCGGGACAGTTTTCCTTCGCACCAATGCAACTGCATACGAGATTCTACATGCGCTGTCCCAAAACAAAGAGTACTATCCAACAGACTTGGCTGAACAGTCACTGTTGAACCGGTACTACGCCGGACAATGGCTTGGATTGCCTGCTACCTACAACCTCCTATTTGCATATTCGACACGAAGAGAGTACTATCATGATATTCGTCCACAAACCAAGATAATACATTTTGCTGGCCATTATAAACCGTGGCTACCGTGTACCGACAAAAATACGCACTCTTGTGGATATGATTTGCATCCGGATGTCATGCTTTGGAGACGATGGTTCAAGGAACTTGTGCGGGATATGGGTTGGAATGAGCGGGATTTTTTGGGGGATAGGCGTTCAGATGCTATACCTGATTTTGTTTGGGAGGATCTGATGCTGTAAAAAGTTGTAGAAAGTGCGGATAGGGTCCTAATTAGGCCGCTGCTGATGTAGAAAGTAAAATGTTACTATTATATGTATGTGTTTTCTAATAAGATATAGTTGCACACTCGATCATTCAGCTCTAAAAGATGCAGTGAGATTCACGACTTGACAGCAGCGATCGGCTTACTTGACTGTGGCTTAGGGCACGTGATCTTATTTTCTTCTATAAAACTTTGGGATTCAAGGTTTGTTCCTCTCCCAACTTTAGACTCAGCTGGGTGCTGCGGGTACCTGTACTGACAAACAGCCTGAAGAGAGCAGTTCACGTACTCGACGCACTCAGGCCTCAAGGAGGAGGGTAAAGTCAATAAACAATATCGTGGGGATGAACAATTACTCAACTCAGCTCACATCGAGTGCCAAATTGGTACAGTGAGAGAAAATTATGGGTTCTGAACAGATATTGTTTGTTGTCTTGCTTTAATTATGGGCTGTTGCAAGCTTTGAAATGCCTTAAAACATCTACATGGTGATTTCCATCTCCAATGAAGTGCATAAAACATCTACTTGGCTGTTTTTATCTCCAATGAGAAGTGCATCGCCTTCAATTTATATACGAGATTCACCTATTTATCCCACACGATTCTACCAAAATTACAGAATTCAATCTACCACTCTAAAAGGGTCAACCATCGACCCAAGGGTTCTATATCATAGAAACAACTGACGCAATGTACTCTACTTAAAAGGCAAAGACAGTACCCAGCAAGCCAACAACCGCAGTTACAAAGGTGAATCTGGCTTCGTTTCTAAAAGATCCAGATCCGGGGAGAGGCATATTGGGTCCGCCTGGAAAGCCTCCACTGTTTGCTCCACCCGCAGTACTACTACCACCGGTCTGTTGCTGGGGCTTGCCGCACGTATTTAGAATTTGCGCACCAGAAACTCCGCCTGCCGCAGTTTGAAGTGGTGACAAGTCGCAAAGTTTGGTGTTGTCGTCCACTTGGACAATAGGTCCGGAGATTTTGGAATTGCCAAAGACCTTTACATCAGCCAAAGCCGCATTGTGCGTCAGCGTCAAATTGGTGACGCTGGCGAGACTGATACCGTCCAAGGATGTTAGGGAATCACACGTGGTAACTTTCAACGCGGTCCCGTTTGCTGCGGAGGTAAAGACCGACAGTGGGGTGAGGGTTTTGATCACTGGAAGGCGCTCAATCGTGATGGACTGCACAGGGAAGGGGCCAGTCGAAGGGAGGTTGTCGAGTGAGTTCAACCGAGTGTTGTTAGAAATTATCACAACATTCCCAACACTCTTGAGGTTCTGCAACCCGTCCAGAGCAGCCAAAATAGGGTTACCGTACACAGAGATTCCAAAGGCGAATCTGGGGCTCTTATTGGGGTTGATGTTGGTCAGGGTGGCTAATCCAGCAATGGAGACAAGTTGCGGGTTTTGGTACACCAGCACTCCGCCTTGAATTGTCGTCAACGAGTTCAACCCAAACACATTGGAAAGTTGAGCGTTGTCGTGAATAAACAAATTCTCTCCGACTGTCCTCAAGTTACCAAGGCCGGTCAAGGTGCGCAGGTTGGTACCTGAAATGTCAATAGACAGCTGCACGCTCTCAATCTTGGCCAAAGGACTGAGGTCCGTAATCCCCGGTCCGGCGAGGAGCAGTGATCCCAGAAGGTTTGTGCAATTTGTTCCCACAAGTTGAGCCAGCTGTGCTTGCGTTTCGATACGGCTCCAATCGTTCTGAACTCCACAGGAGACGCCTGGCGCGGTTGAGTTGCCCCCTGCCGGAGGAGGGTTGGCGGGTTGCGTTGTGTTGCCTCCTGCAGGAGGAGGATTGGCGGGTTGCGTTGTGTTGCCCTGCTGAGCCGTGACAGCAGTGGCGGCTAGCGCACATAGAACGACAGAGATTTGTAGGAAACGCATTGTAGTAAAGCGACGACTTGGAGGTCAGAGGTGTCCTCTTTGCAAGTAGCTACTCACTTGGGTGTGCTCATCTGAGTCGTGCTTGAAAATTAATGCGGTGGGTAATCAACGGCCCAAAGGGTTTCATTTACCATATTTGGTACATAGCTGCCAATGCAGTGATTGTGCCCACTTGCCGGTGGACAAGTGACTTTTGTGGGTGCATTGTGTGAGTCAGGCTTTGGTTCAAATGTCTGAATCGAAGCACGTGGAAATGAACATGGCAACTGCTTATTGCTGTTCACCTGGATTACTTGTCAAATAAACGTTGGTTTTTATTTTGTATGCTTTTAGCGATGTCGTTAAAGAGCAATGCAATGCAAGTCTCAACACCTCATCTTTACAGCTGCATTTCTCACATAATGGAGAGGAAATGGCTGCAATTTGATTGAAATCGGATATTTTAAGCAACTTAAAGTTTTTGTGAGGCGGGAAATAATTCTGAAATTTATCCCCACTACCCGGTAAGTTGCATTTCTGCACAAGACGGTACATGAACTCCGTTGGCGCAGCACTCGACTCCCAGCTCGCAAAATGCCATCCTCCAAGAGTGGAGCCGTTAAACTCTTCTATGTCATTGTCACTATTACCTGCCTTGCAAGCTTCCTCCTCATATCCTCTTCATCCCGCACATCCTTGCAAACATTCCGATTTTTCCAGCAGTCGCTACCGCCCGTTTCCAATGACCGCAAGACAGTCGTTGACCGCCTGTACAGAATGGGGCACTATAACTGGATAGACTACTTGGATACAATGGATGAAGAGGGTCTCTCGCCACTGACCAAGGAGGTTCAAAAGTGGATATACGATAATCAGCACCCCCCAAAAGAAGAATGTCGCAAGAAAAAGTTTTTGATAGCGGGTGGGACGGAAAACGTTGGGTTAGGAGCGTATTTGCATAGTAAGTGAAGCAATTAACTGTATACTTTCCTGGCAAAAACATGGTCTAATCGGTAATAAAGAACAAGGATTCCTTCTGGCAGCTGCGCTAGAAGCTGGGTGGATTTACGTTCTGGAACCGATAGGGACTGAGAATGGAAAATATGAGTTTTCCGACAACTGCGGACCACCCAACGGCCCTGTTCAATCCAATCTCGAGTGCTTCACCCAACCTTACAGCTCATGCACGTATGAAGACGCTCTGCAAGCCGAAACAAAAGTGAGAACCAATACTTGGGGCACTGTGGATCTGGACGGTGCATCGTACGATAAAGACCTCGTACCAAGCTTGTGGAAGAAAAATCTACAGGAAAAGTTCCCAAACGCAGAGTTAACTCTAGAGTTTTTCAGGCTTTGGTGGAGGGGACAGAGTTCCGCTTATTTATCCCGTCTCAACGCGCAGACAACGGATGCTTTGCTTTCCCTGCGTCTCAAAGAGTCTCTGCACAACGCATATTCAGCTAACTCTAATAACGTATCCAAACCTGCTCCGTACCCTCTACCCGAAGGTACATTCAATCTCCACGTTCGTCACGGAGATAAAGGATCGGAGATGACATTGATCCCGTTCAGCACTTACATTGAAACGGTTCAGAAATATGCGGCAGAGAATCCTATGGGTGTTTATAAACGCCTCTTTGTCTCGTCGGAAGATCCAGAGGTGATTCATTCCGCAAATTTGCTCCCGATTTCGGATAGGGACGATGGTACTACGAGCTCGAGAACATGGGAAATTTTCACGTCCGACATCCCCCGATACAATAAAGGACCTATGGACCAGCTCTCTCTATTTGGCCGGTCAACCATGACTCTCTCTTGGTATTTGCAGTTATGGATGGGGTTGGAATGTGATGGGTGGGTAGGGACCAGGGCGTCAAACTGGAATAGGATTATAGACGAGTTCAGATGTATCTTTGTAGCCAAGTGCCGTTTGCCATATTTTGAAGTAGGGTTGAAGAATGATTGGAAGGGATATTTCTGGTGAGGGTTTAAACTATTTATCGTAATTTCATAATGAGGCAAATTATTATATATCGTGTACGGTTGGAGCTATAGACAATTCATTATTAAGAGAAACTACTTCTAAATCTACATACGGAAAAGAAATCTAAAGAGACGCTCCCAACTGTGCCCGCTTCGCTTTCACAACCTCATCCTCTTCTTCGCTTTCTTCTTCGCTACTCAGTCCCATGGGCATCATGGAACTGTCATCACCCGAAGACCAACTTCGGCGCTGTTGTTCCAAATATAGTGAGAGGCTTAGATGCTCCTCGTCTTCAAGGTTTTCATTAGCTTGCGAGGCGAGGATGGAGTCAAAGAAAGATAAGGGAGTGGACGGAGAGGCAGCGGGATTGTCATCCCTCTCTTCTTCTCCTTCCCGTGCTTCCTTTGACTCTCCATCCGACCCAACTCCAGGTTCCACAACGTCTCCATCGCGCTGATCATCAGTGGCGCCAAAGCTGTCGCTACGTGTAGGTACCAGGACGCTACCTCTCGCGCCTGCCCGTTTGAATGGAACAGGACGGCCTGGTGGAACCACGGAAATACCATTCGCACCGACAGACGATGTTCTCGGAGGTATGTCAGCTGCGAGATGCTGCAAACTGCTTCGTCGTACTCTTCCACGACCACGGTAACGTGCTGGTATGATCGATGCGACGATCGACGATGCGCGGGGATACAGGTCCTTGACTGCGGCCTGGACACTCGATGGATTGTCAATTAGAGAGAGGTAGAACAGAGTTTCCGGGCGAGACTGTATCGTTCTTCCTGCCAGAACTATAGTCCAAACAAGCATTGTTAACGCCGCGCCTTCAATATTTCCTTCGTCCATTCAGCAACATGAACGCACCTCTAGTTACCAAACACTCTTCTGCGACGTGAACTAAAAGATATTTCCGAGGTCCTACCCACTGGCATCCCTGTCTCCTGTGCGCGCAATATACATCCAAGTCGTCTACAACATGTTTGACATCCCGATCAACCTCCATTTTTTTGCCTTCCAGCGGTTTGATGCACCATGGGCAGGTTGGCTTCTGCTTCTGCCATCTTCTCACGCATGTCGAGCAGATGAGCTGGCGACAGCATGGGAGGCGAATGGGTGTGGCATAGACCTCCATGCAGAGGGAACAACATACTCGGGAGGGAAAGTCAGAGTCGTCCTTGTCAAATGGATGTACATAGGAATAGACTTGTTGGAATATTCCCGTTGTGGCAGCAGCGTTGCGGGAGACGGTGCGCGGTTGAATTCGGCTCGTTGTTGTGGATGCTCTATGCAGCGTCCAGGAGAAGGGAAGTGTTGGGTCGTCCGTGAACCGGTCGGCGTCATGTTGGTGTACATGTCTGCTGGCTGTCATCCCTGGGCTTGCGATCACTGTCATATTGAAGCTTCCGTGCACTCTCTACTCGTCCGTTCTGCTTCCTGCGCCTTCTTTTTATTGTACTTTACTTCCTACTTGTCAAGTTGCTACATTCGTGATATTCACAGTGTTCAAGACAGCTTGTTGGCCCTTTGACCCTGTCGTTCCTTCAACTCCAACTAAAAACTTGCTCCACGTGATTTGAACCTTGTGGTGGTATTTTATTTGTTTTTGACAAGTTTACAAGTTCCCTGGTTGCCAAAATGACAATTTCCGTAGACGCACTCCCGCCCACCAACCCTACCAATGTAGACTCAAAGACATATGCATCACTATCAAATATACTCACAAATGTCAGCGGGGACGTCCCGCTCCACAAGCGCTTCAGAGCCCTCTTTACACTAAAGTCCCTCAACAATGAAAACTCGGTCGACATTATTGCAAAGGGTTTCGCCGATCCGTCCGCTTTGCTCAAACATGAGCTTGCTTATGTGCTCGGTCAAATGCGAAACAAAGCAGCCATTCCTCACCTGACAAAAGTTTTGAGTGACAAGTCAGAGGATCCTATGGTGCGACATGAGGCTGCTGAGGCACTAGGTGCGATAGCGGAAGAGGGGTGCTTGCCCGTGCTCGAAGAGTACAAGACGGATGAACAACGAGTTGTTCGGGAAACATGTGAATTGGCAATCGAGAGAATATTATATGAAACACGAAGAAGAGAAACGGGAGAACAAGAAGCCCCTAGTCCTTACACATCAGTCGATCCAGCTCCGCCTGTTGCAACCCAAGAGAAGACGACTCAGGATTTGAGGAACCAATTATTGGATACCTCTTTGCCGCTTTTTGAGCGGTACAGGGCCATGTTTGCCTTGCGAAATCGTGGGGATGAGGACGCTGTCTTGGCTTTAGCCGAAGGGTTGACAGATGACAGTGCCCTCTTCAGGCATGAAATTGGTATGAGTTACTGACTTCTTCCGAAGAAATGAAATGTATCTTACTAACGGATTTATAACCGTTGTAGCTTATGTATTTGGTCAAATGCAACATCCCGCAAGCGTTCCGGCTCTCATCAAGGTATAGGGAGCACAGCTCACTGTATTTCTTCTTTAAACATTACAATAACTCCCATGCTTTGTAAACAGTCCCTCTCCAACACCACAGAAGAAGGAATGGTGCGACACGAATGCGCCGAAGCCTTAGGGTCTATTGCCGCTCCCGAATGCTTCGAGGTTCTTAAAAAGTTTAGCGCGGACCCAGAGCGTGTTGTGAGAGAAAGTTGTATTGTTGGCCTGGACATGTTTGAGCATGAGACGTCGGGGGAATTCCAGTACGCGGATGGGTTGACCGCCTCCACGCATTAAATTTCTTGTTTTACATAGAAGAGGTGGATGTTTATTTTAAATCTTCCTTTGTGCATGTCTCACCGGTCAAGTAGATGACATTTCAAGAATTGCTGTGTATAATAATTGAAATATGGGTATTTTATCCTAAATAATGTACGATTCCCCACATCAGAATGATTGTGATTGTCATCCCGCCCAACAAAATCCATCTATCTGTGGCAGTCCGTTGTTCGATGTATCGTATAACGGTGGTCGAAAGACCCAAAGTGTTGGCTATATCGTATAATCTTCGTTGGGTGCCCTGTCCGAGGTAAAACAGAACCTTATCAGGATTCACGCATGAATATGACTTGACAGGGGGAAGCACGAACACACCTTTAGCACTTCACGTTGCTCGTACAAATCCTGTAGCGCTGTTCGTCCCATATGAATAAATTCATCTATCCTGTGTCCTGATCCCTCCAACACCTGGTTTTCGCGAAGCATCTGGTCCATCATCAGTATGGAAGTGTCGGCTGACCCTGGCTCATGTCGAACAGCGCTGGAGGTTCGTCGTTCAGCGCTGCCAAGTAGCTCTTCCCGCTCTTTCGTGCTCGCCTATAATCGAATCAGCAAATAAGACTGTAGTCTACCTTGAGCAGGCGAGGGATATGTCCCACGTTACCCTTGCTCGTTCGTTGGCTTTCCATTGTGAAAATGCAATTTGGATGGACGTGAAGTCTTCTCGTACTTTTTTCGCTCGTCTGGTCGTTTCGCCAATAAGGTGAGGTACCCAAAAGGGGATATCAACGTCCGTTGTCACTACTCCTTTCCTCAATCTTATGTACCATACGTGAGGTTAAACAAGGGTTACCTACGCGAGCGCTTTCTCCCGTTTTGCGGCGGTCACTTCACGTCGAGCAAATTGGTCAAGATCATTGGCAGAGCGTTGCAGGGATGCAAGACCGGCGGTGATTTGCCCTACGGTGCTATATCGTCAGGCTCTAGTATCTCGGTACAAACTGCGGAGGCTAACCTTGCAGAGCAGAAGATGTGTCCTGGCCGTTCTCGAGTCGTTCGAGTTCTTGGTGTAGTTGATGTATCTGTTTTACGGTACTGTTATACAGAATTGTTGCGCTCATTTCTACTGTTTGATGGGTTGTATGATGGAGACCAAATGAACAATATTCGTGATGACCGGCCAACCTTCACTGCCAAACTGCCCGGTGTATCACACTCGGCCAAAAATGGCTAAATGACAAATCTATAATTTTTTTTAACAAACTGTTGAGATTCTCCACTTGAGTCGCGTTTTCATTTTCTTTTCAAACACTACATACGTTCAAAATGAGCAAAGAAGACCAGCTCGTTGGGCAAGCAGCTACATCCAACCCTCCAACAAAGAAAGAGAAGAAAAAGAAGGCGAAGGCGAAGACTGACGCCATGGACGTGGACACTCCCTTGAAGGAACGCAAAAGCAAGAAGCGGCCAAGAGAGGAAGACGCCGCGGACGAGGTGAAGGCAGACAAGAAGGATAAGAAAATGAAAAAGAGGAAGGAGAGAAAATGTGACGATGATGATGAGGAGGCAGTGAAGATCGGCGTGGATGCGAACATCGATAACGACTCCGGGGCCAAACGCGACAAGAAGAAAAAGAAAGACGACCAGAAAGAGCAAAAAAGGGAAGAGAAGAAGAGAAGGGCGCACTCTGTGAAAGAAATTGAAGAAAAGGCTTCGGACGTTGAGGAAGAGGAGCAAGTTGAGCACAAAATAACAAAAGGCAACAACAAGAGGGATAAGAAAGAAGGGCCCAGTGATGAATGGTCATATAAACAGGACAAAGCCCTCAGCGACCTGCCTCAAGCTACCATTGACGACTTCTATGCAAAGCACACCGTTCAAATATCGGACAATGCTACGGCGCTTCGTCCCATACTCGAGTTCTCTCAAGCAGGATTCCCGGCTGACCTGGCTAGGGACCTATCGAGGTTTCCCAAACCTACGGTTATCCAATCCTCTTGTTGGCCGTTTATCCTCTCAGGTGAGGATCTAATCGGTGTTGCAGCAACAGGGAGCGGTAAGACTTTGGCATTCGGTATCCCAGCCCTTATCCACATTCGCAACCGAGTAGCGAGACAAAACATCCAACCCCGCAAACCCCAGGTGCTGGTTTTATCCCCAACTCGCGAACTCGCCATGCAGATTCAGGAGCAAGTAGAAAAATTCTCTGGATCATTGGCAAAGAGCGTTGTCATCTACGGCGGTGTTCCCAAGTTTGAGCAAAAGAAAGCATTGAAGAGTGGTGCTGTCAACGTGATTGTTGCAACCCCCGGACGCTTGATTGACCTACTGGAAGATGAGGATAGCTGTTGCGATTTGAGCGATGTCTCCTTTCTTGTTTTGGATGAAGCAGACAGAATGTTGGATCTCGGGTTCGAGGAGGCCATTAAAAAGATTGTGGGACAATTGAGGAAGGAGGGGCGGCAAACGGTCATGTTCAGGTTTGTAGCGTGCATGTTATTTGAGAGATGCATGCTGATGGAAATTTTGCAACAGTGCTACCTGGCCACCCGCTATCCAGAAGATTGCGGAGCAATACCTCAAGTCTCCGGTGAACATTACCGTCGGATCTCAGGATCTGTCCGCTAACTCGAGCATCGAACAGCGGGTCGAAGTTGTGGATCCTCACAATAAGGAATCTCGCCTATTAGAACTACTAAAAAAATACCACAAATCGCGGACAAACCGTGTTCTGATTTTTGCATTATACAAAAAGGAGGCCGCCAGATTGGAGGGATTCGTTCGCAGAAATGGGTTCAAAGTTGCCGCAATCCATGGGGACTTGGGACAACAGCAACGAACTAAAGCGATCGAAGATTTCAAGAAGGGGACGTGCCCTTTACTGATTGCTACTGATGTGGCTGTGAGTGACTTGTCATTGTGTCCAGTTTGTTTTCGTATTCCTCATACTGTTGCCCTACGAATTAGGCCCGTGGAATTGACATTCCTAACGTCGAATATGTGATTAATGTTACCTTCCCCCTCACCGTTGAAGATTACTGTCACCGCATCGGGCGAACCGGTCGAGCAGGACAGAAGGGCATATCGCACACGTTGTTTACCGTTCACGATAAATCCCATTCAGGGGCTCTAATCAATGTGTTGAAGGGAGCTGGACAAACGGTGCCGGCGGACCTACTCAAGTTCGGGACGACCGGTAAGGAGAAGCAGTTTCAACTTTGTCATAGTGGTAGTTTTCTGACGATCTATCTTTTCATTTATACAGTAAAAAAGAAAGTTGACCCCAACTACGGAGCGTTCGTCAAAGATGTGGATATGAATAAAAAAGGGAAGAAGATTACTTTTAATGATTCCGATTCAGAGTAGAAACGACGTAGGTGGTTGGTGGATAAGGTGGATAAGGCTGTGTTCTGTATTTGTTTATTGGTGTTCTGGGAGGGCGTCTTTGGTACATAGACTACTATTATTTATTGAGGCAATAGCGAGACTTTCAGAGATGGAAGTTAAGAGTCACGGAATTGAACCTGAGGTTATCCAAACCGTTGTGGGCAGCGTGGAACCCAGAATTCCTCTACCCAACAAGCACTTCGAGACGATGCCTACACGTTCATGAACCCAAAGCGTAACGCAAATTATGGGACATTGAATCCAATGATTATCTTCTGGCTCTGGTTACCTCTCGTTTGTCCCATCGTATGTCCCTGTTAGACGCCGTTCTTGTCGGCATTTCTCGATCCGGTGCCAGAAGACGAAGACACCACGCAAATGCCAGAACTTATTCACTGCCGCTGCACGAGCACTTTATGCGGGTGGCTATTCCTCCACGGAAGTCTGTGGACGAAAACCTTAGAATATGGACACAAGCACACCGCACTGCTGCCAAACGCAGACAACGCGGGGAATAAGGGGGACACAAGATTTATACTCCGCTTTGGCTTTTCCTATCACTACGCTGTGGAATAATCTGTCTTTGTTAAATCCTTGCTGATGTAGTGCATCACTGCCGTCGCTGATCACCGTTAGTTTACAATTTGAGCTGTCGCTGAGAACCGTTCGAAGTGGGACTACTGTGGCGGGACCCACCACCGAAGGATGCCATTGATCTAGGATGAATCGGCACCTTCCAGAGCGTGGGGATAATACGTTTCCTCTGGCCCTCTAGCCTCGGTCGATATACTTGTGAAACCGAGGTCTACATGGCCAGGTACATATTCCATATCGTTTGACACAATTACGCACACATTACATGCAACATTTCCCTATTTACAAGAATGGTATGGTAGTAACCAACGATGAGCATATCAATCCTCATTATTCATGTATTCCTGCTAACCGAACTGGCTGGAGATGAGGTAGTTCTACATCCAAAATCTTCAGTTCCTCCGTAACGTACAAATGTAAATAAGGGATTTCTTGCTGGGTACTCACCGGCCAGCGTTTCCAAGCACGCGAAGGTCACTCTCGTGAAATCCAGATTCAGCGCCGACAGCTGAACCATTCCTAGTTGCCACAACGGATCAGCGCAGACTTTTCATGTAATGCATACTTGCTTTTATACCTTTCAACGAATAAATGCCATCATCGTCCACAGCTGTCCTCGCCACGTTCAGGACCCTTATTGTTCTGTTAAACTCACACTCTGACAATATCCTTAAAGCTTCAGATGTGATCTCCGTTTGCATCAAAGAGAGGTGGTGGATATATCTGAGCGCTAAGGTGGATAGGTAGAAATGTATCAGTTCTGTACTATAATACGCAGCGGTAATCGGTGACGAAAGAGTAGTGGATGACGAGTCTTACGTTTCAGATGGCAAATCCCGGCATCTCCGACGTGTGTGCGGTCTAGATGGAGTGTAGTGAGACTTCTGAGCTGTTCGAACTGGCAGAGGGATGCATCAGTTATCCCGGTCCCCTCCAGAGAAAGACTAACTAATCTTGAATCGAGAATCAAGATGAGAGAAGGGAATAATGCGGATGAAAACGATCAAATCGTACGTAGTAGCCAGACGGGATATGTGCTCTGCAGCTGCATCCGTCAGATTCACAAAGTTGGAGAGATTCAAGCTGTGGAGTGGGAATTCTGAAAACGATGTAACCAACCAGGTGCATAAGCATTTTCAGGTCACAGAGGTTCATGTCATGGAGCTTACCGCAGAACAGCGCTAGGACGTCATCTGTAAGCTGATGAGATGGGAAGGTAATGGCGCGCAGATTCTGGAGTGCTGAAGTACATACACTCGTAAGTGCTGCTCTTTTCCAATTAACGGGCTGTCCTCTTACCCCGTGCAATACCGCTCAGACCCACAACTGAGATTCCCTCGCATCCTGCCGTGTCCAGTTCTTCCAGAGACTCGAATGCACAGATGATGTTCATTACTTCCAGATCCGTGATACCAGACAGGCGAACATCCAAGTATCTCAACTCCTTGAATGTACCAGTTGGGGGTGACGCTACTGGGCTTTTGAAAGGCATGTTTGTAAGATGTAAAGTGCATAGTTGGGAAAAGGAGGAAAGCGTCCTGAAAATGTCCGCAGTAGCTAATTTGGTGCAGTAGGATAGGTTCAGACTACGAAGACTGTTAGCCAAGTCTGTACCGAGAAGCGTGCTTAAAAAGCAGCTGGTAATCTTCGTCTTGGCAACAGACAGACTCGTCAGAGATGTTAAGGCTAAAAGAAAAAAAGACGTCAGAGCATGTATAGGAGGAGTGTGGTAATCAAGGAAGTACCAGGTAGTGCGTGGGCAACCCGGTCAGATATCCTGCACTCGCTTAAATCCAACTCTTCAAGGCTCTTGAGTGCTACGCGATGATGCATATTGCTGTTATTCCCCGGGAGTGTTCAAAATGAGAACTTCGTCAACATACGCTTTAGAGCCCAAATTCCAGCATCAGTCACAACCTCGCATCCACTCAGGTTTAAGTTGGTCAGCATAGGCCAGAGACGCTCGCCAATGACACGAAGCAGAGAATCCGTCGCAAGCGTATAATGCGACAGATCTAAGGTGTTGATAGGGCATACGCTCAATTTGGTCAGCATGGAAGCGTTCAGTTCATTTTGGTGCAGAAGACGCGTGCAGAGAGTTGACCCGATGGTTCCGGGGAGAAAGCGCAAGGAACGAAGATAAGCTGTTGGAGTGGCAGGAGTTGCCAGCAGACTTTCGATGCGACGCATGCAGATTTCTTTGAGGGAGACTGGAGTGTGGAACCCAGCTCGTCTTTTTAAACCTGCAACCGGCCACGAAAGGGGGTTGCGTGTGGGACGATGAGGTTGAGCAGTATCTAAAGGGACGGGATCCGTTGTCAAGAGATGACCCTCCCCTCCCCAATCATGATGTACTTCGTCAATCACGTTGATGTCTTCTTCATTCTCATTGTCGTTGTCATCCAAAGTGTTTTCATCCCGCTCCCCTCCGTCAGTCACCTCCTCATGCACGCGGATTTCCTCCAAGGTCATGTTCATGGGTTGAGCACCAGCAAGTTGCGCTGGTCCCGACGGAGAAGATGGTTGGGAATTGCACCTCATCACATTGAGCGAAGCGTTTGGTACCAAGCCTGGACCACAAACAGGACATAAACATCAGGGTCCACACCTATGCAGTATCATCTCTGTGGCATACCAGCATCTTGAAGGGACAATGTCTTACACTCGTCCTCGACAAATAGTCGTCTTGGAAATGGCTATTATTAATGGAGCCAGGCATTAACTGAGACTCAGAATTCTACCACAAGAAGCACAATTGCAATCTCACCTGCAGAAGAGTGAAATGATCTCCACAGTCAACTCGGTCTTTACCCTGTGCTGAATCGCGAACGGATGCAAACAGGGTCACAACGTACGTTGAGGGTGAGAAGGCCCGCCTCAGGACCGCGCCCGATGGGAGACGAATCTACACACATATTTGTTATTGATATCCAATGCATAAGGAAACCTATGATAGGAAGGATCATATTCACCTGAATGGCCGCATCACTATTCACTAACGGCTTTGGTGTCCCAGGACTCTGTCCAATACTATTACAAGGTTCTACATGGCGTTTCCGATCTTTCTGTGTTTCACGGTCTTCTTTAATTTGCCGAAGGATTTGAATCTTTGACTGTATATATGACCTGTCATTAGTTGAGCTTCTCGGCAGAGACATGTATCATATTGACCTCCTGTTGACTCTTTTTGAACCGCTTCGCTTCATTCAACGCCCGAGCCGTCGCTATATCAGCACATGTTTTGCGGGTTGTTTTATGCCGACTGGTGATAGAGGGACGCTCCTTACAGCATAACCTTGTATGAGATCTCCGCTACGGATGGGACTTGCTGCACAAGAGGTTACCTCTAAATGCGCCGCTGATACCAATGAAATCGGAGTGGGATTGTCAGGCTCCTGCACATTCGTGCTTGTGCATTGCGTTTCCACCGAGTTGATTGAAGATGTCGATGGCTCAGCTGACCGGAAGGGATTGGTGATTGCTAGTGGCTCCGGCCTTGAGGGTTGCAGCGGTGGTAAAGTGACTAGCCCAATATCAGATGTCGCAGAGCTATCTTGCGTCTTAGCGATGATCCTTAGTTTGGAAAATAAGCGATCGAAGAAGTATAAACAAACGCGGCGGATGCCGCCAACAGTTCAGAAACGCGACTGACACATTCTGCTAGTCGAACGGCTATATGCGCGCCGCCTCACATACTAGTATTCTTATCCCTTGTTGCCACCATCGACTAGTAGATCAGGTAAACTCGTTTACCGACGGCACGTACCAACTTACGGCATCCTCGACAGTGCGCACGTCGCCGTCTGCCAAAGCTTTTCTGCTGATAAAATAGTCAAAGCCCATATCCATGAGAGATGCAAGAAGGCCATCATTGCTCTCCTCCGACATTTTAATTCTCTTTCATTCAGTAAAGTGGACGACGTGCCAACATTCGCAATGGGAGGAGCTTTGGGAGGAAGTCGGCTGACGTGATGACAGACAGCTGTGCCATCGGTGCTGTGCCACTTTAGGTTTACCCAATATTTTTGGAATGCACTCCGAACAAGCAGTGCTGGCGTGCAAGAAACAAGAACCATGGGCAAGTCGGCAAAGTTTGGACGGGCGGGGAAAACCAAGGTGGGTGCTCCAAGGTTGGTGTAAGTTCAGTACTTTGCATTTCCTCCTTGGACAGCGTTCATTCATGACACATGCTTAACAAATACATGGATGCAGAAAGAGCGAGACCAGATCAAAATTGCCAAAAACTCTCGGATAACGAAATCATCAACTACATCCGCCACAGCGACACATATCAGTACAAAGATCAACCAAGAAGTAATCCAACAATCCACAGATAAGACCTCCCCAAAACTCCCGCAAACCACATCAAAACCCAAACACTCCACGAAAGATCGTGATGGCGACGTAGTAATGGCCGGTAGCGAGACTGACAGGAAGATTCAAACTAAAGGGAAGCGATATATCTTGGAAGGTCGTGTGGATTATGTTAGTCTAATGAACTCGAGACGATCGGCCAAAGCACTGCTCCACACAAAGGATAGGATAGTTCAGCGACGATGAGCGTGGCTTGTCATAATATGACTGTGCCGACCGTGCCATAACTTTTTGCACTCAGACTGGCTTTCGAAAATATACACACAATTTGTCTGGCCTCCATAGATGTTGTAAAATGCTCACCGTAGACCCCACCTGTACAAATGCCATTGATGATATTGAAGAGCTAGGGATTGTTTCTTCGGAGTTACCAGCACAATCACGGGCGTCCTACCGTACTGTTCCAGTCAAAACATTCCGAAAGCGATTCTCAGGTCAAGAAGGTGAAGCCGAAAATCACACCAAACGCAGTCCAGACCATTTCCTACCTGGGCGGGCTACGGTGTTTGTAAAGACGTGGGGATGTGGTGTGTAATCTTGTGACTTGTTGGTGTCCCGTTTCTGAACGCTAAAGAGCGATGTCGGCTATTGCAGGGCACAACAACTCGGACGGTGAATATATGGCAGGATTGTTGGCGGCGGACGGTTATGAAGTGGTATTGGAAGACTCCAAGCGTGATTCGGCTGACGTTTGGCTGCTGAACTCCTGCACCGTGAAAGGTCCCTCCGAGCAAACTTTCGTAAACGAGATCCGGAAAGGGAAAGACCAGGGGAAAAAGGTGGTGGTAGCAGGTTGCGTTCCTCAAGCTAGTCCCAAGGGTACCGAGTGGCAGGGATTAAGCGTGATTGGAGTTCAGCAAATTGACTCTGTGGTCGACGTGGTTGAGGAAACGCTTAAAGGGAACACTGTTAAATTACTGAAGGAAGCGAAAGAGACAAGCGAAACTGGAAAAAAGAGAAAAACGGGGGGTGCAAAGTTAGATCTGCCGAAAGTTAGGCGCAATCCCTACATTGAGATTATTCCAATTAACACGGGGTGAGTCTTGCTACCCATTGATTTGCTCCCAAGAAAGGTACTGACAAGGATTGAATGCAAGGTGTCTGAATCAATGCACGTACTGCAAAACGAAGCATGCACGAGGGGATCTCGGAAGTTACCATCCTTCAGAAATTATTTCGCGCGTGCAATCCGTTCTTGATGAAGGCGTCATGGAGATCTGGTTGACTTCTGAGGATACAGGGGCGTATGGTCGGGATATTGGTGTCTCCATTGTGGATCTACTGTGGGGCATTGTGAAAGTCATGGAAGCACACGATAACAAGGATGCTATGCTTCGCGTCGGGATGACAAATCCACCTTACATTTTGGAACATCTGGAAGAAATCGCCCAGGTGCTGGTTCATCCCAGGGTGTACTCCTTTTTACATGTTCCTGTTCAAGCGGCGAGTGATAAAGTCCTGGAAGACATGAGGAGAATGTACACGAAAGCAGATTTTAAAAAGGTTGTGGACACTTTGAGAAATCGAGTACAAGATATAACCATTGCCACTGATGTCATTTGTGGGTTCCCGACGGAAACTCCGGAGGATTTTGAAGAGACTTTGGAATTGGTGAGAGAGTACAAATTCCCCGTGGTACATATATCACAGGTAAGGCTACCTAATTAACGGTGGAAACGTGTGTGGAGTTCCGTTAATTTTTTTGATCAACAGTTCTACCCTCGACCCGGTACTCCGGCCGCCCGTCTTCCTCGTCTCGCTACCGAAGAAGTCAAACGTCGCAGCCGCGAACTCACCCGGCTCTTCGAATCTTATACCACGTACTCACATCTTATGGACACGATACAACGTGTCCTCATCACCGAACGAAGCGGGGATGGAAAGCATTATGTTGGGCACACCAAATCGTATCAACAGGTGCTGGTTCCCTTGCAAGAGGGCTTGATGGGACGGGTAGTATCAGTGCACGTGACACAAGTTGGAAAGTGGTTTTTGAGTGGCGAAGTTATTGACGGGAATGACCCACTCGGCGCCGGTGAGAGGAAAGGGACCCCCAAGTTGGTGAGAAAGGGAAGAGAAATGGTCAGGATGGGTGGCGAGGATCAGGATGGCAATGATGGGACAGAGCTAAGTCTGGGTAGTGGAGAGGGTCTTAAGAAACGGGCAGGGGGAAAGTCTGATCCCCCCCGTACGCCTGAGACAAAGGCTGTTCAAGAGGTCGAACGCCGGAAACCGAGCCCACCGATCTTCATAGTAATTGCGTATCTTCTGGTCATGTATGTCGTAGTTTATGTACTGATGGGTTATGAGGGAATGCGGTGGGGTTTTCGAGTAGCACTATGTTTCGTGATTGCATCGATTGGGTGGGATTTTGCCCAAAAGGTTACCGCATCACAGTAGGATAATCATGTGCTTTGGCTTATTTAATTTGTAAATAGCAAAGATCTTCCTAGCATTGCGCGGATCCGTGCGGTATACTCTTGTCGCATTTGTTTGCCCTTTGAAAGGATAGTTGCAAACACGAAGTAGCCACATGTGCATATGTGTAGCCAACTGCTATATACATGTATACATGACCAATACAACCCGATGCTGCGATGAAATCGCAAGTCGTGGCCAACAGCACTCAAACAGAAGCGTCCGACATGTGCTCACCAAACTTCATTTCCCACATTTCTAGTACGATGCGAATGTATTGCGCATCGGGGGAGTACAGACCCTCAAATTGCTCTAAGAAGGCTACAGATTTCCGGAGGGCTCCCAATCCTTCAGCTATCGGAATGATAGAATTGTCCAGAACGCAGCTGGTACTTTGGTAAATGTCATCCTGCGGCTGGATTGAAGATGGGATGCAATTTCGAAAGGAACCCGATACGGGTGAGCATGTGCCTGGTGAACCTGAATCGAAAAGATCGACCGGGCCGGCCATGGTAGCGCATGGCATTGTTGTGATAACGGATGGTGCCGGAGCGAGCGCTGAGACGGAGGGAACCACGTGCCGCGCTTTCCATCCTTGCAGCCATAAATCTCCACACTTGAAGTCATGGCTCTCTGTGATCGTCATCGATTGAGCAATCTCTAAGGCCTTTTTTCTTATGATTTCGTCGCTCAGTTCATCCTGTTGCAGCTGTGCCGCACGGTACCACTCCACCAGGGCCTGTTCTAGTTGAGGATGTCTTGCCATACGTTCTCGCATGCGGTCCAGGCACTTCCCTTGCTCTATCAGGCGAACCCATCTTGATTTATCCCTTAACGCTCTTGTAATGGTGACCCTGGAGCAATTAAATCTAGACGTAATGGCGAGCGCGTCAACCGAGTACTTGCACAATTCATGTGCTGGTTAACTCATCGTACCTTGAAGCCAAATACGTGTGAGTTAGCTCTGGATCTTCCTCCACTGCTCTGCAAATATCGTATCGTTGCTGAACCGTTAAGCGAGCCCGAGGTCTTTTTCCTTCCTTCTCTTTGGCTGGGGACATGTCACCCCCGTGGTTGAATTCTGGGTTCAAATGTATGTTGAAATGAAGACGAATACCGAGACCGTAGCAAAGGAGTCGGAGTTCGATCGTTGATGAGGCACGCGTCAACACGTGCCTCCTCACGTTGTCAGAGTCACCTGACAAAGGTTTCTATGGCAACTGCTGTCCGATCACTCTGAGCTCGCTTGCTTCAGCAAAAGTTGAGAGGCGGAATCCCGATCCAAGACCAGCATCATGCGACCCGTTCTAAACCGGGTGATGGGGCAGATTCCTGGTAAGCGTAGTAGTATTATCTTCGCTCAGCTAATGAAAACAGAATCAATTTCTTAACGATCTTTGTTGCTCCAATTAACAGCACCCCGATGTATTACAGCCTCCACTTCAGGAATCGTCCCCCTTTTTCGCACTTTTGCTGCCGCCAACCCCCCACCACCAGCGCGCCCGACTTCAGGTACTGAGCAGCGCCCTAAGCCATTCCCAAAGCCAAAGCCTCAGCAACAACCAAAAAACGCAACCCAGCCCAGCTCATCAAATCGCTTAATGAAGCGAGTGCTACATATCCGCCGTGTGGCACGAGTAAATTCGGGTGGGAAAGTCCGCTCCGTATCCGCGCTCGTGGTTGTTGGAAATGGAAACGGGGCAGCTGGTTATGGGGAGGGACGTGCGACCGACGCTGCCGCAGCCGTGCAAAAAGCGACGAAGAATGCTGAGAAGAATATGACATATTTCCATCGGTTTAACAATCGTACAATTTTTTCGAATATTGACTACAACTGGCATAAGGTGCAATTGCAGCTTAGAAGTGCCCCGCCAGGTATGTTGACGTGCGGCTCTCTCTTTGAACCAATGAGTACCTAACCGATATCTATCACAGGTTACGGTGTAGTTGCCAGCAACCATATTCACGAAATTTGTCGCTGCATTGGTATATCCGATCTAGGTGCAAAGATTTGGGGTTCGCGGAATCCTATGAACGTTATCAAGGCTACATTTGCAGCTTTGAAACAGCAACAAAGGCCCGAAGATATTGCCCGGGCGAGGGGAAAACGTATTGTGGACGTGGAGATGGCGTACTATGGTTACACTGACAAGAAGAAGCCATGAGAAGTGCTGCCGTCCGTCTTTTTAGACCAGACCACACCGAATGTATTTATAGTCTGTTGCCGAGCCGCCGATGGAAACGTTGAGCAAAATCACACATGTATTACCACATATTAAACATATGCCACTGCACCCGTCCCTCAACTGGAAACAGGAGGTGGCGGCATGGCTGTCCTGGGTAGTGACGGCCCACAGCTACGCAGCTGCGATGGTCTCACTCCCGTGGGCTCATCTTCCGGCCACCAAGGTTGTCTTAACTCCATATCATCTACAACTATCACCGGCAACTCCGCCTCTTCTCCCTGATCAAATACCAGCACTTGTCGCCCAGGGGTGTCCATCGTGTCCTCTGCATCCCCAGGATCCAGAACAAACGTATCACCTTCCAGCTCCCTCAGAGCATCCAACAAGGCATCGGCATGGCCACCTGGGACAGGCGAATGTTCTTGATGCTGAACCCAGTCGATAGGTGGTGAGCCTGGCGGTGATAGTAGGAAATTTCGCTCTATTGTGGGAACTTGAAGATAATTGATGTGGATGCCGGTTGTTGGGTTTAAGAGATACTGGGAGTCTGTATGCTATAGTTCCACTTTCTGTTAAAGCGATTCTAAAAGAGCAACGTGGGGTTACAGGGAAGCTAACCTCTCCGAAATAGACTCGAACATCGTCTCCTAAAATTGGATTCATGTGCAGCGAATTCCTCGCCCGTTGTGCATCTGCGGTGACTTCAAAAACGGCTACAGTCATAGGCAATTCGTCAATATGTCGCCCCTCGCACATCTCGAGTACGCGCTAGCTAACCCAATATTCTGCTGAACGACTTCAACAGTACAAAGTGATTCACTCGCCCGTAACTCTCCAATATCGTTCGCACAGCAGCGCCCTCATCTTGAAAAGCCTTTGGTGGGACATTGGTGAGTATAAGGGTATTGGTTGCGATAGGTTCAACCTCTTCCAAGGTGGGTAGTCTAATTTCTGCAGGCATGTTCACAAAATCCCTTCAAAGCAACGTGCTGGTTCTGACACAGGATGTCGCAGTCCAGCTCAAATGAGGCTGTGAGATTACGCAACTGGCCGAAATCGATCCTAACAACACTGTTGCTATGGTCCAAGTTTGGTAGGTGGTTGAAAATTGTGGCACGTGCCAAGCAGAACTCCAAGGTTCTATTATCTTTAACTTGGCTTCTTTTTGTACGCGAACTGAAGTTTGCCTCCGTGTTACCGGAAAAAGCTCCATGTGGTAACTTGGCGCGGACTCTTAAATTTCACACGTTTTTAATGCAAGCAAGCTTATTGGCCAGACCTTAAAAGCTTGTTTAAATACAGTACGAAAAGAAATAAAAATGATCGGCAACCTATAAAAACTAAGTTTATTTCCCACTACCTTGTTAATTTGACCATCGCCCACAATGGCCAACAAGAAAATCCCACCGTTTTCGGTCGCAGAAAAGCGAGATATCATTCTCTACGTTCTCGGTATTATGTGCTACAAGTTCGCCCTTGAATCGTACACTGGCACCATATCATCCCTCGCCCTCGACCGCTTCCCCGTTGGTAAACGGTTCTTTTACAAGGGTTTTCTGGACGGATTCAATCAAGCGGCACAATGCGTCGGTAGTATTGCCGTGGCTCCTCTTATGAGGAGATTTCGAATTAAGAATATTTTAGCCGTTGCGATCGCAATGTTTGCCGTGATATCGTCATTGGGAATGATCATTGAAGGGGCAACTGGCGGGAAACCACCTCAGGATGGACGGAGTGCTATTGCTGGAAAATGGGATGCTCGAATTATCATCCCCATCTTTGTCGCCGCCGGCTTTTCGCATGGAACAGTGGAATTGATTCGGCGCGTCATTCCCCGGGACATTGTTGGTGGTGATGTCGTTAAACTGAAGCGCATGGACGCAATCGTCCACATCTTTTACGAAGTGGCGGGCACTTCTGGCGCCTTCTTTTCTGCATTTATCCAACTAGAAATGGGTAAAGCGTACGCACCTGTTGTTACTCCATTCCTGTTTGCGATTGCCGCGGTGATTTGGTCAAGAATCAGACTCAACACTGCCAAACAGAATGCACTCGAGGGAATCGACCATAAGGACGTACATACCGGTCTCCATGCTATCGGTGCTGCCTTTGCGTCGTTCGGATACGCAATATATAAGGGAGGTCAGATTATCTTCTCCGACCGGAAGTTCTCATGGCTGCTTCTGGGGTACTCTCTACCACTCTTTTTGCATCGGTATCTCGAAAACGGATTGGCGCAGAATTACGCAAAATTGATTCTTGATCAGGCAGCATATGGTCAGATCATCGTGGGAGGATCAAACTTTGGCGAGCTTATCGGCGCTGCATTTGTTTTGGCATTCTCCACTGCTGTGAAAACACCGCTTCCCTGGTCAGTGGCTGTTTGCGGGAGAAATAGAATCGCATAGTGCTAATTATTGAATCGGAAATTCGTATCTAGGCTTCGTCTTGACGCTCTCACTCTCTCCATAACTTGGGTACTTTGGAAAGCTGATCCCAGCGAAGTAGGGAACCTTCAAATGGCTTGGATTTTGGCCGGTATTTTTGTGTTCATCTCCTCCGGATGGGCGGCTGGGGACTGTAGTTTGTCTGCTTTCATTCAATCCAATCTATCTCGGATGAACAACACGGATCCACGGGTCTCACCGCTCGGCGCTGTTATGGCCTTTCTGTACGTCAGCTACATTATCACCTTCGCTATTCTTAATCCAGTTCTCGGCAATTGGCTCGACAGTTTGTGGAATACTCAGGGTGAGGCGGGTGCCCGGGAGTACTTTTTCTGGATCGGTGGTGTATTCTACTCCTTGTGCGGAGTTGTGATAATGGCAGCAACCTTCATTCCAAGAGGAAGCTTTGCGCTTAATCCCAAATTGGATGATTATGACAGGGAAGAGGAAAACGATGTAGACACTGCTAATGGAGAGAAGCATCCCAACAAGAACCAGGAGATGATTGAGGAAATTGTTGCTGGTTAGGAGCTTATGGGGACTGTTGTTGTTTAGTTTAGTTTAGGCAAACGAGTAGAAGCCCGTTTTTTTTGTCATTTGGAATACCTCATGCGCTCAGCATTTTGCTTAGTTAATTGATGTGTTCCTTGCGATGATTACTTCACGTGTAACCAAGCCACGCCTGTGAGAGACGGCAAACATTGTCGAGCTGCATTGAGAGCATCATGGAGAATGCCATCACATGTGGTGTTCTAGCGGATAATGATACACGACTCTCTTCAATTCATACGCAGTAGCCCTTCATATGGAGCATATTCGTATTACAAAAGTAGGTCACACAAACTAGTGGTCGCGGGAAAGACCGGACACGATGAGAAGGATCTCTCGTGAAATACGTGCCCACAGAATCAATCTGTTTCAAGTATACATGTCTATATTGTCAGCTCGCTACTTGGCTTATCGGATATGATGCCTAAAAAGGTTCCGGGGGTGAAGTTGGAGAAGGGACACAAAACCTTTGTCGGGACACTACACGTCCTTGCACATCACCTACTTTTTTGCCCTGACGACACCGAAACAGAAATATGGGTATGTTCTGTACGCTCCATTGTCGAGAACAAGATGATTAGGTTATTAGAGAGTTGGTTTTACTCACTGGACCCCATATACCTGTTATATAAGATCAGTTACTCCACTATTCAGGCCGCCGACCGCAAATTCCCCACCCCAACCGGCCTGCATCCGATCTGCATTACATGTCGCCATTTCTTCTTTGTTAAGCTTTTTATTGCGAGGGAACGCGACGCCACAGACGTTTTTGCTAGCTTACAGAGGTTGATGAATGTTTGTGAGTGTACGAAGGCAGTTCATTTACGCGTCCTCAACGTTGACCGGATTGCGATTTAGCATCAATAGAGCAGCTATATGCTTTTTCATACAAACCTATTAGACCCTTTGGGTCGAACAAAGGTTGGAGGAAATATGATCCTTACCGAGAGTTCGAGAGACTGGGAGTCGGGACAAGAACTGATCAATGGAGATTCACCACGTTAAATGAAGCATATGAGGTGCGCCATTCATGTGCTGGCCAGATATATCTCGGCGGCCGTGAAGACAACGTGGTACTGACATTTTCGAATAGTTTTGTTCTACATACCCCAGGTGTTTGGTTGTACCGGCTAAAATAAGTGACAACGTGCTGCGATACACTGCTAGATTTCGGAGTAAAGGACGCATACCCGCATTGAGCTACTTACACCGAACCAACCTGGTGGGCATCTGTCGTGCCGTCCGTTTGGGCAGTATAGATCCCCGTTGACTTAATTCAGTGTAGGTTTCAATAACTCGCTCCAGCCAGCCAATGGTTGGTCTTAAACAGAATCGATCAATTCAAGACGAGAAACTAGTTGAAGCCATATTCGCCAGCACCACTCTCCCTTCTCCAAACGCATCGCAAAATCTTATTATTGATGCGCGGCCTACCGCCAATGCGATGGCGCAGACGGCTCTCGGAGCTGGAACGGAGAGCGTTGATAACTATCGAGGATGCAAGATTTCCTTTTTGGGTATTGACAATATTCATGTTGTGCGAGATAGCATGAATAAGGTTATTGAAGGTACGTAACCGTAATGCATCTTGCTTGTCTAGAGGCTTGGATTGACACACGAATTGTAGCGATGGCTTCTGCGGAAAGTGGACCTGTACCACGGGGCTTGCTTGACAAATCTGGATGGCTGAAGCACATTCGCAATATTTTGGATGGAACACTCATGATTGTCCAGCATGTTCACCTACATAATAGCCACGTGCTTGTCCACTGCAGGTATGGCTTATTTTTCTTGCGTTGATATGCATATTCCTGACCTAGAAATATCCTTTGCGTAGCGACGGGTGGGACAGAACTGCGCAGCTTTGTTCATTGGCGGAAATTTGTCTGGACCCTTACTACCGCACGTTCGAAGGACTAGCGGTCCTTCTGGAAAAGGAGTGGTTATCATTTGGGCATAAATTCCAGGATAGATGTGGCCATCTCTCGCGAGATCATAGTGTCGTCACGGATCGCACCTCCGTGAGCGCACAATTTCAAGCCGCCAGACGGAACGTCTCAAACTCGATCACATCAGCTGCCAAGAGTTTCTTGAGCAAGAATTTTGGAGGCGGCTTAGATGGTGGGGTTAGCTTCAGTGGGTCAAATCGGGCGGTGTCATATCCTGGTGGGATGTCGGGACAAGGTGGGACGCCTCCGCCGACTAATCCGTCATCACAACCACATTCTTTAACGTCATCTGAGGTGTCGATCCCGAATACTGTCCACCCTCGAGAGGTCGCACCCGTATTTGCACAGTTTCTCGACTGCCTGTACCAGCTTTGGACTCAGTTCCCAACACATTTCGAATATTCGGAACGTTTGCTCTCAGCATTGCACCTGCATGTGTACTCTTGTCAATTTGGAACATTTTTGTTTAATTGCGAACGAGAGCGACGCAGTTATGTGGCGCCTGGAAGCAAAACCATTCAGGAAGCCACCTACTCGATTTGGGACTACATTGAAGCGAACCGTGACGAGTATGCAAACCCACATTACATATCACCTGACAATCGGCGGAAACAGGGTCGGGACCGATTAGGTTCTGGCATGGGTCTTGCGGTGGGAAGTGCCGAAGGGGCACCTGGGACCGTGAGTCCTGATGGAGAGGTTCTATATCCTAGTTCGGCGAACCTGAAGTATTGGGTTGGTTTATGTTTGAAGGAGGGACAAGATGAGATGGAGAAAGACATGGTAGATAGTGAGCTTAGGGAGAGGGAAGAGTCAGAGCGAACTGGTGGGCCTGAGAACGGTAAAGGAGAGTCGTTGAATCCGTGGGAACAAGACGATATGCCTGAAGGAAACGACGAAGAATCTGATGTTTTCGTGGAACCGGGAGACGAGAGTGAACCGCCTGTTGAGTCAATGAATGACAAAGCTACATTGACGTCTCCACTGGAGCTGCCGCAAGGATATGGAATCTATCCGCCTATCCCGAAACTTATTGGTGGCGGGAGTGGTAAGCAGACTGAGAAGGAGATGGGACGAATTTCGATGGCAAAGGATGAAGGAAAGGATAAGTCGGACGTAGCGGATCTTCCGCATCCCCTTTGGGATCCGGACCTTGGATGAAAGCCTCGGAAGGGCTCTCACTATATGTATCTTGTGTAAGATCTTTTTCGGCGCCTACCTGGAAATAGAAATGAACTTTAGATGTGAAATTCTAAATCCTATCAGGAACGGTTTTATACAGTCAACCATGGCACGATGTACGTACCAAGGTCCCTTCCTGCAAACGGCTGAGTCTCTGTATCCCATTTGTTTGTGTGCCACATTTTTGCCGATGAACATGCTTGTTGCAGGATGCCTGATCATCAGGACCTGGATTCAGGAGCTCCCCATCTTTTGTGGTAATTTACTCCTTTATTTGCCGGAAATAACTGGAATTGTAACTCTTTCAACTGGAAGTCATTTTGTTTATTTTGTTTGGGCAATAAATATCAGCAAGAACAATCTCATGCATGCATATCAATGCGTGTGGAAACAATCCTTCCGACAAGAGTGGTATTCATCAACGATCGCGATATCCTGCGCTGTCGCGGCTGTTGATGAGGGCTTCCGGTAGCTAAGCCCTTATTCTATTTTCAATTTCCGGGGCTAGATTGAAAGGGTTTGATTGAAAGCATATAAACCGTTGAACCCGCAGTCGATTGATAGCGGGTACGATGAGGAGGAGAGTGGAATTCCTAGAGTTTAATGGAAAAAAGATACCCTTACTATTGAACCAATAAGCTTGCAAAATGCCACATTATCCAGAGCGCAATACCAGATGCATCGTTGGTTCAATCCAGGATATAGGGGTTTAGCAAGGGCAGCAGTCCCGCCATTTCGGAGTAAGCACCAGCACCACTCTTCCCATTCCATCTCGCCCTTCAGACCTTTAACATTACAGCTTCAATTGCCACCGAGTGCACTCGCTTCAAGTGCTGTATGTGACAATTTGAATAGACGTTGCATTTGCGTTTTATCTCGAATCCAGACAGTGGCATCCATCTGATAATTTAATAATTACCGTACGCTCCACCGGAACCGGCACTTTCGGAATCTTGCCAAATGGCCGCTGTAACGCGACAATCTACCACCACCCTCCAAGCTGATGCCTCACCAAATACAAGTCGGGAAGGTAGCATAGTGGAAACCGAGTTTAGTTCAACAGTAGGGGCGGAGGAGGATATGGAACGAAGGGCCACCGTAGCTTCGACAGACTCGTCAGCGTCTATGACCACTTATTCCAGTAAACCCGCACCTTCTCGTTTGGCGACATTAAAGAAACTAAGCCGATCGGCGACAAAGATGACGGAGGTGGGATTGCCTGAGGGAAAATCGAATTCCCTTAAACATTCACCTAGCACAAGCGTCGTAAGCTTGGCTGCATCAAGTGTAGCAAGTATGGATAATAATATCGAAACGACATCGTCCATGACTGCGGGAGCATCGTCGTCTCACCTCTTTGGGGTGCAGCCTGGCCAGACTCAGAGTCTATACGATTCGCATATTTTGCCACTTATGCCAAAGAAGTCCGAAGCGCGGAGTACAGACGAGGCGGGATTACCGAATCTATACACTAGAAGGATTGCTATGATGGACGATGGTGCGTACCTTTTCATAGCAAAAAAGCTGCTGAAAGCCGCCGTTAATATTAATTCATGTTCACTCCAGTCATTAAAAGGCTTCAAGACCCTAGAACTGGTATTGAGCTAAAGGATCGAAAGAAGATGTTCAAAATGTATCCGCGGTCATTTCTCGGCTGCGATTTGCTAGACTGGATTCAGCTTAACTGCTCATTCCTCACGCGAGATGAAGCTATGAAGTTTTGTCAAACTCTTTTCAACGAAGGATACATCATTCCAGTGGATCTGGGAGATAAATTTGTGCCGGACAGCAGTATATATATTTTTCAGGTACTGGTTTCTTGGAACTTCGTTTGATTGCTTTTTTTTTTTTGATATTAACGTTGAATACACATCAGACGCACTTTTATTGGCCATCGCGTGTATGGGTTCCATCTGATTTTGGTTAGTTTTCTATAATCTTTTGACTATGGATAACGCAGCTGCCGGCAGCATCCTGACCAGAAAAAAAATGGGGTTTCTTCCTCCAGACTACACTGTGTACTTGTTGAAGCGGAACATGCGAGCGACGGCAAAATACCTACTACATGAGTGGGAAGAGGACCGACTGATCCGGTTGCAAGATACATTTTATGATCAATGGGAAGAGATTGAGGAAACGGTTGAAAGCCATATCCTGTATGTCCCCTATCTGTTATTCTATCTTGAAGCTGCGGAAGTCATCTGAGTATCTGGGACAGGCACATGAAACGCGTCTTGACAAAGCAGGAACGTCGCACATTTCAGCTGCAGGAATTCACATTTTGGAAAGTGCATAGGCCGCTATTAATAGTACGTATGCTGGGAATATTTACCCAAGTCCGAAGACTCTGACATTTGCATAGCCCGGAGCACCGACATTTAAAGATGGCGAGCTCAAACAAAAGGATACCAAAAATGCGCAACGAACGGAGGCAGCCTATGAGGTAGTACCTGATTTTGTACGCATACCTATCCGTTGACAAGTGTTAACATTCGGCTCGTAGGAAACCCTGAAGGACGAGGAATTGCTTGCTTGGCTGGAAAGAAAGGTAGAATTTTACAATATGTCGTTGTCGATGAATCGGCTAAAAATCTCGCAAGCTTCCAAAACGTGAGTAGCAGCTGTTTTCCAAATCGTTTACCGTCTGCACCAGTTCACTTTCTTTGCACGGTAGCTTGATACAACGATGCGACGTATGGCGAGCACTCGATCCAATTTTAGAACCGCCCGTGACGCACAGTAACCCGTGGCTATCAGATGACTCGAGCATTTTGACCTTGGGCAACTCCTCCGTGCTCTGGAATGCAAAAAAACATCCATCGTCGGCAGAAATCAAAATGTGGACGTACTCGTTCCCGGAACTTATGCGGGATCCTATGGGTGTTCGGCACTTTTACGACTTTGTACAAAAGGAGTTTTCACAGGTAAGAGTTTTACCGCGCAACACGCCTTTCATGACAGTGCTAATATAAGCTCTTCAACAGGAAAATCTAGAGTTTTATCTAAAATGCCAAGCTCTCGATTCTGTGCCCACCCGAAAAGAATTCACCGAACGCGCCAAAACCATCTACGATGAATTCATCAAAATTAACGCCCCACGCGAACTGAATATCAACTCTTCCGAGCGCAGCGCTATCATTGCCCAATTCGACGCACTACAAAATAATCCCAAAGAGCGATTAAGCTACTACGTTTTTGCGGATGCCCTCAAACACATCTTTGCGCTCATGGCCAAAGATTCTTATGTAAGGTTTTGTGGAAGTGATGTGGTTTCCAAGGCCTTGAGCAAGGCTTTAGAGAGGGAGAAGGATGGGGGAATGGTGGAGAGTAAAACGGGGTCAGTAGGTAAGAGAGGTGCCACAAGGAGCAGTAGAGATACTTTGCAAGGGTAAATGCGCGGTCGTGGAGAGAGTGTGACAAACGAATGTGATGGACAAGATGGTGGGATTAGCCAATCTTTTTTCTGCTTCATTTATCCCTTTCTTTTTCTCTTTGGTTGTTGCTGTTTGTGGGAGGTGGTTGTATAAGGATAATATTGGAGGTTCTTTTTGGGATACATGTAGATGTTTTAATGTACTTTCTGGCTTTCTGGCCGGATCTGAGCTGTTCACCACCGCTGGTGCTGCCCATTGTGTCTATCATCCGTTTGCAGAGTTTGGTGAGAGGGTGCGCTGCATGCGTAACGCAAGGATGAAAAGTGTACGCGGCGATATTTAGGGATAATGAATCCAGAACACCGAAATTTACATGTAATGACGTGTTTGTTTTGACCGGGACAGAACTTGTATGCTTGCGTTGGCAAACTTCAGTAGGTCCACACATATGCAAACAGCAGAAACACGTTTATTTCAAGAAATATTACAAAAGAGCAGGTTTCGGTTCATCAGCATACTGTAAGGGGAACATTCCGGTCAGTAAACTTCGAACACCAAATTCATTACTCTGATGAACCTGCCTGATAATGCAGTTCTGTAACATCGGTCTGGCTGATAAATTCCCATCCGCCTTGTTTGATATGATACACTATTGCGAAAGTTAGTCATCGCCAATCAAGTACCAAAAGCACTTCAACAGATCGGCATCATACCATTTACCACACCACCAGACGCAGCATCTGCAAAGAAAAAACAAAAAAACGTAATGAGCTTTTGTTTCTCTTCAGCATCTTCATGTCACACATACCTCTGAAAGTAGCATGGTAGATAGCTCTCCGACCCAGGTCAATCGCTTCTGCAACCGATAAATCAAAACGGTACCCAGCATCCAACACACCGTACGCAAATGTCGATCCGGAACCAACAGAGAATAAATCTCCTTTAAGACGTTGTCCATCCGAGTCCACGTAAAAGAGTGCTGGGCCCTTTAAAAGTCAATCCGTCAGTGAGAGTTTTTTTATATCGCCAAAAGTGTGCTTATTTACTGTTTTGTCCCAGCCTGTAATCATTGTTCCCATGGAGAGTCCCATGCCTTTGTAGGCATACACCATGTTGGAAAGGAGCTTGGAGGCAGCTGCAACGGAGATGCGCTCCTTGTTGCGGAGTTCGTAAACACTAGGAAAAAATGAACGGCGATAGGTGAGGGTGAGGGGCCGCAGCTGGCGTAGAGCAGAGTAATGTATAGGACATGCTTACCGGCATCGTCTACCGAGTTCTCGCTCCCAGTAAGAACAATCCGCCGCACCTCCAGCCATTGTACCGAGTAAATATGGGTTAATTTCAATAACCTTCTTGACAGATTGTGATGCTGCACAGAAATGCGCGTTATTTCCTTGTTACTCCACGCAAGCTAAAGCAGGAGATCCAACGTACCAATATATGTGCCACCGGTCGCTCGTGAATCAACCGCAACAATAATGCCCTCCCGGAATTTGAATGCCAATGTTGTCGTACCCTTGGCCATCTTGATGCGGTTTTCGGCAGCCTCGCTCATTTGATGCTTGATCCATTCGACCGGCTAACAATATGCAACCTGGCTGTCAGATACAACTTGGCAAGATATAAGTTTGGTCTCATTTTCTTACGTTGGATACAGAAGGCACGGCAAAATTGGGGTGCGCAAACGACTTTGCTGCGTCCGTGCTGAACGTATCCATGCAATCTTGGGGAACCTCCAGAGCCGACGGCTCTGAAGCCATGTCGAGGAAACTTAGGTTGACCATACCGTGCTCTGCCTAATGCTCCTGGGTATAATGAATGTCAGTTAGAGTACTCCTTTTGGGCGACTAGTCGCTTCCCCTTGTCCGCTAGTCATCTTTTGCAAACACTGTAGCTCTGTTGGGTGCATGTAGACGCGTTTTGCAAACATGCCGACCCCGAGCTTTTAGAGTCAACCACCAACCTCTCGCTGCCCACTAACCTGGCAGAAATCAGTTCTTACAAGTTCTTCCTATAATGGTCGGGCGAAATGCGAGTAGTTGTCGAGTTCAATAACAACGAGATGATGGGAAGGCAATCGTGGTCCGCAACCTAGCCCACAGTCGCATTCTGCTAGTAGTCAGTCCTGCGTCACGTGTTCAGCAGGTTAGGTGACGCGTTTAGCTGGTGCCATGGCAACAGAGGTGGTGAATGAATCAGGGATGAGATCAGCTCGCTCTCGAAACAAAGTCGTGGCTGGCACATATATCAACTACTGAGCTGGGGAACAGGGTTCCAAAGCTCATCTTTTGGGAGATAGTTTCACGAATAGGTAGTTAATACTGACAATATCTAGGGTCCATCAGGACAAAAAGAACCAAAGTCGATTATGTAGATTTTTAAAATATTTGGCGGAAAAAACGCTATATACAACTTGATGCTTTTTGAGTATAGATATGTAAATCGTGTCCCACCAATCTCTCAAACCCCACCATCACCACAAATCCCAATCTTTTACTCTCCTACCTCCAGTAAAGCACCATGAGAGCAACCCCAAAATAAAGGCCCCCACCGTCTAAGAGAAACAAAACATTATCCCAATTGCATCCCTTGCTTCTGTATCCTATGTCTAGTACATATCGTACACCTCATCCTCGCCCATGCCCTTGAGCTCGCTGACGTACAGCTCCACTTTACCGGCCATCACCTCGCACGCCACACCCAAATCATCATCATCCAAAATGGAAATCATGCTTCCATTCTTTTGTCCATCCTCATCCATGTCACGGAACGATAGCTGCGGCCGACCTTTCAAATTAAACTTTTCCTTGACACGGGTAACGAGAAATTGGTGTGTGAGGGTTGACGGGTTTACGAGAAGGAGAACTGTTCGGGGGGAAAGTGGCGGCACGCTATGAACTTTGCATTTAAGTTTGCCTTTGGTGACATCGGTTGCAGGTGAGGATGGTGTGAGGCTGTTAGGGGATGTGCTTGGGGACGGGTATGGAACACGTTGTAGCGGTTGTGGTTGTAAGGGTTGTGGTTGCCGTGGCATGCTAGTGACAGAGTCAGTATAGCTTCTCTCGATTGTACGAGTGTTTGGATAGTCCCGTTCTGGTCCACGATCGGTTGCGGCGCGAAGGAGCATGTTACGAGACGTTTGAGATTGGTAGGAAGTTGTGCTTCGCGAGAGGGTGGATTGGTTTGTGGTGATTCCGCGCGGTAAACTATTGGTGCGCTCACCCGGTGAACCGTCGTATCGAAGATCTCGGGAATCGTTGGGCAGACGCGGGGATGCGGAACGAAGGTTGTTGCCGCCTCTGTCCCTCATAGTTGCGCTTCGCGTAGTGGTAGGGAAGCGCTCGGTTTCGGGGGGAGGGGTGGGTGCGTATCGCGGAACGGTGTTGGCTCGAGGTCGGGATGTACTATCGGTACGTCGGACAACGGTTCCGCTCCGCTCACCGAGTCGATCGGAGGTTGCCACTCCAGGATCAACGATGACCGCACCATCAAAACCTACCCATCCACCATTTTCGCTTCCACCTGTGGCGTCTACGACAACCTTGGCATCCTTGAGGTAGCTTCGTTCTCCAGCATTACGAATCTTGGCTTCCCCAACCTCAAAGACTGCATCCACGGGCACGGTAAACAATGTCACGGTTTCCACACCCACGCGGGCCGCACGATCAATGATCGACTTTTGTTCGTCTGTACGGGAGACGCGCTGCGCATAACTAATGTCTTGCGTACATCCGACATTGTCGTTTATAGAGTGCGCACACATTGCTCGATTAAAGTGAATCTCGCAGCGGTAAAGACGGTACTTGAGTCCGAGTTGCGAGTAGTCAATGTAATCATTTTCGCGAAGCAGCTATAGGAGAGTCAAGGTTAGCGCGGGTGGCGCGTATGGGTCACCGCGTTATGTTATGATGCTTACCCCCAAGCTCGTGGTGTAGTCTCGTTCGGCACGGTCATACGCCTCTTGCATGAACCAGCAATATGCTCTTTGAAAGTATGCTACCGCGAGGTATGGGTCGGCGTCCAGCGCCCTCGTATAGCAAACTGCTGCGGATGCATAATCTTCGACGCGAGTATATATCATACCGCAGTTGAAGTGTATGCGGGAGTAGTCACCAATTCGCTAAAGATATGGTATGTATAAGTTTCTTGTACACACCAGACTGCAGGAAGAGACGACAAAGAAAAATGCCTACCTGGAAAAACTCCAAGGCGCTTGTCCAGTCGCCCTTTCTATACGCGTCGAGTCCATCGGCCCAGAGAAGAACTTCTTCCTTTGACGACATGGTTCAAGAAAAAACCAAGGGCTGTCCGCAAAAAGCGCTGTTGTCTTTTGCCCTCGGACAGGTTTTTTGTCGTCGTCGTTTCCCAAGAAACACTTTTTTTGTGGGACTATGTCAAATTCACACTGAATTTCGTCCCGTGTATATAAAACACTACAGTTCCCAGTGCCAGCGCTGGTAGACAGGAACAAACACGAATTTCGAAAGAGAGAAGGCCAGAATGACAAGACCTTTTGTCACGATGAGCCTAGACCCTCAGAGAAGAAAGAAGGTTGGCGTAATCCTGGTCAGAAACCGCCAGCGTAGGGGGTTGAAATAAAAAAAAGTATGTTTTTCCCAATTTCAAGGGGTAGCCTTTGAGATTTCAGATCTGCTTGCGCAACCGCTTCTCTCGCTGTTTCGCAATGGACGGCAACGTAACGACCAGAAAACGGTTCAACTCGCAGGTTGGCCTTCTTTCTCTTACCGAGCGCAGTTGCCCAACAGAAAAAAAGAGAAAACGGTCAATGGGGTATTGCAATAGAATTTCTCTATTAATCAGGAGGGGTTGTAGTTGTTTCATCTTTACCAACGAACCAAGGCGTCGGTTTTCTTATGAGCTATGACGCAATGCTCATCTTTATGAATCAATGTGTACCCATAGTGGATATTGGGGGTGTTTGAGCCGCAATGCAAGGGGTGTGGCGCTCTAAAAGAATTAAGGTTGTATAACCCTGCAACAATCGGCGTTTTCGGTCTGCGGGAATATCTTGCCAAATTTTCCCCTCAATTTCCAATTTTCCAACCGGTTGGAGTGAGAAGATGTAACAAGATTCTTTTGGGTTTAAGGGGGGGAGGGCTTTTGCGGCAGCTTCTAATTTTCTTTTTCCAGGCGATACACCAAATATCATACTTTGAAACAGCTTCTGTACTCCCCCCTCCTGAACCCTTGCGTCTCGTTGGATGCTATGAGACTAAGCTTCTATGAGAGGTAGAGGGAAGGCCATGCCCCCCTTTTCTCTTTAGATGGGCCAGGGCTTGCAAGTTGCATTTTTCAACCGCCGACCCGTCGTACTCTCTCATCGTTTTTACTCTCGGCCTGCTGTTCTACCTCTAACAATCCTTCCTGCAACACCAACGGTGAACGTAAAGTTAAAATAGAAAACTAGAAATGGGTCAAAAATGGCAGCCTTCAGCGGGCGTGTGGGCTACCTATCAAGCACTTTCTTGCGCATTCAGTGAGTAGGACGTTCTTGTCGTGCCCGTCGCTTTTGTCGGTTTCTGCTTGTTCCTAACATCCCTGTTACAATAGTCATGTTTGATGGTGGAGTCTATTCCATGATCTATCCTTACCCGACGTTCCTGTTTTTCGTCAACAGTCCTATTCCCAAAGGCTTCATCCAACCCTTCAGTTATCCCGGCTTGATTGCGCTCATCAGCGTCCCTATCATAGTCGCCATCGAAACAAACTGCTGCAGTGCTGCGAGAAACATCAACGAGATGCTCTCCTACGTTCCCAAAGCCATCTTGTATCTGGTGCTTGCCTTGATTACGGTTACCCAACTGACGCTGGTCCCTGCCGCGACGTTTTTGCTCATGACGAGTGTTACGCTCCTGGTCGCTGCCTTCACTCCTGAACCCGCACAGACTACCATGCCCAGGTAGTGGAGAGAAGCGTGACGCTTACACAACCTGCCGGACAGGGTTTATTTTTCGGTATTGGAATCATAAAGAAGGACACATATCTATCATTTCTGTTCATGTTTTTTGTCTCTTGTGTATGTTTGTAGAATGTGTGGGACGCATAGGGTTGGATAAATCTGCGCTGTGAATGGGAATCTTGACAGCAGCGACTTTCACACTTGGCCATGTTTGCTTTTGGATTGATGTAAATTTGTATATAGAACTTTACAAAAACATGCGTAGTGGAATGGGAAACATTCATCTTTTGAAGTGGCCTTCTTTTACGTATATGTGTATCTCTTGGGCATGCACTGTCCAATACGGACAACATTTCAAACACGATAGTACTTTAAAGACGCGTAAAACCCGACACAAAGGTATGGCGAGAGACAACCTCGTTGGCGTCCGTTGGCGTCTGTTGGCGGCGGATGGGCTCGTCTCAGGGTCCATTTCCCTCCTCCTCTTTCTGTCTTCCTTCCATCCGCAAATCCCTTGATACTTGACCATGAATGGATACTCTTGGGTGGTGGATCATGGATGTGATGGGTAAAAGGATCAAGAAAAGTTTTGTTACACTCAAATTTTTCAACATTAAAACATTTATTCCCTTGTGCAAGCCACGAACGAGTCTTATAAGACACGATTTTTAGTCATCAAGCCGAATTGTATACTAAAGTTAGCACATGGATAGTGTGTTGGCTGGAGCCATTGAACTTTACCCGATGAGACATACCGGGTATTGGGCAATAAATATCCGCTAGGCTTTACTCGGGTAATTACGTCCAAGCTTTCGTTGTATTGTTCTTTGCGGAATCACTTTTGTCACCGACACTTTTGAGAGTGGGTTTGATTGACTGGATCTGCTGTTGAGTTACTAGGGGATGGTCACGGTGCTTGGGATCGATCAATTGAGGACGAATGATATCGACATTGTCGGCATTGACAGAGACGAGGATGTGCAGGCAGCCTGACAAAATAGGCATGATGTGATGATCGTGAAACCAGCAAGAGAATTATCTTTTTTTTGGTACTTTGAGTCTATTATTATTTCCCATACAAAAAATGTGCAATATCGCTGTGGATCGCGCATGAAATTGTCATTCATATTCGCGCATACTGATCTGAGGATTAACACCCACAATAATTACATTCCAAGTCTGTGTATTGGGTTACATCACAGATATACCGAGAAATCAGTGGTTTGAAGCAAACGCTTTTTACAAATACTAGATATACATCGTGCAAGAGAGCAAAAACAGTGCGTGGTCCACCCCAATACAGACAACTATCCACAAGTCCCAAAACACGCAAAGTATCTCTGGACAAGGCCCAGTTGTCCCCAATCCCTCCTATATACAAAGACACAAAGCGAGAGAAAATACAAGGAACATTCATCTACATGTGGGCCGTCTAGAAATGTTCTTTTCTAAATTCAAATTCAACACCGCCTCCGCTCTGGCTACCACATGCCTTCTTCAAGACATGAGCAAGACCTGTCGGTCCACAGTAGAACACACCAACCTGTGTAGTGCCTCCGCTGGCAGTCACTTCGCGTTCGATGCCGGCTCGAACACCACCAAAGATCCTCGGCCATTCGGGTCGTCCAAAGTGGGTCTTGTTCCGCAGTTCAGTGAGGGGATCGTAGTTGGAGTCTGGATCGTTGAGGACAACATTCTGGATATCGTCGACCGAAAGCTTGCCCGTCAGGTAGACGTGAATCTCCAAAAACGAGGTAGGAACAGATTGTTCGAGAGTGGACAAGAGAGACTGGAACCAAGAAAAGGATTCCTTCTCGCGAGATGTCCAGAAAAAGTATACTTTGCGGAGCCTCATGGGGGCCTTGCGGTAGTATTTGTACCAGACGCTCTTCAACAGAGATGCAGCAGGTGTGACACCAATACCAGCAGAAACGAGGACTGCCACTTCGTAGTTGTAGAAATCTTCAGCGGGGGCACCGAAAGGTCCGTCGACACGAATGGTTGGGAGTTTCACACCAGGCTTTGAGGGACTGTCCGCAGAGGTATTGTAACATCCCAACATTTTGGCTGCCTTCCTTGTCCAGTCACCGACGATACGAATGTGAACAGAAACAAATCCTTCCTCGGGGCACGACGAGATGGTGAAAGGGTGCCACTGGAGATAAGATACGCTGGGAATGTTGAGGAACAAGTATTGTCCGGGTTTGTACTTGAACGAGGGTTTTTCGAAGCGCAATTCCATCGTATCGCCGGCATGGAAAACAACCTTTGTCAAGTTTGTTTCCTTACGAGCGCGGTACTCTCTGATGATACGTTCGAGAATGTACAAACTAAAGGCCGGGATCGTGAAGACGTTGGAGCCGTAGGGTTTGCATTGTTTCGTACTTGCACTCTTGACAAAACATCCGGCGTAGTGGAGGAAGAGACAAATGTAGAACGGGACGAAAAGATGGTGAGAGTACCAGAACAGCTCAAACTTTTTCTGCCGAACTTGGATCTTTGCGGCCGAGTACATGATGAACATGATGACCAACATGATGTGACCGGTCACACCTCCGTAAATCGTGTAATGCAGCTGCCACGGCCTAAAGGGAAGTGCCTTGAATAGCATGAGTTCCACTTTGAAAAAGTTCATATAGTGGGCATTGACGTGAACGAGGGTGAAGAAGAGCATCGCATACGCGGTGCACTTGTGGAAAAAGATGTTTTGGTCGAAAGGGATGATACGGTTGATTCGGGTGCCACGGATCATACTAATGAGGTTGCGGCACATTGGAAGAACGAGAAGGGCGCAATCGAGAGCCAAGACTAATCCTGCACCTCGAGACGTCCAGACAGAGCCGCCGATAGAATTGAGGAGGGCAAGTTCATCATCGAGCTTTTGCTTGCTGTAATATGACAATGGTTAGCCAACATTCTTGCTTCAATACCAACCAACACAAGGTTTACTCACTAGAAGCCAAAGATCCAAGTGCCAACGTGGAGAATGACCCAAAAGACGTAAAAGCCAAACTTTCTCGCCGTCATGTTGGTAAAGAGACCTTCCTCCGGGCGGCCAGTCATGGTGGGCAAGCTTTACGGGTTCGGTTAATGTACTCGACTGTTCACCCAAACGCTCAACGTTTGTCTATCGATTTGCAGTTTTTTGTTTGTTTGCTCCTCTCTCTTTCTCTTGCAGGCGGAGTAAGATCGGAAGCAAATGGATGCCGACTGGTGAACTCCCTTCGCGATGTTAACTTTTACAACCACCGCCAAAAACACAAACACGACGATGGGGTGGGTAAACGACAAATGTCTAAAATCAAAAGCGGGAAAGAGCGAGACCAAACCCCAACAAGAAGGAAAAACGTATCCAGCTCCTAAATTTCAATCCTCCTCCCCCTTGCAGCAAGAAGCGAAAAGCATTAAATGTATCACACAACTAAAGGGAGTGAAACACGTGTCTTTATGAACTTTCTCAACACATATTGACTCTATGTGTGTGGGGGGGTTTTGTTTCAGGAGATTTTTTTTTTCCCTTCTTTTCCTACTTGTATTACTGCGCAACTTTTACAACATTTATAGACACTTGGGAGACGCGCCGCTCCCAATTCAATCCTAAACCCTTTCTCCTCCCATTAATGTACGCCGCACGGGGGTCTTCTGTTGTCTAATGGCCCTGAAACATTCCATTTGGGGCAATGGGAAAAGCGGCAAGCCGCCCATCAACAATTTTTAACTTTTTGGTGTTGCACACTCTGTCATCCAACTTTTCTCACATTCCGCATTGTGGCAGTTTGGGACTGATTGGGTAAGCGTAAATGTAAAACAAGAAACCGTTTTGATGTTGATTGCAGGGAGAGTATTATATCCCCTCTCTGACATCTCCCCCCTCGTCGTCGCGCATCCATTATCCTCTGGCAATTCCAAACTCTGCTACGTATCGAAAATATCAGCATGCGCAATACCATTTCCGCTCTCCTCCTGTTGTTAGCTGTCTCGCTCCCCGCGGCATACACCCAAAATGTCGGAAGAGACAATGGGATCGCAGTTGGACAGTTCCCTGATGCGGCTTTTTGTACATCCACCGGTCTGGCGGCTTCAGACGGAACCCAAAACAGGGCTGGTGCCTGCTCTTCCACACCTCAGGGCGCTGTACCCAATGTCAACAGAATGGTTAGCACGATCATCACCAAACCGAAAAACGCTGAGACGATCGATGCCAAAAAGGAAATGGTCGTCGTAGTGGATATGCGGAATCTGGAGACTGGCTTCTTTGACGGTAAATTGGTGTATAAATGGTTCATCAGTCGAGTATTTTATTTATTCAATGATATATTACAGATCCTCAAAAAGACTATTACATGCAACCCCAGACCCTCAACAATGCTGGCATCATTCAAGGGCATCAACACATTACCATCCAACAAATGGGATCCACCCAACGCGCCTTAGACGCGACCAAATTTGTATTTTTCAAGGGTCTCAATGATCAAGCAAAGGATGGTCGGTCGTTGAGTGTCGCAGTGCCGCCAGGAACGTTCAAGCAGAATGGACTACATCGAATCTGCTCCATGTCCGGTACCAATGCCCATCAACCCCCCATCATGCCCGTCGCTCAGCGTGGAGCTCAGGACGATTGTATCAGGATCAACGTTACTGGTGCGTAAGCAAATATAGATATCGTGTAGATGGTTCTTTTCTTGTATAGTTAGAAAGCTAGAAGTACACACACACAGACAAGAGTAGGTAGTTTTACGTTTTAGGCATTTTCCTATTTCTGCTTCTAGTTCTTACCTGTAGTTGGAGGGTGGTTTTTCTTCTTGGACATTTTTTTTTTTTCCTTCCATTTCGACTGGCGCACATAATTGCAAAACAAAAAAGTGTAGAGTGTAAATATACATGTTTGAGTCCTTATTCATTGTCAGCCGTGGAAATTAAAAAAAAAAAATGGAAAACTATAAACAACACGCACACACATCCCCGTCATGCAATTCTAATGTTTAACTTGGTATGCTTCCCACCCGACCTCTTCCAATTGGTCCACCTTGTGCAATACCTCTCGCTCTTGTTTACGCATGTATGCTGCCATTTTTTCCAGATACCCACTGACGTGAGACCCAAGAATGCGGACAGCCAACAATGCCGCGTTGGTGGAATTGTTGATTGCCACAGTGGCGACGGGCACACCGCGCTGTAAGTTGTCGTATGAGATTCTCGAGTGCATCATCAGTATGACAGAATGCAATGAGTAAACGTACCGGCATTTGGACAATCGACAAGAGAGAGTCTTGTCCATCCAGGACTCTAAGTGCAACAGGCACGCCAATAACTGGCAACGGCGTCAAAGCCGCAACCATACCAGGCAAATGCGCAGCACCACCCGCTGCGGCAATAATAACTCTCAACCCTCGTTCATGCGCTGTCTTTGCATACTCCATCATCCGGAGGGGTGTTCGGTGGGCAGAGACAATGGTCAGTTCAAATGGTACGCCGAAATCTCGCAAAATCTCGGCGGCTGCCTTGAGAGTCGGCAAATCCGAGTCAGAGCCCATAATAATGCCGACTTGCGGACTCAGTCCAAATGTCTCGGTTTCGCTACCGGGAACAACAGCAAGAATATCTTTCACGCGGTCCAAAACCTCCACCATTGTCTCGCCGACAACGGTAACATGACCCATTTTTCGACCCTTTCGACATTCCTTTTTGCCGTACAAGTGGACTGTCGCACCAGGTAGCCCCATTGCCACCGCGCATGGACGAAGTGTCAGTTCCATCCCTTCTGGCCCATCGCCGAGTCCGAGAATGTTCACCATAACAGAGGCGGGGACCTTCATTTCAGTGCTGCCCAGAGGCTGCCCTAGAATGCATCGAAGGTGTTGCTCGAATTGAGAGGTATGACATGCCTCGATGGTGTAGTGGCCAGAGTTATGAGGACGCGGCGCGATTTCGTTCAGTAGGATATCGCCTGAGGTGTCAAACTAGCATGTCAGAATAGTGAACCACGCCATTAAGAACCGGGACGGTGAAACGTACCATTTTCCAACAAAAACATCTCCACCCCAAATACCCCTGCTCCATTCAGCACCTTTACGGCTCGCTCCGCAACCTCTTTAGCTCGTTTCCCCACCAAACCATCGATCTGCGCTGGAGCCAACACAACATGACAGATATTATCCTTTTGCACAGTCTCTACACAGGGGTAGCTGGCCACCTCCCCATTCACTCCTCTTGCAACCATGACCGCCAGTTCCTTTGTAAAGGGCACCATTTTCTCCACGTACAAAGGCGGACCACCTGCATTTTTTCCTCCACCCAATGCTTCCACAGCATCCTCCACATCCGATTCAGATTTAACCACCCTGTTACCTCGCCCATCGTAGGCAAGCGTTTTGGATTTCAACATAATGGGATAGCCGAACCCGCTTTTCGCTGCAGCCTTGATCTCCTCGACCTCCTTTCCGCCTGCTAAATCCCGAAACTCGGGCAACGGCAAACCAGCCTCGCTCAAGACAACCTTTTGCCGACATTTGTCTTGTATGATTCGAATAGTCTCGGGGGAAGGATGCACCGGTATATTGTACTCCTTTGCGGCCTTATCGAGGGCGTCGCAATCCACATGCTCAATTTCCACAGTGAGGACATTGACCTTTTGGGCTAGGGCAAGAATTTTGTCAGCGGATTTGAATGTCCCTTCCACATGGGGTGCTGTAGCTGCGAGTTCTGAAGCGGGGTTGCCTTTCGAGTCAAGGACGGCGACAGTGACGTTGAGGCGGTTGGCCGCTTCTATAGTCATGCTTTGTCAAGAGTGAGACATGAATGTGGTCGTATAATAAAAATGAGTTTTGGCAAGATACGCACCGACCAAGTTGCCCACCGCCCAAGATTCCAACAACTTGCTTATCCATTTTCGCAAAACCACCGCAGACTGGAGTTGGTGGGCGAGATCTCTAGCCTGGAGAGATCAATCCTTTTCAACAAGATGACGTGGCACAGTCATTATAATGTCACCATGGCAAAGTTTATAATGATCAACCTTGCTTGCATTCGCCATGGCACATCAATAGAACTTTGCATCGTTGGTGAGTCGTTCCGGGTGACATCCTGTCATATCTATCTTGTTCCTCTTCAGGTTCTTCTCCGACTCCCCAGCAGTTTTTATAAATAGATGTACAGAGATGGAAGTGCAATAATAACTTGGGAGATGGAGAGTAATCTCTCCACTCCAACGAAACGTGGGAATGGGAAGCATGTATGTTCCCAACGAGAGAGTCCAGTGGACAAAACCCATACTTCCCGCGAGGGAAAGCTCTTTCAACTGGAAGGCCGATCTTATTCAAATGCCCTTTTCCATACATCCCACTCCAGCGGCACAATCAACAATTGCTTAATCCCAAAATCCATGGCCGCCTCGCACTGTATTTTCAACACATATTTGTAAATACCACTATAGCCTTGAGATTGGTAGCAGACCCAGAGGTGGTTTGGAAATTTGGTCGCGGCATTATTAACGTGTCTGTTATGCATCACTATACCGGTGCAATCGCTGCTGTTTATTGGAGATAGGGCAATACGACCAACACTGCTGGTATTTTTGTGATTGGGACCGGTAATGGCAAGACTCGCTACACAACCAGACATTCGTTTGCTAGACCAGCGGAGGGCCCACCTCCAACAAGCGGTCTGCACCGTCAAGGACGCACCAGGAGGCTACCCTATCTTGTAAAGGACACCCTCGGCATGCGACTAACCCATCGTGTGTTTGCCACAAAGACGACATCCTTGAGCAAGTATAAACAGATCTTCTCGTGCTATGTGCAAATACCATATTATTTTCTGATTGCTAAGCCCACAGGGTACCACAATCTCGGGAACCTTGGCCAGTACCGAATCCGACAACTCGGCTCATCTGTTGAATTTTTCTTTTACAGTGCTTAGTCTACTTACCTTGGTCGACTGTCAACTCGAGTCCTTTCCTCAGTAAACCCCGCACACCCCACAAACAATCTGCAAATATGGTCAACCAAATGAACAAAGTCCGCAAAAACTTACCCAAAGAACTCCGTGTCAAGCGACATGCATTCAAATCCGCCACCCACAGAAACGCACAAGCCTACGTCAAACAAGCGAATGCTCGTTTAACTGCTGTGGTCGAATCAACCAACGCAGCCGTAGAGGACGCTGTCGAAACAGGCAACGTCAAGGCAGAGAAAAAGTTGTTGGCGGTGGTACCTGGAAAGATGGGAAAAAACAACTCGATTGTTCACCCAAGGTTATTAAATAAGAAAAAGCTGAGAAAGTTGCGGACGGCTGAGAAATATGTAGGTTGCGAGTTGAAGTGAAGGCGATAACAGGCTACGGTATTCATGTTTTCCACTATTCTTTAAGGCTGCTCAACGAGCTGCGGCGAAAGGCGGGGTTGCCTCCATGGATGTGGAAATGATAGGTTTGTCCACCTTGGTTTAGCAATTTGCATAGCAAGAATGATGGCCCTTAACCGACTTCACTTTTTTCATCAGACGTTCAACCAAAGGAAGGAGCAGCTGCTCAGACAATAGTACCATCACAACCAGCGGGAATGGAAGTCATCGGATCAGGAAAAGGGACTACACTCGGTGGACCGCCACCATCGTAAAAGATACCTGCATTCCTGTTCCTGATTTGTTTTTTCTTATAAAACATCTTGCTGTAGATAAGCATTTGCTCATCGTATCTAGTTTTTAATATTCATATTGATTGTTTCTTACATCGTCGTAACACATCCCTTTTCTGCCTTGCACCAACTGGAATTACAACATCTGCATGTCTGCCCGCGATCGGGACAGAATCATAACTTATATTTATTCACTCGTCAAACATCTATAATAATCTTTAAAACCAAATGGAACATCACTTACGAAACATCTGCGCTCGCTGTATACAGCGGGATAACAAACCTATTTACAAAAGAAAACGAAAACGAAACCCCCATCATATAATAGTGCTTGTGCCGAAATTATAAATCATGAGACCTTTCCACTCCCTTTTTGCTTCGTAGAGTCTTGGTCCGTTTTGCTACTACCAGTAGGTGTTCTGACCAGCTTTTTTCGCCAAGTCAACACGCCGTTATCGGGTTCGCGAAGGTTGAGGACAATGTCGATCATTTCCCGGACGTCTTTTTCTTGAACTGGTTTGGTCAAAACACTATGCAGCCAATGAGTACCCTAGTCATGAGCACAAACATAGCAGGGACCCTTACCGATCAATTCCAGCATCATAAAATTCGTCTTGATCTTCTCGCATTGCGTTTCCAGTAACGCCACAAGCCCATACCATTATCCCCTTATCTCGAATATGTTGAATGCATTCTACACCTGTCATTATAGGCATTTGGTTGTCCAGGAAGATCAAATCAAAGGGGGGTCCACCGCCTTCTTCAAAGGAGCTCGTCAACTTCTTTAGAGCGATGCTGCCGTCTTCGGCTGTTTCCACTTTATGGCCGAGGCGAGAGAGAAGGCGGGACATTAAACGGCGGGTGATTCTGTCATCATCGACCACAAGAAGATTAAGTTTGCGCGTTTCTTCGGGCTTTTCTGGATCTCTGGGTTCGGCGGTTGCAGGCGGAGAAGCTTTTGTATCGATTGTTGCTGAGGATGGTTCGGGAATCGGTGGCTCGTCTACTCGTCTTATCCTTTCGAGCTCAATACCCTTCTCTGTCTCCTCGGAACCGGTGATAACAACCACCACATCCTCTCCATTTACCGGAACGCGAACTTCTTCGTGGATGTTTGACGAAGTTTTCCCTCTATAGGATGTGCCATTTGTCTCAATCTCCTTCCCAGAGTCATCAGAGTACGGCTGCTTGATGTCTATGCCTTCTCCTTCCGAAATCGATCCCATTCCGGCTAAAGCTGGTAGATATGGCTCAAGTCGCTCCTCCTTATCCACAATCACTCGCACCTTTTTCCATGATTTCGAGTCAGGTTTGGATGCCGATGACATCTCAGGATCGTCTACAGATTCGGTGGTGCCGCCAAAGTTTGGAGGTACCAAGGTGGGTATAAAACAACTAAGTTCTTCAACTGGAGTTGACCGATCTTGCAGTCCCAGTGGTAATTCTACCCAAAACACACTTCCAACGCCAAGTCGACTTTGAACGCCCAACCTTCCACCTGACAGCTTTACAATGTGGCGAACTAACGCCAAGCCCAGTCCTGTGCCTTTACCCCCTTGTCGTCTACCCTCTTCCGTTTGGACATACGGTGAAAAGAGGCGGTTATCGATCAACTCGCAGCGACGTATACCGACTCCAGTGTCATGCACCTCCATGCCTAACACCACGAGAATCAGTCAGGTTGGAAGTCAGTATACACAATCCGCATTGATCCAACTTACGGATAATGGTCACGTTAGGGTTATTTATCGGATCGAGATCCTCGATGTCAATCCGGTGCGATTGCACACTCTCTCCATCATCGCGAATACTAGGGCTTTTATGTGTGTCGGTGGGAACAGAAAGATGGCCGCCTTCGGTCGGGTATAAGAGCCGCGTCAAGATCTTTACAGTCCCACCCGAGTTGGTGAATTTACACGCATTGGATGTGAGATTTGACAAAACCTGCCGCAACCGCATCTCGTCGCCTATCACAACCTTGCTCTCGCATAGTTTATCAATGCGCTCATCCAGTTCGGTGACCAAATTGACGCCACGATTCTCTGCGACAGCACGAGCACTGACAAAGATCGAGCGGACCACTTTGTGAAAATCAAAGGGGTTATGGGTGCAAGCTAGTTTGCCGTCTTCCATGCGATTGAAGTCTAGGACATCGTTCAGAACTTTGGCCATCATCCCAAGACTTCCGGTGAGAGCGTCAACCATTTCGCGTTGATCTTTATCGCAAGACTTGAAAACGCCTTCCCCCGCCAAATTCTGAATGGCTAGCAATGCGGAATTCAACGGTACTCGGACCTCATGAAATATGTATGATACAAATCGCTTTTTGCTATCGGCTGCCTTGTGCTCGAGATGCTGGGCCCTTTGTGTAGCTCGATATTGAAATTTGAGTTGATCGCGTATAAGGAACATCCGCCGATCAATCTAATACAACGACTAAAGTTAAATCATTTCGATACTCTAAGCAGAACTCTTGCTGATCATTGTACGTACACGCTCCTGTGAATGGCTCATAATATTGATGAAGATCATAAAGGTGAAATAGACCAAAAGATTCCTGACCCAGGATGCTCGATCAGGTACGATAGTCACGCCCAAGCAAACACAATATCCAAGCGACCCTATCATTGCCCACAGCCGGGTTTGTCTCAATGCAAACAGTGCCAGAACGGGATATGCGGCAGCATAATAAAGCGTGGTGAAGAAGTCTTTGTTTCCGCACGCGCCGCCCCCAAGCCCTCCCGTTTTATCAATGTCAAAGAAGTCGCACAGTTTCATTTCGACTGCAAATACAACGGGCCAACTCCAACATGTAAAGAGCAAAAATATTTGCCATGATGCATAGCGATATCGGGGTACATCAAAGACGACCAGTATTGGAATCAAGAGGGAGAAGAAGCCGACAATGCCAATGTATGAGTACATATCGTAGGTGTTCCAAGGGCGGGGAATCAGGCCGAGAGCAAGTATCCATGATAGTAGAATAAACAAAGCAGCCATCAGAGCCAGTGGTTTGCGCATGTACCAATTCTGCATTAGAATGTTATTGATCAGCATAAAACCAAACTTTGCCAAGCAGGACCAGTCACTGATTAACGTGCCTCTTTTTGATAGTGTCTTTCCACACTTTCGTCATCGAACGATAGATCAAAGTAGTTTTTTATCTTTGGCCACATTCCAAACCGCATCGTTCTCACAAACCACGTTCTGACAGCCCTGGTACTACTTTGACTGATTTCCGACCACCCGGGATCTGTGTCGTAGTTATCTTCTTGTACCGGTGCTTCCTTTACGCTGCTGGCCATTGAAGACTGTCTACGGCTGCCAGTTGTGGATACAGCAGCAGGAAGCAATAGTGAGTCAACAATGATCTCATCAGCAGGTTCTTCGTCCTCGTCCAGCGAGCCGCGGGGTTTATTTGGGTCTCGCGGAGCGGGGGGTGTGGATTCAGAGGACGTCAAATCGACTAGGTACGACTCGGAAGGCAGGGATGCAGGTAAATGTAATGCCTTGAGTTTTCGCACTATTTTCCCTAGCCGATCTCTGTATTTGAAATGGATGCCTCTTGAAGGCATCATTGTTGGTAAAAGGAGGAGTGGACAAACACCGTGGTTATGAAGACCAAAGGCCAGAGCGCGAACAAAGGGACGCAGCACGGGAAAACCCTTGACTCTGCCAACCCTGACCCTCGGCTACGCGCCCTTGTGTGAAAGGATAGAGTTCAAAACACCTTTTGCAGTGTTCAAAGATTTAATGGACGTTCTATCACATGACCCGATCAAGGACCCAATCCGTCCGATCGGTAACTGAATTTGATGGAAAAGGTAATCCATAACTCCGACTTTTTTTATAGTGCGGAGCCGATTGGTATTGGCACTAGTACATAGATTCCAACCAATTTAATCATAATTTTACTCGATTTAGACTCATGAACTATGGTTTGATCCAAAAAATCCTATATAAGTTGTCGTCGCCCATTTTCCCAGGCTTTCATCTTTTCCCACAGATATCATCATGCCGCCAAAGAAAAAGCAAAAGCTTGAAAAACTCGACAAACCCACCTTACATACCTGCAACAAGACTTCCTTTGCAAAAGCTTTCCTGCCAAACTATCGCCAACGGCTTCTAGATTACATCGCCATCATCCATCAACTCGCCGACCACGCTTCCCATGCTCTCAAATTCTACATCCTATCTGCACCAACCTTCACCGTGAATGAGGAGACCATCGAAGCGATTCTCTATCTTCTCAACAAGGGGGAGGCTTGGCATCCAAGAAAGGAAGCAAAGAAGGCATGGCGGGATTGTTTGCTGCCATATGTTCAACGCTACTGCCACATCGTCAGCTTCGTTCATCCAAATCTACAAAAAGAGCAGCAGTCAATCAATTACCTGACAGCGAGTATGATGACGAACCTGAAAGTCAACGTTCAAGAGCATTTCATGCAGATGCTCCTTCGGTACATTAATCTGCAGCTCGATGTGAAGGGACAGAAGCAGCGACTGAAAAGCGATGCGCGAAACGCTTTCTTTGCTCGTCTTCGCTACTTGAAGTCAATTTTCCTTTTTGATATCGTGCCCGAGTCGCTCGATGACTTGACTGCTGAAGAGAGTGAACTTCTAGAAGAGATTTGGTCGCTCGATCTGCCTTTTCTTATTGACCATCCACTCGCCTATGTAACGACGAGGACGTCTTCGAGAGATCGCGAGTAAGCCCAAATCGGACGCGGGAAGCACGAATCGCGTGACCAACTCCACCGATTGGGTTACCGCGACCGAAAAAACCGGTTCGGAGAATGGCAATTGGCGCATTAGATTTCAGCGTGCCTCGTACAACCTGTGGAGGCCCGAGCCAGTGCGGAAAAGGAAGAGATCGGTACCGCCACCAATAAATCAGTTGCGGTGCAGCGACACCCATTAGTTTAGTTTAGTTTAACAGTTTATCCAAGAATCTTGTATAAAAAGGATGTATTCAATAAAATAAGTCGGGGGCAGAAGCCGTAGCGACAAAAAATCCCCATAACTCGCTTCTCAACTCCAATCTTAGGTTAACAGGAACCTAACAGAGCGCTTCAACGGCCTGATCACCCGTACCGAAGCCTCTAAATCCTGCTCGGTTCACAACTAACCGACTCTCCTTGCCTCTCGCCCTCAAGTCGCTACCGACGCCCAAAGAAAGGATTTGGAGACTACGATTCCTAGTACGGACACCCACACAACCTGCTAGGAGACCCAAGTTGTCTTTACTGTAGTCTACCAACAAAAAATCCGTTACATGGTGGAGAAGCGCGACGAACCGCCTTCCCCTCTCAAATTCAGCTGAAAACCTTATTCGGTCGTACCGAAACTCTTGCGCAAACCGAGATCCGCTCAGGTAGCTACTCGGAAACCTTTTCTCTCGTTTCGGAGACAGAACTTCACGAAACCGAGAATGATGCCGGTCGAACGCTCACCAACGCGAGGCCGCTCACCTGTGATCCAGACTCGTAGTCAGGGTCCTGCGGAGGACGTCGAAGTCCCTCCCGCAACACGCCCAAGGCGTTCAGGGACCACTTCCGTCGAACCGGAAGCCCCTAACTTGGCCACGATGGCCTCTGAAGTGGCAGCGTTAAAAGAAGACATTGCCCGCTCGACTGCTGCAACGCAGTTGGCAACTCAAAACCTTACGGAACAGCTTCATAGGCTTTCCGAACGTCAGACAGCGGCGGATGAGCGCCTCGCACGAGCCTTAGAAGCCCTAGCGCATCGCCCGCTGCCTGAACAACCTCCCATAGCACGAGCTACAAGAGAACGGTCCGCAACCCCGTGGGAAACGGCGGACACACCAAGGGAGCGTACCGAACCAAGTTTTTCAGGTGCGGTGCCTCCAATCCAAGTGCCAGCGGCCCCGTGGGCCAGCGACACCAAGGTCGATTCCTTGAAAGCAAAGGACGTACCCGAGTTTACGGGCAGAAGAAACCAAGACGTTGAAGAATGGCTTAACAAAGTCCAACTTCTTCAAAACGTTAGCGCAACGTCGGATGCCAGGATGGTACAGCTCCTACCAGCCATGATAGCCGAGAAAACCCCTGCTGACGCTTGGTTTTACACTCTGGAAGCCCAGGAAACTCGCTCATGGACCTGGAAAAGGTGGAAAGAGGAACTGCTTCGAGAGTTCCGAGATCCCCTAACCGAGTCCAAGCGCAAAACCGAATATGTGCGCTGCCATGCGAACCCCAAAGAATTTCGCAGCTTTCTCGCGTTCATCGACCACAAAACTCATCTCCGGCGCCTCGCTTATGGCGACCGGGCAAACATAGAATGTCCCGCTGACCAGCATTTCGACCTAATAGTCGAACAATTGCCCAGCGACATCCAAATCATGGTCAAATCCTGTAACGTCACGAACCTGACCAAATTAAAAGACTTCCTGCGCCTTTATTTCGGCTCTGATGACACCAGAAAACGAGACCCTTGCTACAGCGGTGCTGCAGAAGCTCAGAAGAAGTCACAAAAGACCGGAACCGACAAAGGCCCTAAGCAGACGGCTCCGCATAAAACCGGAAACCCCGAAAAGGGTCGCGATGGTCCTCAGAAGATGGTTCCGGACCCCAACAAGGAACCACCGGCACCCTGCAAATTCTGTCAGAAAAAGCATTGGAATGTTTTCTGCTGGCAGAACCCGAACCGAAAAGATCCTGAAGATGGAAAGAAAGGACCATATGGAGCACCCATGCCCTCAGGTTGGAAACCCAAACAGGAATCGAAGAAGGCGTACATAGTGGAGCTGGACTCGACGTCCGCTACCACCGAGACTCTTTTTTCGGCTTCGGAACTGGAAAGAACGGAAGCCGCTAATCAAGGATTCCACACCATCGGGTTCTTTCATTCACCCAAGCACTCGGAATCAACAATTTTGATGACCGCACCTCTTTCCAAGGTCACGGTGACCAAGGAAGAGGACCCCCGCACGCCCACGCAGGGCTGGGACCGAGTCTGGGACAACATAGCCATCATCTGGGGCACCCCGCAAGTGGCTCTGATGATGGGCAACAACCCCCGCGCGCTCAGCTTCTTCGCCAAAGAACCGAAGCGAGGCGCCGGGCACCTCGGGAACGACCCCTACGCAGTCGCGTGGAGTTCCCACCACCTCTACATCGCTGCCGCAGCCGAAGCTGACAAGGATCGAATCCTGCGAAAGGTCCGAGAAGACGGTACCCCTCGTTTGATTCTCCTTGCCTGGATAAAGCTCGACGAGCGCGAGAAATTCTTGATGTGGAGCTCTGAAGATCCTGTTATCTTTGATGCGTACGCCAACCTGCAACTGGTGGCATTTCTCCTGACAGGCAATATCGTTCGCTCAGACTATTATTATCGTCGCGGAAACCCCAAATTTCGGCACGTTAAAGACCATCCACGTCTCCAAAGACACGAAGAGAGCGAACGGACGCGTATAGTCATGCTGGCTATCGAACAAGTTGCTCGCCAGAATAAAACAACAAAACCACAAAACGACAAAACTAGAGAACACTTTGAGAGTGTGATCAAGGCTACGGAAGCAACAATTAACGACATCGCGCCCCATTTCGAGATCGCGGTGCCTTCTATCAACGCCTTCTACTCAGTAGATTTAGGCGATGTACTCAAAAGCCAGACTAAGACCCAAACGCAGCCTTGCTGGACGCTAGCCGTCATCGCGCAGCTCTGGGCACCTGTGGTACTAGACACAGGGGCCTGCGAGTCTCTGATTTCCGACACGTACCAAGGCCTTCTGTTCTCCGAAACCGATTTGCAGGATGCGGAAACGATGGCTTTCAACGGCATTGGTGGACGTATCTCATCTACCAAGACAGTATGCCTCGAAACTTCCCTCAGAGGCCGCGGCGGAGAATACCTGACTTTCCGCGCCTACTTTCGGGTCATCGCGTACGGGAAACCTCTCATCATCCTAGCCAACGACGTTTTGGGACATTTGAAACTCCAAACCTTGGTTCAGGAACCCCCGTTACCCAGTTTCGCGGTGACGCTCAAGAATCCAGACATCCTTATCCCCTGCTCCATAACGGATGAGCTGGACACCGATCACATGCGCGGCACGCCATACAAGACCAAGCAGGGTGAATTCATGAAGGATGTGTCAATGCCACGGCTGACCAAAGCCAAAGCTCAGAAGTCTAGATTAACCATGTTAATCACGGGACAGACGCGCGTGGCAGCCCAAACTTTTCTCATCGAAAACCCTCTTGAGGCCACCGCTGCTAGCTCAACGGTCCCGTTAGGCCTCAAACTGTCCACCGCGACCCATAATTCGGTTGCGGACCCCGAAGAGAACATTTCCAAAGAAGAATGGCAGACACTTCGGAACAAATGGAACCTCGACTCTACGGAGAGGGCTCCAGGGGCCTTCGAAGCCCAATTAAAAGACGCGGAACGTTTCCACGTCGATCTCAAGCGACCCAAACCCGTGGTCTGGGCCCTAATCAACATTCTACGACACTTCCATCAAGCCTTCAGCTATGAGGGTCATCTCATAGGGAACTACACCAAGATTCCTTATGCGCCTCGATTTATCTCGGCTCCGCCACCCCTTTCGAGGCCACGGTCGTACTCTCCGTTGGAGCGGACAGCCCTCGAGACGGAGCGAGACACCATGATGGGGCTTCAGAGGTGGAAACGAACCACCGAAGTAACCTTCGCCAGCGATCCTGTTATCATTCGCTATGCAGACAAACCCCCGCGCGTAGCCTTCGACTATCGCCGAGCCAACGACTGCATGGCCTGGGATCCATATCCCTTTCCCATCATGCTCGACATCCTGAACTGGATCGTCGCAGTCCCATTCCGATACATATCGGGAGGTGACGCAAACAAAGGATTCTACCAAATCGCCATCACCGATGCGTCGGTACGCAAATGGCTCGCGCTCAGACTCCATGACGGCATCTACGAACCACTCTTTATGCCCTTCGGACCCAAGACTGCCCCCTCGCACTTCTGTCGGGTGATGGACGACACCTTGGGTCCCTCCAAATGGCGAAATATCAACAACTTCGTCGACGATATCCACACACGAGTGGAGACAGCCGCGGAAGCCCTAGACGCCATCGCGGACTGGCTCGACCGCTTTTCCAGAGCCAAACTCACCCTAAGACTCGACAAGTGTCAATGGCTCTTTCACCAGCTCACGGCCCTCGGTTTCGTTGCCTCCTCTCAGGGTCTCGCTACCGATCCAGACAAGGTCGCAACCATAGTCGATTGGCCACAACCCAAATTCATAGGTGACCTGAATTTTCCCTGCCTACTGTCGGTTGTCAAGCCTATATGAAAAGCATGGATTTCGACGGTTCAGTGCAATCCCTCTTCGTCGGTCGCTGATTCAGTCCCATATTCGCATCGACACGGTCATTCTCTACGCCCACATCCTCTGCATCACCCGCCAAGAAGCACAAGCCGTAGAGAAGGTCGATTTATGGATGCGCGTCTGCAATCTACGTACCAAGGCTTTTCGGTCTCACCGCGATATGCAGTTTGAAGGCTCGATCACGACGGACGGCACCTCGGTGTCAGTTTACTTGAAACATCCTGAAGCTGACAAGTATGGAAAGCACAGCGGCGGAGGGAAGAAGTCAGCAAAGACCCTAGAAGCTGAGGTGAAGGCAGTATATGTGGAAAACAACTTATCTGCTTGTCAAGAGAACATTGTCGTTATCGATCCAAACAAGCGCGATCTTCTCTACTGCCAAGACAACAAGGGCACCATCTTCCGTTACACCGCCTGTGGTAGTGCATGCCTGTGGTATATACCACAGGCATGCACTACCACAGTGCCCATAGTCAGCTTCACTGTACCAAAACCCATAGTATGGAAGAATGTACCAAAACCCATAGTACGGAAGAATGTACCAAAACCCATAGTACGGAAGAATGTACCAAAACCCATAGTACGGAAGAATGTACCAAAACCCATAGTACGGAAGAATGTACCAAAACCCATAGTACGGAAGTGTTTGCCCAATGCATTGGAGTGTTTCAAAGTGTTTCGAGTCTTCCAAGGTGTTTGCCCAATGCATTGGAGTGTTTCAAAGTGTTTCGAGTCTTCCAAGGTGTTTGCCCAATGCATTGGAGTGTTTCAAAGTGTTTCGAGTCGTCCAAGGTGTTTGTCCAAGTCCGGGACTATTGATGAAGGGATGATATGCGGTATAGTGCACTTACATGTCAAATTTTACGCATCTAATATTTCACGTGTCCAAACTCCACCTAATTCAAAGTCAACACTGGTTCTAACTTGACATTCGCTTCTTCTCAAGACTCCATGATATCACTTCATCTTGGGACTCCATCTCTCAGCCTTCGACATCGTAGCTTGTGGACTCGTCTGTGGACTCGTCTCTCCACATATCTCTTCCAACAAGGATAGCATCGAAACTTGTATCCTTTCTGTCCAATTCTTCGCAATTGAAACCTCCTTCCACAATCCATGCAGATTTGCTCTAGACTTTGGTGTCCATTGTTCCCTGAAAGCAACCATTCCAATATCCATCTCGGCACCAGCACACAATCATTCACATAGTCCATTGTTAATTGTTGTATATGGGAATCGTTTTTGAAAAGAAGGCTTCGAGCTGGGGGGACTGGCGGGACCGGCGACCCTCTTTTATAAACGGATAAGGAACTCTCCCATCTTATCGATAAGATGGTTCACTAGTCCTCTCATCCTATCGATATAACATGTTCGATCTCTCATCGACAAAGTGTTGATTTTTTTGCCCTTCATGCATAGTAGAGCATTTGTAAGTGTGCATTTAATTATGTAGAGCAGGATGTAGAGCCGTGCACACTTGCACACTTACACACTTCCATTTGGGTTGCTTTAGGGAAAAAGTTACTTAATACTAATATTATTATTAGTATGTCCTCAATTTCTCTCTCAAAGAACCTGAAAACTAAGTGTGCAAGTGTGCAAGTGTGCATGTAGACCATTCTTCATTGATTTCTTTCCGACTTTCACTAGAGAACAATGGAAGACTAGCTAATCATTTCTGATATTATCTACAATCACCTAGTCGCACACTTCCTACACATTTCCATTTCTAAATGTGCAAGTGTGCATTTGTCTAATTCACTTTTGACATCCTCACTGCTATCCGCGTCCCTCCATGCCTGTGGTGTGATAGGTTTGCTATCTGTACCATCCGCCTGATATAGAAATAGCATGAACTCTTTGCTACTGGGTTTGCTTTAAACTCACTTTTTACTTCTGAGTTGCGTAGTTGCGTTTGATGGAAGATGGTCGTAGAGGCAGCAAGGAAAGGATCAGTGGAGGGATTCCAAGAGGAGAACTAAAGCGAGTTCGGATACCATCACGTGATCTAAAATTTGAATGCATTGCGCAAAGTGGCACAGTCAACCTAATGCCAAAGTCTATCGGCTGCACACTATATAATCGAGTGCCACTTATGTAATGGACCCGTGCATCGCTGCACAAAAAGCTGTGTTGGCATCTGTGTTTCAGATGCATGTGGTTTCTTTTTCGTTTCTTTTTGTGGTCAGTCCAACGAAAGAAGCCATGAAAAGGAAAGGACTGTATGACCCAATGGGGATACAGTTCTCCATCTGCATCCCCATCTTTTATAGAGAAAAAAAAGGGAAGCCGCGTTCACCCAATTTCCATCCGCATTTCTAGAACAAAGAGCCTTTCATTATGATTGTGTCCTAAGAGAACGCAATCCTGCAAGATGGCCAAGTAGCCGGAATTTCGAAAGCAGATTTCATCCAGTTTCTTCAAGTGGACGATTGACATTATCTCTTTGAAGATGTGTTCGTTCTGGTCTGTTTTCGGAAGAAACAATATGATACGTTTTTTATCTCCTGTCATCATACCTCGACAGTACCTCCAGAATTTATCCATGTCACCCTTCACAGCGTCCTTGATGTTCAATACTGAATGACCTTCAATATCCGCGCGTCGCATTCTTATCTTGCATAGCTTCTTTTTTAAATGATGGCAAATGAAGTTCCTTTCTTTAAGACCCTAATTCCATTACCTCTATAATGGTTACATCTGCGCTTGTGTCCGGTGCTGCATTTACTGCTGAAAAATTGGTAAAATATGCTACATCAGGAACTAACCCCGACACAATGAATGAGGCATAAATTGTTCTGTTCACTCCAGCATTATAGTTAAAATCACTGGAAAAGACTGACGGCATCGAACCGGCATTAGTTCCTAGATACACATTGAGTGTTCCTCCTGCATTATTGGTGCCATGCAAGTTGATGGTATAGCGTATCAACGCCCGGCCGGCTGTAGAAACATAGAACGTCTTTGTTCCGCTACCAGTTGTGATTACATCTTTAGTTAGCATTTTGAACACCTGAACCTTTGGAAACTGTACTTGAGATGACACCCAGGCTTGCGTCGCACAGATCTGACCATTCGAGTAAACTGGCCCATTTGAATACAAGTTGCCTCCTGCAACAACATGTGCACCAACCGCAACTCCTCCATTCACAACCAATGCGCCCGTTGTACTCGATAACACTGGAGTGGTGCTTTCAACAACGACATTACCTGTGTTAGGATAAATGTAAATACCTTTTGCTCCCTGTGATTGAAGGCGTACGGCACCGACGTCATTCCTGAGCGTGAGTGTATTAGCGCCTCCATCTACTGTTCGATTTGAGCCATTCATAAAAAGAACGGAAGAACCCGCGGCCGTCGTTAAATAGTAAATTGGTGCTGCATTCGTTCCTGTGTCTACATTCTTGACCTGAATGCTTCTTAAAGCATTTACACTGGTGTTTCCGATGATGACATCTCTATCAAAATAAGCATTTCCGGTTGCTCCATTAAGCGACATACTTCGAATAGATGCGTTGCTTTGTCCGACATAGAAATTCAGGTCTACATTGTTACTACCAGGCAAATAGGATTGTATAGAACATATATTTTGCATTGCGTGTGAAAACATGAGGGTATTGGTTTGGCCAACACTATAGTTAGTATTTTGGATGGTCATTTGTGCCCCAGAAACCCATAGTTTCTTAGCGATTCCAAGCCCTCCTGCAACTTGAAAAGCACCCATCGTTGAGGATGTAGAGTCAGTGGTCGTATTCAACAGGAGAGTACCTGTATTACCTAATACCATCCATTGGGTGCCGTTGTTCATGGTGCTAAAATATAGTGGGGCCGCACTATTAGTGGTATTATTCAATCCGCTTTGAATGTAATTAGCACCGCTGGTGCTAACAAATCACATACAACTAGGAGTTGCACCCGTGTCCATTAGATAATGCGATACACCACCCGACTGGCCTTGCATGATATTTTTTGAAATCCCTACACCTCCTTTAACCTGTAGAGCACCTGTAGAGACTGTTGTTGCATCGCTTGTATCATTAGCAACAATGGTAGCGACAGACAAGGGTGTAGTCATTGTGATTATATCTTGTTTCGAAGATAGCGATGTTTGCAATGAAGATATGTCTGACCCGTAATCGACAATGTTCAAAATACTTCGAACTTCAATGTCGTTTTGAAGAATAAGACCATTGACATCATCACCCATGACAAACATATTGCTCATCGGTTGCATGGATGCAATGGAATCAAGTAAAGGACTTGCATCTTGCTTACCAGATAGGTCAACACTCGTTACACCCAGAATGTCTCGTACCTCTGCTGGCGTCTTCACAGAAAAGGTAGTTCCATCATTTCCTATGATAAAGGAATTTGTTGATGGAACAAGACCACTTAAAGAGGACAACAAAGGACTCGATGGTTGTAATGTGGAAATCGCTGAGGAAACATAACTCTGTGTTGCGACTTGAGCACTATTTGCAAAAATGTTACCACCGACATAAAGCGCCTTACCAATTCCAACACCACCCTTGACTTGGAATCCCCCTGTTGTTGACGATGTAGAGTCGGTTGTGGTATTCACTACCACGGAACCAGAGGACAATATGTCTAAAGTAGATGTGGTATTTGTAGTCCCAAAGCGGAAGTTCGTACCTATAGTCCGCATACATACATCATTGGCCAAATCATTGAAAAACATTTGACCATTGGTTGATGGACTGAACGAAACAAAGTCTCCGGCATTTGTCCCTGTACCCCATCTGAAACCTAGTCCTGTACCTTTACCACTGTATACCGAACTTCCAACATAAAGATTTTTAGAGACCCCGACTCCACCTGCAACCTGTAATGTGCCTGTAGCCGTTGACGAGGAGTCAGAAGTACATGTAACTTGGGTTATTCCGGTGTTGGAAATTTTGAAGACATAGCCGATGTTGTTATAACTGCAATTCAATCCGAAGCCCCCTGCGGCTAATACTCCATCCGGCGAAGCCCCTGCTACGCGAAGCCCCCATGTCACATTCGATGCCGAATTGACCAGCGACATGAATGTTGGCGAAGATCCATTTTGAACACTCAAATAACCATTTGCAGTAACAGAAGCAAGACTCAGATTAGTTGATGTAGTGATGTTGTTCTGTTTCCCAGAAAGCAGTGTGTTCACACCAGCATTTGTAGCAATATCGAGGATGCCTTTTACTTGAGTCGAAGTGACATTATCCAAAGTTGTTCCCGTTGAGGAATACAACCAAGAGTCAGGCTGCACCGTCATCATGTACAGGCTATTAGTTGTAGCGTTCATAGGCTGCTTCGATGCGAGTGCAGTAGTGACGGCATTGTTGTTGTTATTAACTGTGGTTGTCAATGAAGACAAGGTTTGACTTATTGGAGCGGTGTTATCAATTACAAATTTCTGAGTTGCAACTTCAATACCTCCGATGTAAGCCATTCCACCAATATATGCATCAGTTGATACTCCTAGCCCGCCGCTCATAACAACATTCCCTGTGGGGTCCACTCGAAAAACATATCCCTTATCTTGGAAAGAAGAGTATAGGCCGAGAACTCCAGAAGGTAGGTTTCCATTTGCAGTACCGGAAACATGAATTCCCCATGTCTGTGCTGCGCTAGTGTTCCCAAGTGTAATTGCAGTAGCATTGGTGTTTGAATTCTGTACTGTTAAACCGCTCAGGTTAAGCGAACTTGTTGCGCTTATTAATGGCTGATATGCGCTGAGGATTTCATCTTTGGGTACAATCCGGAAAAAACCGCCATTTCCACCCATCAAAAAAGTGCCATCGGCCGGGGTCAGACTACTGATATTGTCAAGCAAAGGAGATAAGTTTTGCTTCAATTCTAATCCTGTTGTTACAAAGGATTCCGTGGCTACTTTCACTCCATTTGTGTATATATCACCACCAAATGTAACATTATTCGAAGTTAATGCCGTTATCTGGCTTGTCACCCAAGGCTTGATCAACTCGTTATCATAATCCCTTAGCATAGAGAGGTTGATTGCTTGCTGAGGGTACTCATATTTGATGCCTCGATAACATGAAGGCGTATCAAACAAGAGACGAGTACAACCTCCAATAGGATCAGAAGCAATTGCGACATTGCTCCCGGGTTCAAGTGGTGGCATGAAGGTAACAGGGTCTATTGGTTCATAAACGGGGTTTCCATCGCCATCGAGTATAGGTTGGCCTTCCGCATCTCGTTGAACCTTACGTTTGCGTGACCCTCCGAAAATCATTCCCCAAGGGAACGTTGAGATGATTGGGAGGATGGAGTTTACAGCCATAGGGACTGTCAAGGGCGGGGAGACCATCGCTGGAAAAGGTACGGTTGATAATGGAGTTGCTCTGGACAAAATAACAGTGTTGCCTGATGGAACATCCGTTTTTAACACTTCTGTGGTATCAGTCTGTTCAGTATTATCGGTATCCCTTTGTTTCGATAACGGCGTAGGGTCAATGAGTGTAAAGTTGTAGAGCGGGTACGAACCTGTTATTATAAGGTTTGGACTGTTACTTACGAATTGTGGCAGAATCATGTTATACTGAATGGTATTGCCGACAACGACCACACTCCCGTATGAATTGGTTGATCCGATGTAATTGCCTTTCAAAGTATCCCCCACCCGAAGAACGGTATCGCTTCCTGTAAGAGAACATGAAATCAGATCTCCCGAAACTTGCACGCCATTAATACCTCTTAGGTTCGTTGACAAAATCGCACCATTTTTTTGCAGTCCAATTCCCGCAGCGATGTTTGAACTCAGAACACCATTGTTTAGAGTAAGATCGGGTGACTGTGCTGTTAAACTCAGTCTGAGGTCGTTGCCCACCCTGGTTACTCCTTGGGAGGCGGTAAACTTATCGCCTATGGTCCCGCGGCTGAGCATCGTTAAGCCAGAGTTGGCATCAACTTTTAGATCGAGTTGAAGGTCATTCTGTACTCTCTCAATACCATTGCTGCAAGTCAGTACGTCTTTAATGGTATCTGCTTTGACCATTTGGAGACAACTGCCAGCCTCGCATTTGAGAGAGAGCACCACATCATTGGTCGTTCCCAGTCTAATGGAGACGCCATTAAAGTCCTGAAAAATGTAGCCACCTGTTAACTGGTTACCTATAACTCGAACTGTTTTGTTATCAACGAGCACACCGATTTCGCGTCTTCCACTGAACTCTGGTCCGACAGCAATAGCCCCGGTTTGGCTGCCTTGGTAAAAATTGGCCATGTAATCTTTACTCACTGCATAAGAGCCTCCTCCAATAGCAGGTAATGTTCCGCTTAACTTTACATTCGGGACACGCAACTCTTGAAGCGTGGACGAATAGGTGAATGAAGGACTTCCTGAAAAACCGTATGTTAGATTCCCATACAGGATTTGTTCATAGCCGGGTGATTTCAGGGATAATCTAGAGCCGGCTTGAGTGAATGTAGAGGTATCAGTCATCAATCTAATTGCCGTTGTGTCTACTTCCCCTAAAGCATCTGTTAGTTCACTCAGAGATGAGAAGCCGAAATCTAGCCAACTGCTTCCTATATCTAAGATTGAGTCTGCTCCAGACGATGTTTTTATCGCCCCGAACGCCTTGAACAGTTGACTAGTATTGGTTTCCAATTCGTCTTCATTGTTCACCTTTAGACTTTTATGAAGTTTGATTCCAAGGCCATTATCGCGATACAATGGTTTCTTGAGTGTTTCCAAAGGCGGAGGTGGTGGAAAGTTTACTGATAAGCCATTTTCAGTAATGGATAATGAATCGTCTGCACGAATACCAACTGTGCGTATTTCATAATCCCTATACAGTGGAAACTCATAATTGTCCGGAATCACTTTTAGTTTTTCTTGTTCTACAGTTAAAGATGAATCGTCAATCTGAAGTTGGATATCATGATCCTCTTTCGAGTAGACAAGAGGTTGATGCACAGATGCGTCGATTGTGGTCAACCGACTCTCCTCATCAATTTCAAGCCTCTTGTTATCAACATTTAATCCAATGGATACGACGCCATGTTCATTCGTACAAGGTAAGCATTCAGAGGTGGTTTCAACCTCGTTGACTTTAAGTTCACCATTTTCATTAGATAAATGCTTAAATTCTCCAACATCGAACCCCTTTATCTTGGCTCCAGCATCGAAGCCTACCATTTCGCCTGTCACATATGGAGATAAGAGATTTGTGTTATCTATGGTACGTAACCCCGTTGAATTTCTACTGTTTATTCCACTCATGTTATATTGTAGCTAGGAAGTAAAATTTGAGGAGCTTGGCAAAAGACGAAGCGCTCGACGGTGCCCATCTTATCGATAAGATGGGCGATAAAACCTTTACACTATCTTCTGTTTCTTCCTCGGTGGAAGTGTGACATCCTCTGCACCTTTTCTTCTTCTACTTCGAACTGTAGGTTCCACACGCAGTGTCGATTGTGTTTGTGCAGGAGGGACAACATATTCCGCTTCACGTTGTCCTCTTAGACAAGCGAGAGGACGTACTTCGCTTCCCAAGTCTGCGGTTAGCGGTACTAGCGTTGGAGGGTTAAGTGCCGTCGGTGCTAAGACTGGATCAACATTTACCCTTCTCCTGCGGGAAGCACGTACAGACCTCTCGACTTCTTCAGGATTTTGCAACACTATCTCCTCTAGAGGAGGCTCCTCTACATGATCGGCAATTCTCCGTCTTTTTACCGTCTGCTTATCATCTGGTTGTTTATACTGTCTTCTTTTTGTACCATGAGGAGCAACCCCAGCAAAAATCACATCCGGAGGATGTGGAGCAACAGGTGTTGCTGGAGGAGTTACTGGCTCTATCGCATCATGCTCCGCTCCTCCTGTTTTTTGCTTCTTTTTATTCCCTCTAGGAATCGGCGGGGGTGCATTTGCTTTCCTTTTAGAACCTGCTAATATGGTTGCTTCCTTACCTTTGAAGTGAAATGGTGTTCTTGCAGGTACCGAGACAAACTGATCATTGATGGAGTTTCTCTCTAAAACATCCGCTACACCAGATGGATCATGGCGGTCATTCAGAAGTACTGTATCATGTGGAATTGTTGCGCTACGAGGCATTGTTTCCACGGAGGCATCGATTTGAGGAGATTCCACATGTATCTGTTGAGTCGACCCAGGAAATCCTCCTGGAATAGGTGGAATGTAACTATCAGCCATTAGATGCGCTGGCAGTGAAACTGCAATGCCAGTCGCATGATTGACACGGTCATTTCCAACTGCATCTCTTCGTATCTCTGTTTCTCGAGTCAGGATGACTGGCTCTACAGGAACACTGTTTACATTGCGTGGTTGCGCCGGTATCTCATTTCCATTCGGTGGTGCCTGAAACATTAAGCCTGTTTGGGAAGTCACTGATGCTGGATAGGAATACACATGCCCTGATTCATCAGGAATCGGTAATCCTGAAAGGGAATTTTGCGTTCCAATGGTCAATGCACTCCCTTGTCGACTTGGAGTAATCGAATCAAGATACTTCTGTTTCTTACGATAATCTTCTTCTGCTTTCACATACTCAAGACCATCCTTATAAGCCTTTGTTGTTTGTTGGGCAGCCGATAATTTCAGAACATCAGAAGACGAGAGCCTCGGTTCATATTTAGGTTCAACGTAATTGGTCTTTGTCGCTAAGTCTTTTTGATGGATCAACCTGTTCCACGAATACACTACTTGTGGTCGCCCGAGGTCATCGACCTTTGAATAGTCTAGAGCGACCCCAACTTGTCTCTTTTGCAAATTAGGAATCGGTGGCGAAACAGCATATGTATCACTCAAGTAATTGGCTCGGTAATATGCCATACTAGGTTTTTTCCTTTGCTATGTAGAGCTGAAAAAATAATATCTCTTCTGTTCTATAAATCAAGATGCCTAATTGGTTTTCTAAAGCGAAAGCAAAGGCAAATGTTCTGTGGAATAACGCGCCGAGTTTTCTTACAAAGGCCCGCAACTTTGCTAACAATGCTGTGAAGCATGCTGTTACAGTAAATAAACATGTCCAACATGTGAATAAACAAGTACAAGAATCTCCTTTATTTTCACAGGGTATTCGGGAAAAGTCACACAAGATTTCCAGTCATGGTGAGACTGGGGTGAGGAAACTACAAGAACTCCACAAGAACGCTGACGACTTTGTGGAACGGGTAAGGGGAGGTCCTATCGAGTAAACCTATTTTGTTCACTTCACAGCGCTCCTTCGAGTTTGAAAAGCAAGAGCTTCCTTTTTTACAGAAAATGTTTATGCATCGAATAATTCAAAAATTACATCACACCACAGTTACTACTGCTCCAATAGAAAGTGTAACATTCTCGTGGTATGACGTTACCAGCCTAACCTTTTGGGTCGGTGCGACTGCGTGTTGGGTGTGTATGCGCATAATTCCGTCACTGCCAGTAAATGAGAGTGCCGCATTACTGCCTTCATCCTTTGATGCAAATGACCAGCCAAATGAGAATGCCTTGGAATCATAGTCGGCGTATGACGTATCCATCTCCCCGAGTTGGTCAAAGTTGTTATTTGACAACTGGGTGACAAGCAGTGTTTGATTATCACTTGGTGAATGCGTAAAACCCTGGTTTCCAGCAGGAATGGTAAGATTAGGGCCTAGTGAAATTCTCCACTCGCGTAGTCCCTGTGAAGAATACATTAACGCTTTATCTTTTGTCTGGTCATTGAGAACGTCGTCGTCCACAAAGGCTGATTCGAACCCAACCAGTGAGCGAACACCGCTCATGTGGAGAAGGAATGTATTTCTGTTACCACCGGAGCAAGCATTCTCGGTCTGTGTTGATCTAACATAGTCATAGAATATTGACTTACCATCTGATATAGCACGAGTCGCGTTAACCACAGTAGTAGGCGGTGGTGTAATGTATGGAACTAAACAGCGGATATTGGAAACCCAAATCTCACCTACACCAGCACTTGTAAAAACTGTGTTCGGGTCTGCGAGGGTGATGATAATTTCCAATGCCTGATTACTCAGACTCCAAACTGGGAAGTACTGGTCATTCGATGGATGGCAGAAACCGACTAAGGGGTGGTGATTAATGGAAATGGTACTTGATGTTGCAAAGATATTGGTGTTTCCATATCCGGAAAGTTGGCTCAACAATTTCTTACTACCGGCGGATAGATTGCGGTATGTTTGTACTAGATAAAGAGGATAGTTTGGAATGTTAACAACAGTTTCTCCCCCTGCTTTGATGGTTAATGATTGAATAATGGATTCTAAGCCAAGATACATGTTTTTAACACCTGTACCAGGAGTTATCAAGTTTCCTGCATTATCGTATGCAGAAACATCCATGGAGAGAATGAGTTTTTGCAGAATGAAACTCACCGAATTAGAGTCACAAGTTATCTTGATTGGGGTCAGGTTACGACTTTTTGTCATATATGTGCTTTGACCAATCGGACTATAGATTGACACGCCTTCCCCACGGGGGTCTGAGTACCCCCTCGCGAACGTATTCGTCGAGAACAGCCAATTACATGGTACTGCAACTTCTTCTGACATGTTTGTTTACTGAATTGCAAAGGAAAAAAAAATGGAAGATTTTTCAGCCAAAAATGCCACCATAGTTGTCCTCCTCAACATTGTCCTCCTCAAAGAACGGTGATCTAGAGTCAAAGAATGGTTCATCATCACCGAATTTCAAAATTACGCTCTTTTTTTTAGATGGACGTATTGCTGCTGGCTGCGCCTTTGCTGCTAGTTTGGTTCTCTTGCTCCTAGTTGTTGTTGGTGTTGGTGTTGGTGTTGCCTTCATTCCTCGCTTCGTGTTTCGTCGTTCTTCCCTTGCTAATCGCTTCTGTTCCTTCTCCTCTTCAAGGATGCGTTTGGCCTCATCGATTTTACGCTTCTTCTCTTCCTCTTTCCTTTGCTCTTCACATTTCGCCTGCATCTCACGTAACTGTGCGGCTCGGGCCTTTTGGGCCTTCTCCAATGCTGCCCTTTGCTTATCCGTCATTGGACGTTTTACTTTCTGCGTAGGAGTTTGTTCTGGTTTCTTTTCTGCTTTTTGAACAGGTGCTTGTTCAGCGGGTGATTCTACATTCTCTTGTGGAATGGTACTCGATTCTTGATGATCTTGAGTTTGCTCTTCCATTGTTTTTTCTTACTTAGCTTCTGAGAAAAAAAAAATTAGACATCAATTAGACATCCGCAACATCGTCTGAAAATGCAAACCGAACGGTTAACGGGCTGTTGAGTGCAACTTCCAAACCGGTCATCAAGTCAATAAGATAGAATTCGATTTTGGAGATAGTGTCATCAACAGGGAGCCATTCTCCCGCATCATTTGTCCAGGTGATTACATCTCCAAAACTATCTGGGACAACAGTGGCTACTACTGATTGCACGGAATCATCGAAGTCACTGAGGTAGCGGCTTCCCTTGACTTGAATGTTGCTGGTTAAAAGCACCAGGTAACTTCCCGAGAGGTTAACTGGATTCTTCAATGTTACCGTTTGGTAATACCCAGTCTCGGTCCATCTTGACATTCCTGTAAGTATGTACGCCGTTGTTCCTCTCGACGCTGGCAAAATTTTGAATTTCTTAGGCCCTGTCGCAGTTATGGAAATCTTCCTGCTCACACCATCATAAGTAACAGTATAGCCCTGTGTTCCGGCCGTGCTCATAGCGTCAGCCACTGCGTTTGGAAAATTGGCGATACTATAGTTCCCAGGAGCAATGGTTCCACTATAAATCGTGCTATCTCCTTCCTCTGCAAAGGCTATAGTATTGTTTGCAGAGGAAACAAGGTCCCAATCTTGGAGAAAGGAAACCGAGAGAACCTTCATCATTTCCATTCTCCGGGGGGGAATACTGAATGATCGAGATTTTAAGGAACAATATGTGACTTCGTTAATCATTTCCTTTCCTTCCTTTATGTAAAGAACAAGGAAATTTTAAAATGGGATATAAGCCACGTGCAATTTTTCCTGTGCATAAAAAGAAAAGAGATCCAAGAGTTCCAGAAGACATTGCTAGCCTCCCTATATGCACGACTTTGATCGCACCTCGAAAAAGTGGGAAGAGCGCTCTTGTTTGTGGTCTGATAAATGATGTATATGCCAAGTTAGTCGATCGAGTGATAATAATGTCAGATACGGTTGCATACGACGCATCTGTGAAGGTATTGGCTGAAACCACAAAGCATAAAAACATCTACTATACTGATGATGTGTCTAATGCATCCATAGCAAAGATTGTTGATGAACAAAAAGCGGCACCTGACAAGTCACTTCTATTGTTCATCGATGATTCTGGAGATAGTGCCCAGTCAAAGGAATTAAACAAGGAATTGTCCAAACTCTATACGAAAGGGAGACATTTCAATATTTCTACAATCGTAGCCATTCAGAGTGTGACTGGGCAGTTGAGTAATAAAATGAAGGGATGTTCGACTGAATTTATTATTTTTCGTAACAATGCGGAGGATCTGAAACTCCTTGCTAAGATGCTCACTTCTGCTTACAAGACATATGAAGAGGTTCTTGCCTATCTTACTGAATCTACAAAGGAACCCTATGCTTTCTGTTACATGAATTTAGCAGCAAACAACGCCAGAGAAATGTATCGATACTGTGACTCTATTGGGTTTCACGATTACTTTCTAAACAGTTGAGCGCATGTCCCTTTGACCACCTAGTTCCTGAAGCGCAGCCAGTTTCTGAAGTTCAGCTTCTTTCATCTTGTCGAAGAGGTATTCATATTCATCGGCATAGCCATTGAGGAAGGAACGAAGATCATCTGGACAGTCGTCGTAGTCAGTAAATCCCTCGATGTTGTTGATAAAATAGCCCTGGCATGTCGCTTCTGCATTATAATAAATTTGACAGAGTTCCAGGTAGCAGTCCAAGTCGGGCCCACTTAGGTTTGCAATATTCTTGGCTTCCCGCCTAATCCATTCTTCCTTCGGAACCTCAACGAAATCAATGTGTTCGAGATCTTCTTCAGTGAAGTTGAATTTCGACATCGTTGCTCAGATGGTAAGACTCTTGCAATTGGGAAAAGTCATTGGAGGGAATCGAGCATGGCCTTTTAAGCAAAACAGAGGAAATCATCGATCGATTGAAATGATGTAACTGCACATCAATAATCACACATCTGTCGTATTTCCATCGAAAGACTCGAAGATGTGACTCTATTGGGTTCAAGGATTATTTCTGAGCGGAAATGTAAACAGAATAAGAAGATGTCTTGGAGAGTATTGACTCCAGATGAGAGGGAGAAAGTAGAGAATGTTTATAAAACATTCAAAACAGGGCGGGATAACCTCTGGAGAAAAACACGTGAAGTATACCCGGACTTCAAAGGAAGCCAACGCAGCGTATTGAATGATTTTCTAAAGTACCAGCCCGAATGGCAAACTCATGTGAAGCCACCGAAACAATCATCTATTGCGCCACTACAATTCACCAAGGCAGGTTACCTCCAGGCAGATCTGGTTTCCATGCGTAGTTATCCAGATGCCGGATATACTGCGTTTTTTCATATGATTGACGGGTTTACAAAGAAATCTTGGGGCAAACCACTTCGAGGTGAGTCGGAACAAGAGGTTAGTAATGCAGCAGAAGAATGCATACAACAATCTGGAAAGCGCATCTCGACAATGCAAACAGACAATGGACCACATTTTCAGAGAATCTTTACTAGAATGTTGGAGAGACATAATATCAAACACTTTTATTCCCAAGCGGCAAGACCACAATCTAATGCCTTCATTGAACGGAGAGGTGGAGATATAAAACGACAACTCTTCGCTCTCATGGAGTCCGCAGGCGATAAGAAATGGGTGCAGAACTTTCAGATGGTTCTGGACAATATCAACGGCAGTGTGTCCAGGGCAACGGGACAATCTCCTAATGAAATGGAAAATGGGGATGCAGAAGTCCAACAAGAAGCCGTCGCTCGAATCCAGAAAAACATTGCATCAAGGTATCGCACCAGGCAAATTGGGACACCATTGTTTGTAGGTCAAAAGGTACGAAAGAAACGAGTATTACAAGGCAGCGTTAGGAAACCAGGATTGCTGGGCTTCTGGGACAAGGACGTCTACGAGATTGTTCAATGCATTGATTCTCAGCATCCAAGTTTCATTCCGTCGTATCGCATAGCCACAGCCACAGGTCATATTCTATATGGCCGCTTCCCTAGAACAAGTTTGCTACCCATTCCGCCCATATTATCTCATGATTTAGTAGATCTTGACAATGAAGAACAACGCGCTGAGTCGCTGCAAGTTCCAAACGAGTTAGTACCAGCACCAGAGCCACGTCGATCATTACGATTGGATCAAGAACGTGAAGATGAATACGAAGTAGACCATATTGTTGGGAAGCGGAGATATCGCGGGAGAACCCAGTATAAAATCAGATGGCTAGGTTATGGCCAAGAGGATGATAGTTGGCAAGATGTAGAGGATCTCGCCAACGCACCCGAAAAGGTTGCAGAGTACGAGCGCATTCATAGTTAAAAATTATTATCTGCTGCACAAATGGACTAGAGCTAAACTTAAAACCACAAAGCAACAACCCTATGTGGCAGCATCTTTGCAATAGGCGAGATTCTCTGCTTCGTTGTGGTGATGTTGTTTTGACATAAAGGTAGATGCCGCACGCTTCAAATGCCGCTTTCTAATATGCGTAATTTGCACACTACGGAGCAAACGGACACCATAGTTCTTGTCTTTGTTGTTCGTTGCTTTGCTCCAGGCATTTTGAATGCAATTGCGAAATGTGTCAATTACAAAAGGTTCCTCCTTGCTGTTTAAAAAGATGTACTCAGACTCCATACGAAACCTGGTAACAAAGCGAACGAGTTCCTTAGCAACATAGGATGGGTCCACTGACTCCGCAATTTCTGGAAAATGAGGTGTAGTCATTGATTGCAAAAAAGGTTCATTCAGGTAGCGGTCATTATCTTCTGTATCATTTAGTTTCTTAGCAGATGTTTTTGCAGCGGAGATACGATCTTGCTTTCTGTCATTCCAAAGGATACAAGCATTTCCAGCATTGTCATATACGAAAATATTGTCCTTCTTCCAATTGACACCAGGGTGCTTGAAATTTTTCAACGTTCCATAGTTTGCATGGACGTTGTAAAAGTGGGATGTGAAAAGTCCAATTTTTGCATCCTGGAGCGCATAGATCTCATACTTGTTTGGATACGGCTTATCATAGATTTTATTCTGCTCTTCGTTATAGGCTCTCATCATAGCACATTCTGCATCCCAGTCTTCAATGGTACCATCCATTGGGCGTTCTCCTGTGTCTCCAAGATCTTTGTAAGCCTTCTTCGCATCACGAGCAGCGTTGTAAAGTGGTTTCGTAAGTTCATCATGTTTGCTCTTCTCTAATCCACAGAAATCGTGACCTGCATTTCTAATAATGCAGGCTATTAACCCGAGATCTGTAGAGTACGTGTTATGGGTGGGTTCACCATTTTTTGTCTTTGTTGCTGTACGGTCTTTCACGAGTGACTTCTGAAATGAGATGTCCTGGATTTTCCCTAGGGACGAAAAAGCACCTCTACGCTGATAATCTTGTGCTTTAGCCAAGTCTGTCGCATATGATCTTGAGTTCTCATTGAGGAATCCAGCAAGATTGGCGGTATGTAACGGAAAAGTAGCCATGTGGTCTTTGACAGAAGGTGAATAAATTTTTTACACTACAGATAAACCCATATCCTTAGCTCGCTCCTCTTATATAGACATTTTATTTCATGTTTTATCGATAGATTTTCTCCATCAACCTATGCCAGAACATGTTGTCTTTGATGCCAAATCATCTATTGTAGATAAGATTTTTCCTCTAGTCGAACAACTGTACCGGATTCTTGCCAATGCTTCTGGGAAATCACCCACACCACCACCTGATGGTAAGACGATCAATATAATGTTAGCGGAAGACGAACCCGTTTTAAGATCAATGTTTATGAGGTTCTGGAAGAGAGAATCTAATGTTACAGTATTCACAGCGTCTGATGGTATTGAGGCCGTTGAACTCTTTAAAAAGCAACGATTGAATATCATTTTTGTTGATATCGACATGCCTTACAAAAATGGAGTGGAAGTAACACGTGAAATAAGACAGTATGAGAGGGACCACAATCTAGATCAAACGCCTATAATAGGAGTGTCTGGATTCACGGAGCGTCAGTACGAGGAACAGGCCTTTGCTGCCGGTATGAACAAATTTGTATCAAAAGGAACAGGGTATCAATTGAAAGATATTTACAGAATCGTTGTAGAATACTGTGGAGATCCAAAGACCTAACAAAACGGTGGTCACACCTGTTTGTGTATTTTTCGCTGATACAAAAAGACAAAGCAGACTAAAAACTACAATATCGTACATCCGTCCCATGCTATTCCTTCTTTATAGCTTCTTCCCATCCTCCGTCAAAGTAAGCCCCTCCCATAGCGTAGTCGGATTGTCTGTCGTCTTTCCATCGAGGCTATCTACTTGCTTCAGACGCTGTTTCACAACTTGAAATGAATCCTTGTGATGCTTAAGAAGATAGTCACCTATGTCCTCCTTCCGAGGGTAAGGATTTTCTCCGTATTTTTTCTCTTGCTTCACCCACGCTTCGTATGCTCTGCGAAAACTATCGGGGTACATCCGCCTTCCCGTCTCCCACTTTACGTACTTTGCCACAAAGCGTCCCAGAGGATCGAGCTGAGAAGTAAACTCGTTTGTCTTTTCGCTCACTTCATCAGGAACCGGCTGAAGCGATCGTTCTCCGGTTCGGATTTCGACCAGACGACGGATGAGGAAACTCATAAACACATCCTTGTATTCTACTATACGTTTCTCCAGTTCCTGTATCCCGACAAACTTCTTTGCATCTTTGCCACCTTTCTTGTTAGCTTCCTCCTCTGTTCTGCAAAACTCGGACAACATGGGAAACACTTCGAATCGACGAGTGACACCATGAGCGTGGTCGTAGACAATCGGTAACCAGTTCATGGCACCCAGAAGAAGAGCGTTCATTTTGAAGGCACCAGTGGTGGTGTCATTAACTTGTCGGGCATTAACCCAGCCATTGATCAGCTTCTTAAATGTGTCCCCTCGCCATTGCTCATTCTTATTCACTTCGTCCACGCATACGGTAAACTTCCCATCACATCCCTTCAGCTCGCAGTTAGGCCTCGTACTATCAATGTTCTTACCGAGTTGGCTACTCTGCATGCTGTGCGCTTTCACACTAAAAGTTGCCATTATCAAGTCGATAATGACCGTTTTCCCATTTGCCCCCTCCCCCAACAAAATGACCATTTTCTGTGGTTGATTTGCGTCCAGAGTCATACACAAATGATCAAAGAGGTACTCGCGAACCTTCTCAGAGGTGACCATGGTAGAGAAGCGAGCCATAAGGTAATCGAACCGTTCTTCATTCAGCTCCGACCACCCCTCCCCTTTCACATACTGCTCATCCAGAGCATAACCGAGGTAATCTCTCGTATCAACACAGTAGTCCGTTTGCTGCCCTGGACGTAGCTTTAACATTTCAAAATCAAAGACACCATTGTCAAAACACAAAATACGCTTCTTTTCTTTCACATGGTTCAAAAAATCCTCGATGTGTAACTTCGTCTTCATGCTTTGTACAACATTTCTAGAGCTCTTTTTGACAATCATTGTAAAGGCTTCGTCCTCGTCCTCGTTGAAATAATGCTCCATTGTCACTTGGAAGAGCTCCTCTGCAATCCGGCTAAATTGTTCATCGGTAATAGTTTGATAGCTGTGTACAGCTTTGTTGAATCGATACCATTTTCCATGGGTTTTCGACCCGGCATGCACAAACTCTCCCCACCACTGCCTCTCTGCAAAATCAACGATGCACAATTTGAAATTTTGTTCCCACTTCTTGTGCCTGTTATTAAAGATCTCGCGACATTTATTTCCAATCTTTCCGGCAGCTTCCTGTAGAGACTCGGGAGGGGTTGTCCTGGGAACATAGGGGATGTTGCCTTTGACCATGTTAGGTGCCTGGTTCTCGGGTGCCTTGAGTGTGCTTTCATTAGCTGCTTTGTTCTCCTCGGGTACCTTGAGTGTGGTATCATTAGCTGCTTTGTTCTCCTCGGGTGCCTTGAGTGTGCTTTCATTAGCTGCTTCGTTCTCCTCGGGTGCTTTGAGGTTGTCCTGCTTGTCATCGCCGCCGAACGTGCTTGAACCATATGTTTCGAGATCGAAATCGAGATTCCCAATATCCTCGAGATTCTCAAAACCTAAAATGGGACTTGCTTTTATTTCTGGCTGTGTCTCGCGTCTTACATGCTTATCTTGTCGCACCCTCTTAGTTTGACGGGAATCGTCCTCATCAGGATCTCTCCTCCTAGTCGACCCTGAACCACGTGTTTTAGATGTGTCTGTACTCATGGCGTTCGTTAGTTGTAGCATGAGTGTCAGACAAGGGGGCGGGCTTGGCTATATAGACTTCGAGAAGTTGCTATCAATAGAACTCTCTTTCTTTTTCTTATACCTTTTCTTGGCGTACATCGACAGAAATAGTAACAGCCGCTTTCTCAGTTTGCGCTAAGATGCCACATCATATCATCCTTTCTTTTTCTTATACCTTTTCTTGGCGTAGATCGACAGAAATAGTAACAGCCGCTTTTCTCAGTTTGCGCTAAGACGCCGTTCACCTCCATTGGTTACCATCTACATAAACGCTCGCACCTCTGTCGGTTACCATCTACATGAATGCTCGCACCTCTGTCGGTTACCATCTACATGAATGCTCGCACCTCTGTCAGTTACCATCTACATGAATGCTCGCACCTCTGTCAGTTACCATCTACATGAATGCTTGCACCTCTGTCGGTTACCATCTACATGAATGCTCGCACCTCTGTCGGTTACCATCTACATGAATGCTCGCACCTCTGTCAGTTACCATCTACATGCGGTGCTAAGCCTGCATTGTAGATAGCTTTGAGCTGGAGTGCATGCCTTATGTAGATGTTAACCGATGGAGGTGCAAGCATGCATGTAGATGGGTTTGAGCTGGAGTGCATGCCTTATGTAGATGTTAACGATGGAGGTGCAAGCATGCATGTAGATGGGTTTGAGCTGGAGTGCATGATCTTATGTAGATGTTAACCGATGGAGGTGCAAGCATGCATGTAGCTGGAGTGCATGCCTTATGTAGGGTTTTGAGCTGGGGACCCATTAGCCTTTGTGCATCGAAATGCACGGGTTTTTAGGGGGTTGTTTACATAAGCACTTGTTGTTGGTTCTCGGGAAAAGCTGCAAATCTTTGTACTTTAAAAAAAGGTTATTAAACTTGAAGAAACCTTGAAAGCATGGATTCAAACTGCCGCCAACATGAATGTCTGGGATGTCGAAAAATTATCCCTTGGCTCAGGTGCCGTCCGAGATGTACCGATTGTTATTTGAAATGGTTAGAGCAGCGCGCTAACCAACTTCCGAGATTTAATATCCTTGCGCCAGATAGTGAAGATGAAAGCACGTGATGTCAACTTTCAGTCTCAACCACCCGACAATTTATCAGTGGATTCACGGCTCCTCTGAAGTTGCACTGGTAACCAAGAAGCAACATCGCCATGATAAAATCACCATTCATCATATATAGTCCGGTTCTTTCTTCTAAGACATGCTTTAAACCATATGATGTGATCTTTGACATACTTCATTGTACCCGAAACACCTTTGGAATTAGTTGTATCCCCCTTTCAATGTTGGATAAATTGAACATCTTCACATTATCTTCTAAGGTCGGTCTTTCTTTTGACGGCTTTTTCAATGATGTCCCAGCAAGTTCATTTCCATATTCAGTTAACAATACATTAGCAGGAAGCCTCGAAAGCACATTCTTGATTTCATCTAAGGTTACCATTTCGATGTTTCTTGTGTGTTTATATAAGCTCCCAGAAAAATAACATTATGTGCGTTTATTGCGTTTCTCTCAATAACTGCAATTATTGCGTTTAGGAGCAGCGATAAAAATCTCGACTGACTATCAACAAACCTCATAATGGAATCTCCGTCTAGAGTCTGCAAAAATTTAAAACGCTCTGCCCCCGTGAAGCATGTGGCGGGTGCAGAAATGAGGCTTACACCTAAAAAGCAAAAAAAAACGGATAATAAAGCGCGCCCAACTGTGGAAGATAACACCCTCAAGGTTGACCTTGACGCTGAGGAAGATTTCATCACAAAGACTGAACAGGTACATCTTGGCCATCTCAAAAAGTTAGTCAGAATCCAAAAACTCTTCGTTCCGAGTAGCGTTGAAGACTGCAAAGACAAGGACTACTCAGTGCTGTTAAAATCATACTACAGTAAGGTAGACAAGAATGGCAACTTGTCCGTGACATACCGATTCAAGAACAATGGTCAGTTTGGACGGCTGTTTGCTAAAGGGATGGCATCCCCATATTTTCCATCTACTGTAAGGGACTTTTTGTTTCCAGATTACATCAATGTTGACATGAGGGCTGCAGTCTTCACAATCTACCGTCACTACAGCGAGCGCTACAACATCCCCAGTCCTGAACTCTTGCAGTTATTAGAAAAGAGGGATGAGATCTTGCAGAAGAAACAACTCACCAAAAAGAAGTTGAACGCTCTCATGAATACAATGACCCCACCTAAGCGTGATAAGTTCCTCATCAATCTTCACGGTTGGATACACAGCAAGTTGCTGCCTAAACTCAAGGTAGACCCAGAGTACAAGAACTTGTGGATTGCGATCGACAAATCACCGGACGCTGACCCTGTGACTGGGAAGAAGAAGAACAAGGATGTGAGTTTCCTTTGCCTGTGCTATCAGACCATAGAACGGCACATCCTTATACACATGTCAGAGTTTTTTGAGAACCGTGGCTGGACGGTTGGCGCTCTGATTTACGATGGACTCCTCGTGCAAAAGGATAAAGACAAGATTCTCAATGATGCATTGCTCCGTGAATGTGAGGAGTCGATTTACAACCGCCTCAAGATACGGGTCACACTTGCCGAGAAACCCAGGGATATTGATGAAACCTTTCTCAAGAGAAACCATCTCGACCTTGAGGATGTGGACCCGGATAATGATCTTGACGACACTGATCTCGATACTGATCTTGACAACCGTGATGTGGTGGATCTGGTGCCAGATGATGAACCCTTGAGCCTCGCAAAATCTGCTAAAATTTTTGGCAAAGGTACCAATCTGAAAGGTCTGATTCGTTATCTAAACAACTTCTTCACTAAAATAACAGAAGAAGATACTGCATTATACTGCTATCGAGAGAAGCGCAGTGATCCTTGGATCTGTCGAACATATAAAAACACCTCGAGCGCTTTATCCCATCTGTTTTTACACTCCATTGATAAAAACGGCAAAGGAGTGATAATTTCCCTCTTCGACCAGTGGGCAGGCAGCCAAAGAATTATCACATACAAAAAAGTGGTATTCGATCCATCCTACATCGGTGACATACCATTCAAAGAAATCAACCTCTTCAAGGGCTTCCAGGCAACACTCTTAGATCAGTATGACGAAAAGATAATCGAACCAGTACTTTCCCACATTCGCCAAGTTCTTAACGGCAGTGTTGAGGAATGTTGGCAATACACAGAAAAGTGGATGGCATCAATTGTGCAGCATCCTCAGATCAAAACCGAAGTGGCCCTTGTCTTCCACGGCTCTCAGGGAACAGGGAAGAACTTGTTGATGGACAATTTTTTCGGTAGGCTTGTGATCGGTATGAAGCACTTTCTGAACACGAACAATCTCGATGATCTTACCGGTCAATTCACTGGCCATCTCTCCGCAAAGATTTTCACGATTGGAGATGAAGTTCTGTTTGCCGGTGGTCACAAAACTAACAACATATTGAAATCACGCATCACGCAGAATGTGCAAAAGATGGAAAAGAAGGGAGTTGATGCAATTACCATTGGCGACTTTAACAACTACAGTTTTCTGTCTAATCACGATGATGCTGTGAAGATCGAAAACACCGACCGTAGGTATTTTGTGAAACGTGCTTCAGACATTCATAAAGGAGACACAGAATACTTTGCAACATTTGCGGAAAAGTGTCTGAATCAAGAGACAGCGGATCACTTTTACACCTATCTGATGCAGATGGATCTCACTGGTTTCAACCTTTGTAAAATACCTGTTACTGAGGAGAAAGCAGAGATGGCCATCTACTCGATGGACCCACTAGAACTCTTTGTGGATGATCTACTCAACGGCAACATCAGCAAAGGTTTCACGTATGTAGATGGTGAAAGAACACAGGAATGGATGTTGCCAGGTGAAACATACGAGATGACCATGGATGAGTTGTTTTCACTGTACCAAACATTTCTACAATCTGGCGCAGCCGGTAGGAGATTAGTAGATATGTCTAAAATGGGATTTAGCAAGAAGATCAGGCGGATGGTACAGATAGCAAACCTATCACACCACAGGCATGGAGGGACGCGGATAGCAGTGAGGATGTCAAAAGTGAATTAGACAAATGCACACTTGCACATTTAGAAATGGAAATGTGTAGGAAGTGTGCGACTAGGTGATTGTAGATAATATCAGAAATGATTAGCTAGTCTTCCATTGTTCTCTAGTGAAAGTCGGAAAGAAATCAATGAAGAATGGTCTACATGCACACTTGCACACTTGCACACTTAGTTTTCAGGTTCTTTGAGAGAGAAATTGAGGACATACTAATAATAATATTAGTATTAAGTAACTTTTTCCCTAAAGCAACCCAAATGGAAGTGTGTAAGTGTGCAAGTGTGCACGGCTCTACATCCTGCTCTACATAATTAAATGCACACTTACAAATGCTCTACTATGCATGAAGGGCAAAAAAATCAACACTTTGTCGATGAGAGATCGAACATGTTATATCGATAGGATGAGAGGACTAGTGAACCATCTTATCGATAAGATGGGAGAGTTCCTTATCCGTTTATAAAAGAGGGTCGCCGGTCCCGCCAGTCCCCCCAGCTCGAAGCCTTCTTTTCAAAAACGATTCCATATACAACAATTAACAATGGACTATGCGAATGATTGTGTGCTGGTGCCGAGATGGATATTGGAACGGTTGCTTTCAGGGAACAATGGACACCAAAGTCTAGAGCAAATCTGCATGGATTGTGGAAGGAGGTTTCAATTGCGAAGAATTGGACAGAAAGGATACAAGTTTCGATGCTATCCTTGTTGGAAGAGATATGTGGAGAGACGAGTCCACAGACGAGTCCACAAGCTACGATGTCGAAGGCTGAGAGATGGAGTCCCAAGATGAAGTGATATCATGGAGTCTTGAGAAGAAGCGAATGTCAAGTTAGAACCAGTGTTGACTTTGAATTAGGTGGAGTTTGGACACGTGAAATATTAGATGCGTAAAATTTGACGTGTAAGTGCACTATACCGCATATCATCCCTTCATCAATAGTCCCGGACTTGGACAAACACCTTGGACGACTCGAAACACTTTGAAACACTCCAATGCATTGGGCAAACACCTTGGAAGACTCGAAACACTTTGAAACACTCCAATGCATTGGGCAAACACCTTGGAAGACTCGAAACACTTTGAAACACTCCAATGCATTGGGCAAACACTTCCGTACTATGGGTTTTGGTACATTCTTCCGTACTATGGGTTTTGGTACATTCTTCCGTACTATGGGTTTTGGTACATTCTTCCGTACTATGGGTTTTGGTACATTCTTCCGTACTATGGGTTTTGGTACATTCTTCCGTACTATGGGTTTTGGTACATTCTTCCGTACTATGGGTTTTGGTACAGTGAAGCTGACTATGGGCACTGTGGTAGTGCATGCCTGTGGTATATACCACAGGCATGCACTACCACACCGCCAACCAGCGAGCCGTGGAGACTGGAAGCCGTCGATTTGCAAAAGAACGGCAGCGGATGAAAGCCGGCGGTATTGACCTCATAGAATCACGTATCCCAAGCCACAAGACGATGAACCTCATAGACTTCATGCGTTACCTTCTCGTTCGCCGCACTGATTGGGATCGTCGAAAGGAGTTCTACTCCCACCCTGCTCATACTCGATGGAAATGGCACGCATTCATAAACCGTCAGAAGAGCGAATCAGACCTCATATCCAACATGCGCAACAAGTACGGCGACAACTTTACTGTCGTGATGGGTGATTGGAGCGACGCCGGTCGAACTGCGAGATTTCAGACCTCATCAAAGACGAAAGGTTGGCGCACCCTCTTCAAGCGCAACAGGATCAACTGCTTCCTTCTCGACGAGTACAAGACCTCATCTGTCTGCCCTCACTGTTTGGCCTCATCCGCTGACTTCCTTGAAAAAGGCTTCAAAACACGACCTCATTCAAGACCTTGGCGCCGTCGCGAAGGCAAGATTGAAAAAGTCCATGGATTGCTGGGTTGTACCAACCCTAACTGTCAGCAAGCCTGGACGATGCGCTACTGGAACAGGGACACGCTGAGCACCTGCAACATGCTGATGATCGTGCAATCAATGTTAGATGGACACGGTAGACCAGAGGTGTTCAGGAGGGGTGTTCCAGTGGTAGCGTAGCGTAGACTAGTTAGATTAAGGTTTCCGAACTGGTTGTCGCCGGTTCAATCCCTGGTGCGGGTGCTAGTGCCAATACCCATCGGCTCCGCACTAACTATTATACCAAACTAGTTTCAGACTGTTCTCGCGTTAAAGATCCCAATCACTTGCAACGTTGGAGTCGTTGTCCCAAGATTCCCAAAGGTTGACAGGCATGCATGGGTTGCAAAGCAAATGTGTGTTTTTTAAGCCCCAGCCCGCAAACCGCTCAGCAAGTGCTGACCAGTAACAATGCCTTGGTCAACAGTCAGCCGAAATGACCAAGGATGACTTTATCTTCTTCCTTACGGCTGGCCGAGAGTCTAATAAAACATCTCCAACAATCGTCCACAGCGGCAATTTTGTCCCGTTATTTTGTCACCATACCAGGGTCGAAGTTACGCGATGCAAAGCGACCTCCATACAAATATCACCAGATCCCCACAACCGCTGACGATACGCCGCATTCAAAGATTATTCTTGTCGTATTTTCCACAATATGGTACTGGGCTTAATAAGACTGAGGGCCCCCTGGCAGAGGAAGAATAGTTAGATCCGGATACTTTGTCAAAATTGGATCCGGGTTGAATGCACCAGAAGGCCATGTCCAGTGGAACACTTCACACCATACCAAGATCACTTCATAATGACCCGAACCGATCCCCTCGATGCTTTTAAAGCGTGGCTCTCTGAAAACGGAGCAAGTTTCCCTTCTCTCTCCTTCAAAGCTTCACGCTCTGGGTGCGAATCTCGCGGGAGAGGACTGTTTACCACGAACCGAATAACACTAGAGGAAGGGAAATCCATCGCAACCGTGCCAGCTAAACTGGTCATCAACACTTCTTTAGTTGTACGAATTGCAAAGTATGGACGAACAACACCGGCTAAGAAGTTGGCTCAATGTGTGGACGGGTTGAGAAAAGGGGGTTTGAGTGCGGAAGGCGCGGCTTGGGAGAGGGTATGCTTGTTAGTGTTCCTCCTTTGGGGGTGGGTGTATTCTGAACCGTTGAGAGAAGAGACAGGCAGGGAGAGGGACAGTGGTGAAATTGTAGAAGAAGATCCGGCACTTTCCATCGACTTTTGGCTTCCCTATGTTCGTATACTTCCTGATATAGACGGCCTTGATACGCCGGTATTTTGGTCAGGATCGCCAGCATTGTCACTACTTAAGGGTATGGAACTAGATGATGCAGTAAGGGCCAAAAAACTGAAGCTTACTCGCGAATACAGCGAGCTTCTCCCCCATTTGTCGATTCTTGATAATGCGAAGGGTCGCATCACGCTAGAAAGATTTATGTGGGCGGATGGTGTTTTTTGGAGTCGTGTGCTATCATTTGGATCTGCGTTGGAAGGAACCGATACGACCACAAGCGATGATTACCACTTAGTTCCACTGGTAGACTTTTGCAATCATTCATTTGACCAGCACATTGGATGGCATATTTCTGAATCCGCGTCTTGCCGAGTGGAATTGAGGGCAGTCGATATGGCTGTTGGGGATGTTGCCGCCGACACCGAGCTTTTTATCAGCTACGGCCAGAAACCAAACTCAGAGTTATTGTTCATCCATGGATTTGTGGTGCCAGAAAATCCCTTTGAAACGCTCATTGTACCCGCGCCGTTTATTGAAGGGAGTAATGTTCCATTTGAACCTGATGGTGACGAGGAATCGGAAGAAAGGGAACTGAGTGAAGAGGCTGAGATCGAGCGTGAAGAGCGGAAAATGCAGAAAATTGGTGCGCAGATTGCCATTAAGGATAAGCTCCAGTTCCTTTCTCTGTTGGGGCTGAGGAGGGTCATAGATATCAGCCGACCTCCAATGAGCGGCAATGTCGACGAAGACGAACAGGGGGAGATTGAGGTTGATATGAACGATCCTACAAAAGGGCTACTTACTGACGATGGCCTTCTTGCCATGTATGTCTCCGTATTGACAGCGGAGGATGGATTCGGACGCACAGACGCTGGCGGTCCGAGAGATAACCCCGAGTACAACCTCGGCGGACATAAGATATTCCCCTTGACAAAGGAAACATTCTCTACCCTCGTTCAAGCACTTCCACATTACGAAGTCATCAGACTGCGAGTATTTGCCGTTCTCCTCGACATGATCAACTTTCGACTCTACGAACTTTCTGGAGAATATACCCAAGGGCGCGCTACGCGTACAGCGCCTTTGAAAGAAGGCGATGTTATTACAACTGAAGACATGCGAATGAACAAGGTGGAAGTATTTAGGGAAGGGCAATATGATCTATTAGTGGCTGCTTTTGGCCTCTTGCAAACTCTGCAGGAACGGTGGGCTGAATTCGATGTGGTACAGGAGTACTTGACTGCAATACAGGCGGGTTCCGATGATGAATGAGATTTGTACTTACTGATTTGTTGTTTGGGGAAAAGGATAATATAGTGTAGTATAGGATATTGTTGTACAATAATGTACCGCCGGTCACTGTAACTCACAGTGAGGTATGGACATACTGACTAAGTCAAAAAAACACTACTCAGGTAACTACGGTGCAAGGGCCGTGAAACAGCAATAACTCGCTCGCACAACAAACTTGGAATGCAGGTTCAGCGGACCCTTGAATAACCCCATCGCACTTTCCCTGTCTTTGCCTTGCCCTCTCCTTCTGCCTTCTTGTCGCCACCTCCTTCCTTCTTGTCCGCCTTGTCACCAGCGGGTGCGCTTTCTGGCTTCCCACCGCCTCCAGCTGGTGCCGCTTTCTCGCCTTCACCTTCGGCCGCTGGAGCAGCTGCCGGAGGAGCAGCCGGCGTAGGAACGAGCGTCGTGCCAAGGGAATCGACGTGTGGGAGGAGGGGCTTGAGCACCGTATTATAAACGGCAGACGCACCCTTTGTGGCCGGCGAGGCGAGCCATACAATGATGATCAACTTGAATGTGTAGTAGAAGGGGAAGACATATAAAACGTAGTCGATCCCATATTCCAATAGATTGAAGAATCCAAAAGCGGCCCTGATAGCATCCAATTGAGTAAGATGACCATGCTTTAGTGCTACGTGTGATATACTTACCAGTAAGCTAACCACTGAGTTTGAACATCCTTCTCGCCTCCAACCGCTTTCAAACTCATGTACGACGGGTAGATATATCCGCACACATCGGTCAGTAGATTAGCGTATAGATTGTTGAAGACGAGGAGGAAGATTAGGAGACCGAACGTAGATAGACCAGCTAGATGGACTTTATGTATTCCCAGCTGCTTTTCCAGTGATACGATGAGAGGTACGGTGGAAAGCGTCTTGTCTAGCTGTATGGATGTATCAGTTATTTCATGTAATCAGTTTTACGTCCCCGGCTGGACTATCAATGCGGACATACTTCCTCAACCCTCTTCAGCAGTTCCTCCTTTGTCATAGACTGGACATTGACAGTCGGAATCAAAACCATTTTGATGAATGTCAAATAAGAACTGCTTATTCTTTGGCGAGCGGACGCAGCAGACAACAGTGAGCGACCCAGAAAGAAACGTGGAGTAGAAAGAAGCCGTGTCACACGGATATCGGCCTGGAGGTAAATGGTGATAAAAAAGTTCTAAAAAGACTAAATGTTCGTGCGTATGAGGTATTTTATCTTTCGGCAGGTTGTGCTGTCAAATAATTTGGAGTGTTGGGGAGTTGGACAGGAGACCAACGATTTTCTGGTCTTGTCTTTGTTTTTTTTTCGCGGGACAAACGCAAAGGTGCGCGGACAAGAGTGCGAAGTGTACACTATTTTTGCAAGGGGTTAACCTCCGTACTGCCCAGCAATCTGCGCATCGAGAGTGTACGTAAGGCGCCAAAGAGTTGCCAGCCGGAAAACTCGTGCATTGGGTGGCAGAAGGCTATGGATTTGAGCTTTGCACTCCACGCTTCTCGCTGCATTCCATCAGTGCCGTCTCTGGTCCGTTGAACACATCCCGCAATTTCTGCAAGTCCGAGTGAGGACGGTCATATTGTCACCCTAAATCCCAATCGAATCAAATCAACCATGAATCGAATCGATCACTTTTTATTTTTTCTGCTGCGCCACGCCCTCTCGATCTCTATATAAACGCTCGCTTGCCAGCATCCCCTCGCTTCTTCTTTATCAGTAGAACAATCATAACAATGCTCCATAAAGTTCGTGACACGACATATTCCCTTTTGTGTGTCCCGCGTTCCCGGAGTTCAGAGATATATTCCACTCTCAAACGCTCGCATCGTTCAGGGAACTCGTTAGAGTTGCATATTCCGATGTGGTTGCACCTGTCGAGTGGTATATTTATTTAGTTCAGGCGGTGGTTTATGCAAATGAACATTGTTACGGCAACCTGGCAATCACGGCCTGTTGGTGGTCGTATGCAAATGTCTGCTAAATGGCGATACGGAGAGTATACCAAACAGCCTATACTCATTCAGTTATCAGGAATCAACGTTTGGCCTCGGTAAGGCTGGTCGCGAGGGTATGTCTTGATTCCCAAGTTGGTTTTGAATGTTGAGGTTTCCAGTGCGGTGAAAGCATGGGATGAAATCGAGATACCTCATGAATGGCAACTGGTCCAAGTTTTGACATCGTCATAACAACGAGATTTCGTCCAACGTGGTGTGGACGGACGCAATGATGGATCTTGAATTGGCAAAAGAACACAACTCTATATTCCTACTATAACAAGTCCTATTGATATCAATCTAATTCCGGGTTGGCCAAATCCACAAAATGCATCAAAAACATTCGGCGTTTCCTAATCATCACTTCCTCTGCATTTCCACTTCCACTACGGGCCGTTGCAAGATTCGCCGTGCTGCCCGCTGGCGTCGTAGTGCCAGACAACGTCATTCCAATGGCTCCCCCGGTTCCTCCACTCATCATCACCTTGCCTGCTAACTGGCCACTTTTACCTGTGCTAACTGTTGCGTACTTGATGCCAGACGATGAGCGTTTGTTTGCCAAGGATACAGCCGGGCCTCGGTTCGTGTTGAACTGGGCAAGGGACTCGGAGCTGTTCGTAGCGCTTCCGTCCAATGATTTGGGAATCCGCAAAAGAGCGGGGCCAAAGATCTCGGCTGAAATGCAAACGATCAATTAGAATCATATTTTGAGAGATCAAAACCTATGCTGAGGAGCTCACCTAGCCGCTCAACATTCAATTCGCCCCGTCCCTTATAATTCTCAACAACCGCTCTCAAAAACTTTACAACATACTTGAAAACGTTGTAATTAGTGGACGGCAGCCTCTGCACGGTTTGTCTGGCGGCCACATATGTCAAATAGCCTTCCTGTATACATCGAGTCGACATTCCATCGGGGACGACTGGTTCAAGAAGACTATCCAAAAACTTGATCAGTGTTTCTGCCATGGAGCATACCGCCACAGCTCGTCCGCGAGGTCGTGGACGGGGTATTGTGCCGCTAGACGGTAAAATATGGGTAGAGGAGCCGAGGCCGACAAGGGTTTGCGAGTGAACATGGGGGTTATCTTTCAACAGTTTATCAATATCGACTTTAACGCTATCGCGCTTTTCAATGGGGGTGCGACTCCCACTGGGAGGTGTCGGGCTGTCTGTGGTTGACGACCGTCGGGATGTGTCCCCGTCCTCGTCATCGGCCTCATCATCGTCTGCGTCATCGGCAGACTCTGGCGGTTCAGAATCGGGATCCATGAGGAGAACTGACACGTCGAATTCGGCTCCCGTATCGAGACACTCCCGGATGTACTCTTCTGTCGCGGGATCCCCGCTGGATGTGAATAAATTGTCCTATAAACGGTGGCGAGTCAGTACTCTGAATCAGCCGTGGATAGTACCAAAAACTTACAATATCCATTCCAAACCGAAACAAGAAATCAATGACTCTCCACAGTTGAAATGGCAAACTGAATCGATTATCCGCGCCAGGTTTAGGAGGTGTAGGACTCAATCCGTCCTCGTGATCATGAATCGTTCGCTCTGATCCTTCCGCAGACTCCGCTCCATCCTCTGTAAGTGCATCCCGCTCTGGTGAGCTCTCAGACAGATCCAAAATGCTCTTCCGCTCTTCCATGGTCCACTCTCGAACGGGTTTAACGAATTGACAGAGTGCGTCAAGTTTGTTACCGAAGCAACTATTGAGCCAAGTTCCTGATATGGAAAGGAAATGGTCTTTGCCGTTTTCGGTATGTAGAATAAGAATATCCTCCAACGTATCGACTCCAAAGTTTAGAGATGGTGCCGTCTCATTGTCTACTAGAACCGTCACGTTGACCTTCACTTGATCGCCTACGTACAAGACTGTCAGCCACTCCTTAGCACCACGAGGAATATACCTGGTCTAATACCTGGCAACAGCATGCTAACGGGTGGGTTGATATAACACCATGGTTTGCATGGATGCTTTTCATCCGGTTTGGGTATAAATCTATATTGCGCAAGAACCTGGAAAGCCGTGCGATAAGACCTCCAGTACGTATTGTTGCAATCCTATATACACCCACCTGGCCCTTATTTTCAACTACCAGCGTCTTGGTTACCGGTACATTGAATCGAATATCACCAAATTCCAACATGTTCAAGTTCACAACCAAGTCAGGTAAGGATTCGTTCTCGAACTTGTCGAGCTCGCGGTGGATATCTTCATGGACTGTGGTGAATCTCTCTTTGTCTACCTTACGGACCTGCGCCATCGTACTTTTCAATGAAGCACACAGCAATCAGAGAATTCCCAATTACCAAAGTTATACCTTGGTTTCGAAAAGAGCCATCACTGGTTTATGGTCACTCATGGTTAGATCCATACAGCTGCGGTACCATAAGACTTTGGCCCAGTCTGGGTCCTCGGTGTGCAGCGGGTTTTGAAACCACAAGATGCGGTCACAGAATGAAGGCGTCCTCTGTTTCTCGCTAGAGACAAGCTAGCATTAGCATCGCGTCACGAGTTGGACAGATGAAAGATACCTAGTGTCGAATCGTGAGGTTCCAATGTCATATTTGAAAGTTGGTGGGAATGTGATCGGGCCCTCCTTAAACCCATTGAATGCGCGTTTTGCGCTTTGCTCCATCAGCAGCTACAGTGACGACAATCAAGTCAGGTAACTGAGTATCGCAAAGTCAATAATACACAACATGTACCTGGTCAAATTGCAATAGCTGCTCAATGTCTCCTTTGCTGACGAGGGCCTTGACGTCACTACCTGGAAGCGAGATGCGATAGTTCAAGTCACCTAAGTAGAATAAGTGACTGATATATACATGAGCTCCAGCAGTACGTAGGCCGATGCGAATCTGTAAACACGCACTCAACGTCGAATACTGTGGTAACATTTTTGCCAGGCCCCGTAGGTGACCCCGCCACAGCTATTGAAGAGGCTGCACTGTGACGAGAGTCGTAGTAGCTCGCGACCCACGGGTTGCTATGCGTGTAAGCGGTGAAATCTGGGTACTGAGACGGCAGATTGAAGACTATTCTCCGACATATCTCCTGGTAATCTTGATTTCGCCGTTCCACCATGCTCGCGTCCGCTGCGAGATGTGAATTGACGAAACAAAAGTAGGAATCGTAATATCGGAAGCGTATTGCGGTGGCTCCTTTATTGCCCTGAAGAGAGATAATTTGGATTGAGTGGGAACAGCAGGAAACGACATAATGCATTTGCGTACCATCATGCCAAGTAGACCCGTGCCCAGGTACTCTGCCGATATCTCCTTCACTTTATCCCGCTCCTTTTCATCTATATACAGGACGATGAGCATCCCAACGAGCTGCTTGGAAGCCACCTAAGCTTGTGCACCGACGGTCAATGACTATACACCTAGACAGCCTAATCTCAGATATGATTAACCTTGACATATTTCTTTCCCCTGGACTTGAGAGCTTGCTCGATTGCCTTTGACCATTCCTCCTCCTTTGTGGTGTCGCTGTATAGGTATGCTTGTGTGTTGAGGTCTAGTTCTTGAAATCTACCGTTTGCCACAGGTCATTTTCAGCGAAAGGTCACCTATGTGTTGGCACTGGCGATACAAACCCCAGAACAAATAACGATGGATCTTCTTCTGCGGTCTGGAGCCACGGCGCGATAGACTGCGATGGCGGTTGTCCATTTACGTTCCATGATCCGACAAACATGCTGCACAGACTGGTATCAGTCCTCATGCCCTATCCAGTCGACATCACCAATTTATGTACCGCTTGGACTCAAAATCGACAAATTTGGCTTCTCTAGCACGAAGTTCTTTCGCAGCCCACGCTTCTTTGATAGCTTTAACATTGCCGCCGGAGACTGAGCTATCGAGATTGATGAAGGGATTCGGTAGGGAGGATTGCGCACGTTCTAGCACGAGCATAAGCACAGCTCGCAATCCCGTAAATCTACACCATCAAAAATCTTTTATACCTTCTTCAGCCTCATCTATCCATCATAATGAATCAGATACATGCGCATATGTGGAATTGGACGGTCTACGTACTGTACTTCTCCGCCTGTGTTAAAGCACTCGAGGCACTCTTACGACTGTTCTCATAGAACTGGACCCAATTGTGAGTCCCACCGTCTAGTACGTATCCCCTTTGTTCTGCATTGTCATAAGTCAGGATCGGTCTAACATCATATCGTCAGTCAGGACATACGTGCAACGGCCATCAATCGCTTCAATTCCACGAGGACGGGTTGCAGGGATTGTAATGCGGATATTTCTAGCTTCACCTCCCTGCTGCCGGACGATAGGCGCAAGGTGAAATCTTGAAAAGCAACGAATTCAATTCCAAGTTTCAGTGTTCTGGGTTCGAAGCCACCCACCAGTTCGCCCTTGTTGTTGGCGGTTGACGTCATTTAGATTGACTGGTTTGCTCTGAGCTGAAAGAGACGATCAACACAACGGAGATGAAAATATTCGGAATACGTGCACATACAAACAGAAAGGCGGAAGTCTGTGTATATGGGTAATATTTCGAAGATTCCGGCGGCATCGCCGACTCTTCGCTTCAGTATGAATACACTAGTCAGGGGAAAGAAAGACGTGGACACTCTACATGAGTGCCGTATATATCCCGCTGCTGATCCCTCTCCAACCGTTATACGCCATGATATTTTCACGATCTTGTCACAATGTCGAAACGTGAATCTGACAGCGCATACTCACCATGCCTCTTCTCCACCTTGCACATTCATTATCACAGCAAGAATGCGTCTCTTTCGCTCTCCATTTCTTTTCACATACCGCAATTCTACAAAGTAATAGCAAAACGCCAACGAACAGGCTCAAAGTTAAGGACAACAGGGCAGATTGACGATCTTCGCCCGGCACAATAGCGATAAAGGAATGACAAATCCCACAATGTAAAATGATAAACAATATAAAGAAGGATATGACTTTGCAAACTTCGGTGGGCCGTAGTAAAGCGTTTATGGCTTCGCTTTCGGGCATGCTCGAGTGAGGCTTGTCGGTGGCGGGAAACTATCAGCAGGCGGGGGCAATGGAGACAACCCAACTTTGGTCGCTTTAGGCTTTCCGGAATATCACCTATACGCTAGCAACCCAATTTGGCTACTGAGACGGCGCGTTTTCTGGGAGATGAAGCTGGCAAATTGTGGTCAGTCTACCAAGATCGTGACGCCGGCAGTAGGAATCATTTGCTGAACCAAGCATCCGTAAGCTGTGCGAAGGCACGTGACATTTGCAATGGAATAAATTTCACCAAACAAACATTCCTGAACACATCAAAAGCTCGAGGTGTTCAGATATAAACAAACATAAAGTGCCAAAGGCTGTTAATTTTGGTTAGTTAAATGATGCAGGCTGTTCAATGGGACAAGTAGCTGCAAGTGTGGTGGACTATGATCGCAACTTTGCACTGGAAGATGGGACATGTACCCGTTCAGGGTTCGGCTTGGCTTTTTCTTCCTCCTCTTGTGGTCGGCACAATGTTCTTCTTATCACTCCAAAGACGGGAACATGCACGCACAACGGCCTGTCTGAGATCCAACCTTTTCTTTCAACACGTGCATGTCCGCTACCAGAGAAGAAAAACTGGAAGGCAAAAAGCTCAACTGTTGAGAATACGCAACAAGAAAAAAAATTTGAGTTCGCGCAAAGGAAAAGCACGTTGAGAGAACGTCGGAGCATAAAATGGACAAGGATGGAAGAGTTCCCCACAAGGATCCTTCCTGCAGGCTGACTGCATCTTCATTTATATCGCTTGCTGGTCGAGTGTTTTGGCATACGCGATGAAGTTTGCATCTGTCTCGCTTGCTTTGCTTGGGGCAGCTACCCTGGTCTCTGGGCACCCTATAAAAGGTAGATGCCGCCCCAGCAAGGGAGGAGCCAATAAGCCATCGTACCCTATTACCACACCTGGTACTGGCTATGAGCCTTCTCAGCCGATCCCGACGCTGACACCGGGTAATGGAGAGAGTCCTAACCCAGGGTACCCGGCCATTCCTACTCCTGGAAGCGGTACTGGAGCCGAGCCTTCTTACCCGATCCCCACCCCTACTCCCGGCACTGGAGGAAATGACAACCTACCTGGTTACCCCTCAGTCCCGGCGCCGGGCAATGGAAACGGGGGAAACCCTTCGTACCCTACCCCTGGAAACGAGGGTAAGCCTTACCCGACACCGGGCAATGGCGGAAATCCTTCCTACCCTACCCCAGGAAACGGAGGCAAGCCTTACCCGACACCGGGCAACGGAACCGTTGGACATCCCTCGTATCCTACCCCTGGAAATGGTAGCCAGCCAACCTACCCGACGTTCCCCCTTCCCGGAAATGGCACCAAACCTGGCAACGGTACCACCAAGAGGAACACTATGACCGTTCTGGCTACCAATGACATTCACACTCGCCTCGACCAATTCAACAAGGGCGGTACGGATTGTAGGCAGAAAGATATCGACAGCAACACTTGCTATGGTGGTGCCGCTCGTATTCAGTACCTCGTCAGCAAATTCCGATCGGAACGCGACGATGTCGTTCTGCTTGACGCTGGTGATCAGTTCCAAGGTACTCTCTTCTTCAACGTGTACGGTGCCTCTGCAAGTGCAGAGATTATGAACCAGCTCAAGTACACGGCCATGTGTATCGGTAACCACGAATTCGACAAGGGTGTTGAATATGCTAGCACTTTCTTCAAGAACTTGACGTTCCCGGTCATTTCGAGTAACATTGACTTGCAGACTGCTCCTAAACTGGCAGAGGTGGGAGTGAAACCCTACATTGTACTGAAGGAGTATGGTGTGGGTATCATTGGCTACATTACCAACACGACTAGTCAGATTACCACTGGTGAGTTTTGTTACAGATATTGTATGAATCTATTGACAATGTTGCTGAACGCGATGCCAACAGGTGCCAAGGACATTGTTTTCCGTAACCCAGTTCCTGTGGTTCAAAAGTACGTTGACGAACTTCAAAGCCAAGGCATCAAGCGTATTATCTGCTTGTCCCACAATGGTTACGCCCAAGACAAGTATCTTGCCGAAAAGTACGTTGGATGTACCCTTTCCACATGGATGTAAACCTTCTAATTTCTGTTATCCTTTTCCAGTGTTCGTGGTCTCAACTTGATTGTGGGGGGTCACTCCCACTCCCTCCTCCTCAACAACCAGACGGTACCTGGTGTAGAGGGCCCCTACCCAACAGAGGTCACCAACCCAGACAACAAAACAACCTACATTGTCCAGTCCCACCGTTATGGCGACTACCTTGGCCACGTCTCGTTGACCTGGAACGATGCCGACGAATTGGTTAACTTTACGGGCGAGTCCATCCTATTGGACCAGACTATCCCTATTGACAACTCTACAGCGGCCAAGGTTGCTGAGTGGCGAAAGGGCTTTGCTGCCTTGACTGAAGAAGTGGTTGGTCAAGCTACCGCGGACTTCCCTAACGCTGGATGCGGTGCTGGAGAATGCGCTATTGGAAACCTCATTGCAGATTCAATGTTGGACAACAGGAAGGCCACCGGCGGTCAAATCGCCTTTGTGAACAGTGGCAGTATCCGTGCTGCGCTGGAAAAGGGCGATATTAGCGTTGCTGACGTCCTCACTATTCTGCCATTTGGCAACTCTATGATACAGTTCCCATACACAGGAGCACAGATTATGGAGGTTCTTGAGCGCCAGGCAGCCGGCAAATCCAAAGCCGGTGTACCACTCACTTCCATCTCCCAATGGGCTGGACTCAAGTTTTCGTATGACGCCGCTGCCCCCGAGTTCTCTCGCGTTAAATCGGTGGTAGTCGTCAGTTCTGACGGGAAAGAAGAACCACTCGATCTCAACAAGACCTACCAAGCCGTTACAAATGATTTCGTTGCCGGAGGTGGTGATGGGATTATGCCCCCAGTGTCGGCTGCTCCTGGCGACCTTCAGTCTGACGTGTTCATTGCCTATGTCTCAAAGCTGAAGACCGTGTCTCCCAAATTAGAAGGTCGCATCAGCAAGATTTAAAGATTAGCGATATCCCATAGACTATAGATGTAGATTAAAAGTGACAACCCTCGTCTTATAGATGTAGAAGTCTGTAGAAACGTGTCCTCTTATACAATGTTTGAAGGGCTAAAGCCTCGCCGCGTGTTTTGGCTTTTTTCTCACTACTCTGAGACTTTTTCCCTGGGAGAGACTTTGGCTGTTCTGAATTCTACTTACACTTTTTGGCCCAACAAAAGCACCAGCGACGCACAACCTGCGCTGAATCAAAGCTCGACGAGTGTCTTCACATACTCAACATGGCCAGACGTCGAAATGGAGGCAACAGATGCAGCAGCCCCAGACCAGCTTTCGAGGTATACTACGCAAGCAAGCTTCAAGAATATTTTTGCCTTGTCCATGTTTTGACGTTATTGCCTAAGGATGTTCCTGATATGCTTTACTGCTACGGCTGCGGGCGGGAGCTACCCCTCAAAGAATATTCGACCAACCAACTCGTGCGACTCAGTAACGCTCGCGACGCAGTTCGTAGGCAAAGAGAGCTAGACAGGGAGAATGGGGTTTCTGAAGAGACTTATCTGGTCAATCAGTTACGGTGGTTTCAGCCTCTGTGTTTTACTTGTGCTTCGAAGCAGGTGATAAGAGTTAAATTGGCAGTTCACTGCAGCAGCTACTGATTTGTATGCCATCTTTTGGCTTTTTGTTATAGGTAACGGACATTGTCTGCGTAATTTGTAACATTCGCAAACCCCTGGACGGGTTCTCAAAATCTCAACGACGGATGGCTGGAAAAGATAACGGTGAGAAAGATCATTTTTAAAGTCGATTCCCTTCTTGATCGGTCCCTTTACACCAGCTTCCCATCCATGAAACAGGTGCCCGATGCTTGAAATGTACCGTACTTCGTGAAGACCTCGATTGGGTTCCGGACGATGCTGACATCAAATATGCCAGTTACCAAGATGAGGACCAAGAAGTGATTCCTAGCGACGAGAGTGGGGATGCGAATGATGGGAATTGCTTGCCCCCCTTTTGAAATTTGACTTTTCCTTTCTGTGGAGATTGAGATTGCATAGTATTTTGTATAGTTTTGAAAGGCTAAAAATGGTGAAATGCAAATGTATATTGATTTGGACATGCCTTTGGTTCTTTCACTCTGGGGCAACGATCTTATGTATAAATAAATGATGACTTTGGCTATCCTGGGCGCGCAACCTTGGTTTTGGCAGAGCGTATAAACATTCGAACGTTGGGTACCAGCCCACATTCCTATCGAATGTTATCTTAGCATAAAGAAATAATGACATGCCGATCCAGGGTGCAATGGCCTACCTCCAATGTCATGTCACCACCATAAACAACACCAGGACCTTGTAACGCGGTCCTCAAATCCCAATCGCGGTCATCTCCGAGGATTTTGGCAACAAGCGGTAGCATTGCACTCTTGACTTCTTGAACGGTATGCCCACTTTTGGCTCCTATTACAAACTCTGTCTCATCGTCTGGTGCATGCACACGAAGTGTCGTTGGGCGCTGCTGCAGGTGTGATGAATCAGGTCGGTCAGGGACTTGGATTGTGATGGGTAGGCGATGGGACTGAGGTGTTTGAAGGAGAGATTCAACGTCAGCGCGGAGATTGAGAATTGCGCCATTGCGGATGATGTATTTGGGAAGACGGGCGAGAAAGGCGTTATTGCTTTGGGTGTAAGATGCTGAATTGATTTCGGTGCCAACGTCAGTGTTACTTTCTTGTCGTTTTATTGGGGACCTACTTACTACTGCCGGTTGTATGCAAATCATGTATTTGCACAGTTGCAGGTTGCTTTGGGAGAAATCCGTTAGCTTCTTTTTATGTTTAACTATAACGTTGCTAGTTACCTTATCACCACCACTCTTGTTTTCGCTTGGCGTGGATTTCGCCGGTTCCCACACTGTCACAGCTACATTGTTCAAACACTCTTCTCCACCAGACGTTGACTCCTCCTCGTCTAGCTCACTCTCAGAGCTATGTTCCTCTTTTTCACTTGTTCCGGTTTCCTTATCCGGATCGACTGCATACCCCTTACCGGAGAACGGTACGTACGTTGCCGCAGCAGCTGTATCATACCACTCATCATGACGGTCACGTACATCGAAAGGCACTGGACACCCATATTAGTCTCTTTGACATCAGAAATCAGAGTCTGCATCAAAATTGTGTTCCATACCACCATCAGGGTAGCGATGTTTGAGCTCGTAAGGATAGTACCCATCCACGAGATCGCGCATAAAAAGCTGAGCGGCTGGATCCGTGTAGCGACGAAATGGGCCCGACATGAGCATAAACCCGTTTCGGTACAAGGTTAGAGGGACTGAGGTCGGGGTCTGGTGAATGTTAAGGAAATCTGAGCCCTTATTTTAGGGGACTCGACGTGCACAGGCTGGAGCATACCTTGAGTCGCCGAGTGCCATGAGCGTCTGAAGTGATGGTTGCTACGCCTTCGCCTGGCATAGTATGTCGTTAAATGCCACTCTTACCGACAAAAGCAAACAACGAATAAGAACAAGCTAGCCCACCCGCCATATGATTCAATTCCTTAATAGATGCCATCAACCTCGGAAGATCATACGGGAAAGCCCTCTGATATGACGGTTTTGGAATGTTGACAGTCTGCCCCGTCCTCTGCTCAATATTGATTTCGTTCGTATCACCTTCATCTGCGATATCGGACTTCCAAATCATGTTTTGACGGTGGAGGAAGGCTTCCATTTCAGTTACTCGAGCTTGTAACATGGCGCAACGCAGTTCAAGTGCCTGTGTCTGGTGATTAAAAAAGATTTGTGAGCTGCTCTCGCTCTATTGGAATTAGGTCATACTGGGCTCAGACCTTATCATCATCCGCCCGTTGACTTTGAGCCTTCTCCCATTTCAAATCCGCTTCCAGTTTCTCTATTCTCGCATCCTGACCCATTCCATGTCAGAAAGCTTTAAAAAGCTTTGTCATAGACAATTCGATAGGTTTGCCAGCTAACCTTGATCTGTATCTCAGTTCTAGCCTTTTTCAATTCACCCTCAAGCTTGTTCAGCCGCGATGCCATGGACGTCACGAGGCCCATACCCGAGTCGAGAGGCTTATAAGATGATGTACTACTTGGTGAGTTTGTGCGTATAGGTTCGAGTTGAAGGGGACGAGATGATGTTGTTGATGCTTGGATGAGGGAGATGTGAGTCCCCGGTTTGTGAACAGATGAAATAGTGTTTGTCCTACACATGTCGGCTATGAGGCGTTCGGAGGGCAAGAGAGAAGGTACAAGATCGGCTGTAGATCTATAAAAATATGGTTTTTATCAGTGATCAAAGCTTTCTGATAAAGTTCATCCAGTTTCACTCAAGCGCAAGTGCTGCAAAGCCCCACCTACTCCAAGACTTTCCAGACCCCTGACGACTTGCACTTGCAGGTCGACTCCCTCCCAGACTCCCGGATCGATGTCTACTAAATTGCGGTGGGGGATGATGAGATGGTGGATGGGGTTGACGGGCATGCTGTCCAGAAGACGGGGCAGATATGTCCCAGTCGGGTGTAAATGCTGGTGGTTCAGATACACGGTCTCGTCGCGGATCTGATGGGAATATGGGATGCTGCGGGTGGGTCAATGGAATGCGATGATTTTTATCTTTTTTTGAACCGTTGACTGGAGGAGGAAGAGACATATTTGCCCAGTACCGCCAGGCAATGGGAACGGATCGAGTACATGCTGGCCAAAAGATTAGCTTAGTCATCATAGCCACGTGACTGACACGCCCATAGGCCTCACTGACTTTTGCAGCAAGTATTACCACAGAGGTACGTACATTCACAAAAAGCGACTTCATACAGCGAGCTATACATAGGGCCCATGATACTTTACAACAGCGATATCCCTCCATCCCTACTTCTCTTGGATAGGAGAGTGGCTACCATAAATGCAACAAATCCACCCAGAAATGGTGATGTTCACCCACGAATGATAGAAACCTTTTCGTCAAGCAACGAGCCAGAAAAACGAATACCCGAGACGTCATTCTCACATGTACCACCTTTAAAAATGATAGAGTTAAATATGGAAAGCCCTTAAACGGAAGTACCAACTTACATTAATTTGAACAGCTCCGGCTTGAGGGGCCTGTACTCTGCTCCACCACCATCACTGATACTCTCCGAGTCAGACCATTTGGATTCCTGGGAATGGTACCGAGCCCTCGACGCAACGATATTGGCATAATAAACGGGAGTGACGATGGAAACGGCGCGAGTAGAGCGAGCGTAAATATACGCGAGCTTGTAAGTCATTTCTTGGATCGTATCGCTCGTGAGGTGGTTTTCATCAAAGAGAACGACTGGGAATAAACATTTAAGTTTTGGATATCAATGGATAAAAAGAAGAAGCTTTTTTTTTTTTTGCAAACTTACAATAATGACACGGTTTGGAAGTGCCATGTAATCCAGGATGGCTCATCAAAAAGAAATCAAATTCATGTGGATGGCATATTTCGGATTCGACCACTGTGCCGGGCAAACAATTTCCGCTTTTATCAGTATCGTTCTTGTCCATGGGGAAGAAACGGGTGTGATGGCGTTTCTGAACGACAACATAGGTGATTGTTGGGCGGTAGTGTCGTTCGAGGACATGGCATGCGCGTCGGATGCAGTTTATTTCAGAGGTCATGGTATCGCCGAATTGGCCTTCCGAGACACCGTCGCGGTAAAAGATGATGCGATGGGGTTTCGTGTTGGTTGTTTGGTAAAACTATGTCATGGTTAGAGGTGGTGCGGTATGGCATGATAGAGAATATAAAGTGTGACACTTACATTTTTGAGCAACTCGATAATCATTCCCGGCATTTCCTCTTTATAGACATCTTTTGTAGGCTTGACGCGGACCGATGCGGCGTACCTCGTTACATTGGCGTCCATGGAGGCCACAAGGGAAATAACGGAGGGCTTGTTGCGTCCTTCAGTTGGCGATGCGTGAGTTACATCCGCACTAAACCGATAAAGTAATGTCAGATTCATGCACGAGCACGAGCTTGGACAATGATGGAAAATGAGTACCCAATAATGATCGTCGGTGCTCCTTTAATGAACGGCAGCTCGTCTTTCAACATGGATAGATTGGTCCCTCCGAGCTTGACATTAAGTTTCAAGGCGACATTCAAACAGTATCTACATGCAAAGCACTTTCAGCAAAAATGGGACGCGGCAATAAAACCCAGCATAAACTTACTGTTTCCTCGCATCCATCACATGTCGATGTTGAAGACACTGTGTGGGAATCCCAAGAACGGTATCAGAAACACGCTTGATATCTGCATAGAGAGGGACACCCGTATTGGGCAGGACACAGAAAATGAGTTGAGGACGGAGGTTTGGATACTTGTCCTTTGCTTCCAGGAAGGCGGCTTTGAGGGCGCCTTCGACGTATCCGGCGGGGTTGGCGTAAATGCAGGGTACGTTGAATGTTGGCATGGATAGGCCGACTTCCTAATGTGTATGTGAGTGCGGTTTGAGATTGGTGAGCGAATGTTAGGGATATAGGCTGGGTCTTACCTGACAGGTACTTTGCATCACTTTGAAAAAGTTGAAGCGAACAGCGTCCGGACATTCACTTTCACGCAAAAAGATGACGATGGCCCATGATTCAAGTTGCTTTGGCTATAAAGTTTTGGACATGCTGGTTTTTAGAATATCCTTTTCGCAACAATCTTCGAAAAAAACAAACCCATTGATATAAAAAGCATTACCTGCTTGAACTTCTTTCCCTTCCAATTCCACGCCCCCTCTTTCGGGACTTCCATGACATTGTTTCCAAAGATCAACTTGGGAGTCTTGAGGACCCTAGCTGGAACGATACAAACATCCTTGCCAGCCTTCATACCAAATTCCTCCAGATACTCATTATCCGCATACCCAAATTCCGTGATCCCCCTCGAAATGCGATTAAACCTTTGATAAGGAGCCAGACAGGTTTGTCGGATCATTTCTGTTGTTTGGCGTTCATTGAGTTTCCGGGTGTGCCGTTGGCCTGGGAGGATGGAGACTACTTCCATGGGGAGGTACATGTTTTTGGAGGGGTCGCCGACGATGAGCACTGGGAGCATTGGAAAGCGAAGGGGTCTGTTGTACTGATTGTGAAAGTAGTCTGCAACGGTCGTTGGAACGTTGTTGATATTGAAGCGAGTGTTCACGGCCGAGTCTATAGTGGAAATAGAGAGAAATTAGAGAATGTGATTGTTAGATTATGCGACAAATCATCAAGTTACATACCACCCAAACTAGCAATCTTAAACTTTTTCCTATCGGGGCCCCGATGAACAGTAACAACTCTCACACCCTTGAGCGTCTTTTCCAAACGACTCTTATCCCTCTCCGTTAGTCCCTTTTCAAGCATCCCGACATCACTCAATCCCAAAATGTTGGAAACAATCTCAAGCAAAGGACCAGACTGATAAAACGCTGTAGACGAGACGTCCAAGTTGATCTTCATCTCGTTACCAGCGGGACGTATGGATTGATGATATCCAGGCCAGACTTCGGCACCAAAACCAAGGCAGTGAGATCCTGTGTTGGTGTAAAAGCTTCTGCCGACGGATACGTGGGTCGGGGCACAACATTGGCGAAGAAGGATATCCAGAGTCATTATGGCGTCGTAGGGTGTAACGGCCATTTCTCCAGCAAGGAAATCTTGGAGGTTGGACATGTCAATCGTGGCCACCTAGTTCAAAGTTGTTAAAAAAAAGGGTATCAAGGAATAGTAAATAAATGTGGTAAAAACTCGTTTTACCTTTTTGACTCGCATTTTGATTGTCCGAGGTGCACGGAGTTGCCTTCCATCCTGGATCGCTGTCATTTTCTGATGGGCAATCGCTCTAGCTTCATCATCATCTTCAGGGGGCTCCTACATTCCCAAAATAAGATACAACCTCACCATGCATCCCAAAAAGAAAAACGTTTAAAAGACACAAATCATACCTGAATGTCAAACACACCCATCGCTCCACATTCCAATTCATCTTTAACATACATATTCTTGCGTCCATCAAAAGCAGGTTTCATTCCTCCAAGGCCCGAATCCTTGTATGCGTGCTCAAAAGCAGCAAAAACCTTTTTAGCAAACACGGGGGGCACGTCCGGAGTAAAAGCGACATCGTAGTGAATGATGGGACGAGTCGGTAGACGAGTAATTCGGATCCAGTTGGTGCGGACTCGAATGGGTCGTCCGGATGTTCCTGGCTCTGGACGAGGGTGGAAAGCTACGATGGTTTGTTTTTTGGTTTTGCCTTTTTCGGAGCTTGTGTCTGAGAGGGATCCTTCACCGTTTGTAGGGGATGAGGAGCTACTGTGCGTATCGCCGTTTTGGTGTACGTTGGGTGAGGTGCCGTTGAGCTCGTCGGGCGATCCGTTGCTGGAAGGGCTGGACATGATTTGTTTTTCTGCTGTGAGGATGGGGTTTAGGTTTCGTCGTCAAGTACGCATAATGCCACAAAACACACAACAAGAAGCCCAGAACTTACTCTGTAGAAATCCCATAAAATACCAAATTTTCAAAATCCAGAAAACAAAGAGAGGAAATGCATGGACCACGGGTTTATATACTTGCGCTCATGAACCAAAAAGTCTATTTTGATTTCAAAAGAAAAAAGGCTTACAAGCCCTGTGAAAGTAGTCTATTCTTTCGCGACCCGTCATTGATTGACATTTAACAAGCTACCGGCTCCTGCCCTCCAAAAATATTCATTATTGAAATGTATCGAGTCGAATAGCACATCAGACAAATGTCCATGTCCTATTCCTCCACATTAACTGTAAATAAGTGTATTGGATTTTAATTCTATGCATGATACATGATACGTTTATAGTTTGCAATGATATGAAGAATGCACTCCACGAGTCTCCTTCCAAAAAGTTAAGCAAACTATTGCAGACCAGGCAATACCCACGTGACATTTCACGTGAATACATGACATGAATTTAATTTGTGAAATTGGTGAGGGGCTAAACATTTAACCACTCTTGTTGTCCCAAAGATCAAGGTCTTTTACGCACAGCTGCGTTTTCATGCAGGTCCTTCTGTTTGGAGGGTTTCCGTTTTCTTTTATCAACCAGAAGTTTTTGAATCGTTTTAACTGTCTTTTGAACTATTTGCAAGATGGGGGATGATGCATCGCAGAGACGTTTACATGCCATCAAAGGACATTTACAAGGTACCCGTTTTCTATCCAACATTAAACAATCCGCACAGGCACAAAAACTAACACCACACATCAAAAAAAGATGCCCCCAAAAAACACAAACTCCTCATAGCAAACCGTTCCGAAATCGCCATCCGAATCGCCCACGCAGCCTCCGCACTGAATTTCCACACAATCGGAATCTACACTATAGATGACGCCGAGTGTTTACATGTCAAGAAATGTGATGAGGCGGTGCAGATTGGCAAGGGTGTGAATGGATATTTGGATATTGAGGGGATTTTAAATGTGTGTAGGGAACGGGGGGTTTGGGGTGTGCATCCTGGGTATGGGTTTTTGAGGTATGTAATGTGTGGGATTTATGTTATGGGTTCTTTTTTTTAATTAATGTTTTTTGTCAAGTGAGAATAAAGAGTTTGCGAGACGGTGTGAGGAAGAAGGGATTGTGTTTGTTGGACCTTCTTCGGACATGTTGGGATTATTTGGTGACAGTACGTAACCATTTCAAAATCCCCCCCCCCCCCCCCCCATGTACAAATCGTAAGTCTCATTCTCTCTTCATTAAACTAGAACTCGCAGCCAAAGCCCTCGCAACCTCTCTCGGTATCCCAACCCTCAAATCCACAACGGGACCCACAACACTTGATCAAACCCTGTCATTCCACTCCAAACTCTCCAACCCCATCATGATCAAATCGATTCACGGAGGAGGTGGAAGAGGCATGCGAATCGTACATGACCCAAAAGAGATTCCAAAAGCGTATGCGCTTGCTCAAATGGAATCTGAACGGAGTTTCGGGAATGGGGATGTTTATGTCGAGGAATTTCTTGCGCGGGCTCGACATGTTGAGGTTCAGGTTATTGGTGATGGGAGGGATGTGGTGCATTGTTGGGAGAGGGAGTGTACGTTGCAGAGACGGAATCAAAAGTTGGTGGAGGTTGCGCCTTGTCCTGCGTTGGAGGATGGTGTGAGGATGAGAATTGTGGATGCTGCTGTAAAAATGGCCAAAGCTGGGTGAGTTATTCCCAAAAAACAAACAAAAAAAAGGACAAGAGGGATATATTAACTTGTATGTCTTTAGAAAGTACAAATCATTGGGAACATTTGAATTCCTCCTCTCCCCAACAACAAACAAATTCTACTTTCTCGAAACCAACCCCCGAATCCAAGTCGAACATACCATCACCGAAGAAACCACTCGCATCGACCTAGTCCAAACCCAACTCTCCATCTCCCTCGGCCACAGTTTAGTAAACCTCGGTTTAACAAACATACCCAAACCCACAACATACGCCATCCAACTCCGTATCAACGCAGAAACATACGAAAAAGGGGACGTGATACCTTCTTTTGGATATATAAAAGCATTTGATCCACCTACTGGCCGTGGGATTCGAGTGGATACAGCTGGATACGCGGGGTACACCCTTCCATCGACCTTTGATTCCCTTCTTGCTAAACTAGTGATATTTGATGCACCGAGTTTTACGGCAGGGTTGGATCGAGCTTATCGGGCGTTACGTGAGTTTCGGATTGAGGGTGTGCAGACGAATATGGGTGTTTTGATGGGGTTGTGTTTGGATGAGGAGGTAAGGGGGTCTAGGGTTTGGACGCGGTATATTGAGGAACGGGGTGTCAAGGCTTTGAATGGACCCAACATGTTTTTTGAGAAGAGACGGGTGGTGGAGAAAAGTGAGGAGGTGGTTGTGGGGCCTGAAGGGAGTGTTGCGGTTCGGATGCCCATGCATGGTGTTGTCGTGTAAGTTTGGACGTTTTGATTCTTTGTTTGAAATATTTGGGGTTGTTTATTTTTTATTTTTTAGGGCTTTGAATGTTGGAGTGGGGGATACAGTCTCTACAGGACAAGAGGTAAAAAAAACCCCCTTCAACCAAACTACAAGTTTATTGGTTTCACATATCATACTCACACTTTTCCGCATTGTACCAGCTCGCGATTATATCCGCCATGAAAATGGAACACGCCATTTCATCCCCCCAATCTGGTGTAATAGCCTCCATACCCACTACACTAGGATCAACCCTCGAACCCTCCTCTCCCATCCTGTACGTAACATCCCGCAATATCACAACAGACGACATTACTAACAAACTACATAAAGATTCATCACCCCAATGGACTCGACGATACTTGCAAAGGAATCTACACCAGCGAATCTGGACGTCATTCGACCGGATTTGGCGGACCTTTTTGAGCGGCGACGGGTATTAACGGATGAAGCCCGTGTTGACGCTGTGCGTAAGCGGCATGAAAAAGGGAAATTGACTGCCTGGGAGAATGTTGTTGGGTTGGTGGATGAGGGGAGTTGGATAGAGTATGGGAGTTTAGGTAAAACCGAAAAAAAAACCACTATTTATTGTTCACGTAACGGTTTTGTTTATGTTCATGTTTTCTTTTTGGGGGGATTTGTTAAATAGCTGTAGCAGCTCAATCCTCCCGACGATCCGAAACCGAATTAACAAAAATCTCACCTCGCGATGGAGTATTAACTGGGTTTGGAACCATTAATGCCCACCTCTTTCCAACCCAATCTCGAGCGGCCGTTATCGCATGTAAGTTTCTCATACTGCTACTTCTTTTACGACTTGCTAACGTATTTTTTTTTGTGGTAGATGATTATACGGTTTTTGCGGGAACACAGGGATATTATAACCATTTGAAACAAGATCGGATTCTTCACCTTGTGCATAAATTTCGGATACCTTTGGTGGTGTTTTGTGAAGGTGGAGGTGGACGGCCTGGGGATGTTGACGTACGTATGCACCAACATTGCAACAAGTCAAAACCAAAAACTAACATGTGTATTGTTTTTTTTTTTTTTTTTTTTGTAGACACCCACATTAACGGGACTAAATGTCCCAACCTTCCACTCCCTAGCCCAAATATCATCAAAAGTCCCAACCATCGGCATCGCCTCTGGAAACTGTTTTGCCGGGAACGCCGCCCTCTTATCCATGTGTGATATCATTATCGCGACCGAGGATGCGTGTATTGGGATGGGAGGACCGGCCATGATTGAAGGGGGTGGATTGGGACGCGTAAAAGCAATCGAGATTGGACCTGTGGATGTCCAGGTTCGGAATGGTGTCATGTGAGTATGGAATGGCAAATATTATAGTCTTTTTTTGAGCAATTAAACTAATGTATGTTTTCTTGGGGGGTTAAATAGTGATGTACTCGTTAAAACGGAACGAGATGCCATCACGCCAACCAAACAATACCTATCCTACCTCCAAGGCCGTCTTCCATCCTTTACATGCGCAGATCAACGGGCCCTTCGGCACGCCATACCCGAAAACCGTAAAAGAAGTTTTGCAATCCGGAATGTGATTAACGTTCTTGCGGATACAGATAGTATATTGGAATTACAAAAAGGGTTTGGAGAGGGTGTTGTTACCTGTTTTATACGCATCGAGGCAAGTTTGTTATTATAAACAATTAAACATACGCAGGAAACGAAAAAATAAATAACAATAATATTTTTTAGGGCTGGCCATTCGGACTCGTAGCAAACAACTCACAACACAATAGTGGAGCCATCGACTGTTCTTCCGCAACAAAAATAACCCGTTTTATCCGTCTCTGTGATCGGAATGGTATCCCCATTCTTTCATTATGCGATACACCGGGGTTTATGGTGGGTGTTGAGGCGGAAAAAACGGGGCAGGTACGGAGGTTTGGAGAGTTGTTTTGTGCGTGGGGTGCGATCAAGGTTCCTGTTTTCACTGGTGAGTACGCACTTTTTTTTACACGTTCTTGTCCCAACAAACACATTTTTTAATATTTTACTGTAGTCATTCTACGTAAAGCCTATGGTCTAGGCGCCCAATCCATGGCCTCTGGTTCCCTCTCATCCCCCTTTTTCAGCATCGCATGGCCAACAGGTGAATTCGGTGCCATGGGTCTCGAAGGTGCCGTTCGATTAGGATTCAAAAAAGAATTAAAAGGGGATGATGGAAAGGAGTTTGAGAGGTTGGTTAACGAGTTTTATGAAAAGGGCCGCGCGGTGAGGGTTGCGAGGGGGGTCGAGATTGATCAGGTATAAAGTTGTTTTGGTTTTTTTGGGAATGTGTGATGGGTGATGCTGATGTTGTTTTTTGTTATGATTTATTTTTTTTTTAAAGGTGATTGATCCGGCTGAGACGAGGCAGTGGGTTTTGAGGGGGTTCTTGTCGTGTGGAGGTGGCATCCCAAAGCAAGGCTTGGCATAGTTACAAAGTTGATGAGGGCATTTCATAGTCCATAGGGTTGCTTTTTCGAATATCTGTTAGAGTTGGTGTGTCCGACGTTTCGACCATGACCAACACACTATGCGTTAAATGTCTAGATAGCAAACGTTACCTATCCCACAATGATAGTAATCTATAATGTTGCGGTTCTGAAAAAAAGGATTGCAGAAAAGTCATTGCAAACATAATACCTCAAAGTAAAAACGTAAAAGCTTTGATCAATATACAAACATGTTTTTTTCCAATTTCATAAAGAAATCTCTCTCAACATACAAAAAAACACACACACAAAGGGCTCCGACGACAACAAAGAACATAAAGAACAAACGAAAAAAAAATAATGTACAAAACAGCTCTCCCTCCCTCTCTCTCTCTCTCTCTCTACATCCTTTCCTCAAAACATTCGAAAGGTTTTTTTTTTCTCTGGTGTCCTTTTTGTCCCTTTTTCTCTTTTTCCTATCCAACAGTGATATACATTTTGTTGCGTCCATTGTCCTTTCAAAAAAAATGCGCCAGCAAAAGTGGCCGACCGCCTCTCGAGTTTCCTTAAAAGTTTTCTAACAAAGAAAACAATCGAGTTGGTAAAATGCAAATCATCAAAAAAACAATAGAAAATAAAACCTCACCTTTTCCATAAAAGAACCGTGTTCCATTTTCGGTGGCTTCTGTCCACCGATTACACGCCTTGTGCAGCGCCCCACTCAAGACCTTGGGTCCACAAAACAAGACACCGACATCCGTGCCAGGGTGGTTGGTCCGTACCATTTTAAAGATTTGATCCCAGTTTGGTCGCCCATAGTGGGTTGGAGAGCGTAATCCCGTAATGGCATCCGATACACCTTCCTCATCATTGACGATAATGTTTTTGACTTCATCGATTTTGAGCCCGCCAGTGAGGTACGTGTGGATTTCAATGAAACCGTCAATGTTTTCTTCCTCAAGGGTCATGAGAAGGTCTTGGAACCATTCAAAGGCGTCCTTGTCACGACAGACCCAGAAAAAGTAGACCTTTCTGAGGCGGACCATGCCGTTGGGGTTGTTGATGCGGTACCAAATGGTCTTGAGGATGGAGGCAAAGGGCGTGACACCGATACCGGCTCCAACGAGGATGGCAGCTTCATAGTCAAACACGTCCTCAGAGGCAGAACCGTAGGGGCCGTCAATCATGACGAGGGGGAGAGACGTGGGAGGGGCCATGCCTTGCTCGTCCTTGTCGCCAAACCGGCATCCGCAGCGCTTGGCAAATTTGGTGGTCCAATCACCAACGACACGAATGTGGATCGAGACGAAATCTTCGTGGGGGGACGACGTAAGGGTAAACGGGTGCCATTCAAAGTTGCCAATCTCTGGACAGCAAATGAAAATGTACTGTCCGGCCTTTGTGACACACGAGGGCTTCTTGACTTGAATTTCCACCACTTTGGAGGGGTGTTGGACGACTTTGGAAATGTACGTTTTGCGTCTTCCACGGACTTCGCGCACAATGCGCTCGACGAGGTAGGCGACACCAGAAAGGACCCACCATTTCCAGAATGTAGCACCTCCACGGCACTTGTCGATGGGGGGCGAACCTGGCGGGGGATCATCCGCCTTGATAAAGCAGAATGCACCGTGCATCAAGAGACCGCCGAAAAAGACGATAAACAGGTGGTGGGTGAACCAAAACTGTTCAAAGTACTTGCGGCGGACACCTTCGACGGCCGAGGTGACCATGAGAAAAAAGGCCAGCGTGATGACTTGACCCGTGAGACCGGGACCCGAGAGCCAAGCGAGTTCCATGGCCGACATGTTTTGAGCGCCGAGGGTTTTTTCCACGTTGAGGTAGTTGAAGTAGTGAGCGACGATGTGGACATAGGTCCAAAAGACGATACACCAGGCGATAAAGATGTGAAAGGTAATGTTTTTGTCAAAGGGGACAAATTTGTTTAGAAAGGTTGTGCGAACCATGGAGATCAAGTTTCTGCAGACGGTAAAGAGGAGGATGGCGCAATTGAGGTTGATGACGTTTGCAGCGGAACGTGCCATGGGGAGGCCGTGTGAGATGACGGAGCGAAAAAACGATAGATTGGGAGCCGTCCAGAGCTGGTAGTAACCGTAGGCAAAGTAGGCAATCTGAATGCCAATCCACAGAACGGTAAAGATTTGCCGTGGTCCTATAATAGAATGAGCCAAGCATGTTAGCACAGTGTTTTACTGTTAGCAAGCCGTGGCTCCCATTGTTTCCCCCTCCCAACCTCGACTCTGCGACCTTTCCAACACTTGTGTGCGTGTGTGCGTGTACGTGCGAGTCTCTGATTCCCTCCTAATTCCCATTGTCCAGTTTTGCAATTCGCACCGCAACTCACCTTCATTGACCATCCAATTGTCAAAGCGAACCCGCAGTTTGCTCTTTCTTGTCCGTGGAGGGAGAACACCAATGTTGACCTTGTGCTCTCCTGCCGAGCCCTTGTAGTAAACGCTCTGAGATGGAGGCATTGCGTGTGTTCTGTGTGTGTACGTGGGGGGGAATGCAGTCTTCTATCTAGTGCGAATGCGTGTGTGTGTGTGTATATGCGCAGGACAAACGAGTGTCCTCCCCAGTCTAGTAAAGGAATGCACTAGTTCCCTACTCTCTCTCTGTCGTTGTCGAATTCGTTCACCACTGACACTGCAAGATTGCAACTATATACAAACACACAAACCAAGTGTGTTGATGAGAGTGACAGAAGAAGAAGTAAGTAAAAGTAAGCTAAAGTCTAATAAGTGGGTGGGAATAAAATATGAAACAATTCAACCCCTCATTTGACCGCAACCATCCCATGTAATACGCGAAAAAGAAAAGTCTAAAACACTCTATACAAGAGACACACAAGAGACACGAGTGAAAAGAGATCAATACAAAAAGAGGAGAAATTCAAAAGGAGAAAAAGTGTCTCCATGTCTCTCATTCCAATTAGGAAAGAAAGAAGAAGAGTCATAATGACTCTAATAATAATCCCACTCAAACACTAAATAAGGAGAAATTATAATTAATATTTCTGTTCACATTGGTAGACTCGCTCTAGACTTCCACACACACAGTTGTTAGTGAGAGCGAGAGTGATAGAGAGAGAGAGAGAGAGAGAGAGAGATTAAGAATGTGTGTGTGTGTGTGTGTGTGTGAGATGAGAGAGAAAAGCAACTTCAATAATCAATTATAACGACTATTTACATATTCTCTTGATCTCTCTCATTCTCTCTCTCACACACTTTTTTGTTTCTCTCACTCATTCTCACTCATTCTCACTGTCTGTGTGTATTTCTCTCTCTCTCACTTCAAACTTACTCTTTTTACCACGCGCGTTTGATGATTATCATTACTACTTGTGAAACATTATTATACATACATGTTCTATCTAGAATATTTACATTATATTTCTTTTACTTTCGGGTTATTTGATTGCAATTACATTGTTTGTTAGTGCATGGTCTCTCTTCAATGCAACAAGAGGGAATTCAAACATTACAGAATTCCCTACTCTACAAGTATGAGCAACTACTCTTGTTACGGATTCCACACGATGTAGTATTCTTTATTTTCCATGCTTGTTTGACTATTCTCATGGGGAATGGTCACTCGGGCACCTAGTCTCACATGTTTAGGTTTTCTTCATTCACACACACACGCACACGATCTTTGATGATGGGGACAGCTGCATGGGTGACTCGATCTCTGTTTGGATAAGTATTCTCACAGAGTGGAAAGAAGCGACATGTACGCACCATACACACACAGCATGTCTGCATACAGAGTTCAGTGGAACTAAGGACCATGGACCATTTGGTCAATGTCATTGCATTTTCATGACGGCCAGAACATGATCTTTTGGTACAAGAATTTGTGACATCCAAGCAAGACCAGGATCTCTTCTGCCTTTTTACTCTACGTTAAACGCAAATACTCGAAGCCGTAAGCACGAACCCGTGAGTGGCATCCATTGCATTCCACGCTCTCATCATCCTCGCTCTGGCTCAGAGTATGCCCTCTATTAAAGGACTCGCTCATGCTTACAGTACCTTTATCCAGTGACAAATGTAGCTGCCAGATTCTTCCCAAATGCGCCTGGGGGGAAATGCAATGCATTGTCAACATGCAAGAGTCTCTTGTGCGGGGAATCAGATGCTAGAGTACTTTTAATTGCCAAATCAATGCCTCGAGGTGTTCCAAAAATCGTACATTCCATATTGTGATCGATTACGTCAGCACATGCGTCATGTTTTTGTACAGAGATCGCTCGCTCTGTGAGGGCATGTTGGAACACCTTTTTTCATTATCGGGCTCGCCAGACCTGACACGACTCCAACAAATTGCCTTGACCGTCTTGGACTTGGCGGCAACAGAAAAACGAATCCCTACGACATGCATCCCTCTGTCGCCGAAATGTATCTACCCAACGACCAAACATCCGTCCAGCTCGAATCGCTCGAACTCGAAGCGCTCAAAAGAGACAATCAAGTACTTTTACCCATCCCATCCTCTCCTTCCTCCGTACCGTCACCACCACCACCATCACCACCGCCACCACCACCGTCAGTATCAGGACACAAAAAAAAGTGCATGTGCCTCCATACCCTCCTGTCCACCCCTCTCGTTGCCCATATCCTCACTACCCTCCGCAACCCACTCTACGCCCACCGTCTATTGAAATGTCTAGTCACTTTTTACGCCCTCTACATTATCACTTGGGTCCCATCCGCCCGACACGCTCTCACACCCTCTCTCCTTCTCGCGCCGCTTGCTGTCGTCTTTTTCCATCCGGGCCGGACACTTGGTGCGCAATTGGAGTCGGTTGCGTTTGGATTGGTGGGTGCGGGTGTGGGAGCGGCCTATACGCTTTTGGCCTACGTTGCGATGGCGGCTGTGCAGAGAAATGTGAGTGTTGGGTTTTGGAGGGGGGTGGTGGGTGTCATTGTGTTTTGTTTGCCAGTGTTTTGTTTCAGTGCGTTGAGGAGTTTGGTGCCGAGGTTGAGGGTGGGTATTTGTAATTTTTTTTTTTTATATTTCATGTAATGAAGTGATGGATTTAAATACTAGTTTCTTTGATTCACTATGTTAGATCTTTTCGACATTGGGTCTTTTGGTCATTATACTCAATGTCATTCGCGGGTACGATGATCCGTCTGTCAACACCCAAACCGTATGGTATGCCATCGTTCCTTTCCTATTTGCAGGGGGTGTGTCCCTTGTTGGGAGCATCGCCCTGTGGCCCGAAACGGCCAACAGTCAATTACGGTAAATCTCTTTTTATGTTTTCAACAAACACATTTTATGTTTGTAACAAAATGCTTATAACCTTTTGTAGACACGAACTTGTCTCCATCACGGATTCCATTACAAAGTGCTTGGACGCCCAAGTCACCCTCTTTATCCACACCTGCCATCCTCTCCCAACTCCCCCGACACCACCCCTCGACACGATCCTCTCCACCCTCCCCCGTCTCAAAACCCTCAAAAACGAAGCAACGCACGAATTAACGGGAGGATACTACACCCGGACCCAACTCCGTGCACTCATCCGATCCATCCGAACCCTTGCGAGGCATTTGGAGGGCATGCAAGCCGGTGTCCTCGGCACCCGATGCGCACAAGGTCCCTTTTTACCCGTCTTGGATCGCTTTATTCAAGACTTGAACCCCGCGTTACGCCTTCTTGTTGAATCCTGTCAACGCGATTTGGACCGTCTACGTACCCTCTTTACATGCCCTCACCTCGATATTACATTTAAACCCTCCACCCTTTCCACCGTCCTTCCAGTCTTTGTCCGCGTTCAACGAAAAGCAATGGAACGCCTCTCACTGTTGCAAAATAAGGACCCCCTCGCAACTGAACCCTTGTACAGAACCTGTTTTTTTGTATTTAGTTTAATGCGGTTTGCGGAAACACTTTTAGATATGCTCCCTCTCCTATCCGATATGCAACAATCAAAGAAATTCCGAATTTACCTCCCTTCTTCTTCGCTATTTTATCGTTCCAAACCCCTTCCTCCCATCTCATCCACTCGCCCAAACATTACCTACGACCCTCCCCCGCGCACCCTCCGTCAACGCATCGTGTATGGTGTACAAGATGTATTGAATTCTCCACATGTCAGGTTTGGATTGCGGAATGCTTTTGCGGCTCTAGTGGCTGCTTTGCCTGGTTATGTTGAGAGTACTCGGGACTGGTATATGCGGATACAGGGGTACTGGGTATGTATTCGTGTTTTGTGTTTTTCTGTTTTCATTTGGTAGCGTTTGCTCGTTGGTGGTATTTATTGAGATTGTTGTTTCTTATGTAGGTGTTGTTTACGATTGTCGTGTTGGGTATGTACAAACGAATTTTCCTATATTCACTGCCCTCATTCTTTTGTTTTTTTGCGACCTCATTCCCGCTCTATCTACATTAGTCTATCCAACCCTCGGAGCAACATGGCCCATGGCCATGTATCGTATCCTCGGGTACGTTTTTCAATTTTCACACATACATGACATTCCCTAACTCTTATAGACAATTCAAGAACGATTTCAGGAGCACTATGGGGATTTATTTCATGGGTGATTGCACCAGAGAATCCATACATTATTTCCGTCCTGCTTTTACCATTTGCGATTGGGTGTTGGTATGTTATTCTTTTCACTGGGTATTCCTATGCAGGTATTGTTGCCCCTATTTTTTATGTATCATTATTTATTTTTGCAACACCATGACCCACTCTTTGACTATTTTCCAGGCGTAGTAGGTCTCTTGACGCACATCATCGTCATATTCGAATACCCAACCTACGTCCCCCAAGCCGACCGCAGTATCTTTTCCTACGCCCTCGCACGATGCATCACCGTCCTCATTGGCTCTATTATAGCCGTTTTGGCTTCTTGGCTCATTTTTCCGCAACTTGCCCGCAAACTCGTTCGATATGCCATTGCAACTACTTGTCGCGATTTAGGCCAAATTTATGAAATGGAGATGGTATGGTTAGTTGAAAAAGCCCGTAATGTTGATATACCGAGTCAACCTCCCACTACGACAACAACAACAACAACAACAACAACACATCATCGTCCACATCACCTCGTCACCACCATCCAACAATCCCTATCAAATCTTAAATTACTCTTAATCCCCCAAGCTACAAAAGAACCCGATTTGGAACCACCCCCCTTTTCTCCATCAACCTACACAACCCTCGTTACGCACCTCCAAACAATCCTTACGATCCTCTCCGCCATGCGAGACGTCAGTGAAACGTGGTACACCCAAGACCAACAGCAAGGTGTTTTAAGGTTTTTAGGGTTGATTCGAAGAGAACGCCGATACCTTGTTTCCTCTATTACGACATTATTGTATATCCTTTCGGGGGCGTTGGTCACTAGGACACCCTTACCGGCTTATATTCCCTCCCCCCATCAAGATTTGGATACACTTCATCAGGCGCTTTTGAGGGTTATGGAGAAAGAGTGTGGAATACCGCCTTCTCAACGGGTTTTTGTGTATGCTTTTGCGCTTGGGAATCGGTTGATTGTTGCGGAGGTTGAGGGGCTTGTTGAGTATGTTGAGCGGGTGGTGGGGAGGGAGAGGGTTGTGTTTGGGTTCCAGGAGGGGAGTGCTGGGAACGCGGTTGAACATGTTGAGATGAATGTTGACTCGCGTGATGCTCCTCATTCAACGACAGTAGAGAAACAAGAGAATGGAGGTGATGACATTCCCCCTTGTTCTTCATCATCATCTACAATCTTGATTGAATGGAATGGTTGGAAACGAAACCCAGACCTAGTCGGAATAGGATGGTAAAAAATACATTATATAAAAACAAAAAAAGAAAACCATTTGTTGAACAATTTTTTACACTCCTTCACTCAACAAGACCCCTTGCTCCTTTTTATACCGCCCGCGGACACTCCGTCCCCCAAAAGCTTTAACCAAACCCTTCATACCCAAAAACCAAAACACACCCAACAATTTAAAAAACGCTAATCCAGCCGTAACACTCAATAAAACATTTAGGTACCCATTTCCACTCCACGTTGTCCCAACGGCAAACAAGACGGCATTTGAGGACAAATAAGTCAACATCATGATGGTTCGAAAGGACTTGTAGTCGTCTTCTTGTTGGGTTTTGGGGTCTTGAGTTGATGTGGATACGTTGGATGGGAGGGATCGGAGTTCGTCGAGGGTTTCGGAATAGTGTTGTGCAAGTGTTGTTTGGTCGGTCGAGATTGAAACATCTGCTACCACGGTTCCGTCGCTTTGTTTTTGGGCTTGGACGGTTGGAAGCGTAGTTGGTTTTGATTCACCTCTGTTTTGGTTTGTTAGTGAATTCATCAATTTTCTTGAATGTATACGGTAAAAACATACTTTGTTCCCCAGGATACATCGTGGAGGTTGGATAGGGCATACACAGTGAGAACATTGATATACGAGGGAAGCAACAAGAGATCTACCCCCCCCCCCCCCCCCAAAAAAAAACCATTAAAAAAAACATAACCCCAAATCACCACAAACAAAAAACAAACGGACTCACATTGCACAAAACACGTAAACATATGCGCAAAATCCAACTGCAAAAAACTCGCCAAAAAATACACACCCACCGTCGAGGCCAACGTCACAGCATACACCAAACTCTCCCGTTTAGCATCCCGCAATTTCACATCCATTTCTTTCCGCATCACTCTTGCCACTTGGTTTACCAACGTATTCATTAATAACTGCCCTCCATCTCTGGTGGGTTGTACGGCAGGTTCCACGAGCGGCCGCAACACACTCCCATAATCCATATTATATTGCGTTCGAACAAATTGGGTTGTTTGAATTAACCGTCGAACCAAGAGTCCAATCATGACGGCTCCAATCACACCAAACCCAAACATGACGGCCTTGTACGTTCGTCGAAAGGCTTGAGGGCGGTTCCCGAATGATATGATGAATAAACAGACTAGAACCACTGGGTAGGAAAATCGGGCGATGCCGAGTAGGATTTGGATGATCCTGGTTCGGACGTTGGGACTTTGGCCCGCTGATGTTGGATCCGATAGGATTTGTTCCAGTTCGCCAAAGAGGAAGAAAAATGTGATGGCAAAGTTACCTAAAGAGAATCAAATGCGTTGTAAAAACAATGCAAAGGTATCGAGTGTGACACAAAGTTTCATTACCTAGGATAAACCACGAGAAAACTTGGTTCACGACATTATATAAATACTGTACCGTGAACGCTAGTTTTCGTAACAAACTATGCCGCGTCGACCACATTCGCGTAATATTCGCCAAAGCATAAAACCTATACTTGGTCATTAGCCCCTCTCCAAAATCCAACGTCTTCTCCCAAAAAACAAAACTTACCCAGCAAACAAACTCCCATTCAACCATCGCCGCCTCTGCGACAAAAACTCTGGAATCGATTCAGGTACATCCGTATCCGCTTTAGCATCATTCACATAATGCAACGTCCACCGTCCATTAGGTTTAGCAACGAGCTCAAAACAAAGGATTCGATCCTCGGCTAAATACAAATTGGCAGAAAAAATGGAACTGTCTTGTGGTTTGCCGACACGTGCTTCACCCTGTGTACACACACCTATCAGTATACTGTGTACACACACAATTGCGTTTGAAATTGGGCTTGATGGATTTTTTAGGTACCTCAAAGTACTTTGAAAGAGGTCCTTGCCCGGGTCCCAAATCCTGCAACGCTTGCCATCGATACGCCGAAAATGCACCCGGAAGCACGCTAATGTACCCAAAAGCACTTTCAAGGGCTAAAAGAAAAAAAACAAACAACTTTAGCAAACCTATCATGTAACAGAAAAAGAATAAAGAGAATAATACGCACACTTGTCTAACAGATTTGAAATCTTGTACTCAAAGTTCTGACTCGCCACCAGTGGGTTCATGATGTTTTTAAAGTACGTCAGACCTTGACCCAAGTCTGCTCGAATCTCACCGCATGCGCCCGCAATCTGTATAGACCAGAATGAGCCTTTCAACACGACAGCTTCAACACACTGTCAAAAGCGCTTACCTGGTCATTCCGATAAAAAGCCTTCCACAGTGAATACAAACTATTGGCAGAAGGTTTCGTCCCAACGTCAATCAACTATAGTATTCACAAAAATAATTCAGTCCCCGACATAGACTAAATCCCACCATACGACAAACAAAGATTATACAAACCACACAGACACGCGGATCCAGTAACGCCGAAAAGGCCCTAAAAAACCATCGATGGGAGTTGATCTTTTTCGCATTCTTTTCTTTAAGACAGAATATTGTTTGTATGGGTGGAATTCCTTCTTTTGGGCCCCATAGTTGCATTTTGGTGTCAAGGACTTTTTGGGGTGTGTATTCGAAAATGTCTGTTCGTATCGCGTTGTCAGCAAAAAGTGGTTGAAAGTTCAAGTACAGGGTTGGTTTTTACTTACGTGCGGTGGTTTCGTCGCCATTCACGGCGGATTGGGCCACACCGTCTTGATACACGCCCATGACTTCAAGGACTTTGAGAACAGTTGGATGGATTTTAGATCGTCCGTCCGCCACTAAAAGGATGTACCGTTTACTCTTGTTGTTGGTTGGTTCTCCTTAGAGATGAGTGTATTTACCTATGCAAATAGCCACTTTCTTCCATCCATCTGCATCCCATCCATTCTTGTTTTTCTCGCAGAGATACTTTAGGTTTTGAGCAAGGGCAAACATGGTGCGGTTAAAGCCTTCCTATCCATCCAGAAACGACGTCGGATTTAGTCCATTGCTATCCAAATGACAAAGCAACACCTGTTCATACATGGTCTTCATTGTACATGGTAACGACAACGAAAATCTCTATCCGTCGCTGATAATTCGCGCATCGAAGATTGTATCCTCGCTCGACAAAATTGTCTGGATCTGAAAAGTGCCGGTTTCAGTTACCCTACCCGTTACCTCACTCTATTTGCAAAAAAGCTCTTTTCCTACATACCACATGTCGAAGCCGTATACCGCATACTCTCAAACTCTTCCCCCTTCCCATACTGCACCTCCTTGATCACCTCATCCGGAACCCGCTGCTTAATCACAAAATTCCCAGTCTGAGACAACTTGACGGTCTTGATCCGTCTATTTATCGTCGTCTTTCTCTTCCTCAACGTACTATCGTATCCAACCGGCGAGAGCTCGTCATCATCAGCAGGCGGATAGAGATTGGCGGTGCTTGTAGGTGGATACTCTGCGTATCCCGCCTGTCCAGGCGCGTAAAGAACCGGAATGCTCTGGTGGATCCCAGGTGGTGTATCTGACTCCCATGTCTTTGGTGTGCTCGTTTCGGAGGGGTAAATATCAAGCTGGGTTTCTCCGGAATTGACTGACGGTTCGTAGGCGTCGCTAATGTAGCTTGCCCGAGGGTCGGCATGTTCGATATTGGGTTCAATGAACCGAATGGATGCCATATTGCGTAAACGTGGATAAGAGGAACGGTTGTTGGGTGGGTATGGGAAAAGATGGAAACTATTTTATGGCGTTCTTCATTCGTATTGGAAAATATGGGTTTCTTGTGTGATTTCTCGAGAGATGCTGGGGGGGAGACGGTAAACCGTTCTTGTTAGGTAGGTTGTGTGTGTGGCAGATCGTCGGCTGTGCAAGTTGAAAGTACAAGCAATTTTGATCATTTATGGTTATATTGCCATGAAAGAGAGGCGCAGCAGTTGCTGTGTTGAAGGGAATTTGGAAGCAGCACAGTTGACAGTGTTGAGGCTGTAGCGAAGTGTTCTTTTTTGGATGGACTTTTGCGTGCGGCTTGAAGAAGACAGGAACAAGATTTCCCGCCTGCTACATACACACTGAATATACACGCATTGTGCATGGACATACAGTCTATGCTGTACACGGAACGAACAAGGATGGGATTCGCACGACAATCCGCCAGCATCATCTCGTTTGCCACGCTTGCCCTCCTTATCACGTACATTACAACCATCCATGCCCAACCCGCCGCACCCCCACCACAATCCCCCCCTTCCATCAAAGAAGACTGGTTAGATACTGACAACATGTTCTTTGCCCTCGTCGACGAACCAGAGAGTCCAGACGGAGAAAGCGCCCTCTACCCTCCGAACGACTGCTACGCCAATTGGTGCTTCCCTTCTGGAATGTTTGTCGACCTCGTCATCAAACACTGTAACCAAACAATCACGAAGATCGATTCAAAGTCCCTCCCGACATCTGCAAAAGAAGTTGAACAGCTACTGGGAGATTGCATTTGCGGTGCAAGCGATGATAAAGGGCTTCAACAGGATATCAACGCCATGTGGCAAACATGCGCAAACTGCTTGAACGGAAAAATGGGCGTCACCGATCCGAAGCATCATAGTACCATCAATGCAACAACATTCAATAAAGCTTGTTCGTGTAAAGACCCTGGACCCGTTCAAGCACTTGTCAACATGCAGAATCCAAATTGGGTGTGTAATGATTACGATGAGGATCGGTTACGCAATGGACGACGATCTGGAAGGGCTCTACCGGTTTTTAGACCGCCTACCTCGGCTACACCCAACAATGCGTCAGTGTCGGCGCCTAGTTCTGCTGTACCGGTTTCGGTGCCTGCATCTGCAGCACCATCGGCGGCACCATCGGCAGCACCATCGGCAGCCCCGTCCGCAGTATCCGCACCGCCTGCAGCGCCTGCACCGCCCGCAGCGAGTCCCACAAACGCCCCGGCACCACCCGCCCCTGCTAATCTGAGAATATCAGGAGCAGCTTTCATGCCACAAGCTGCAGGTGACCGATTTCCATCACCACCACCTCCACCTCCACCACCTGAAGATATCGAAGACGACTGGCGGTGGTGGATGCGTCCCGGAGGACAAAGAGAAGAACGGAGTCTGGGCGGATTGAGACCATAGTCACAAGACATTTGCGATGGATAGAAAATATTGGACTATTATATGACGCATTTTTTGTTTTGTAATTTTTACCATTCAATAGTCTTCTTTATAGTGTGCAGGTGGTAGAAAATGTCACTAGGGACAAATTCTCCCTCCAACCCACTACAGCCGGTTCTAATTTACAATTAGCCAGCCTGTCCAACCCTTCATAACCTATCCTGCAAACAAGTCCCACCCCTATCCTAACTCGCTACAGGTTCCAGCCTGGGTTGAACTGGGGTACGTGAAAAGCTAACTACTACTAGGCCCAATGACACACGCAATACGTAACGGTTGGTTCTAACCGGGTAACTAAGCCCACCACCACGAGAGAAATCCTACTAAGCCCTTGATTCCGAAATTCTTTAGTCGGAGGATGTTCAGATACTAATTAAACCAGAATTAGACTGGATAATCCGCGTGGGAAAATACAAAGATAATGCATACCTGCGATCGTAGCAATATAGTAGTAGCAGCGTTTGCAAGGGGTTATGTTGTTGTTGTAGTCGGGAGGCGAGGTCCTCGACACCACCACATCTGCATTCTCATGATTCGACCGACAGTCGCGATGAGAAGAGTTGCACAGATGCTTTGAGAGTCGAGGAACTGGTGAGGAAGGGGAGAGAGAGCAAAGGCCCACCTTTTATAGACCTTCGGCATGCGCCTCACCGCAGTTTAAAAAAAAAACATTACATGCATGCCACACCGTTTTTGAGTTAGAGGGGGTGCTGATTATGCGATATGATTAACTGGATTAATCCGGATAATAACGGGTTCTAGTGCCATTTTCAATCACCTCCACACTAAACAAACGGCGGACACCCCTGTTTTTTACATTCGAATGAACCAACTCGATCATTACCCAAATTTCGCTGACTCATCACAAGAGCCTTCTGGTTGACGGACTTGCCACGTTTTTGCCCAGCACCCACGCATCTATCTGGCCATTACATCTCTTTAACAAATCTCTATTATAAATACTCTACCATACATTTCCTTTTGAAAGCCACCATGGCCTCTCTCCTCTTTGACGACATAACCTTCCCAACCGAGCTCTACGACCCAACAACATACACCTTCTCCGACCCCATAAAAGACTACCTCCTCTTTGCCCCTCAAGTCATTACCCTCTACGAACGCAAAAACACCCCAACCTCCAATATGTCACAAAAAACGGGTACAGAGGGACCCAGTGTTGCGGAAACGGCTTTGAAAACCTCCGTACAGGTTTTTGGAGAGTTTGTTAAGTACCAGTTGAGGTCTTCTGAGTTTGATACTTTTACCGCGAGAAAGGCGGAGCGGGATTGGGAGGGTAGTAAGGAGAGTGTACGAGAGCGGGAACGAAGGCAAGAAGAGGAGCGGGAACGGGAACGGGAACGAGAACGAGAACGAGAACGAGAACGAGAACGAGAGAGGGAACGAAAACAGACACGAGAGAGGGAAAGAGAGAGTGAGATGGCAAAAGAGCGCGACCACGACCATGAACACGAAACAAACAGAACCCGCCCCCAACACCATACCAAACACCCAGAAAATAATCCAGAGAAACAAAAACACCATGCCTCTTCACTCGACACTCCACCCAAAACCCCACCCACATCCCATTCCACCGCACCCGAATCACCAACAACAACAACAACAACAACTTCCCTAATAACAACAACAACCCTCACCCTCCTCTCCCTAACAACCGCCTACGCAGCCTCCAAAACCCACTCCAAAGCAACATTCCTAAACTCCTTCCGAAGCCTCCATAAAGACCTAACAAACCATCTCACCAAAATCCGCACATGGATAAAAACACGACAAGACCTCTCACTCCCTATTCCAACATTTTTGTTACACGATGTGGAGAAAATACAATCATTGCATGACTTGGTGTCGAAATTGGATCAAGGAGGCCATGATTGGGCTTTGATGCCTGCTTATGTTGGTGCGTCTGTGTCGGCGGCTGTGGGTGCTGCTGCGTATGGTGGGATCCTAGCGGCTCAGGTGGGTCGGGTGGGAATCCTGGGGGTCCTTGTTGCGGCAATGTATGGGGCGGTCGTCAAGGGGAGGTTGGCGAGTGGAGTAGTGCGCTCGAGTTTGGGGGTCGTGGCTGATAAGGCTAGGCGGGTTTGCATGGCGTTGGAAGAGGGTGAAAAGGAGAGGGCAGAGTTGGTTCGAGGGGCTTTTGGGAGAGATATGGTTAACTTGGATGAAGTTCCATTGGAAGATGAGCGTGAGGAGCAATGGCAACGGCCAATAGGAAGAAAGACAAAGATACACAGTACTCCCACTCGTGGACATGAAAATGAATTCATTGCAGTATGAATTCATAATGTTATCAGTAACAGAATATGTATCTATATTCAAAAAAAAAAAAAAAGTTCAAAAGTAAACACTATAAATTTGAAAAAATGGCCAACTGGACGGTGAGAAACCCCGTCCCCAAAGACGACATGTATACACAACGTTAGCCGAAACACTATTCTTCATCCACAATTTCCACACACCAACGTCAAACAACAGGGACCCTCCACTTGTAATGTTCACAAGGAAAGGCAAGTTCTTTTCCACCCTCGTCTCGCCTTGCTCTGCGTCCTTTGAAGCTGACAAGTACAGGCTCAACTTCGTCACCACCTCCAGCCTCCTCAGCTGCAGCTGCCGCTGCCGCAGCTGACACCAAATTCGACACTATATTCACTCCGCATGATTCACAGAGCCCAACTTGGCTGCCATACACTTTCCTCGCACTGCTCAACAGTGTCCGACGAACCGTATTGGCGTCTTTGCCAGCTGGAAGGCCCAACAATTCTAATAGATCCCTACCGGCATTCAACCGCTGTAGGTGCTGGTGGAAGGCGTATGCAATCAAATCCGCCGAAAGACTAAGGAGTGAAGGCCCAATCCACGTCAAGGGATTTATTCCAGCTTCATCCGTTATCGCCTCGTCATGATTCGCCAAATCCAACATGGTGCCCAATACACCACCTTCCGTTCGCACTCCACCCGTGTCGCCGAATAGTCCATTTGACACGGGGGACAACAAACCGCTTGATGCAGACCCTGCTTCACAAGTCTTGACAGCCTGTGCAAGCTCCTTGACACTCCTAGCGAGTGCTCCTCGTCCTTCGTCAAGATACAATGTGCGGAAATCGTCCGGTACACCCTCACCGGCAGAAGCAAGGACCCACGCAACCTTCCCTGTCGTAGCCGACGTGATGACTGACTTTTGCCGCGTGACATCCAAGGACGCACTCCCCATGGCATAAAGAGTAGCAGCGGCCTGAGCCCGCAAGTTCATAATGCTATCCAACATCTGCCGACAGCCTTCCAATAGCTCGGTTAGTGATTCGTCGTTGAGTGTTTTTATATCCACAACGGGCATGTCGAGGGCCTTCAATAGTTTGTTGACAGGTTCCGGGTCCATGACCGGTATACCTGTTCCTTGATCGATGGGCTTCCCGACAGTCGCTGGTGGGAATAAGGGTCGGTCGGGATTCTCTTGACTTAGGCGGGTGAGTATAAACAGCGCTTGGCACAAAGTGAAATATACATGGGGGTAAAGGAACGGCGGAACGCCGCCACGTTTGTACGTCCCGGGAGGACCGGGAGCAAACGTGTTGGGTGGTACTGTTGGCGATGTTGATGTGTCGGGGGATGGATCACGGACGACCTTTGACAGGTAATATAGAGCCAGGTACGGCTGATGCAGCAAAACATACCCCACAGCTATTAAACCAAAAATAGATTTAATTGCGACGAACCTTTGTCAAACCAAACCCGAAAAATACTTACCCAGATTCGCATAAATAAGCATAGACCCAATCCAATCATTAGGACTCTTGAACACTTTTGCAACTTCATACAAGGCCAAAATGCCTTGATCAAACAATGGTTGCCCAATCACTTCCGGTGCGGTCTCATCCGGGCTTCCCGTTCCGATATTAATCGTCTCCAACCGCGGGGGACCCCAGTACCGTCTGCATTCTGCCAAATCCAGTGATCCATTACCGGATGTCTCCATACTCCGAATCCATTGCATCGAATTTAATGTTCGCCCTACTTCGATATACAGGCAGCCAAGATTGGCTTCCTCTTTGGCTTTACCCATAGTGTCCTGGATATTACGAAAGAGCTTGGCGGCACGGTCGTGATACTCCAATGCCAGCGGCAATCTTCCTTTGGCATAATATGATGTACCAACATTCGCCACGATGGCAGCTTCTGCTGCATATACTTCGGTCGGTATCGCCTGGGGATTGGATAGAGACGCTCGGCGAGTGGAGGTGGACGCCAGCAGACGAGCCGAATAAAAGGTGACGATTGACTCTGCCTGTGTGTGCGAGTTTAACGCTTCGTCATCCAGACCAAGCTGTTGATGACAGAGTCCCAAATGGGTCAAAGAGCGGGATTGGGCGAGCAGAGTTTGTCGATGCAAGTACGAGAGCTTGATTTTGGTCTTGGTGGACGGTCCAGCATCAAAAGATGATCGGCGATCATTTCCTGGCATCGATTCAGACGAACTCCCCGTCGACAATGAAGGAGCAGATGACGTCCTCTGCAGGTTTGGCAGGTTAAATCCCGGCGGCAGCGGATATTCTTCTAGGACCGCCTCCGCTAACCGCCGGCACATATCATGATACTGTATTGCTTCCTGATACTGTCCCAAGCAAAAATATCCGTTCCCAAGGTTCGTCGTCAACTGCAGAAACCACACTACGATGGGTGGGCCTTGTGAAGCATCCTGGGCAGGATCATTGAAAGACTTTGTTGAAGAAGTCCTTACTGATCCGCTAGGTTCATCAGGCTCCATATCGCTATCGATATCCGCGTGCCGCATCACCAGTTGTAACCACAAGGAATTGGATCTCCACGCAGCATCCTCTACATACTTTGTCGAAACGTCCCACGCATCACGAAGTTCGTTAAGGCTATCTTGCAATTTCCCTTGGCTCCGCAAAGCGCATCCAATGTTTGACAACGCCTTTGCCTCTCTCAGCAAATCCTTTTCCTTGACTGCCAATTCGCGCGCCTGCCGCCATTTTGACAATGCCTCCTCTATATTATACCTTGGTGCCGCATATGCCATACCGCCCTCATCCAGTAACGTGTCAATGTTGGGTCTCTGCACCGAGGTGTTCCGCATTGGTATCATGAATCCAGTGGATCTTGGCGGAATTACGGGCGCAGGTGCATACACTGATCCATCGGAGCCCTGTCGGGACAGACGCGATGCCTCTTCGTCGAGGGATGAAATCGAGGATGTCTCACTGAATGAATATCGCTGTGTTTCGCGGCGAGGTGGTATCTGCACATCTGCATCAGCGTGGAACGACACTGGACGGCGACCATATTCGTTTCCCGTGTTAAAGGAAGTGTACTGGGGTTCCGGAAACATTGCCGTCGGCTGTGCGTATGGAGATTCGAATGACTGCGGAGATGAAAGATAGGGCGACTGTGCTTGAGGTGGTGGATATGCACTCTGTTGCGGATATGGTGGATGTTGATATTGCTGCTCTGGGTATGACACTGCTGAATGGGGTAGAGGCATTTGCACTGAAGGTCGGGGAGGATATGGTGGGGCAGCTTGAGATGGAAGATTACGACGAGGCGGGGGCACAAACGACATTCGCTGTCCTGAAGCAGGAAATGCAGTCCCTCGATCTGGAAAGCCTTGCGCAGAAGCTCCCCGTGAGGGAATGCTGACAGTTGCCCCAGATGTTGTGCGGGGTGCAATCTGTACGGTAGGCGGGATACTGCCGACAGTTGCTGAACGATTGACGTCGACAGCAGGGGTCGGCGGTCCGGTGCTCACTGTACTGCCGCTGAGCACACCGGTTGAGCTGCCTCCACGAGGCAATCGTGCGGGGATATTTCTTCGCGGCGGAATGTACACGGTATTATTCTGTCGTGGTGGTGGTGCCGACATGTTTGATATTTCTTGCTCTGCCAGGGAAAAAAAGGCGCATTAAAACACATCCTAGTGGGAAGAACATTGAAGACCCAAAAAGGATTGCTTTCCAACTTGTATCCATTGCCAAATCCAGTGTCATCCACCCAACTCCCTCTTGCTTCATGCGCATATCAAAGTACCATAGCCGATCATCTTTCACCCACCTCAACACACTTGAGCACAGAATTTGAGCAAATACTGGTTCCCTCTTCAAGGCTCACTGCCTCCACTGATGTCTTATAGTGAATGTCGTTTATGATAGCAATCAGGCCTTCAGCCCAATACGCAACGGTCCACCGTCGCCGATACTCCCTACAGGAGTATTCACCAAAAGGGGGCACCCGACTTTACACTGGAGATAATAGGCCAAGGTTCGGCTGAATATGTAATGAGCAAAGGGGCCCAAGAAAAGCGCTCTAAAAGATGGAAGCATGAGAAATCTTGCTCTTGGCACCATCAACCGCTGTCCAGCCATGAAACAGCCGGCCTCAGCCGTTCATGACAGCATTTCCGCTCAGGCCATTCACACCCACAACCTACCAAGTAACGTTTCCAGTCCACTCACGTCGCTGATGGCCCACAGAAACCCATATGGCAAAAAAATCTCGACAGGTGTTCTTCCCGTACAGCCAACTTGGTCAAAAGCGCAACAGAGCCTCAATGTTCAATTTTACCCGTTTTGGAAGGTATCCGGATGGAAAATTTCGCTCTTTAAGACCCGATGAAGGCAGCGGGAGTCGAACCCGTCCCTGACATTGCGACTGTGGCGGTGGACTTTGCAGGTTGCATTGCATAATTTCCGGTGCTGACGTATTTGTCGCTAGTCACCACAGGCAGTCCAGTTGAAGGATTCATGCAGAGCTCATGGGAAATGACTATCTTTCTACAGTATATTATGGGCGATAATGGGCCATAACCCCCACAATCGGACTCGGGCACGCGACCACCACACAGATCTGTGTGACTATGGACTTTATGTTCACACTCGCTGAGGGCCAAAGTCTTTAGTCTGATGACGTGCATGGTGAAGGATGGCACAAGATATTACAGCCCTGGAATCACAAGAGGGTTTGACTGGATCCAGCAGGAAGAAGCCCTACTTAAAAGCAAGATATGTAGTTGTAGTTGTTGCCATCCGATACCCGGAGCGCAATGTACCTTGAGGAAAAGAATTAAATCCTAGAAAAAAACAAGGGCGAGAGAGAGTATGGAGCTCTTTAGCGCATCTCTGGACTCACGGTCCACAAGTGTATTATTCTACGTAAGTATGCACGTATGATACCAAATAAAGAGACAAGCCCGCCGCTTCATTTGGGTTCCCAAACACTTTTCTGTCACATACCTGGTTCCAAGAGGCCTTTCCAATCAGAGATAATCAGAGCTCCTTACAATGCACCCTGTTGGTTGCTGAGAACAATTCAACGGAACCCATTATGCAACTCGGGGATGCAGCCCTGTGTAAAGTGGAACCATCAACTTTTGTGACTTTGTGACAGATACAAGTACTGACACGAACAAAGATGCTGAGAATCGCCATCCAAGCGTGCATGCATGCCATATCACAAAGAGAGTGACATGCTATCCCCACAAAGCAATGACAATGGAACGTACCACATGCTGTGCCCATCAATGGTCTGGTCTGCTGTTGTCCCCTGCTCGGTTTATCCGGAGCTGAGGCGAAGTTGATTGGCGACTACAAAATGCCTTGCTTAAAAAAAAAGAATCCAAGGCGAACAACAATGTGTGAAACGAGTGACCCCCCGCCCAACTTTGATCGCCAAGCCTCCCGTCCGCCCACAAGATGCGCAAACCCATGAAACAACTAAGCACATGTGTAGATGTAATAAACGTCATGTATCCTAATATGGTAATAATCTATAAATCCTGACGTCATTCACTGAGCGGCGAGTGAAACAAAAAAAAAATGGCCATGGGTTGAAACACAGAGCCTTTTTGGATACCTTTTTTTACCATGGTCATCTGCTCTCCATTGGGCTTTGTTTTTTTTCCTTTTTATTTAAGTTATTTTCAACGAATTGTTTTCCCACTGTTTTTTTTTTTTTTTCCTTTGAGGGCCGTCGTCGTTTCGCCGTCGTTCGTTGTTGTCGATCGTTCTGGTGTTTTTTTGGGGTTGTGTTTCTTGCGTGTGTATCTACCCGGCATAATGAATCACCTCGAGCTACCTCCCTTGGCACATGTTGTTACGCATTCAAAGCCCATAGATCTGATTCAGAGAGACCAAAAGTTTTCGATATCTCCTTCTCTTCACCCACCACTCCTCCTCCCGCCCGCGATAGAAGGCCCTTTCTATCAACCGCCCGCCTCCCCACCGACTCCTGCACATGCCCTTCCACAGTTTAGACCACGAGATTTGAAAGAGTATGGAGATCGGTCCATCACGGACTCACATTTTGACCGCCGCATCCATCCGCCTGTACCACGATTGTTCCCGCCTCCCCCAGGGTCTCCGGCAGCTGTCGCTGCGGCAGGGTGCGGGTCGCGCGATACCCAATGCTCTATTGCCCCTCCGTTCCCGGTGCATATCAAAGTAGAAGACGATCGACAGTCGTTTTACTCGCCTCACTCTCGATCGTACCAAGACTCCCCTGTGCACGCGTCATCCCGCCAATCCATTCAACCTTCTCCTCCGCCTCCGCTGCCACCAAAATCCCACGCAACCTCTCCCGAAAGCTCACCAACTATAACAAAGATACCTCCAGTGACAACGACAACAACCAACGCGAGCGGTGACACCGTCATCGTTACAACTCATCACAATGGCACTACCAAACACTCCAAACTGTACCGATGCCCTTCACCAAACTGCTCCAAAATGTTTACAAGGCGCTACAACCTTCAGTCCCACATGCGATGTCATTCGGGGGAAAGACCATTTGTATGCAAATACTGCGGAACAACCTTTTCGCGTAAACATGATCTAAGACGGCATACCCGATCGCTACATAGCGAAGATCGACCACACCACTGTGGATTCTGCAGTCTGTCATTTGCAAGATCGGTATGTGATTTTTGTTTGAACGACGTTGTGAATAAATACTTAACCTATATTCTCAATTAACAGGATGCGCTCAAGCGACATTTAGCATCCGAGGCCAAACGATGTTCTTCACATCCTCCATACCCTCCGATACCAAACGCTACCGACTCCTCATCGCATCATGAGGAGGAAGATGAGGTTCCTATAAAGGAAGACAAAGGGGAAACTTTGTAATTGTCCCGAGAATCAGTTATGTTTACACACGTGGGGTTTTTTTGTACTCGTTTGTTTATAGCAGGATCCAAAATACTTTTGTGTATTTAACAGCGAAACACAGCTGTAGTGTTAGGGAGAATAAAACTCATTGTGAGAGTCCACACAGCTCACGAGGCGGAGAGTAACGCAACGTGCCAATAAAACTCTCAGGTATTGCGCCAAATGATATACAAACACACAAAAAATGCCTATTTACTGGGATTTTCCACACGATAATCCCGCCATCAATTCTCCATAACCTACGGCCTCTCATGCCAGCCTCCTCGATACAATTGGCGACATCCTAATCCTTCCCTCAATTTGTCTTCCCACCAATGGCATATCCCGCTTGGGACGCCATCGATCGAGTGTTTCCACCAATTCCATATCCAGTTGCATAACCCAATCCAGACGCCGCAACAGGCCTGCAGCTAGATACTTTTCCGCCAGACTGTAACATGATCGGCCGTACGGTCACAACCAAATTCTGATGTCCACCATACTGATGGTGCATCCAAGGACGTTCCGGTGGGTAATAGGGCACGTATGCACCGGTCACTATGACCATACCCGCCCCTCAATCCACCTCCAACAACCTCTTGTGTTTCATGCCGTGCAGGTTCATGTGAGGAGCCGTATAGGGCCGATGGGGTTCGGTCCGCATGCCACTCAATCGGCTGGGCGACGGACGCGTGTTGGAATTCGGCACGTTGGTTCGTATGTGGGCGGGGTTCTTCCACTGGAGGAGGGGGGACAGCGTACTTGACGGATCCTGGGCCTCCACTCAGAGCGTAAAAGTTGGGTCTGGATACAATGTTAACCACATGAAGCATGTCGCACGCATATTCAGACGACTCACTTTTCAATAACCTGTTCTTGCTTTGTACCTCGTTTGATCAGCACCTTTGTCGATAACGATGATGACCATGGAGCAGAACGAGGAACAGCTGCCGCTTCCGTCAGTGACGCAGCGAATAGCGCTAATGCAGCTACAATGTAACCATTTAGGGCAACCATGATAAACAGTGCCAGCCGTAATCGGCGGCTACGAGAATGATACTGTGAGGTACAGTAGTGAAAGGCTTGAATGATTTTAAAGGGTAGAGTGCACTCTCCAGATGAATATGCCTTTTAGCGATAGTTGGCTGTGAGCGTGCGAAAGTCCTGCCACAAGCCAACTCGGCTCAGCCTCGCCGAATCCAGTCAGTGGCTTAGGCAACGCTGAGTCAAATGATCATGTGATCCAGTCGAATCTTGCGAGACATGCGATAGGAAGAACAAAGTGTAAAGGAATGACAATTGTGAATGAGCATTGAAAGCCCTTAATGGTTTATAGTAGCTGCGCAGCACCTTTCCCACTTCAGTGTTGTTTTTGGAATAAAGGCGACGGATTGGGCGTCATTGTGCAAGCAACGTTGGTACCCTCTCCACAAAGTGGATATATCCTCCGCAAATGTGCACTATTCCGGCAGTTAGTCTTTACAGCTCGTTACACTTCAGACCACCAACTTACAAAAGTCGTTCCATCGTTCCGTCAAAGTATCTCGATGTTGGACAAAAGGGCGGGTGTTTGTTTACAGGTCAGGCCTCCGGCGATGCCAACCTCAAACCTAATCACCATCGCGGAAGTGCCCGAGTCTATAAATGGCGACCATCATCCAAGCAATAAGTGTTAAACACGCGAAAGCATCTTGCGTTGTTTACAGGTCAGGCCCCCGGCGACTATCAGTGCTATACGGTCGGTAGATATCGCGGGGGTTGCCAGAGACTGTAAACGGCGCATAAGAGTCCTTTCGGGTTTTGAGAGTACGGGTGAGGTGAGGATCTTTCAACCTCGCGCTCTTAAATAAACCTCTGGGGCAGTCAAACTCCGCTACGCGTCACACCCCTTCAAATGCCCACAGGGATGTCAATTATAAATTACGCAGGGATCTATGATATTAGAACGTAGAGGTAATTATATTGCGCGCTAGAATGTATTAATCTCTCAAGGCGGGAAGGAAATAATTACGGACCTGTGCAAGGAGACTGTAGGGAGCCAAGTCATCCAACATGAGTTCTGCCAAAGTGGCCACGATTTCCACCTGAAGACAAGCACGCGCCATGTTTAGAATAAGCGCAGCTCAATTCCAATTTGTCAAAATAAGTGGCTCGACTGGCAGGGGAAAACGAAAGCTGTTTAAAGAAATCTTTAATATTGTCGTCATGTCATCTCCACGCACCTGTCTTTGGCTTAAAGATTCGGGGATTGAGGGTTTAAATTGATGCGTTCAACCCTGGACTTGATGCCCAATAACAGGAAGGGTATTCACTCAGCATAAGCATCCATGGATTTATTCATGGGGATAGACTGATATTCATTATCGTCCCGAGTTTTGCATCTTTTAAGTTATTGGGGTCCAATCTAGGCTCAAACGTTCATATTCAGGTCTTTATCATTGTTTCAGGTCAATATTAACGCTATTGTTATTTATCTTTCTTTATTTTGTTTGTGGGGATGAAATCGGGATTCCGAGGCATGGTTAGCCACAATGTAGACTAAATATTTATTTTTCGATCATTATTTCCAATATGCCACCCAAGCGAGCTAGTAGATCCTATTGGACTGCGAGGCCGAAAGGCCGATGACATAGTAATTCCATTCGGACACATTGTATCTCTTTAAAGATTTACATTCGACTATTAATTTGTATTATTTTCAATATGCCTCTCTGTATGATATTCGAGCTACATGAGATCTAATTTGGACTACCGAAAGGCCTGCCCATATACTAATTTCAAAAAGTAACAGAAAGAGTAGGTTTCAGCGCAACAGAAAAATCCTACTCCAAAGTGCATGAGTTCCAAAACTTAATACTGTTAACATTGGTACAAGAAAGAAAAAAAGGATTAAAAGAATTTCTCTGACTCTAGCTATCTCAAAGCGCTCTCAAAGCGCCCCTTGATCAAACATTTTTTGGGCCAGACTCTCTCACAGATCTAGTATCCCTCATGGTCGGTGCCCTCGCCAAACCACCTTTCACACTTCTCTCCATTGCGTCCGTATATGTCCCACCCGATGTCAACCCTCTCGTACTGTGGGTGACAGATGAGTTGTGATTGGCGGAATGGCTTCCACCAGAAGTCACCGATCCCGTTCCCGTTCCCGTTCTTGGTCCAGAATTTTTGAGTTGCTGGACTTTTTGCAAGAGGAAGATAGAGTAGAGCAGGAAGGTGTATTGAAAGGGTAGGGACATGGTCGAGGCGTACGAGTACGTATAACCTAACCCGCCACTTCCACCGGATGACAGGTTGAAGATAATGGCGAGAGTCAGATCCCCTATTAATTGAATCGCTGCGGCTACTTTGGCTTGTGCTGCAAACGTTTGTACTTCGGATATCGTGAGGGTATCATAACTTCTTAACAGGGCAGTTTGACGGTAACAGAGGTGAAGAATCATGGCGGATAGAGTAACGTCCGTGGCACCGACCGTGACGAACCAAAATGTGTACGGTAAAATATACTTCATCCCTGCTCTCTCGATCCCCAACGACGCTCCAACGGCAAAACTTGCAATGGACCAAATGGCGAAAACGGCGCCAATGATGAGCAACGTCTTGACAAATCGCGGAGCCCAGACTCTTGATCTTCCCCATCCAATCAACAAAAACTCCACACGCACACCCTGAGCTAATCCAATCAGAGTACAACTCGAATAGTAAAACACTTTGGGAAAATGTCCAATATTGGGGTGTCCATTGAATTGGGAAAAGTTTGAGACGGTAATAAGGTCGAGCAACAAGCCCATTAGACAGATGATGGGACAGATGAACATGAGGTAATTGTACGTTGTCTTGCGGCGAGAGAGGAGAAACCGCCAACAAAAGACGAGGGCGGTTGTCATGATAAAGATTCCTGTCAGGATGAGTGCAATGTTTGCTGCTCGTAGGTTGACCCCTGTACATGCTGCTTGGGGTGTATCCCACGTACTAATGTGGCCCGTATAGGTGATGTTAACGACCGTTCCATTTTCGTCGTAAGTGTACTGGCAGTATGGGTCGTCGACGTTGTATATCACCATTCTCGTACGCTTATTATTCAAAGACTCAGAGTGTTGTCTCTATGGAGTGTCTTGACTAAACTTGACCAGCGGAAGGCTAAACAGGAACAGCCTAAGGCTATATATGCACTGCACACATTCGCTCTTCCACGCCGAGGGTAACCATTATATTTCATACCCCACTTGCAAGTAGACATTGCTAAAAATACCACATTTTGTTTGAATCTCATGGGATGTAACGACTGTGTGTTCTGTGTCGATATTTTTCCAGTGTTGCATTTTTCCAGGTGGTACACGCTGCCGCGGGGAATCGTTCCAATCACTCGCTATTGCGGGTATTTTTAGACTGTGTACAAAAAGAGGGGGATCCGTTCCTTTACCACGGGAACTCTTGCTATTATTCTTTTACAAACTGCATCGATTGTTTTAAATGCATGGGTTTTCTCGTTTGCGAGAGTCATGAATGCCCGCAGCAGCTGACTTGTGTCTTGTATATCCATCCCCATGAAATAAACGCAATCTTACTCAATTGGCATCACTGGAACTGTGCAAAATGGCCACTGTGCAACCCACGTTGATAAACATCAAGACTGAGCATACACAAATGAAACTCCTGTGCAACAAGATTACATATTAAAAAATTCCAACTAGCAAAATCATTTTACAAGATTTGCACCTGATTGAACTGTATAAAAAAAATGCTACCCTTCCTAACCGTGCAAGCGAGCAGTTCCCAGATTATTATGTTCCAAATACCCCAATTAACCCAATTTACACCATTATGCTCGCTGTTCGCTCCACTCCTACAAACTCTTCAAAAAACCCTTCATCACCTTTACTACTTGTCGTGCTTCGGACACTTTTCGCATCCGCTTCTACAACCCGTCCCATCATTTTGGCGCTCATAAGCACACTTAGCGGTACAGCACCTGTTGGGCTTTTCATGTCAGGCACAACAGTTGCAATCACTTCCGATAGTGGCGCAGGCGAAATCATTGACACGTTTGTTGCATTTTGCGCGGGTTTGGCAAGTTGAGGTTTGGCTGCAACCTTGTAGTCAAGACGTTCGGTGAACAAATGGCAGATTTGGGCGTGGAACTGGGGCATGACGTAAAACAGGAAACCAGCGACTGGAATAGTGAACCAGTCAAACAGGTTCCGCGGGTAACGTCGCTCGCTAGACAGTTGGGCACGCTTGCCAAGGTGTTGCACGCGGAGGTGAGCATGTGAAGATGCAATCTTTACATGGCCCATCGTTTCCCCGCTGAGGTCCGTTGCAGAGTCCACTCGTCGTGCTTCGCCAACCTTCAACGTCTGGGATTCACGCATCTGAGCCTCCTGCAAAGCCCATCGTTCGAAGCCAACCCACTGATGGTACTTTTCATAGTACCAGATCATGATCACGTTAGGAATAACAATCGTCATACGTGTCCAGAACGACACGTTCAAGGCAAGTTCGACGTAGGGGTGTACAGGATCACTGGAGAGGTATCCCCAGAAGAATGTGGCAACAGAGTACGAAAACGAGGAGCGGATGGGTAAGATCAACGCCGAAGTGACAATAAGGACAAACAAGTGACCCATCAAGATGTGGGACTCCAAGAGACGGTGAAGAAGCTCCATGATGACCAAGGGTTCATACTTGAGCTTTGGCGTCTCTTCCTTTCCGTATTTGTTAACGTTGGCATTCTTCAAGGGAATCGTTGCTTCGTACCCAGGAGCAATCATGCCCATCAGTGTACGACGCAAAGCATAACCAGTGTCGAGGGATCCCCACAAGTGACGCTTGGCCTGATCGTAACGAGCCTTCAGACCACTGACGTAGCCAGAGACTCCGGATCCAGTGCCCTCAACGTTACATTGAGAGGCAGGAGAGAAGATAGACTTGACAATCACGCGTCCTTCTGTGGCAAAGAAACACTTGAGGTACATGTGCATGTCCTCTCCAATGGCTTCTGGCCCAGCATCCCAAAAGTTGACAGCGAGAGCGAGATCCATCGAGACAGAATATGCAGAACAGGGGATTTTGACAGAAGAGGATGGGTAAAGGTTGGAAATGACGCCAATAGACCAGAACATGTCGGTGACACGGACAAAAACGGGAACATTCTTGGAGTTGCTGGAAAATATGGAATGGTACGTCAGCACCGAGCGGCAACAGGGCGCTGTTAAAAATCAACTTACCGATCAAACACAGTGCATGGAGCAAACATCATGATCCTGCGTTGTTCAGGGGAAGCAGTAGTGTAGTGGAAGGTAACCGCACTGAAATAATCTTCAGCAAAGCAGGTATCGGCATCCATAACTGTGATGATCTCGTGCTCGTGACGACCGGCAAGGCCACCACCGCTGCGAAGCGCCATTTGGGACGCAGCCCAAGCAACGTTACTGGATTTACCACGGATTTCACCAGGACGACCAAGAGGGTGAACAGTGTAAGTGATTTCGTAGAAGGAATCGGCGTACATCTTCATGAGTGTTTGGGCCTTTTCCACGCTGCCCTTTTCGCTCTCCTCCATTGCCAAACAGATCTTGTACTGGGAGACGGCCCGAGTGTGACTAGCAAGCACATCAAGCGTCTCACAAAGGGTATCCATCTCTTCCTTGTAGTTGGGCAAGATGACAACGTGGATCACCTGTTCGAAGGGGAGGTCGTGACGAGTGTCGTTTCCGTCCACAGTTCCAGTCTCCTGGCAATACTTTTGAAGCCAGTCCGTGATCGAGTACAGTTTCGCATTTGTGTAAGCGATATACATTCCGTAGGCTGAACGCGCATTATTCACCAAAAATGCAAGATGGAGGGCAAAGTAGTACAGCCCAAAGAGCACAGGCGCGTACACGGGACCTAGGAAGGCGAATGGGAGCATGCAAAGCAACCATAGTCCAGGTAACCGCTGGAAGATTGGCTTCCAAGGGACTTGTGCGAGGTATTGTCGCAGAGCCTCCATATCGTTGAATCAGTAAATAAAATCTAACAGGTTATGTACAAGTCTATGTATGCCTAACAGACGTAAGAGGATGAGCTGTTTGAAAAAAGGATGTGAAAGCAAGTACAGGTAACTTACCGGGTGCCAATGGGCGTCCGAACTAGAAACGAATCTATGTAAAGACCTGACCAAAAGAACACAAAAGACGTTAGATAGTGTCTCTTGTGACGGCAACGTTGTTGGCAGGGGTGCTGTGAGCTGGGTTCCCAATGATCCCACGCAAGTAGGTTCCAATGGGCTGGGTTGGGCAGGATCGCTGGCTGCCGGGGCTCGAGGAGAATGTACAAGAGAGCAAAAGCACCGAGGCAGATTGACGTTTGGGAACGTTGCAGATTCGCAGCAGATATACAAGCACTATGTACAGAGGCGAAAAGGCAAAGAGGGGGCGCATATGCCAACGCCGATAGGAACACAAGGGGCCAGGTCGAGGCGGCCCGAGTAAGCTCTTGCTGCGGGCCAGGAAATCCGTGGACGGTTTGCGCGCCCAAAGTTGATGATATCCGAGACCCTCGTGCAAAAAATACAGTTTCACAACCGTCCGTCGCGGCGTATCCAAAAATAGTAGCTCGCCGTTTAAATGCTCTGCGGCGAGAATTTGGATGCACCTTTCAAGCCAGCAACAAGTACAAGAGTTGCAAGGAGCTCGCGACGGCCTTGATTGTCTTTGAGGGGTGGTTCTTGGCGGACGAGGGGGGAAGGGTAAGAGAAAACCGCCAAGCACCCAACTCGGAAGGGGCCGTTGAGAAGGCACAGCCGCATCGGGGGGCCGATCATTTTTTTTGGCAATGGAACACGATTGGAACCTCACATTGGATCCGGTTGGTGCCCGCCAAAAGTATCCAGTGACGTCATGTGCCAAATGGAGCGCGTGGGGTTGCGTTCAAACCGAGGGAGCCAGCAATCAAGCGATCCAGCCAACAACCATGGAACCATATTGACCGTGGGAAAAAGCAAGAGACATTGTTGCAATCGCGCCCATCAACGCACAAGCCAATGGGAGAAAAGTCCGTTTTTCACAACCAGTTTATGGCATCTGACAAAGCTGCTTTTTTTTTTCCCACGACCAGGATCGACAGATCACACACACTTTCATCTGCTTGTTTTGCACAGTGCCCATATGGTTGTTATGTCACAAAAGTACTCACTGATAGTACAAAACACAATCTCCGGCCAGCGGAGTGTAGTTTGATGAGAAAGCGTATCGTCAACTTGAGAAAGCTTACAGACCCGCACGCAAGATGAGCGGAAGTATAGAGGGAATGAGGTACGGTGAGAGTCCGGGATCCGCTTTTCCCCCAAGTAAGTCTGTCCGCCGTTCTAAAGGAATACGCGGATCAACTCGTTTGAGGTGAGACGCGAATGCTTGATCGTTGCGGAGTTGGGTGAGAGAAGGGGGGGAGTTCACCGCACGATTGCTCTTTGAATTGGGGGGGAGGGGAAAAGCGAGAAGCAAATCGAGGTGAAGAAAGAAGAGGGGATCTTGCTGTTCCCAAATCCTTTTATTCTGCCCTTGGCGTTCTTGTCCATTTTGTCTACCACCAGCCTGCCGTTTTTTTTTTTCTTCTTCCGGCAGGCGAGCTCATCCGTTGTGTTTGTATCCACAACCATTCGCAGTGGCATTTTTGACTTGTCTTTTGAGACAAACAGGAGGTATTTCCATTTTAGGATGTGCAGCGGCCAACTAGTTTGTGGCTCTTTTTTTGCCGGCACACGTTTAAAAATTGAAAGTTTTGTTTTTTTTGCGCGTTCGTTGCATGCAACACAAGGGAAAAGGGAGCTCTCTAAAAGAACATTAGAAAAGTGGGGGCAATCGACTTTCGCTTATGTTATCTGGTTCATCTGCTCGGGGCGCACTGCCACGTTCTTTTGAACTATTGAAATACATGGAGCACAGTGTCAGGATGGAAATGAAGCAGATCGTGCCCTCAGCAGTACACACACACACGCAAGTGCAATACGAAATGGACAGGGAACACCAAGATGGATCAGCAGACGGGAAGGTCCCCCGGCTGGTGAACTTTTTGTCACCGCCCAGATGGTCTGGGTGATATCGTCCCGCCCCATACGCCAAAAATATGAGAATTCGTGCCGCTTGTTGTTCTTGAGCCGCTCTTCCCAAAACACAATCGTAACCCCCCCTTCGTTTTGATTTTCCCACAAACGAACGCGGCTGTCCCAAGTTGATGGCACAGTCATATCAGAAACAATTTAGCTAAATATGGGTATATGGACATTACACCAAACGCAGCGGGCGAGGATCTCCCCATTTGCCAACCCGCCACCACCAACGAACGAACTACGGCGGCGGGAAAAGTGCGTTGTTTTGCAGTCGGTTTACTTCAAGTCCTCGCTGGAACACCGCGCCCTCTCCCTATTCGATACCTCATAGTACCCAGATATCTCATTGCTTTTTCTTCTTGCTCAACAATCTGGACACTTTTGTTGATCGTCCCTCCCCCCAATTGACTTTACACATATTCTCATTGTCATACTTTTAGCTATCGTGGATTTCCACCATGGCTGCTGAACATGAAGAACGGGAACTGGAAGTGGCTGAAACACAAGTGCATCACGGAGATGGCAGTCCTTTGGTGAGTTGTAGAGATGTCAATGGTCGGTGGGAAAAAAGTCTGCCAAAAGAGGAGAGTAGATGTCGAGGCTGTGGGCATTTGAACGTTGGCGATAGTCGCGATTACCTTGGGATTGTTTGCTCCATTGTGGAACCTGTGTCCTAATGCACAAAGATCTGTAGGTTGAAATTGTCCCATTGCCAGCAGAATCAGGCAACGATGAGTCTGCTGAAAGCAAAGATCAGTCTTCTGCCCGGCACGTCGTGGAGGAACAAGAGAACGCAGTAGAAAAAGGGACCTCGGAGACAGTGAATATTGAGACTGGCAATGAAGAGCCATACCCTTCAGATTCAATTCCAGTGGCGACTGACGATATTGTCCACGAATATGATTTGATCAACAGTGTGGTGCTCACCGACCGCACCGAACACGTCGAATCAAATCTGGACTTCGTGACAACGAAGGAGAATATTCGAACTGACGATGAGACCGTCCCTGCCGATGCTCTTGTGGACGATCGGGATTCCTCCGGCGAGCCACACCCAAAAGTCATGAGCGATACGAACGTTGACGATCGTACTGTGGATATGGCTGGGTCGGTGAATAGTGTTTTTACAGACCGCGTACATGAATACGAGGTTGTTGACACCCCAGAACTCGGCGGTACACCCGATCTTGTTGAGGCTGTTTCAAAGTCACCATCGCCAGTTTGTGTTGGTGAGCTAAAGTCGCATCAGACTGGACCCAGCACGTCTCCTGATGTACATGCTGCTGCCGACATTCTCGAGGAATTCATTGCCGGCACTCCAACTGAGAACCTCAACGAACTTCTCGAAGGCTTAGCTGAGAACACGAAATCTACGAAATCTACCGAACACGTTGATCCAGTCCCAGATGCCAACGTCATTCAGGAGAGAGATTTACATATCCAACCAGAAGAGAACCCCACCAGCATCCCAGTTGAGCGGTCGTCGGAAGTTGAGGATATCACGCCTTCTGCAGTCGTTGCGTCCGTTGAAGAGATTACAATGGATGGTAGCGATCCTGCATATGCGGACATCACTGCGCTCCCGCTGGTTAGCAATGTGCTTTCCGAAGGTAACACAGTGGATCTAACTGAATCTGTAACCGAGGTCAAGCAAGATATTGCAGATGATGTCCCAGCGGATTCTTCCGCAAATGGCGAGACATTGGCCGATGTTATCAATGTCGTTGAAATTGAAAACAAGTCTCAAAGCTCCGAAGGAGCGATAGCCGGAGAACCTGCTGTAGGAGATCCACCTGTTGCTAGCGCAGCGGAGGAACAGTCTTCTGACACTTTCCAGATCAAAGACACACCTGTGGAACAGGAAGACCATACTGGCAATAAACAATCTTTTGAAAAGATTGTGGCTACAGAGGAACCCAAGACGAATGCCATCGAGGTACCTCGGGCAGAAATTCAGGAGGAAGTCAAAGAAGAGCCCAAGCCACAGTCTCAGAAAGAAGAACCCAAAGAAGATCAGAAACCCGTACAGGAACCTATAACCTCCCCCGTTATTCATCCTACCCCTCCTCAAACTCCTCCGCCAAAGCCTGCCCATCTCTTTTCCGACTACCGTCGCGTGTCAAGGAGCTTGGAGCGCCTTGTCTCTGCCGCTTCATCCCCAGCACCGTCTCCGATAGCTCGTACAGCTGCACACGGTGAAGTCCTGCCAGTATCCGCAATAACTGCCGCAGTGCGCGCTACAAACCCTATTTTGGATGAGCTTCTCTACTCTTTGAACCTGATACAGAACAATGACGAATCACTGGTGGATTTGGACTTGACAGACTGCCCCGTGTTCCGGATTGTGCATGGAACTGCTTTGGCTGGCGGTCTTTTGAAGAATACCCATTTGAAGAAGGTGGCGTTGAAGGGTGTTGGGTTCCAAACCCAGAATGCAATTGAGCTTGCTGAAGCGTTGAAGCACAATACGACACTTGAGGTGCTTGATTTGTCAAATAACCAGATTGCGCCTGCTGGGGTAATGTTCTGTCTTTTTCGAAATGGGCAATGGAAAACAGATTATGGACTGCGATACTGATCGATTTATCATGATAGATCAAAGCTCTGGCCGAAATGCTCCAAGAGAATCAAGGGTTGAAGGAACTACGATTGTCACAACAAGTCAGTACCCGACAGTATCGTTTATTGTGTATCGCACTGGACTGATAGTCATCGTGTTGTCTTCTATAGCGCGCCCCAGCCGGAACAGACGCCGAACAAAGCCTCGCCCGAGCATTGGCCAAGAACGAAACCCTCACACGGCTCAGTTTGCAAATCCGTGATGTAGCCTCTCGCAACGCAATTGACCGAAGCATAACGAGGAACAAGGAAATCGGTTGGTACTCGTGTATTGTCCGTTTTGGTAAAAGACAAAGTTACTGATCTCTTGTATGCAGCTCGGAAAAAGCGCTGGGCAGCTCAACAAGCATAGTAAGTTTTGCGCATCCATGGGCGAAGGGCGACGGGTTCGGTTCTACTTGGGATGGATTGCATTATGTGATCGGCTAGAATCATGTAGAACATCTGTATGCATATAGGTATCATTTGTTTTAGCGAATTTTTTGCATAGTTTGGCTGTGACGGCGAGTGGCCTGGAGACAAAAATAGGATTGTATCATTTGTTGCAGCTTTTTTTGCATACTTCGCAACCCGGCCTTTATCAACTTTGTGACATGTTGTATCAGGCCGATAGTGAATCTTGATCATCTGCTAAACGTCCTCCATGAAACACAATCACAGTCTTTGACGAGCTTACGGTTCGTGTGCCGGTGACAAGGTCCCCTGTAGGTCTTTCACGGATGCTTCCCCAAACCCATAGACGTCACGTCAAAGTCTCAATGAGCACCATCGCCAACCCAGTTGGCGTCAACAAGGAACTGTAACATCCGCAGCAGCCAGCGCAAAGACATTACCAAAGGACCACGGACCGCGACCGCAGTCATGGCAAAGCTGACATATATACCAACCTATAATTTTGTTGCGCATCTTTGCGATGACGATAAATGTGAATCTCGTTCCCGCAGTTGTCCGTTGAAACAAAATATCTGAGGGTTAGACTGCGTGGCTAACTGAACCTATACTGTCCATATCCGTCCTTTTTGGCGACAACGAAAACGTGATTGCACCGGATTCAAGCACTCCTCACTATCAGACCCTTGCGCAAAAATGGAAGGAGCAGCAGTTTGTGCGGGTAGCCCGCTTACCATCATCGACCGTACAAACCCGAGAAGAATAGAAATACTTCTTGCACACCCAAAATGTGAACAGGGCCTTAGAGTTGTGCTGTTGCACATCCAACAGTGCAAGCAAAAGATTATACAGCTCTACACTTTATCCTGCTGAAGTGAGAAAATTATCGCACAGGTCTGGCCAAAGTGTTGTATTGTCCAAGCTCTATGTCTATGATCAAGACATGGAGCAAGGTACGCTGTCCTGACTTCTCATTTCGGTGCTCAGGAGTTTGCACGTCAGTTTACCAGAGTCCAGCCATTGGATCGTCGAGAGTGCCTTTTTCATCTCCTCAACCTTACCTCAAATCCAGAGACATAGAACACCTCTACATATAGAAATTGAAGAGCCCAAGCCGGGTCCACATAGATCAACAGCCTTGAGTGAGTTGGAGACCACTGGGTATGTCAAGCCCACCTACTATATTGGATTCCTTCATCAATAAGCATACAGTGCATTATGATACCTACCTTATGCAAACGCTAAATATCGGCTGCCTTGAATCCGTAGCTCTTTCATATCATCCAAACGGTATCAATGCTGCTATTGCTTCGCAAAAAATGTATTCCTTTGAGTTGTTAGCGGGAGCAGCACTTCAGCTTATCATGAACAGTCCCCGAGGCGTCCAACCGCCTATGTTGTTGAGCGTGAGCTTGACTAGTATTATGAATGCCGACACAGGGAGAGAGAGCATTTCTGGTGTACCAAAAGAACGCCTTATCAGGAGCTCTAGGAAGTGGGGAACACCGCGCTGCCTCCTCTATTGCATGGAATTGGTTCCATGCAATACTTTGGTACATACAGCATACCAGCCAGGTGAAACTGCCGATTCGTTGACACGTTATGCCTACGCATAAGGTGCGCCCATGATCCAACAGCAATGGTCCCTCTCTAACTGTGTTTTCGGATCAAAGGACATTGTACTTGTTGGAAGGAGCATCCGAGAAGATCGCTTGAGTTACTAAATCTCGTATTCCCGTCGTCTATATGAGCAGGCAGAGATATGGCGCGAGTTTGACCAGCATTATGGAAACTGATACAGAGAGAGAGAGAGCACTTTCTGATGCACCAAAAGAACGCCTCTTCAGGGGTTCTAGGATGTGGGGAAACCTCGCTGCATCCTCTATACATGGAACCAATTCCATGTATACTGGCGCCCCAGCATACCAGCCAGCACAAGCCTAGCGGGCACCGCGGACCGAGCTTGACACGTTATGCACATGCATAAGGTGCGCCCACTCCAACAGCAATGGTCTCTCTCTCCCTGTGTGAGTATCGGATCCAGGGATACTGAAGCAAACCCCCGCCTTACCGGTCAACTCAACAGCGAGGAACGATGGCGACAAGAGAAAGTGGGCGACGCGCGGTGGGTAAAGAGATTTGAGGTATGACTACATGCAGAGAAACAGCGTGAGTTTGACCAGTATTACGTATACTGACACAGAGCGAGAGAGAGAGCATTCTCTGGTGCACCAAAAGAACGCCTTATCAGGGGCTCTAGGAAGTGGGGAACACCGCGCTGCAACCTCTATTGGATGGAATTGGTTCCATGCAATACTTTGGTACCTCCAGAATACCGGCCAGCACAATGCTAGCGGGCAGCCGCCGACTGAGCACGAACAGGGCAATCTGGAACTGCCGAGTTCGCTTGACACGTTATGCATATGCATAAGGCGCGCCCAAAATCAAACAGCAATGGTCTCTCTCTCTCTGTGTGTGTTTGTATCGGATCCAAGCATACTGAAGCAAACCCCGCCTTACCGGTCAACTCATACAGCGAAGGGACGATGGCGCGGTAGGTAAAGAGATTTGAGGTATGACTACATGCAGAAAAAAACAGCGTGAGTTTGACCAGTATCAATGCGCACGGTGAGAGAGAGAGAGCACATCTCTTGAATTACAGAAGAACCGCCTTTTCAGGGGGCCTAGGATGTGGGGAGGTTCACCGCGAGTGCATCCTGTATCCACGGAACGAATTCCATGGATACTCTGCGACCAGAGAACACCGGCCAGCATAGGCTAGCGAGCGCTGGGGACTAAGCACATTGCCGGGCAATATGAAACTGCCGAGGTTCGCTTGACGCGTTATGCATAGGCATAAGGCTCGCTTGACCTTCAGGTAATGGTCTCTCTCTCTCTGCGTGTACCAGATCCAAGAACACTAGAGCAAACTCCGCCTTACCTTAATCGTGCAGCGATGTGACGATGGCCAGGAAATCGGAAAGAGATGCTGGAGGGGAAAAAGCAAGAGACGCGCTTTTATAACCCACGCGCGCAAGGGGTAGAAGTTCGGACACGTGAGACTCTGCTCCGTCCGATGACACCCAACACTTGTTTTTGCATATACTCGGCTGTGATAAATATATTCCAAATTGACAATCCAGAAATGAATGGACTGCATGGCAGCAGAGAGGAATCAACCAAAACACCCACTGGACAATGTGCAGAGAAGCTCTGCTCACTGCGAATGATGCCAAAAAACACAACACACAACGTCCACTAGACAAATGTGCAGAGAAGCTCTGCTCAAAAGTCGAATGGTGCCAAATAAATGCAACACACTACACCCGCTCGATAATTTGCAGAGAAACTCTGCTTATAGTCGAATGATGCCGATACCGCAGGCTGGACCATGTGCAGAGAAACTCTGCTCCCAGTTCAGCGCAATTTGACCACGTTCATGTTTGCGAATGATGCTGAAGAAGTGTGCACACGAATATTGTAAACAAAGTAGAATCAGTTTGACAGCAAGCCATATGCATGTCCAACCACATCTCCGCTATCAAACCCCCTCGGATGTTCTCAAGCCCCTTGGGCTTGGGATGGATGATGATCGCCGATATAGCACCCCGTAAATCTACCAACTATTTAGGCTTCCGTCTGGCTGAGAGGAACTCTCAACCATTGCAGTAATAGCAGTAATGAATTTCCACCTATTCTACGAGGAAGACGGCTGTGAAAATGGTTTTGTTTGCCGCTCCGACGGCAACATTTTAGTAGCCACAAACGACAACGAAATAACAATTACCCTGGGAGAAGAAAAGCCTCCTAACCTAGGCCCCTCATCCAGCATTCATGATTTGGTCGCAGAGAAACTCTGCGACCAACCAACCAAAAGAACTGCCAAGGAGATTGAAGAGGATCTTGACGCCAGGAGGAGAGAACTGACCATCGCTCGCGAACAGCGTGATTTTGGGAACGCAAAATTCCTTCACTTCGAAAAAATCCCGCAGTTGCAAGAGGAACTCTTGCAAGTTCTTGGGACGAATAGGACGGAAGATCGCAGAGAACCCTCTGCGCCAGTCCTTTCAGCCGAGGAGGACTTTATTGCCCTGCCCAGCGACGATGAAGAAGTAAATTTCTCGTGCGCAAAAAAGGCGAAACGTTACTGGGCTGTGCCCGCGAAGAAAGCCAGAGTGGAGAAAATGAGCGTCGACAACGAGGATCTTAGGATCCAGCTCTCGTCAGCAGGGACCAGCTCACAGCATGCTCTCGAGGCGGTTCAGCAAAGAAAGCCGAGAAAGGGAACCCGGGACCGTTACCACTGTAAAGTCGATCTGTACATCAACGGCAAACTGTGGAAACGCGATTGTGTTTTTGTGATCGTTACCAAGCAGGGCTCAGAAAGATCCACGGTCTCTGTTCAATACGATCTGTCTGAAGAGCTTCCTCTTCAAACAACACGGCCCAGATACATCATTTACCATGACAGGACGTATATATCGTTCGACGATACCCGTCCTCCCCACGCAATCACCTTCAGCAGTGCTACCGGGTTCTTTGACTGGTACCACAATGAAGATTTTCGCGGCTTTGCATTCCAGTACGCGGGCAACATCAATGAGATACTCATTGCTGACGTGGAAGGCAAAGATTCGTTGGCAATAATGTATGAGGCCCTACACCGGCTGTGATCGGAGAGTATCTCTCCGTGGAAGCAGATGGCAGGCAAGTAACGATCATATGCAACATCAATGAGTTCCTCATTGTGATGCAACAGACTAGGTGATATACCTCGGTTGACTTGCAAGAAATATGCTCTCAGTGCAAAAGAATGATTGCAAGAAGATAGGATATGTAATGTAAAATAAAACAACAATCTTTTGCGACACCGTCTCTTGAGTTTACAAAGCACGCTATTCGGAAGAGAATCTCTTCCGGACAGGAGCTAACGGACCTTCTTCTTTGGTGTAGCACCAGCGAGCGGTGCTGACGCGCGAGACCAGGTTTTAGGTCGATCTGTGCTGTTCTTCACCAGAGGTCGCGGCTTTACGCCATGAGCACCGCCTCTGGACCAAATGCTGGCCCTTCGCTGCTTCTTGCCGAATGTAGATACAAGACGGCGTGCAGCTGTTTGTAAATCTGCCTGTAAGGATGCAGCATTTCCGGCGAGGGCCTACAGACTATGCATAAGCCACGCTGTTGCAGCAAGCACAGAAATCGCCAACAGTACCTCAAAGAGCAAAAAGTTCTCAGCCATGTCCAAGATGGAGAGGATCTCTCCATTCATGCCTGCAGAATCAACCGCGGCCCACTCTGCAAATGCGTAGAGCTCATCGCATACAACGAACATGCAGAAAAAGCGAACGGTGTAGTCTCGGATAACGTGGAATGGTACAGCAATCTGAGCAAATCCGTGTTTGAGCTCCTTGGACGGCGCGATGTTCTGTGCTTCCAGATGCACACACGTCTTCTTGACCAAGGATCGAATTTGTGCTATTGCACACTATCGAAAGTTCAAATGTCAGAGATAACTATTTAGGCTTCCATTTGGCTGAGAGGAACTCTCAACCATTGCAGTAATAGCAGTGATGAACTTCGACAGATGCCCCAAAGAGATTCTCTTTGGGGTGTCCGACATTGAATAATGAAAGTAAAACTTGATAGTACCTTGGTCGCCGCAATGAAGTCTCCATCACGTTTGTCACGGGAAGATTTGTAGCCGAAATTCTCACCCACCCCAATTTCATCAGTACCCAGAAAGTAGTCGAAATCAACCTTCTTTCCGCCGCTGGTAGTGGATTGTCGTCTTTTCTTGTCCTCGTCATCGGCGCGCGAACATCCTTCACCACTGGCGAGAGCAGGTGAGCACAGTCAGTATCGATGATATGTCAATTGCGGTGTCATTACTTACTAACGTACTCCTGCGTTCGGCAATTTGGCAAAAGGGACAACATAGTAGATGTCAATGGTCCTCTCCGTGGGGTTCTGTGGACAGTTCGCAATGTCGGCGCTGAGGTAGCAGCAGGGTTAATGGCATCAAAGGTGAGAGAAGCTCTCACTGAAACTGAGATACCATTCAACCAATTTTCTGCAGATCCAGATAGTCATCTCGTCGTCCTTATCCATCTGCCTGGCGTCATTTTCCAACTTGCTCCAAATCTCACGAGTTTCATTGCACTCTTCAGCGGCAGAATCCTCCGATGTTTGAGATGTATGGTCTTCGTCGTCTTCAGAGAGTATCCTCTCTGTGAGGTTCCGAAGAGACCGCTTCAGTAAGTCAATGAGACCTGCAGTACCATGGACCATTATGGTTCTCGCGAGAACAGAGACATCTCTGTTCAGCTCATGACATTCCAGGAGTGTTCGCATCACTGACAACAGCGCCACAGCTGAGGAACTCAGCTTTGCACTAGCGCGATTCATGATCCGCTCGAATTGACTCACAAGCTGCTGGTGGGTGGTGTAGTCGACAAATTCCGTAGCTCTTTCATTATCATCCAAAGGGTAATCGGGGTCATGATCTCGTAAGTCCAGCGCTGACCAGAAGAGAGTACTTACAACTTAAGATTAGACAATGAAGTAATCTTAGGGAAACAGTTTGCAAGTACCTTGTTGCTTTATGCTCCTTTCGAAAGTTGATCATTGCCGATATCGCCTTCTCAAAAACTGTATTCATCTGCGTTGTAGGTAGTGGGGGTGGTACTTCCACTTCATCACGACAAGTGCCCGAGGCGTCCAATCGCAGTGGTCCATGAAGAGCGTTCTCTTCATGTTCGTCCCCCAACTTCCTCTTCAGAAAAGTACCGGACGCGTTCAAACGCAGTGTTTCATGAAGAGCGTTCTCTTCATGCTCTTTCTCCAACTCTATCTTCTGATATGTACCCAAGGCGTCCATACGCAGTGGTTCATGAAGAGAGTTCTCTTCGCGTTCTTCGTCGAAGGTCCTCTGCGGATGCGCATGGGCGATATGGACATGTTCATTTGAGCCGCTGACGTTGTTGATGAATTTACCGCGACTATGTATGCGATAAGTGGTCATGTCGCGTTTTTTAAGCGTCCGCTGAAGGGACTTATCTAGAGATCTGCAGTATGCCTGCGTGCAGAGAAACAGCGTGAGTTTGACCAGTATCAATGCGCACGGTGAGAGAGAGAGAGCACATCTCTTAGATGACAGAAGAACCGCCTTTTCAGGGGGCCTAGGATGTGGGGAGGTTCACCGCGAGTGCATCCTGTATCCACGGAACGAATTCCATGGATACTCTGCGATCAGAGAACACCGGCCAGCACAAGGCTAGCGAGCGCTGGGGACGAAGCGCATTGCCGGGCAATATGAAACTGCCGGGGTTAGCTTGACGCGTTATGCATGGGCATAAGGCGCGCTTGGTCTACAGATAATGGTCTCTCTCTCTCTGTGCGTGTATCAGATCCAAGAACACTAGAGCAAACCCCGCCTTACCGGATCAATAATCAGTCGTGCAGCTCTCTCTCGTAAATCTTTGGGAAGAGAATCCTCTTCCGCGAAGTTCTTGAGTATCTCAAGGACGTCAGAGACAGTTGTTCGGTTCGTAGGAGGAAGTGGGCAATCCAGGAAGAGCGCTTGCACAACAGATTTTGCACTCCAGTCGCGTAAGTCGTTAGCGTGAAAGTATTCTTTCAAAAATTCCCGTTGAATTGCGCGGGACATGGGCTAACGGAGATATGTGACTACACGCAGAGATAGAGCGTGAGTTTGACCAGCATTTGGCAGAGAGAGATTCTCTCTCTGTGTGTGTGTAGGAAAACCCTGCCTTACCTCCACTACATGCAGCGAAGCGACGATGGTGGAGGTTATGACCTACGCGCGTAAGGGGTAAGTTCGGACACGTGAGACTCCGCTCCGTCCGATGACACCCCAACACATGTTTTGCATAACCAAGTTGACAATCTAGATATAAATGCAGAGTTTCTCTGCATATGGTCCAGCTTGCGGTATTGGCATCATTCAACTGTGAGCAGAGCTTCTCTGCGCATTGTCCAGCGGGTGGGTGTTGTGTGTAGCATTTATTTGCCGTCATTGGACTGTACAGTACAGTACAACTATATCGACTATTTCATCGGACAGATAACGGGAACATAGCAGAAACACTTGTCCGATCAAAAACTCGATACTGGTTGTAATGGGGAGTACCCCGCTGATGTAACACCCCGTAACTCTACTAACTATTTAGGCTTCCATCTGGTGAGAGGAACTCTCAACCATTGCAGTAAATTTTCATCTCTATTTCGAGAATGAAGGCGTTGTTCTCCCAGCGTGATTGTTACTTCGGTGTCCGTTGTCGCCACTAAAATGTTGCCGTCTGTGCGGCACACGAATCCGTACAGCCTCGCAACCAAGGCCCTGTACACCGAGTATCGTCGATTTGATCGGAGAGAAACTCTCGGAAGAAGAATGCCCGCAAGGAAAGCAAACCAAAAGAACTGCAGCGGACATCGAATAGGATCTTCACGCATCATACTGAATAGAGACCGTCGATCTCTCTGAGCCCTTCTTGGTAACTATCACAAAAACAGAAGCATGTTTCCAGATTTACATGATTGACAACGAATCTTTGCCTTCCACGTCAGCAATGAGTATCTCATTGATGTCGCCGGGGTACTCCAAGGCAAAGCCGCGAAAATCTACGTTATGATACCAATCTACTGAATGTGATGGCGTGCGGAGGACGGGTATCGTCGAACGATATATACGTCCTGTCAGCGTAGGCCCGGTTCAATAATGTATGAGGCGCTACACCGGCTGTGATTGGAGAGTATCTCTCCATGGATTGCAGGCAAGTAAAGATCATATGCAACATCAATGAGTTCCTCATTGCTGATGCAACAGACTAGGTGGCACGGATATACATCGGTTGACTTGCAAAAAATGTGCTCTCAGTGAAGTTCCCGAAGTTACGGATCTATTTTGCCGACTTCCCTTAGCTACATTGTTCTATAAATTAGAGGCTGTTCACCTTGGAGACCTGCTGCGGTTATGAGTACGACTAGGTGTGAAGATAGGATAGTGAAATGTAAAATAAAGCAATAATCTTCTACACCGGTTCTTGAGTTTCCAAGGCATGCTATTCGGGAGAGAATCTCTTCCCGACAGGATCTAACGGACCTTGTTCTTTGGTGTAGCACCTCGCTGCATCCTCTAAACATGGAACCAATTGCAACATACTTTGGCACCCCAGCATATCGGCCAGCACAAGGATCGCGGGCACACGAAGAGGGCAATTGGAAACTGCCGAGGTCGCTTGAGGCGTTGTGCAGATGCACAAGGTGCGCCCACTCCAACAGCAATGGTCTCCTACAATCTATGTGTGTATCAGATAAGGACACTGAAGCAAACCCCGCCTTACTTCACAAACAGCCAGTCCCGCAGCTTTCTGTCGCCGCTCTATTGAAAGAGAGGTCGCTTTCTCATGGTCCTTGAGCACCTCAAGGATTTCTGGGACACTGTAGATCTTGAGAGGACCCTCCGATAACATCACTTTAGCTACAGTTCTCATATCCCAGGCGTCTAAATGAGCAGTACAAAAGTAGTCTTTTAGAAAGCTGTTAAGGGATGACATGCGAACAGGACAACGATGGAGAGGAGAGAAAGGGCAAGACGCATAAAATATATTCCAAATTGACAGCCTAGAAATGAATCAACTATAACTATTTAGACCTTTTCATTCGCACTCTAGGTGGTGGGACCGGATGCAGCTTGATTGGCTCTTCTTCGTCCAAAAGTTCATCCGTCACATCATCTTCACCCTCTCCAGGCTCGCCATTCTGTCGATATTTGCGGACAACTTCATTCTTCCTATTCTCCAATTCCCATTCCAAAACAATCGCCTTCCGCCTCTCTGTTTCCCAATCCACCCACCTTCGTCTTGGTACATCGGTTGCACCATCTTTCTCTCCCTCTCCCGCGGCTCCATGGCCCGATTTATCTCCTGCGCCTTCACCAGCAACTTTGCGTGTCTGTCCCCAGGAAAAGTCGTCAAAATGCCAAAAAGCATAGACGGGAAGGACAAAATTCCAAATGGGAAGGGCGAGAAGGTAGATGAGCATCCAATAGATGTAGACCCGTCTTTTGGTGGTGAGCATTATGAGGATGGCGGGGAGACCAAGGATAGCTGCTAAAAGGCCTAGTGGGATCCAAGGTACTTCTGGACTGACCCCTGCCATAACTAGGAGGAGGCTAGTAGGGGATGCAGTTGAGTTTAGGTAGCGTATGATACAGTGCTGGCCAGAAGTAAAACTTACAGGGTGAAAATGATGGCTGCAGGCAATACCACTGTCCCAATCAGCTCCAACATGATGACAAACTGCATCGAAAAGCAAAACACTCCACATAGTTCCCGAACCAGGACCAATTCCAGCAGATTGTGTATGGTAGAATTGATCCATCGGCGCCGTTGGGACAACAAGACTTTGAACTCAGCGGGAACCACAGTTTTGCAGAATGCTCGCGGAACGAATATCTGCTTTCGGTGTGGAAATGTCCCCAACATGAGTGTCGTCAAAAAGCGGTCTTCACCGAGAAGAAGCAGATTCTTTTTATGAAGCGTATCGACTCGGTTCTCAGAGTAGGTTGCAACAATGTCTGGATTGCAGAGGATGGGCACCCAGTATCCATCACCCTTTGGAGCTTTGATACGGTACATGCAGAAGCATCCTGGCAAGCATGTAACTCCTCCAAAAACAGATTCGAATGCTTTTGCAAGGTGATGCGATAGGTAATATTCAAATACTTGAATCCGGGAGACCCAGCTTTCCGACTTGTTCGCAATACGGGTTTCACCGCATAAGCCCATCACCATCGGATCGGACACCATGGAGGCCACCATTCTGGCCAAAGAATCGGGAGCAACTTTTGTGTCGGCGTCTACCATAAGGACAATTTCAAACATGTCGGGTGTGACTCCCATCAAGTAATGAATCTTTTGGAACAAGTCATAATCGAGAGGTGCCATGGGATCGTCAAAGGTCACTTTTTGGAAGAAAGACATCAGGATGATTTGACTGTCCCTCTTCCCTCGGTTTCCAGGTTTTGGTTGATCGGCTTCCTCTGGTGTCCCGCATTTGACGACCAAAATCGTGGGTATACATCGACCATTACTATTATACCATGCAACGTAAACTTGCGCCATGTTGTGCCGTTTGGTCCCTTCCGAGATAGCAACATATGACATGGGTGCGGGCGGTGTGGGCCAATTCTTGTCCATTTCCAGCATATCGATGATGATTTCGGGTGTGGATTTGTCGTTACCACTTCCAGTGATTAGCCCATCGGCAACAATGAACATCAGCTTGTGATCATCTGAATAAGTCGTGTTCGCCAGAGAGTCCATAGTATTACGGAGACCTTCTTCGCCTTCTGAATAGGCCGTTACAAGCATCACCGTATATACTTCTAAACCGTAGGGAGAACTGTAAGTAGATGGGGACTTGGAAACGGCAGACCCGGCCAGCGGTCCCGACCAGCCAGGCATGTGACGCCGAAGATCGTCATTCGACTGCTGTTCATTCCGTGCTGAAGGATGCTTGGACCCCACGAGGGTGTCACCAGAAATATCACTTGCCACTGATTTCCGGCCGTCCAATACATGTAGCGAAGGCGGAACTGAAAGTTCTGGCGAAGGTCTTGCACTTCCACCGTCCAATTTCCCTTTCATGGGGAACGGTACGATACCCTTGTCTAGAACCTGCCGCCGAAGAGCTGTCTTTGCAGATTGGGCGTGCTCTTGCTGGAGCTTACCCAGCTGCCAAGATATGAACCAGTCAAAAAGAATCGCCATTGCGAATCGAATGAGCACGACGGATAAAATAATAATCAGAGAAACGTAGAGAACTATATCGGACGCAATGCATCCTAGAGTTCTCTCTTCGACCCGCCCGACAGCGTACATGGCTATCAGACATTCTCCCATTCTGATACGAGAGGGAGACCCACCAAAGATTCTTGATGCATCTTTTCCAAGGTGGGATCTGATGGCCATATCCGTCCAATTTCCAAACAGTTTAACATTGGCGTTAAGGTACGGCCTCATGTCCAAAACCCGTTCTTTAAAAGCCATATATGTACTCTGCTCAAATACAATGTCCGGCCATTCGTATGTAACTGGCCCAATTCGTGCGGCAGGGAATTCCGCAAGGACTCTGGCGACTCGAGTTGGATCATGACAGTGAGTTAATGAAGCTGGAAAAGCAGAAGTGCCACAACTGGGAGCGTAAGGTGCCGTAAAAAGGTCCTTGCAAGCAGCTGGTGGTGTAGTTGGAGGCCAAAAGTATGGAGTCACATCTACGCCGGTAAGTTGATTGATATGAGTTGTTGGTAGACCGCCTGTCGTAAACCCAGGTAAGGAATTGTGCCAAGGTAGAATTTTCGACACATCGTATACAATTCCGTTGATAACGAAACGGTGAGGGAAGGTATTGGGGGTAGAAGCTCTCACGTCATCGATGCCTACAGTTTCCTGAGTCCGACATGCTGTGGCAACGAATCCGTACGTCAAGAATCCCAAGAGTCCGCACATAAAAGTAATAATGGTACAAAGTGCAACCTTTTCTCTCCAAGCTTGCTGGACCGCGGGATCATGCATCCGTCCAAATCGCTCTATACAGAAAGTAGGTATCCAACAGGTAAGTGCTCTGCTAACGATCGTCCACGGGTCGTACTTTTTCTTTTTCTCTTTTAGCATGGTCATGGCTGGCGGTCGTTCGCCATGCTCATCTTGTGCTCGCTCGGGACGAATCATGATCGAGTTCGCTCGTCTTAATGTCCCGCGTTCAACAGAAGGCGTCGGGGGTGCGCGGGTGTCTAAGAAGATGTGGGATGCACTCCCACGACGTATATGGCTAGGGGTGTCCACTTTAACGCTCTTTTGGCGAGTAAGGGCGTTTGAAGCGGGGACCCATGATGAGCTGTGCGAATCTGCCTTCTGAGAAACGCCTGGAAAAGGTTGTGCGGGAAGTTCCTTTTCTTTTCCCTCGGCGATTTCATTAAGGTTCTCGTAACTTGTTTGATGTGGAAATCCGCTGCGTTGCTGTAAACTAGTCGTGCCACCATGTCGACTTGGAGAGACAGTAACGGTAGGGATGACTGGTAACTCCTTAGCGCTGGATGACCTTGGTTCCGTTCTGATCGGGCCTCTCCTAAACGCACTTTCCTCCTGTTCTCGCACAACGGGCTCGTCCTCCGCCTCCTTCTTTCCCCTGGATCTAAGTGGGCTCGCTCTCATCCTGTCCGATTCCCGGAAGTTGCAGGATTTGGTCAAACGACGCGGAGCCAATCAACACTAACGCACACCTTACTTAATGATCCGTTTTGTTCTATGAAGTTATTTTTATACGTCTTATGTCATCACTTTGCTCCGCACGCAGTGGCTATTTAACAATGCATCCTCGTGTTGCATCCATCTACCCACATGTCAAAGCAAGAACACCAAAAAATTATCGGAGTTGGCTTATGTAAGGAGATGCTACATGTCCCCTCATTGGGGCAAACGTATTCCAGACGTTGAATCGTGCTGTAGTGGCGGGTAGGATAAAGATGCAGATGTAGTCTGTTACATACAGGGAATGACAGTATCGACATATACGCAAGGGATCCCTAACTGCATCGTGTTCATGATCTACCCACGCAAGAACTGTATACTATTGGTCATTCGATAAAATCACTTCCCAGCAACGCCAGCTGTTATTCCCCCAACAACAGGCTGTCTAATAAGCTTTTGCCTCCTCTCGAAATCGTCTACTCTTGAAATACAAATGTTATTGTCGTGTTCGTTGGAATCCGCATAGCGTCCAAATACGACGCGCTTGGCGGCGATCAAAGGCCAGTCGGCAAAGGTCTGAATTCCTCCTTCTCGCTTGTGTTGTTCGGGTACTGGAAGGAAAATGTCGTGCTTTCGGTTGTGGGTTGAAGTTTTAGAGGCAGAGATGAGGGTTGCAAGGTCATCAGAACCGTAAAGGAGGCCTGTCGAGTTCTGGGAGGGGGAAATGCTTAAAATCGATGGATGATTACTATATAAACGACCTGACCTGTACCAATGAAGTAGGCTGCCCAGCAGGTTTATTTGCATGTCGCTCCCGCCTCTTTGCAGCCGCTACGGCGGGGTCGAACCCGGGAAGGACAAAGTCACGACGTTGAGTTGAGATTAGGTTTGCCCTGCCATTAAATACCAGTTTACACAGTGCATTACACTACAGCAGGTCTTGTGTGAAGCTGGTCAAATACCTATCTGCCTTCTTCTGAGCTTCATCATCGATATCCGCAGATCTGGGAATAGGTTTAGCATGAACAGACAGCAGACGTTGACAGATCCTCTCACCTTCTGCCCTCCTGCCCACGCCGAACCTTGTGTTGTCGTGCAGCTTTCAGGTCCAACTCCTTCTGGGTGTAGTCAGCTCGGAAAGTGGTCAAGTAGTTGAGCTTGAAAAGGAATCAGAATTCATAGGAAATCTTGCTTCTGAACGCCAAGTGATGGCACTCACTGGGTGCTCGCCACCAAACATGATTCCTAGGAGAGTCAGATGAGAAAATCGCTTGCGACACACAGATCCAACCCATGTAGCTTGATGTCGGCGCTATGATGCGGCAGGTAATCTCCGAGTTTATCACGAGCACTAATTTTGGGGATCTGTTGGTACCAGAGCACAGGCGCGCTTAAACCCCGATGGGCAGACATCGATATATTACAGGAACGTTAGATCATAGTAACAGGGAAACTAACCCAAGTCTTGCCTTTTCGGACTTCTATCTACGAGATCATGGAGTTCAGAGTTTTCTATCTATGATCATCCAAAAAGAGATATCACAGTACATAAATGATTTAAAATACAACAGCCCACGCTGCAAGTGCACTCGCCATCAAGGCGCCCAAGGTGGTAGGAATGACAGAAGCGAAACCACTGTTTTTTGCATCAGGGTCCGTCACAATTTTTTTCTCGGGGACTGTGGCAAAGAGGTACCGGGACTGAACTTCAGGTTTTTCAAAATCGGCTTTAAATGCAGCGAGGATGGAAGAGTCGTTCGTAATTTGGAAGTCACGGAACGTGATCTCTTCCGGCTTTTGGTATTCAAAGAGGCAGATGGCCTTCAATCGCGGATGCGCATCCAAAAAGGTAGTATTGGTGAGGTACTAAATAGCGATGTCGTTAGGATCATCGACTTTTGAGCACGCACAAGGAAATAGTAATGAGCTTACCTGTCTCCACCAAGCTTGCTTGATAGCCAATGCACCGGGTCCTGGGGCAACAGCGCCGGTGTTGACAGGGTTCGCAGGGCTTTGTATCCTGTACTGATGGAAGGCCGCACCAGATTCGGTGATAAAGAATGGTTTTTGGTTCCTCTCCGCGAACAATTGATAGAAATCCATAGCTCCGGGGCCGGTGCCGTGAATGAGCTTGAGGATGCTGCCGCTCGGTGGAACATCATTGGTAAGGTACGGGTAGTCGGCACCGAACCAGTACGTCGAGAGACCAACCCAGTCAACATACTCGTTGCCTACAAACGCGCTTCATCAGTTAGACGAGCGACCCAGACGCGAAAATAAACAAGCCACAGCTCCGGTCCAACAATCATCTTACCAGGGTAGTATGGTGTGTAGGGATCATCGAGTGTATCCAATCTTCCATTTTTGTTCGTGTCCAATGCTTGCGTCTCAGCAGCGCTAACAGTTGCATTCATAGAGTAAACGCCACCTTCGTACGGGTAACTAAAATTGAACGGTGTTAAATATTGTTTCCAACGGTAGAGGATGTTTCCTAGCAGATCTTTACCCGAGCTGCATATTTGGTGCCCATCTGTTGGCCAGTAAAAAAAAAACGGTCCATCAGCCTGGCGCCAATGAGAAATACCAGGAGCTGCCAATATATTACGTACATGAAAGCCACTCGTCCAGTAGTATCGCTATTAGCTCTGATAGCAGTGACTATGCGCTTCCACATCGCAGCGTAGGCAATGGGACGCTGAGCATACGGCTGCCAGGAGCCGTTCATTTCCGGCGCCAATCTTATAAAAACACCTCTCCCAGATCTTGCAAAGGTAGCAATCTGGGCAACAAATGCATCGATATCCCCATCTTTCAATTGTTCAGGAATGACTGTCGGGTACACAGAAAGATAGAGGATAGCATTCGTGTTCGCGTCGTCCAACAAGCGGACTGGGGGAAGATGGGGGGTCTTCAGGGGTAAGTCCTCCGCCATGTGAATAAGTGCCTTAATCAATGAGAGTTTACGTTGAGCTGGGTCCGTGCCGTCCTAAGGCTAGCAATGGCACTTACCGCATTGTGACCCAAGCGTTCGCCAAACTGCTTTGGTGTATCGCGGCCAGGTAAAGTGTCGAGCCACGCCCCGAGCATGACCCTATCTGGTTCCAGTGGCGCTTGAGAGCGAACGACGCTGGACGCACAGAGGAGGACAGCAAGTGTGCTGGACAAGAGCTTTGCTGTGAACATTGTGAATTGCTGTTGTGAAAACCGGAATTACGTTCTGACAAAAGATCTGCGCAATTCAGCAGACAGATCCCAGTCGTGGGGAATGGTGATAAATAGTCTCTATCTGTCTATTTCTTGCGTAAATCTCCAAACCGCTCAACGACAAGATGACGACGACGGGGCCAAGCTGGAAAAATACAAAACAAAAAGACAAGGCAAATTGACCGCTGGATCCATTTGTTTTGTGTGGCTAAGAAATTCGATGATGCGGCCATGGCTTAGTAGCGATGCGCTTAGCTGCGCGTGTTGTAGCTTTCTCAGAGAGTGACGTGTACCACGGGATTGGCGATCAGTGTGCCTTTTTTTCCCTTGCACGAGGCGATGCATTTTTAAAAAATAGCCCATGCGCTCATGAAGCAGTATATAGTCCAGATCATTTACAGCTTCCATCTTTTATGAGACATCTGAAACTTGTCCTCATCCATTTTTACATAACAACGCTAATCCACACTGCGCTACTAAATATAAAAGAGCCTTAAAACTTCGAAATGTCTCTTCCAAATGCCCTTGAACGAGATTGTGAGTTAAATTGGGAGTGAGGTACGCTGATTCTCTGATCACTCACCATGTCAAAAACCAATGAGCAGGAATCATAACCATGTTCCGCAATGACACAGATCGAATCAAGTAGGCGCTCCGCCATACTTTTTAGGGGCAAGGTAATATGAACAGGTGTAAAAAAAAATCAACAAAGTCAGTAAAGACCCACCGAACCAAGCAAGTCGACCTCGAAGTCCGCCAGCGCCAGGTGTTTCCAGGGCGCCTCCAGATGTATCGAAAATTGCTTTCCAACTGCCCACATAGACCATGCTGCAAAATATTTGATATAAGCAACTGGATCCCAATACCCAATCCACGTGCCATTTTACAACCTTCCCAGGTGCGAATAGCGAAACGGCTAGGCACAAGCCATGTTAGGATACGTTATAGAGCAACATATTTGAACAACAAATCAAACCTTGCCGTCATCTCGCATCGCGGCAACCCTATTCAAATGCTTTCGTAGCCAAATGCCTTGCTGTGACGCTACTTGTGCCGTCGCGGGTAGTTCCTGGTCCTTGATCACTGCACAGTCTCCGAGGGCATACCTGTGCACCAATGTTAACACCATGGTGTCCAACGTCAGAATGCAAAAACATACACGTCGGATATGGGCTTGCCCTCCTTATCCAGGACTCGCAAATACTGGTAACTGTTAGTTAGGGGCGATATTCAAGATTGCGCCGATGATTTCTAACCTCATCCGTTACAAGCCGCTTGGAACGGGACTGGCTCACTTCCATGTTCTTGATCTGAATTGAATGTCAAATCAAAGGTACAATTGAGTAATACATGTGCGATGCATACCAATGGTGTAGCCGTTAAGCCCGTGGCCCAAACGAGAGCACCAAATGCTAGATTGACGTGTGTGAGGGTGACATTACCGCAGGCCGATTACCGATAATCAGAACTCACGGATTTCCGTGTCATCCTTCAGAACTGCAAACATGGTGCGATTAGTACACTACAAAATTCCAAGCATTCAGTATAGAACTTACTTAATTTGTTCTTTTGAACTTCCTTGATAAAGGTCTATAGTAAAACCCATGCCATTTAGGCTTCCTATGTCGCATAGGAACGATTGGAGTCAGAGAACTCGCCTTTGTACGGATCTTAATGCCGCTACGCGCGAACTTCTTCGTCGCATCTTAGATACAAGAAGATAAGCAGTGCCCAAAGCATACAGCAACCAAAGTGGATGCCTCACATGCAGCTAAAGCATCATCAAATCCCCCTGCAAAGCATTGCAGCAAATAAGCAAACCAATAATAACATCTGAGATACCATCGTTAACCCCTACCTAGAATCTTTTCCGCAACATCGTAGACCTAAATAGGCGTCAGCTACATTGTACCCAACGGCCAAAAACAGGTGACCCTAACCGTAATTTGAACTGTTTTGTGCGCAATAATGAGTCAAGTACATACATATCAAGGTGAGACGTTCAATCGCACCTTTATCCATGAGACGCGGATACAGGCGTGTGAGATCGTCTTTAATAAAATCTAGTGGAAGAACCCAAAATAGATCCGCTCAGCGAGAGCCCAAGTGGCAAACCATGTGTGCCACCCACCATGTACTGAAAAGAAATAAAATGAGAACCCAGCATCGTAGAACCCAAATTAAACGGAAGCTTACTCACATTCCGCACTATTCATTACAGACGAGCAGAAGAAGGGAATTTTCAGTGTTAAATGAACGAGGTAATCCGCTCAGATGCATAATCAGACCTGAATTCTGCCCTTTACATGTTAAAAATGTTGCCTACAAGTTGGGCAAGGCTGGCATCCCTGCATCACTTACCAACACCAGTTGGTCCCCCACCCACAACGGCAAACTACCGCAAGGTGTTAGCTTTCCAATAATGCCCACCCAGCCTGATAGCGTGGCAACCTACATTAAGCTGAAAATAGTAATATCAATCAGCAACTGCCTGGTCAATTTGCCAACCTGTCATTTGTCGTCATACCAGCTTCCATTGTTCCGCTTCGGTAATATTAGGCTCGGATGCCATTTCGAAACCTATAGCGTATACCGCTTCAGATAACGACTAGTCTAAACTTTCTTACGGCGTTTCCATACATTCAATGATGCGCGCTCGAATCCTTTGAGCATGACTGATCTCTTTCAAAAAGAATCCGTACTTTTCCACACCGGGAATGCCGAAGGTATTCGAATAAGCGCCGACAGCAACAACAAGCTGGAGATGAAGTAAGCTTCATGAAGTGAATGAGGATGGTTTATTCACAAATTAACCTTGTCGTAGCTAAGTGTGAAGGGTTCCATGTCCGGAAGAGCTGGCGTGCATACCAGCTCTTTCTTGCGTAGATCTACGGCATCACACCACGCCTGGAGTGCATTGCACTTGAGCGCACGTTCCGCGAGTGATGACAAGTGAGAGTGGCGCTTACTTGATAATATTTGGCTTTTCGATTGTGGTGTCGAATTGGCTGTGATGCAATACGCATATATAGGTTACAGTCACTTCCTTCCACTCGCACGAAGACCTTTTTATCCACCATGTCGATTTACCTCTGTAATCGTACGAAATTCTAGAGTGCCCACTAACATCACGCATCAGGCTAGATGACCGCATACGCCAAAATCAGACGACCACAATACCCGATGTGCTTGCCAGTAGAGGAGTGAATACAAAGTGATTCTATGCATAAAAGTAAACAAGTTAAATAATTCCAAATATTCGATGCAACTAACGAATGCGACATAGACTTGTCAAAGCCGGCAATAATCCTACCCGCGGCGAGATCATGACAACCTCGTAGTCTTTGACATTTATCCCACCCAGCAATTTCAACCCAGCCCAGCCAGATCCAAGAATAACCAGACGACCTGCATTTCAAGATCGAAATAGTAAGTATGGAGCGTTGCCAGTTTGACAGAGTGTGATCTACATGTGCATGTGGGCCAAGAGATGCAGATGGAGCCTGCGACAAAGGTCCGTCTCTAACCTTGCGTTTTTCCGAGAGATGTGGCATAGCGAGATCCGAATATGGCAAAAGAATGCAAGATAGCCACATGAGGTCTGCGTATTCCTTGTATTTTATACGCGCTCGTTGGTCGTAGCGTTCTCACAAAGTTCATGACGCGATCTCGACAATTCGAATTAGAAATGGAAGGATGGTTTTCCAAGATACGGGACTTGTGCTAACGTTGATAGGAGAGTCTCGTCTACTTATTAGTATCAGAAGCAAAGTGAAACTTGAAGGTTTAAACAAAGGCCCGCGAAAGATAGTTCAGCCAGATGGCCCCCGGTTGGCTCCGAGATCAACCTCGCGTCGCTGCGTCATCAGTATTGGCTGCGTGACTCATAAAAGTTAAATTTCGTTGCAACAGAGAAATATAATACGTAAAAACATAAAAAACATATGCCTAAAGATCCAGTCAGATGATGTGATTCAAGAGAGAATTGCCGGATGGCCGACGAAAGGGGAACATATGAAAGATCGTCAGGCTATGGATTGAAACTTGTTGTGAGGATCTGGAAACAGCTAAAGGACTGATAGCAGAGGCCAGGCCCCTCAAGAGAGGATTATCCAAAGTTTTCTCCTGCTGTTCGTGTTGGCGGAGCGTTTCTTCCAATCAAGACTCAATGATGCTGCTGGTTAGGGTTAGGGTTGGTGTAAATTCTTATACAATCATCAGCATTCCATCAGTTTCATGTGCCACGCGTCTCATCCAATCAAAATGCTTTACTGCTGACATTGTCCCCCTTTCCGATCCTCAAAAAAACATTTCCAGCCTTGCTGAAATACTCTCCCCCCCCTCCCCCCAGCCGTGATGCTAAGAAATGACGACTATAACTAACGATACCATGGACCTTCCCACCCTCAATGGCACCTCCAGCCGCACTAGCGATACTGTGCAAATCGTCGATGTCGAACCAACAAGGAATCCGGCCAGCAGCGATAACGCCACAATGAAAGACTTCTATGTGATCGCTGCTGGATATATATTCTTTACCCTTACCGACACAGCTGTTCGAATGATTGTCTTATTCGGATTGTGGCAGAGGCACTTTCAGGTACGAGCCATTGAGTTTAAGCAAAACTCAAAGGTCGGCTCCTCACTCTCCATCACAGGCTCTCAATATTGCCATTATGTTTGTATCTTACGAGGCACTGGGCGTAGTTACGAACCTGTTTGGAGGCATTATGGGTTCTAGGTTAGGGCTCCGCTTTTGCCTCCTTCTAGGCCTGTTGCTTCAGCTTGTCGGAATCTCCCTTCTCTTCGTTCTGGACCGTGAAGATGTTTCGCATTGGTCGCAAGCAGCCGTGACGGGTTACGTGGTTTTTGCACAAAGCTTTTCAGGCGCTGCAAAAGATCTCGTCAAACTAGCCGGAAAATCATCCACAAAGTTAGCCACCAAAGCAGCAAAAAATCGCAAGACCAATGCCGGTGACCCTCTTTTCAAACTTGTCGCATGGCTGACTGGGGCAAAGAACTCTGTTAAAGGCCTTGGATTTCTCATTGGTGCAGTTTTGATCAACTATGCTGGTCTCTGGCGAGCACTTTTGGTCATGGTTCTATTGACGCTCTTACCATTGCCGGGAGTATGGATGTGGTTGGATCCACGATTGGGAATCTCAAAGGATCAGCAACGGTTAACGCTGAGAGAGATATTTGACAAAGGGAGGGATGTTAATATGCTGTCGTTGGCAAGGGTGTTCCTGTTCGGATCGAGAGATCTCTGGTTTGAGATTGCTTTACCCATCTGGTTACGGTATGTATGCATATCGGCTTCCTTCTGTCAGCTGAACATTTATCCCTTTTGCCCGACCAGTGCGCAATTTGATTGGAATTTTACCGCAAGTGGAGCTTTCCTGGCTGTGTGGATTATCATTTATGGGGCTGTCCAAACGATTACCCCTCAATATATTCTAAAGCCGCTGAAAATGTACCCATTCAAACGGTAAGAGACGAAAGTCGGGCCGTTTACAGGACAAAAACTCACGCATTTGCTATAGGGCAAAGCTGCTTGTAATATGGACAGTTTTGCTCATGATCATTACTATAGCAATAGCTGCATACCTTACAGCTGTACGCAACAAGCCAATCAGTGATCAGAAGGCCGCTACTCTCTCGATCATTTCGATCGGTCTGGCAGTTTTTGCTTTCGTCTTCGCGGTAAACTCTTCGATACACTCTTACTTAATTGTTGCATATGCGGCAAAAGATAAGATAGCCATCAATGTTGGCTTTTACTGTGAGTACCCATTCATTTGGTTTACAAGAAGAACTTCGAAATTAAGTTCCCAATGCTTCATCTAGATTGCGCAAATGCGTTAGGTCGATTGACCGGAACTTTACTGTCTGGTTTTATGTTCCAATATTACGGTATCTGGGTTTGTATCTGGACGTCTGTGGGCTTTCTAGCCATCTGCACAGTTATCACAGCATTCTTTCGGGATGTGAAAGACGCGAACACTGAGTAGAATAACATTAAAAGTAACTACCACTTGAGAAATGTGCATGGGAGAGCGTACCGTTCTTGTCCCAAAAAGACGGCTTATTGCTCCCCACAAAGCAAATAAATGCTTTTGGGCTTAATATTACATTTAACACTAGCGCAACATGGTCAATGCATGCTCAAAGAGTATACTACCGCATTGCGACTCTGTGCATGTGTAGCATCAGTGATCAAGAAAAAATTCAGATGCAACTCAAGTTGCGGGTCACCCAATGTTGACATGTCCAACAGTCTTGGCGCGATATCTAAGTTGCACAAAAAGAAAGCAAGCAAGATAGCACGGCAAGATCGGCAAACTCAACAGAGGTGCCCAGATCGAGTGGCAACCGACGTATGGCCTATAAAAGTGTCGGGTAAGCTTCTGGTAATATAAATGAAGCAGATAATCGCAGCAGCGTGGGTCAGAGTGTGAATACAAATGTAGTCGTCCCGGCCAAAGCCATTCCGATAATACATGCTTTAAACCATCATTCCCATTGCTGGCGAAGTATGCGCTATATAGCAACTACTGACCTTTTGCACAGGTGCGAGACCTGGATGTCGCGCCCTGGCCCACCACTCAACGTTAGGCATGTATCAGATCTAAAGAGACAAGAGACGAAAATACACCTGTTAGAACCCATTTCTTCTCTTTGCGGGTTGAATGTGCGACCCAAATAATGCTCAGTTGAAAAAGAATTTTCCGCTCATTCGGCAAATGGGAGATATCCCGCCTCGGTATTAGCATGGATAAACCATCACTGCACTTTTAAGTTCTACACTGCTGACGACCCGACGTTTGCTTACCTTGTGCGTGCTTCATAGCCGAACAGATTTAACTAGAAATACGGAAAATATAAGAATTAATCCAAGTTATGCCACGAACTCAGCTGTTGCAAACAGCTCCAGTGATCATCAATATCTTGTCAACAGAGACTGTTCAGGATTTGATAGTACTTTTTGATAATCATTTCACTCTGACATGTTCAGCCCAATTGCCAACCAAAACAACATACCTGCACACGATTTGAAGAACTGCACATCCTCGAAATCGCCCTTCCTTTTATTTTCAGTCCAGCAGTGGCGCAGGTGTCACGAGCGGGGCGCATTCATTCCAGTCACATGATCCTGGTCAAATGCTGTTGTGGGAGGGGATACTGAGAAACAACAGGGCCTGGAAGAGTCCAGGATCTTAGGGACGAAGGTAGTTTCCGGAGATAGGGAATTTCTATTCCTATGCATGCTCATAATCTAAGGTCTATCTACAGTGTGTTCCTTGTCCAATACCATAAAGAGGATTTATGCAAACAACATCCTATACGGACCTTCACAACTTATTTGATGTGATACGGACATGAACTAACATCCCACGCTTCATCGTGCCACTTCGCATATAGAGCCAGTGCATGATCATCTGTCCAGCGCAGCATCATCCGAAATATAATAAGTTGTCTAGAGACCTTTAAGGCGGTACCCGTAGTAACAATGCTTACCTAGTAACCGGTTGGCTTTTATAAACATGACTTCATATGGATGGAAGGTCATTTCTGCAGAACACTATGAGCATTATATCGCGTACAATTATGATTTCCGGGCCACCCACCATAGTATCCTTTCGGAAGGTTTGGATCATCATGAGTGCAGTGTGTTCCGTAGTTTGGGGATGTATGATAGCTCGTCATTAGCACATCTACGCCATATCCAGCATTTCGGATGTCTTGCGTCAACTGCACTTCCCCTCTCATCACGGCATCATGCATATTCGTCCAGCACTGCATTGACCCCGCAGCGGCATTGAAGGCGTCACGATCCATTGCCAGCACCTGACTTTGGACGTGCGGTCGTGGTCGACAATTATACGTTGTCCCAACCAACTTGACCCTCTCGTTCAACCGACTGAGCAGCAGGTCCGTCCAGCAGCCCTTCGTGTATGTTGGCATGAAAGGTCCACGGACAGAGGCGTTTATCATCACAAACCGACGGTATCTGCGATTTAGTTGCTTTTCCAGCATTTCGACCCCAATTTTGAAGGACCCTATATCGTAACATCTAAAGGGTGCACAAGATCAGCGCTTGCTGTAAGCAATAAAGACAGCACGCCGACGAACGGACTTATTTTCTCGCCGAATGATATGGATGTTTGAACGCTCAGGAAAACGTATTCCTTCGTCAACATGCCCGTTAAGGATGAATAAATAATCTACATTAGACTGTAGGCCATGCCGAAGGAAGAATTGAAGATTGTCGGTCTGGACAGGAACTTGCGGACCCTTTACACTTGCGAGCGGTTTCCGGTGAGTCTAGAGATGGTAGTTTCCTGTGGTTTTGAGTGCTTTCCTCACCGGAACTCCGTATCCGCTTTCGAACTCGTACCATCATAGTAGATGTACACGACTAGAGTATCGCTCTCACTTGACTTGCGATTCACAATACCCAAACTTTCTTGACGCAGAGGGTCTGCAAACCAGACAAGCCCTACAACTGTTGCGGCGATAAAGAGTAAGATGATAGAATAGCGAGGACGACCCATCGTGGACTGGGAAGGAGCTGGAGTTGCGCCGATTCCATCGGCGCCGGACAGGTTGGATTACTATTCCTGTGTATCTACTGGTTTCGAACACGCCAGGGCACGTGGGATTACAGTAGCACGAATCTATCAGCGCTATTAACAGCACATTGTTCGCTATTCTGAAATGTGGGCGACTTCTTGGGCTTACGGGCAGGCCCCTTCATGTTGGACATGGAAACAGTGTCACCTCATGCATCTATTCACGCTCCTTCGATGAATAAATACTTACACATCTACGTTGGAAAACGACTTACGGGCAGGACTCTCCATGTTGGACATAGGAACAGTGTCGCACACATGCACCTATTCAAGCTCCTTCGATCAACTTACCTGTTGTGTTGGCAAAATTGAAACATATCATACATCATTGTACCCACTAGATGAATAAAGCACCTTGCTGGGGCGGGAAAGTTTGTCCGTTATAAAAGAAATCGGACTACGACGATGACAATACTCGTGCGACCCATATAACTTCGGCTCTATCGTGCAGTGCAATGGATTAGAATTAAACCGTCCGGCCACACGTATAGAAGTTGTATTCGGCTTGAAGCAATCCATATAAGCCACATGTGCATCACACATAGCTGGTATCATCAAAGTCATCCGGAAAGGCTGTGAAAATAGAAAACATATTAGCACATCATAATGCGCTTCCTCTACAGTAAAGTGTCGACAGTGCAATCTTACCATTGAAAAATTTGGTGTCAACAAGCCTTTCGTCAAACGATTTCTGTTGTTTTCCGGTAGGAGCAACGGTAGTGTCATCTAATGAGCTACCAGTGTGTCCTCTCGACGATCGTGTTCCATAAACAAAGGCAGCAGGTGTGTTTTCTTCAACCCGCATTGCATCCGCTTCAAACTCGAAGTCTTCCTACGTAATATCTCATGAGCATTGTGTAATCCTTGATTTATACTTGAAAACGAAACCGCATATCCGCAGCCGTTCTTTTTTTTTTTTGATCTTACATCCATCTCGCTCGCATTCCGTCCGCTCATCCTTCCTTTGGTACTATATCTCCTCCGCTTTTGAACGGTGCCAATGATGCGATCGCCTTTGTGATTTCCCTGATATACTCGATTTGTACCCTCTGCCTGCCTATCGTTAGAGTGATATAGGTGATTCCCTTTCTGATCTTTGCACGGTCCAAGAGAGCCTCCTGTGCCACAGTAAGCTGCAGGCCTTCGTCACTTGTCGTATAGGAGCTCGAGCAGAGTTCTAATTCATCGTCTTCTCTTGAACTTGACGATGGAGGAGATGCGGAGCGACTGTGCTTCGAAGTGGTTATGATGGCGGATGAGCAGGGTGAAGGTCGCCTCTCTCCGAAAGGACAGCTTTTGATGACATGAGGTGCTGCATGATATGGCTGTGCCACCGTGGGTATCATGTCATTCCTGGACGGCTGCCTGCTTCCTATCCAGTTCACGCGAAGTTTAGATCGATATGCCAGGCAAGCTGCCACCAGACCGCCTTGGTTTTGACAGAGAAGATGCGATTCTGTATGAGTTGGTCCCTGTGTCTGAATGGCTTCCAGACGATTCTTCCGGAGAACATAGGGCAATTATGCGAACCCCAGGGAAGATCACCCAAGCCGTTTCGAGTTCGTACTCCAGTGTTCCTCAACGACTGCTCAAAAATATTGCGGCCCGCCTTGTACGCACATTAGATGGACTGGTCGTATCTGCATCTGTGCCACCAGCGCTGGTTCAACTGCTTCCATTTGTTCGGTCATCTTGGATACTCGAAGCTTCTCCGTGTGGAGAATATCTCGCAGTTGTCACAGATGAAATGCTCGAGATACGATCAAAAAAGGAAGCGTTTGAGGTCACCGGAGTGGTGTCACTTGATCGCGATGGGTTTCCATCTTGGCGACGAATTGCGTGGTCGCTTGATTCTCAATTGTTGGCGGTGACTGGGAGTGACGGCCGAGTACAAATAGTTCGCACCGATGGCGTCCTGATGTGCTCCATTTCGTCGAAAACTAAAGAGGCTGGCTCAGGGCGTGGTTCGATTTCCCTGCCAACCCGCCCTGTTGAGGTGGAATGGGAAGACCTGGGAGAAGCATATCGGGATCCTGTCGGCTTTATTGAACCTATATCCACCCTCTTGTTTGTGCGACCGGAGAGGGACTCTAAGACGCCCGTTTTCATGTTCGAGAATCATCATTACACGCATGAACTGATTACAATCACCTACGATGGCCTACTCCGTAGCTATCTTATTAATCTCGACGGATTGGCCCAAGCGCTGCCACCACCGAGCACCACGTCATATGTTCCGGCGTTACATGGTCGAAGATCAAGTACCGCGGGACTCTCTATTTTACGTGAAAGTAAGCAGCATCCTGGGCAAATCACCTATTACCATAAATTCTCGTTTCGTCATTGGCACATGTGCGTTTGCACTGCTGTGGCAGACGTGACCCGAGGTGTGCTACTTGTGAGCGGGAAGGGAGTGCATGTTCGGGGCAGTAAGCTACGTGATGGTAAAGAAGCCAGTCTTACGGGGTTTATATCCGAATGGAAGCTTATCTGGGAGAAACCGCACTATCAAATGGAAGGGGTGGAGGTTACAAAGGCCAATTTGGATGTTCCGTTGGACGACCATGCGGCGGAAGGTCTATGGGGGAGCATCAGAAAGGTTTTCACAATAGATTCTGTTCTTATGTCCATTCAGCCTTCACGAAGGATGCTCTATCTGGACACCATCCATCGTATTTACTTATCGCCTGCTGGGACGCATCTTGTTACACTGGACTGCGGCGGAACAGTAAAAGTTTGGGCAGTGAAGGGACTTGAGTTACTGCTTGAATGGACATCCGCAGAGCTGCATGAGCAACTGAAGCGGTCTTCCACTACAATCACAGAAGGCACCGATGTGGACCTGAGGTCGTCCAATCACGTAAACGGAATTTCCGGCAGCCCTACCGTTGTTTCGGTTGGCTGGTGGTCCAATTCTAGTATCACTTTGGCATTTCTTGACGGAAGTGTTTTCATCCTTAATCTACCTCATTTAACGGATCTGCTAGGGAATAGCCTGCAAAAGCTGCGTTGCCATCCAGACGTGGTTTCAATGAACGGAGATCGGTTGTTTATACTTGATTGCGAAAAGAAAATTGTGCGTTTGTGTGTGCGTGATGGAGTTTATTCTCCCATGCGAGCCACTAGCGACGACCATCTGATAGATGAAGACCAAAATGAAGATCCCCGCCAGAAGACCGCGGTCGAAAGATTACTTTCTATTGCAGCTCGTCCGTTGCGATTCGTCACTGACACCTTCCTGTGGCATTGGGAAGATGAAACGTCGCCTTCCAGAAAAATGGTGACAGTGCAAAGGCGGAAATATCGTCTGTTGTGTTTATTTAAGACCACACCGCTTGAAGCCATGAGACGCAAAATTCAGCGGGAGGACTTTGGCGCGGCTTTAGAATTAGCAGCGCAGTTTGGATTGAGTATGGATGAGGTTTACAAAGCGCAGTGGGTCCGAGCGGAGGTATCTGAAGACTCTATCCGTGATTTTCTGGTCAAAGTGGAGAATCGGTCATGGGTCCTGCGTAACTGTTTGGAAAGAGTGCCCCCGTCACCTAAAGCCACGAAGTTGCTGTTGCAATACGGACTGGAGCAGACAGGGAGCGTTACCTTGGATGATGTTGAAAGAGATGTTGAAAACTTGCTGGACGATCTATGTGAACAACCGAGTGCATCCGCAGTTCAGGCGACCCTGGATGACGAACAGGGCCACCTACCATCTACGGCCGAGCTATGCCTGTATCGCTATCGTTTTTTGAAGTATCTTGACAGACTCGAGACGCATGAAGCCATATACGCGGGCGCATTTGATGACCGCAACACCGAAGGCAGCCACAGCAATTTTGCAGAGCACTTTGCGTGGTTCAGAGATTGCGACTTGGTTGTTCAAGCAATAAACTATGCAACGACAAAAAATATCCCGGCGTTACAACAGCTTTTCACGCGTCATGGTAGAGAAGTCTTGCCGTTTCGTTTGGGCATTTTGAAGCAGCTTCCGGAAACAGCCGATCCTAGAGAGTATGCGCACCTTTTACCTGTTATTGACGGACACAGTGGTCAAGAGATGGAGTGGCAGGTTATTCCATGGCGAAAGCCAGATTGGACGGAGTCAGACACGGTCAGAGACTTCATAGGAATTGTGGAAGAGGGTAATGAACAAGAATCTGAGGAGGTCTTGCCAACAGGATGCAGACAGTATAACTACCCCGCCTCGCTTGAGGTCATTCGAGATTGGTACCGTGAACGTGCTGGTGAAGTTGAAGGGCTGTCTGGGCAGGTGGACTTTGCCCTGGAGCTCATTCGGTCTGGTATCGACAACAATGTGACTGGGCTAGAGGACTTGGCCGAAGATTTACAAACCTTATCTGAACTGATTTACGACTGTTACAGTCCAGATTCGAAGGCAGCCTTGGATCTCTCCCTCGATCGTCTATGCAGCTTGTACCCTGGAGAAGTGGTGCGTCTGTTTCTTGTGGAAGCGGAAACCCGTACAGTGGTTTCGATAATGGATCGGTTTGTTCTACCATTCCTGAGCCGGCAGGCTTTGAGATGGGAGCGACAACTTCGGGAAGGGAACGAAATGGTGCCGCCAGAGCCACAGGAAGCCATTCGCAACATTCTACATGAATGGCTCATCGAGGTTGCCGACGAGCATCTAGACTGGTGCGTAGCTGTCTTTGAAACATTCAGCGCGACTCCAACCGGCAACCATCGAATCATCGGTTCCAGGAAAGATCTAGCAGATCTGTCCATGCAGTGTGCTTATCGCTGTACTCGTACCAATGCGCTTGGAGAGTTTCGCAAATTGCTCAAGAGCATCCCATTTCAAAACCTGCAGAGCACAATATCTCCGGCGGAGCCTATCCGCAAGTCAATGTCATGGGAGGACGAGCTCGAGCTCGCGATGCTCGAAATCAATGATTCTAATATGGCGTTGCCAAGTGACCTATTGGATGATCCAGCGGTAATGGATGACTTGCAAGAACGCTTCCAGCGGTTCAAAGTACACGTAGAAGCGGTTGCGATATTGGAACGCTATGGTCTAGCGAGGCCTCTGTCCTGGTTTCTGGAATCAGACAACAATATCGATGCGCAACGTCAATTGGTTGTGCAGCTTGCTAGACGGTCAGCGGGGGGTGAAGGCATGGGAGCCGGTGGTGAACATCGTTTTGAGTCTGAAGACGAGTGGTCTGGGCTCTTGGACGACATGCTGGAGCTTCACCAATTAGGGGTCTTAGACCGTGTCCCGAGAAGAGATATCTATGTGGAGTTTCTCTCGGTTGTTCTCAGCAGCGGAAGTACGTGCGGTTATTCGTTTCGGGCACGTGCTAAGGGACATAACTAACTTAGCCATACTAGAATTCCGATTAGCAAAAAGGATCATGCAACCCGAGTCAGGCCTTCCACCTCTACCGAGTGACGTTTCGGAGACGTTGGTGATCAACGCCGCAAGAGAATTCTTCGATAACGCCCATAGTGGGGACATGAACCATGGCCTTATGAAGAAAGCACGAGACTGGTAAGCATGGCCAGTTAGAATTGACCAAACCGACAGAATGCACAGTTTGATGACTCTCTCGTCCTTGCAGTCTAAAAGTGCTACCGACATCCCCCATCTTACAGACAGAACTAAACTTAATCAAGGCGACACATCAGCTGACAACTCGTTATAATATCACATTGGATCCCAAGGAAGATATCCTCATTCTCCCCATTCAGATCCGATTGCATCCAGATCGTCTTCAGCTCATACAGCAGATCCTTCGGCGGTATCCTGACGCATACAATTCCGCCCCATCCTTGCTCGAACTCACCAAAATGCTCTTGGGTGAGCAGTATAATCGCAGCGTAGAAGTGCGTGCGCAAGCAATGATTGCGACAGCTGCCCTCGAGGCAAAAAGCTACGAGACTGCATATCAAATATGCGAAGATCTCATCAGGGGAATGGGCGAAGCACGGTCCATTGATCCATTGGTGGCCGAGGCGGTCTGTAAAGTCTGCATGGCTCTTGGAAATGTGGCTGAATGGCCAGATCTCAAGAAGAGGATGAAGGTTGTTGGTCACGCGCTGGCACTGTGCCCAACCGAGAAAATGGTCGAAGGACTTGCGCTTTGGAGGTCCTTGGAGAGCGAAAAAACCGCGTTGGATGCTGTAAACCGCGTCCCCGGAATAAAATCCGCACCGTCTCTGCTAGGTCGCCTTGATGGCACATCCGAAATGGGTTCCGAGTCGTGGATATTCAGTGTGGAGAAAGCTATTGGAGAGCTCGAAAGACAATTGCTGGCATTCGAAGATCCTGGTCATCTTCAGGCCACCGCCAAAATTAAAACTCTGCCGCGGCATCCATTCTACCAGAATTTGCAGAACGTGGATTCTCTCAAAGCATACCCCGGTGGCGAGTTGGCTGGTTCAACAATTCAAGGAGGCCTTCTAGAGGCTTTGATGAGATTAAGATCTGCTCATGGTACGTTCGCGGCCGGAATGACACAGCTCGATGACAACGGTGAATGGATCAAGGACGAAGATCTTCTCAGTTACTCAGCAGAGATATATGCGTCTGACGCTGTTCTCGCTTTCAATTGTCTGCTACACCAGCAAGAGGTAGGATAGCACCTTAGGTGGTCTTCGCTTGATTTTTAACCTCTTGTGACTGACTGCGGCGCACCAGGATCATAAAGCTGGGGAGTTTTTCGATGGGCTTCCGCCATCACCAGCAAACGACCTGTTAGCGTGCTACTACTATGCTCACAAGACGTTCTCCCGTACATTAAGCGCCGATAATCGTCATTTTCTCGCGGAGCTGCCTAAATATGCACCGTCAGACGTCATTCGTAACATCGATCGATTGGCCTCTACACTGGATCGGCCAAATGGAGGTCCCCCCGCGATCTCCAGCCCTCTTAGCCCACTGCGGTCCGTAGGAGATTGGGACTTTGATTTGCCTCTGCCATTTTCTGGTGACCCGCAGCCGCCAGATACCATCGATCCGGCCGCAGCGTGGCCACCACCGAAAAGGCAGCAGGTTTTGGGAGAACAAGCTGCTGAAGCCTTGACGAAAGCTCGACATTATATAACTCTAATGGAAAACAGGCGACAAGAGCGCATGTTGCGCTCCATATATGATAGAAAGGGTGTAGATCCACTCAAGTTTGAGCAAAATGATGAGTATAAAAGAGCGGTTGTTCTTGACATGGCTCGTACATTGGACGAGGCCGTGCTAGCGGAGGCATTCAAACTCGCCCATGAAGTTGGAGTGTCCGATTTGGATGTAGGTTCCAGGATCGATGCATCTGATCTGTGTCGCACGATCGTGCTTATGTTTGGACGTAGGTGGTTCTGTCAAGGGTGGCGTGGCTTTTCTGTTCGGAGGCCATCTCTGCTTCGGTTGTGGAAGAACAGCTGAAGAAATACGACGTGCATCTTAAAGAGCATCCTACGCAAGTTGAGGGTGTATTGCAGAAGATTCATGACGAGGTAACGCAGACCAACAGATTCTTACCCATGGTTGTAAGCTGATCTCTGGCCCCTTTAGCTCGATGGTCGCTCTCATGCAAAGCTTCTCCTGCTGTATGAGGCGTTTTTGACCTGTCAAGGTCCACTTAACCAAACTCCGAAGGTAAGACATTGTCTTTGCACAAAGCGTACAATGAGCGTACAAACAGGTCGTGCAGGACCAAAACCTTATCGATGAGCTCAAGAACCGAGTGGCTGTCCTACGAGTCCTTTGCAGCACATCTTCGTTGGCTTCGCTGGATCTGAAGCAGGCAGTTGCAGCTCAGTATATTGGACTAGATGCATTCGTTTCAGCATTGAACGTAACGTCACTCCAAACCTTAAATGATGTCACGGCATTGATTCCGCAGTAAGAGTCGTTTTCACGATTTGCCGTGTATGCGATATTGGCTTTGACTGGTGACTTAGATTACTCGAATTGGAGAATGTGCCCGTCTCCCCGGATGTTCCTGTGACTGGACACGTAAAGCAGGTTCCGGGGATTTCTACGATCATTAGCACCATATATTTGCAATACTCGAAATCACTGATCCCAACCGTGCCATGGGAATACATGGAAGAGGGAAGGTAACAACAGTCATCTCTGAACGTTTTTTCCCGTGGCGAATCTGACTCCTCCGGTAGTGTCGCGTCAAAGATATCACAGATAATTCATCTCTTCGACCATCTACTTCCAAAAGATCTGTTAGCACTCACTTCTCTGCTGACGACGCACCATGAGGTTTGTCCGCTTTTTTCAACGCCGTGCATCCTACCGTATGTTCAGCTTTCGGTAAACCCGTAGGCAATCGGCATTCCAGTCGCATACCGTTGCGATATTGTTGCGCGCGCCAAAGCGATTGCCCATAAGCAAGTCCAAGACCACATTACAGTAGGCATTCTGCTTTACTCGTAATCGCTTTAATTCGCGTTTACAATGTGTCGTCTCGCAGGGGGCGGAGCTCGTAGTATCTCAGCTCCAAAACATCGATCGTCACCTTACTCTCGTAAATGATTTGCACGCGGTCGTGGACGATGCGACTGCCGAGACAATTGCGCCTGAGCGTATTCAGCAATTCGATTCTGCATTCGAAGAAGGCCCAAAAGCCGTACGTACCGTCGGAATATACTGGAGACGGGCACATGCTCACAACTTCCGTCGTTGCAGGCTGCGATTATATGCATGCGTATGATCATTGCGGGTACGTCACCAGTTATAATGCACAAAATATGCTGCATTTTGGAAAAGTCGTTCGGGTCCCAGATGTCGTTCAGTATGTCTGATATGTATGAAGAAACTATGTGGTGTATTTTGGGGCATCCCCGAGATCCAATGTACGCCAGTGTGTTCCGCCGTGGAGTGGATTCACCTTCGGGAGCGCTGGAAAGAATACTCGCTAGTATAGCAAGCCACCAAACGACTAAATCGGACCCACCTCAATCTGCCATTACCGATGCGCTGGCGGTTCAGCCTGAGACAAACGCTGGAACAACAAGTGGCTGGGACGCTGGTGAAGGCTGGGACCTAGATACTGGTGATGGTTGGGACATTGGTGGCATTGACGATTCATTGCCATCCTTGGCTGTTGCTGGGGATAGTAGCGATGGCTGGGATATTAGCGGTATCGAGGACCTTCCGCGCCAACAAGTGATGAGTGAAACACAAGAAGGCTGGGAAACCGGCGACGAGCTCTTGGGACCAGCCGATACTAGTACCTCAGAGTCCGCAAGCGGATGGGATCTTGACTTACCTGTTCCAGTTATGAAGGAGACTGAAGCAGCTATAACAGACACTAACGAAAGGCTGAAAAAGGTCCTGGGAGACGTAGTCCACAACTTGGGCAGCGTAGATGCTGACCTAAGGATGAAGGCGCTCTCTCTGTTGCAAAAGGTAGTTTTCTTATCCCGGTTTCACATGTTTCTTTTTGACTTCCACTGACGACGTTCTCAGTATTATGCCTTCCAGAGCGTTGATGCTCAGCAACTGCAGACAACTAAGCTTGTCTTGATGATCCAACAGGTTTGGGGAATCAACGTAAGTGGATCCGACAAACTGACATTAGGGGCAACTCCTTAACATTGAGTTGGATTTGATACAGGTGCGCAGTAATCAACTGAATAACCCGTCCCAACGCCCAGAATTGTTTCAAGACTTATTGAGCGCCACGGAAACAGCGCCTCAAGCTCAATGTCTAGTTGCAGTACTCACTGAGTGGCTACCGATTCCAGCAGTGGACATTGAGCCATACAGCGTACCTGGATATCTTCAGAGATGCTGGCGAAATTTGTTCTGCTGGATGGTTGAACACGGAGAGTTTGGCATGTTTATGCTCACCAGGGTGGAATTCGGCGGTTTTGACATATTGGACGAAGAAGTAGGTGTTTTCATCTCATTCGCAGTGGTTGCACATGCTCAAGGGCGTTTTCTTCCCAGGCTGAGCGAATGCTTCTGCAAATTCTACAAGATATTGACCTTGATGCGGAATACCTAAAGCATGCATTTCTATCACGACGCTATCTTATTGTCCACGACGCTGTCGGTCGGTTGGAATTGATTAGCGCAACATCTCTCGAACGCCTAGCGGCAGACCGCATTCTTCACATAATATTATGTTGTCGTGGTCTATCTGCTTTACTCGTCGGAACCCCTTTATGGCAATCAATCCGACAGACTTTACTTAGTGGCCCGCAAGAGCAGAGCGATGATCCTTCTCACTCAAATAAACATCGAGAACTTCTCGGTGTGGTGGTTTCCGATCTTACTTCTGCGGGCTATGTCTCGGCTGCGGCGGGATTGACCTTTGGCTACGCAAGTGCAGCAGGGGATGGTCTTCGAGTTACCGCGTTCAGAAAGATTTTAGGGTTTGCTGGAGTAGATAGCGCGGGCTCGGGCAACAACACTACTGGAGCAGACTATGTACTAGAAGATAAGATTATTGGGAGATATTTGGGCATGGGTATGGATGGGAGTAAAAACTCCAGGCAGTAGCATTTGGAAATATTTTATGCCTTTCGTAATTGTAACTACATGACACCACCGGATATTTCGGATGGGAGCAAATGCTGAATAACATGACTACTTCCCTGCTATATGAAGTCCATAACGTTCTCTACCTTATTGGTAAAATCCCATATCACAATCTTCTTGTCCTATAGAGAAGCAGTAATACATTAGTGTCGACGATGACGATCATCAACTTTTGCGTAATACCTGGCTTGCACTGATGATTTTCGCCGCATCCATCTGCACATGGAAGACCCAGCTACTATGAGCTCCTTTCAGCGTCATTAGCGGATCCCCCGTTCGAAAGTCCCAGACTTTGATCGTCTGATCATACGAGCCCGAAACGATTCGTCTTCTGTCAAAACACAGTGTTCGAACGAGATCCTCATGCCCTGTCAATGTACGCAGACATTCCCCAGTGCGGGCGTTCCATATGCGTATTGTTTTATCATTTGAGCCGCTCACAAGATATTCTCCATCAAACTGGACACATGCTAAACCCCGGGCGTGGCCAGCAAAGTCACGTATACATCTTCCGGTATCAATGTCCCACAGTTTAATGATGCAATCTCCGGAAGCTGATGCAACGTAATTTTGGTGAAGATGAATCGCATTGACTGCTGCATGATGACCCTGTAGGGTCCTTCGAAGACGGCCATTGGAGATGTCCCAGATCTTTATGGTGCAATCTTTTGAACAGCTGACGACAATGTTGTCCTTGAAGCGAACATCAAGAACCGGAGCGGTATGGCCTTCCAAGGTACGAAGCTTCTTTTTGGTTTCATAGTCCCAAATAATGATGGTTGTATCCGATGACCCTGTCACAATATATCGCAAGTCGTACTGGAGACAGAGAACGGACCCTTTATGACCTTCGAGTGTCTGGGTACATTTACGTGATTCTAAGTCCCAAAACTTTATCGTTCGGTCTCTGGAGCCTGATATTATCTGATTATGATCGAACTGAATGCAGTAGACAGCATCATGATGGCCACTTAGATATTTTGCTGTTACGATCCCCTTGCTCCAGTTCCGCTCCAATAGCTGCCGTTGGAAATGCAGTCGCTTCCAATCTCGATTCGCATGGCGTAGTTTTTTTAATGTCGACTCAGGTGTCCTGGAGCCCCATTGACCGAAATATAACTTTTTCCACACTTCTTTATCGGTGGCAAGCTTTCGCCATCGTTTAGAAACCATTGCGATTGATTCCACGGTATAAAAATCGTTGACTTCCATAACAACATTAACCGCTAGCTCGTACGGAAGGGCTGTTAAGAAATCTTAGGGGAGTGTCAGCCTGCAAGCCCAAAGGGTGTGGTAGTTCAGAAGCACAGTCGAAGACATACCAATTCTGATAATCTCTTCAACACCAAAAGCTGAGTCGGTAGCGCTGAGCCGCCGTTCATCCACCTCTGCGTCCATCGGATCATCTTTCGCTACCTCTCCATCCAATTTTGAAAGTGGGGGTAGCTCTGCAGGACCGCCCTTTCGCAACCAACTTTTACGGGTACGCAAGAACGATACAATAGTGTTCGTGAGCTATGGCAGTCTAGTCCACTGCAACATATAGTTGCTTACCCCCTCAAAAACATTTGCCCCAGATTCGTCACAATCAAGTTGGTTCACTATGGTCGAGTGCTGACGCAACCACGTTTCTTAGCAAAGAGACAGCCCCACCAAAACTAGTTGCAATTCAGCTGGTAATCTGTAGCGTAAAACCGATGTATGCTGATTTTAGAGGTATATTACTCCCCGATATAGCAACCAATTGTATTGACGGTCAAGTTGAGTTTTGACGGAAGCATCCACACATGGGTCACGCAGCATTCCCGTTGACCTCGAACTCGCCCCCACCTTTGGAGCCACAGTGCAACCGGCAGTGGATCGCCACAAACCATCCCTCATCAAACTGTGCCTCATAAACACACTTGAATGCATTTAATTTGGTGCATCAGAAGAATTATGGCTTAGTCAGCTGTTTCGTCCCAATGAAGATATTAATGAAGATGCCATAGAAGGAGTGTAAGACATTTCACTGACACTTACCAACCACCTTTTGACGAGGAATTCTAACCGACTTTTGTGCTTCTTCTATTACTTTACTGTACAGTACTACTATTTGCAAGTGGATGGGCAGACTAAATCCTGGCCAGATATGTTAACTAGTTTGAACGCATACATGCAACGCACTTGGCAGTAGACCTGATAAATATACAGAAGATGCAGTTTATCATTATTTATCTCCTATGAGAGTGTAATTTAAACCCGAACCAGTGCTCCCACTTGTTTGTCGATACTACTTGTATAACTTTTTGGAAGATATGGCAGACATAATCACATGACCAATGGTGCTAAGCCATAATCGCGTGTGCAGCCGGTAGCACGTGTGATAGCAGTGTACTGACTGTACGCGGGTGACGAGCTTTGCAAGTCGTCAAAAACTGCATGTTTCCAGGTATTATTGCAAGAACTTGCCAAATGGATCGGCTTGATATCGAGTCTGCAGTCGACCCTTGGTTACTGCTTTTTTTCAAACGGAGCAATCTGATTGCGCCTCTAGGAGCCGACGATGATCTGGACGACGGAATCGGAACAGGCAATTTTCAGCATGCCACCGTTGCAGAGGCGCCATATGTTGGGTACGTCGGCCGATAAGCATCGCAGCGCTACCAGCATTACAAGGAATCCCAACGCGCCGGATCGTTTCGGGGTCGACTCTCGGTCTGCACAGAAACGTGCTTCGATCAGATAATACGGCGATTGAATGTGGGAGGGGAGAAGTCAGGCATTGTTCACTTGCAGCTAATGAAAGTGGTGGGGAAAAAACAATTTCTCAGAAAAAAGAGATCCTGAGCCGGCGCTGGACAGTATCAAGTGTGGTGCCTGCCATTCGAGGCTGAAAGGCGAAGGGGGGTTAGGCTATATAACGGTATCGTACACCGGGGACGATAGGTTCAAGACTTATTCTCGCTATGTTGATATCGGAAAGCGCGAGTCCATCATTCCTCGCACCGGCGAACATGATTCGTTGTTTGCCAAGCTGCTGACCAACCCCATAGAACAAGTCTGGGTCGACTTTGTAGAGGGCCGGGACGTGGTGCGCAAACGCCCAGAACACGTAGCAACATATGCTACGATATATGCCATGGCGGATATGAATTTGGTTATATTGAACGAGAAAGACGAGGCCGAGCTTGTGAAAGCGGTGGCCAATTTAAGATGCGTGGTAGAAGTTCTTCAAAGTAGCTGGAGCCAATGGAATAACCAACGCACGTTGTATGTGGTGGAGAGGATCTCATGACTCAACTCCCAGCCCAGACCTCGCAGTATTGATTCGGCATGGTCCCGAGCTTGGATTATGCAGGAGATCTTGCTCGGAAGACACCGTATACTGTGGAGTGGACAGGAAAACTGGACTACTCCGTATGGTAGTGAGCACCCTACAGTTGGCCGCGTATATCAAGGATTTTATGGATGCTGCTTTGCTGTGGGTGCCGCGGGAGTATATATCCTCTCTGGTAGAACACCCTTCCTGACGGACTACGATCGCAGACCTGGTTTGAGCGAAATAACGTATTACTTCATGTATCTAAACAAAGATCGGATCACTGAGGCGACAGCGTACGTCTATTGCTCACTTCGTGATGAACTTAAAAAGAGGGCCTTGGATCTCTGGAGGCGACAGGATTATTTCGCCAAAGACCGACTAAATTTGTTGAGCGCGCATCTGGGATCGTATTATCTGAAAGTCGGAGAAACGCGGCGAAAAGACATCGTAAAAGAGCAATCACGCGGGAAGGGCATCAGTGCATTTGAGCAACTGTGCAGAATCCTCCGTGCCTTGCAAGAGGAATGTGGGGTTGTGAGACTGTCCAGAAAGCATGCGGCATCTTTAACGGGGGAGTTCAAGAATTTGGGTGGCCCGTGCTGGGACGGGGTGTTTGATTTTGTTCCGATCTACGGATCTAAGACAGAGGAGAAAGTGCCAAAAGTTGTATCCAGTGCAGCGTCCAGGAATCTCTTCAAGCGCGAGCTTTTCACTTTTACCACCTTGGATGGGGTGCGCCACATGACTGCAAAGACCATAATACTTCCTGAGTACCGTTGCAGATTCGGACGAGGGTGGGAGACAGAGTACGAAGAAAACAACAGCATACACGTCCAAGTCGTCATCTCGGCCGATGGCCTAGAAGTCCAAACAAAAACGGATGTAGACACGGCGAGGTTATTGATGAATGAAAAGCCAATTCTCCTGGTGCACGAGCTTGTCATTCTTGCTACTTTCCGCGGGAAAGAACCCACGCGACATATCGATTATATGTGGGGTCCAATATGGCAGTGGATGGGAATGGGTCGATGACGGAATGCTCGTGGGCAGGTGGTGGATAATGGTGGATGTAGGTGTATTCAGTGAATTTACCGTACAACCTTGTTGCTTATAGGATATTCGTATACTGGCAAGGACATTAAGATAAATCGCGACAGTCGGTGATATATGTAAATTTGCATGTAAGAGAAGACTCCTAGTACGTATCACACATAGAAATACACGTTCTTAAGGAGATTACTCTGCGGATTGGATGGTTTCAATCTTGCCAACAGCAACGGAAGAGATCAATTTGCTTGATTCTCCATTTTGCACATACTGTACCTTCCCGGAAGCGCATTTTATTGTCTAGTGGAAACCCGTTGTGGTTGGGAGAATGGACTTTCCCCATATTCCTGTCGCTTCCTGTCGGACGGATGTACTAGCCTTTGTGCTGCGCGGACTCGAACGGTCAAATGATGGCGCCCGCGGTAGCATCTTCCGGATAGCTTGCCTGTCAGATTCCGCCCCGTAGACCTGGAACATCTTAGTGTCCTGGTGAACTGCTACCCGCTCTCCAACAGATCAAACATGCCATGGCGGCCATAAACCCCGGTGACCCAATCTCGACGTTATTTGACCTCACGTCATTTGCCGTTGGGTGAGAATCATCAGGAAAATCGTCCGTTTTGCTCGCTTTTGGAACCTCATTTGTTTTCTGAAAGCCAATGGAACTGGCACCGGATGCTCATGAATTACATCTTGATTTCCGATACCCTGGACAATGCGCAACTTTTGTGATGAGAATGGGTAGATTATACTGACTTTAGTATCTTCCGAATTCGTTTCAAGTTTAATGGAAAGACATCTCCATGGTTCGAAAGCGATATGATTCGCATTTGAGGAAGGTATATAAATGAAGGTAAGCGGTATCATTGAGTATCTTTGGGCATTTAGCTGGCTTTGGGCATTCGACAGTTTTGCTCAACTTCATCCTCGTCTACTTACTTTGTGGTAACCCAAGCTGGCGATTGTTCGCTCCTTTCTTATAAAAATTTTGACTAAAACTGAAGTCGAGTTGACGCTAGCGGCGCTTGCGCATTCACTCGATGAACGTCCAGATCTTCGAGATGTTTTCACCTAACAGTCACCTGAAACTAACGTAGTCCATCTCTCCTTCTGGCTCTGCCTTGCCTACCTGTTATTTTTCTGTCTACTGTGATGCCTACGCTATCGCTCCGACCTTCCAAGGCCCTGTTGCCAAACTCTTCGTTGGATGAAGTCCATAAGAGAGAATAAGCTGGAACAAGCTTGTTGATCAAGGACTGCAGTGATAATTTTGGATGTCGTTGAGCTAATCCATACTCAATTGTGTATTTTCAGTAATATATTAGCTGGTCAGTGGGATGGCTTTGGGTTCTAGCTTGTAGCTACCGGCTACAGGAAGGAAATACAGCTTTAACCCCTCGGTTTTAATGAACAAAATATAATTAGTAAAACAATTGACTAATTCAAGCATATAGGATATTTTCTAAATAGTCCAGCCATTATTCATTTGATAGGTACGCAATAATTGCAATAGCGGTATCTTGTTAATTGTGGCACGTTTGGAGTCGGTTATAATTTCTACTCGAAAAGTGGTTGTAACCAGGCTTTGAGTCTCTACTACTTGCTTGTACTGTACTGACTGATCTCCAAAATCCTTGACGAGAGAGATGGCAGCCGATGTGATATTAGAGGCCGTTTTTGGATACCTAGGACTTGTACTATGGAGTTTTCAGCTCCTTCCTCAGGGTAGGTTCTGAGCCGTCAAATTGTTTTCATGCCAGTCAAACTCACTCCACAGCTCCTAGCTATCAGCAATTACCGTCTTGGTAGTGTGGGGGCACTCAGCGCTTTAATGATGCTAGTGTGGGCTCTTTGGGCGCCTATATTTTCTGCTTACGGGCTCTACTCCAATATGGCTGTACCTCTCTTGATACAGCCAAATATATTCGGCTTTTTAGCTCTGCTTTGTTTTGTGCAATGCTTGTACTATCGAAGGTTCGCTCCTTGGCTACTGGGTTAGAAATCTCTTAGAGGGCATAGCTGATTTCCATATGCTTCCCCTCTTGGCCTTCAGATCTGTGTCTTCGTCATCAGCGGTGGCCATTGGGCTGTTCTGTATTCTCCTCGTCGTTATGGCTGGGTTGGAAGTGGCACTTTTCATTGCGATAAAGGTTAGTACACGATTGATGAGCCTTTTAAGTGGTATCTCATCGATTAAGGATTTATTTTGTGACAGCATGCGAACGACAATGGTGCGAGCTGGGTTCCTACCATGATCGGAATTTTGCCGACAGTATTAATCACTGGGGGATTTATTCCGCAATACTACGACATAATTAGTGAGAGTATTTGAGGATGCTTGCAATCTCTTTTAATGTTCTGAAACGCAGGGTTCCGACTAGAGACGGGTAACGTCGACGGAATCTCGCAATGTTTTCTTGCAATGGATACTCTGGGCGGCGTTTTTTCAATCATTGCTCTCGTCTTCCATCCGCGGCCTTTTGACTTCCTGAGCTTAGGGTCATACGTGGCCGTGGTAGTCCTGGATGTAGGGCTGTTGATACTTATACAGTGGTACAACTGGCGCGCAGACCGCCGAAAGGAGAGCAGCGCACTAGAAGAAGTGCGATGCAGTAACTATTCTAGTACCACGATAGGTGGCGCACATTGAAGGAGAATTATGTTATGGAGAACTGCCCTCGCTTCATCAGGCGTTATCAGAC